GACCAGATCAATCCTTTGGACCTACATCTGTCTCTGCTCTTCATATTACTCCCTTTACTTTCTTCTGCCGTCACCACAACGGACGCTAAAAAGATTCAGATTCAGATAAAGACTATTTCCTTTATTCCACCAGGGGCCGTCCATTGCAGCAGCACAGGGTATAAAAACATAAAACACAGGAAATGTCCAACAGAAACATCAGCATGATATGAAAAGGCAGCAGAGGGAGTGTTTTGTGGAGGACAGAGAACCAAAGACACAGAGACTGCATTGATTTTACGTTTGACAGATTGTTATGACAAATCGCCAAAGCTGTCAATCAGTCTGCGCCCCACCCTCACCTCTGGTCAGGAGAAATGGAGTGAAGAGCTGCTGCTTTTCCAAACAGAAAGGTAGTAAGTTTCGTATTTATATAGCACATTTCTAGACCAAGGCCACCCAAAGCACTTTACAATGTTCAGAAACCATAATTTGTCCACTCTCTTGACACGGTGATGACAGAAACGAGACGCCGAACACACTGGACCATCAAAACCTCCGACCAAACACCATCCATTCAAGCACTCACTCATTACACTCATACCTAGTGTACATGTTTTTAGTGGTAGGGGAAACCGGAGAAAACCTACGCAGACACGGGGAGAACATGCAAACTCCACTCAGAAAGGCTGGAATTCGAACCCAGGACCTTCTTGCTGAGAAGCGAGAGTGCTGACCATTCGACACTGAAGGGACTTTATCTCTCAGCTGGTCTGGGAACGCCTCAGGATTCCCTCGGGTGAGCAGCAGGAAGGACAGAGATACAGAGTTCTGGCAATGAACAAAGTAGATCTAAAACCAATCATCAACAGTCGTCTTGTGTTCAGTCGGTTTATGAACCTCGGTCAAATAGAATATTGTTGAAAAGTGTATTTATTTCTGTCCTTCAAGTGAAAATGTGAGACTACGATATGATACAGACAAAGTGATGTATGTTGATGGTTATGTATGGTTATGTATATGTGTCTATATATATGTACAGTATATGGTTACGTATAGGTATATATATAGGTATATAGTTTCTGGGTCGAGGGGGTGGCAATCAGAGCTGCCACTCAAGACTCATAGCACCAGTCCCTCACTGATCTGTCATGGACAAGATGGCCTCGGTCTTTCAGCAGGTGGTTCAGGCAATGTGGGGTTAATAAGTGTCTTGCCAAGGGACACAACGACCATTAGGTTCAAAGGCCAGTGCTCTACCAACTGAGCTGCATACTGTACTGTAGTTATGTATATGTATATGTATACTGTATGTATGTGTATATGTATATGTATATGTGTATGTATATGTATGTGTATATGTATATGTATATGTGTATGTATGTGTATATGTATATGTATATGTATATGTATATGCATATGTATGTGTATGTGTATATGTATGTGTATGTGTATATGTATATGTATGTGTATATGTAAATTTATATGTATATGTATATGTACTGTATATGTATATGTATATGTATGTGTATGTGTATATGTATGTGTATATGTATATGTATATGTATGTGTATATGTATATGTATGTGTATATGTATGTATATGTATATGTATATGTATGTGTATATGTATATGTATGTGTATATGTATGTATATGTATATGTATGTGTATATGTATATGTATGTGTATATGTATATGTATATGTATATGTATATATGTAAATGTATATGTATATGTAGTGTATATGTATATGTATGTGTATGCGTATATGTATATGTATATGTATGTGTATGTGTATATGTATATGTATATGTATGTGTATATGTATGTGTATATGTATGTATATGTATATGTATGTGTATATGTATATGTATGTGTATATGTATGTATATGTATATGTATATGTATATGTATGTATATGTATATGTATGTGTATACAGTATGTATGTATATGTACTGTATGTGTATATGTATGTATATGTATATGTATATGTATGTGTATACAGTATGTATGTATATGTATATGGTTATACAGTCCAGTTTCAGTATATTCTAATATTCTGGTATGTTTTGAGTTTTTACAGTTGTGGTCATAATTATCCACATTATAACAAATGAAGGCTTGATATATCTCGCTCTGCATGTGATGAGTCTGTTTTATATTAGTTTCACATAATAAGTTGGATTGCAGAAGAGAAATTTACTTTGGAACGATATTCTAATTTAACTTATATGTTCAAAGAATCACAGGACCTTGGATTGAATACATTTGATTCATGAATAGTTCTGTGAAAATACCAATGCTCTATTTAGTTCATTATGGCCGCTGCACATTCCTGTCTTCTATCATCAACAGAAAAACACATTTTTACACTCTGTTTCGCTACATTATTGTTAGAACTTCAGAGAAAACACTTCATCTCTGTCACACACACACACACACACGCACACACACACGACACACACACACACACACACACACACACACACACACACACACACACACACACACACACACGCACGCACGCACGCACACACACACACACACACACAGCGACTACACTCCAAAAGTCACCAGCATAAAATCAAGACACAGAAAAACGTATGTATTTTTTCACAAAATATATTTATTACTACTAAAAAGTCCACAACAACACATTGTGCTGGACAAGTTCAAAAAGTGACTGGCATAAGGCGGTTCCATTCTTTCATTTGAGGCCATTACAATCTTGACAATAATTAAATAACTGCATTTTGGAGCGTTTTGTAGAAGTGCTGACGGAGAGAGACCCATCACCGCTTTTATGAATGAGTCTCCTCTGCTGGGGCTGACTCCAGATTGAATCATGTCGCTTCCTTTTCCTTTACTAAAGTCAATAGTTTCTGCAGACATTATCCTAGGGCATGATGCTAACACACGCTGCGTTTGAAACTACAGCAAAACGCGTATGAGTTGTGTGCTTTTCTATATATATCGCTGAAAATCAGGGCATCAAAAACAATTTAGCTACAGGATTATTTAAGACTTTCCAGGCCAGGCTAAATGTACGACACGCAAATGGCATTGATCCCTTCATAATGACTAGCAGTAATGTCAATTGTTAGCTTGTATTTGCTTTTCTAACACGCTCTTAACGCGGTGAGGTTTCTGCTCGTTTTGCATCCACAGAAAGAACAGTGCATTTAGCCAAGCCTTTAAAAAAACATCATCCGTCCTAAAGACACATTGAAAACATGTAACAAAACGGTCCTCTGGTGTGGTCTGCGGGTCGATGAGCGGGTCGGAGCTGCCGTGGTCTCTCAGCCATGTTGCACCAGCGCCATGTTAGTGGCTAGAGCCAGAGGGGATGGCGATGTGGGTGACCCGGCACATTTGACTAAGCCCTCTGTCACTCAGATTACACACAGACTGGACCGGGGAAGGGAGGGGGGGGGGACGGGAGTGAAAGAGGGAATATCTCGTTCTGTTTTATCTGCACTTCCCAAAACCCAGCCTCGACCATATACACTACAGGAATCTAGCTTGTGCCTCTTCGCTCCCATAACCCGCTACAAGCACCATTTAAAACAACACATGCCTGACAGCTTTAGATGTTCTCTGCAAAATAGTAATGAAAAATAAGGCAGAAATTTCTCAAAATTTGGTTAAATGTGTGTTAATTTGAGAACATTTTTTACGGCCTTTAAACAAGATTTGCAAAATTAAAAGCAAAAAAAAAAGCCACTGTTGGGAGTAGAAAATAAAACAGTTGCATTCAAACTGAACAGCTTATCCTATTGGCAAAATGTGCACAAATAAATATAACAAACACTCAATTCAAGCAGTTTCCACCTCATATTTCATCATTTTTTGCAGTGTTGGCACCAAGTTTGTCATCCACGAATGACAGAATTTGTAATGTTGGTTCTTCAGAAGAGAATTACGTGAGTTGGTGTTGCAAATGGTCCAGCTAGACCCAAACATAGGCTATATCCACACGAAGACAAAACGCTTATAATTTCAGAAACTTTTTCTGTAAACACGGAGTTAGCTCAGTAAATGTGTGCGTCCATATGAATGTAGTCAATACGCCTGAAAACGCTGTGAAACTATGCCAGACCTGTTGGTGGCGCTGTGACGCAATGACGGGATCAAGCCCAAACTTCCGTGGGCATGCGCGGAATTTTGTAAACAGACAACATGGCGAGTGGGCGAGCTGGTACAACATTAGTATGGACGGACGATGAGGTTGAACTGTTGCTTCGGTTCACACTGGATTACAAAACCAACAAGCTACATTGTTGTTGTCATTATTTTCTGAGTGCGGCGCATGCGTGCTTTAACAAGAGGCGGGGCGATGACGCAAGCGTCTCAGATACATTGCGGAGAGGCAGTAACCACGGAGCGGCATATACGGAGTTTTGAAATCTTTCCACTCTGGGACCTACTTTCAAAAATGTTCGTTTACACCCCCCCAAAACGCCGGCCTCGTATGGACAATACACTGGATTGATAAAGTATTTTTGCGTTTAGGCCTGAGCTTGACTTCGTGTGGACAGGGCCATAGAGTCCAAAAACATACTTTTGGAGCGGGCAACACACCTAAGCTGCTTAGATAACCACTTATGGCCATATGGCTTTAGCGCACAGCTCGTATGCACGGCCATGTTTTCCGGTGGTTTCGTTGATAGCGTTGGACTCTTTGATGCCCTTTTTTGCCACTATGACGAGCAAACAAACTAGGAGCTTAAAATACATGGTTTTAAACAAGGTAACAGCCCAGTCTTGAGCTCTTTTTGGTCAGATGGAACAGCGTCGGGTACAAAAAATATCAAATAGAATATATAAGCAGACTATAGTTCTTTTCGACTTTCGCTTTCTCCTAAATCTCAGTGCAAGAACTTCCTTTTACAAAAGAGAATGGACGGGAGATATGTGTGCTGGCTGCAGGACGACTGTCAAAGGGCAGAGGGGTGAGGGGTACTAGGGCAGGATGGGGGTGGTGGTGGTGGTGGTGGTGGTGGTGGGGGGGGATGGGCGTTACTGGAAGGAGGCCCGGACGGCGCGGCCCTTGAGCGGCTGAGGGGGCCGGTAGTTGTCCACCATGCAGCACTCAGCCTCACCTTCGGGCGTGAAGAGGAGACTACGGAATCGGGCCATCTGCGAAAACACGAGATGGAGATGAAGCTGGATGTTGATGCTGACTTTATGCACAGCCAAAAGTGGTAAAAAGTAACTAAAACATTGCTCAAATTTGGCGACACGTATCTTAATTTGATCACATTTTGACTGCCTTAGAACAAGATTTGCCAATGGGACAAACACAATGGGCCTCATTCACGAATAACTTCGTAAGAAACTACTCAACTTTCTTCTCAAGTTGTCCTTAAGTAGATTTCTAAGAAGTCCCCACGTGGGATTCATCAACGCGCTCGTAAGCCGCTGAATTGTTTGCAGCTGTTCTCTCAGATTGATGAATCCCATTTCCTCGTAAGTACAGCGCGCGTGCCAGGTGCTTCATTAGCATAGGTACTTAGCATAAGTAACCGCCCACTAATGCCTATATAAGGGGATGCAGGGCCGTGTGCAGACGCCAGAGGAAACAGCAACAGGCCTTTACACGGAGCAAAAGAGTCACCCAGACTGAGAATAAAGTTATAAAATGTTGACTTAAAAGTCGAAATATTATGATAATAAAGTCGAACTAGCAAAATTATGAGATTAATCTAAGAATATGATGAGATTAATCTCAAAATGTTATGAGCTTAATTTAAAAATATATTATGTATTATTTTAAAGATGAATCTCAAAATGTTTTGAGATTAATCTCAAAATATTTTGGACCCTGGGAGGAGATCCAGCGCGGACCAGCGCTGAGACCAATGCAGACCCGAGGAGAGACTGGAGTGACCAGCACACAGAAACCAGCGCGGACCTACAGGAGAGACCGCATAGACTGTAGTGACCTGACTGGAGAGACCGGTGCGCAGAGACCAGCGCGGACCGAAGAGAGACCGCATAGACCAGACTTGAGAGACCAGCGCGGACCCGTATGGATCCAGGAGCAAGCAGCACGGACCCGTATGGAGAGACCAGTGCAGACCAGTATAGATCCATGGGAGAGACCAGTGCAGACCCGTATATGGGAGAGACAGTGCAGACCATGCATGGAGAGACCAGACCCGTAGAGATCCATGGGAGAGACCAGTGCAGACCCGTATAGATCCATGGGAGAGACCAGTGCAGACCCGTATATGGGAGAGACCAGTGCAGACCCGTATAGATCCATGGGAGAGACCAGTGCAGACCCGTATAGATCCATGGGAGAGACCAGTGCAGACCCGTATAGATCCATGGGAGAGACCAGTGCAGACCCGTATACAGTAGATCCATAGGAGAGACCAGCGCAGAGACTCAGCGCGGACCCAGTAACCTCCTGCAGCAGCAGTATATATGCCGTTGTTCTGTGGCCCGTGGATACAGAAATGCCCCCTATAAATAGGAAGGGGTCACTAATACACGGCAAGATTTCCAATGTATTTCATAAAGCGTTGGCACATTTCATTTCAAAATGAATTAAAAAGTATGCCAGATCTGCAGTGAAAAAGGCGGTATATAAATAAAGATTACTAATAAAGATTACTACAAATAAATAAATACATACATCGATATGACGGACATATCACTGGAATGTTGTATTTTTATTCAACTTCACCAAAGAGGACAACCCCGGCGTGTGAACATGTCGGCACTGAATGCGTACGAGTGCTCCTGAGGACTCGTAGGATTTGTACTTGCCCAAGTGAAATTCTGGTTACGCGAGAAATATTCGTGAATGCCACTTTCTTCGTAAAAACCGCGTAAGTAGGATTTACGTACAAATCTGTTCCTAAGAACCGTTCGTGAATGAGGCCCATTGATCTTAAATGGCTTCGTCCCATTGGCAATTCTTGTTTTAAGGCAGCGGAGAGGTGTAGGGTCAGAGAGTTTTGTCTGTGTGTGTGTGTGTGTGTGTGTGTGTGTGTGTGTCTGTTTGTGTCTTTCTGCCTGTATGTGTGTGTCTATCTGTCTGTCTGCCTGTCAGTTTGTGTGTGTGTCTTTCTGCCTGTGTGTCTGTCTGTGTGTGTGTGTGTGTGTGTCTGTCTGTCTGTCTGCCTGTCTGTTTGTGTGTGTGTCTATCTGCCTGTGTGTCTGTCTGTGTGTGTCTATCTGTTTATCTGCCTGTCTGTTTGTGTGTGTGTGTGTGTGTGTCTTTCTGCCCGTGTGTGTGTGTGTGTGTGTCTATCTGTCTGTCTGCCTGTCTGTTTGTGTGTGTGTCTATCTGCCTGTGTGTCTGTCTGTGTGTGTGTGTGTCTGTCTGTCTGTCTGCCTGTCTGTTTGTGTGTGTGTCTTTCTGCCTGTGTGTCTGTCTGTGTGTGTGTGTGTGTGTCTGTCTGTCTGTCTGCCTGTCTGTTTGTGTGTGTGTATATCTGCCTGTGTGTCTGTCTGTGTGTGTGTGTGTGTGTCTATCTGTTTATCTGCCTGTCTGTTTGTGTGTGTGTCTATCTGCCTGTGTGTCTGTCTGTGTGTGTGTGTGTGTGTGTGTGTGTGTGTCTGTCTATCTGTCTGTCTGCCTGTCTGTTTGTGTGTGTGTGTGTGTGTGTCTTTCTGCCTGTGTGTCTGTCTGTCTGTGTGTGTGTGTGTGTCTATCTGTCTGTCTGCCTGTCTGTTTGTGTGTGTGTCTATCTGCCTGTGTGTCTGTCTGTTTGTGTGTGTGTCTTTCTGCCTGTGTGTCTGTGTGTGTGTGTGTGTGTGTGTGTGTGTGTGTGTCTATCTGTCTTTCTGCCTGTTTGTCTGTGTCTTTCTGCCTGTAGTGTGTGTGTGTGTGTGTGTGTGTGTGTGTGACGAGTTGTGTTGTATGAGTGTCTTTTGCACTACACTACACTTAACCTTAAACAGTACATATGATAATGAGAAGCTACAGGTGTTTTTGTCACAACAACTTTTGATTCAGATAAAATCCATAAACTGCTACCGTTTGGGCATGAAGCCAATCACCATGACTGTATGAAAGACATGACTTTATATCCTCCTAATCTCTCACCCATTACCTATTAATAAAAGATTGAAGCCAGTAGTAAAGTTTTATCAATGTATTGCTTCCTCTGGTTAATGGTTGTCGCGTCTAAAAACAGTTTTTTATCGTGTTTTGGGATGGGTGCAAAGGTTAAAAGCAACACTTAGTCAGTCCTAGAGTTTGTGTGGGTGGTGTTAAAGATTCAGGCGGCTGCAGATAACTTTAATCACAATATTTTTTATGTGACTTTCATACATCGGTCATGGGAATTGCTGCATCACCTAAAACCACACAACCTTGAAAAAGGTTTTGTGGCCTGATACAAGTGCTTCTTAAAGGAGAAGTATGTAAAAAGCAGTATGTAATCTGGCCGAAAGTGGTACTGCAGCCTTGCCAATCTCCCTGACTCAGGTTGCCAGATATGCAGATGAGCCCAGCTGGGACCATAACAGCTGAATAGACAGGAGTTTTGTCAACAACAAATCTATAACCAACACCTTTTTCACAAAGATAGAAATCCTAGTTTAATTCCTTGTTTTGTCGTTACTGATTTGAGAATAATAACAAGACTTTTTTTAGTTCTGCGCCACATGGTACTGTACCGGTGACATTAGCTTGGCGAGGTGAGTTCTGTCAACCAGGATCATGGACTTTCTGATTAGTGAAACGGTGGAGGGCGGGACATCAAAATAACAATAGATTTAGTTATAGCTGTAAAACTGATTTTTAAATTCAAATATCTCTGAACTAAAGAAGTATAGGGAAAAAAGCATAGGTTATTAATGCCTTTTGACAGATTAGGGCCCTTTAATGATGACTTGACTTGAAAATCTTACATATTGAAACTTTAAGTCCCCATGTATTGCAGTATCCTCATTTCGTGTATAATCTCGTCTGTTTCCGTCTTTCTCATATTTCCGTCCTGTAAAAACCCACACAATCGTCCCACTATTCCGCCACAGACTATGCTATTGAGGATAAGAGCGGCGGTAAGCTAACACCCCGGAGAGGCCTCGCCATTGACCGGTACCTGCTCAGGGCTGACGCTGATGGTTTCCTTGCAGACGATCCAGGTGACGCTCTCCAGCAGAGGGGGCGTGGTCAGGGAGCCGTCGTACGTCCAGTAGTTCAGAGACGCCGGGAGGAGGCAGGCGGGGTCGAAGCCGGTGAAGGAGGTCTGCTTGCCCTGGGACAGATGGGAGGTCAGAGAGGAGGGACTTATGGTGGTTGTAAGGTGAAAAATACACACATATGCATAGACAAACAAACACACACACACACACACACATACACATATATAAGCATTGCAGGGACTTACTTTGGCCTTGATGGAGTCGAAGCAGTCTAGAACTTTCTGCAGATTGGGGTTGGCATCTCCGGGCTGAAAGATGCACAAAAATACTGAAACTAATAATTCAGCGCCGTCTTATATTAATATTGATCATATTTATGCCTATTCCCACATTTTTTGAAAACCAAATAATGGCTAAAATATTGTGACGAACCTGGAGGGACTAAGCTGAACAGCCCCAAGATGATTTATACATAACTTTCTAAGGGTTTTTTGATATATTTTACTAATTTGTCACAAAACACACACACTATTGGACTGAAAAACCTGCACTGCTATTGGCACTCTTTCTTTTATATATAATTAGATCCTGCACAGAATATATTTTGACTTTTAACATGTTGCACACTTCTGTCTTTTTGCACAGAGTGATTGCCACATTTCTCCAGTGTGAGAACAATAATGTCTATATCTTATTTTATAATATCTTTACACTTAGCAAGGCAGGTCCTGGTTAGTACTATGATGGGAGACCTCTGGGTGCCACAGTGGGGATTACATAACCCGGAATTTTCAGCTGTAATCTATTCGGATATCTATTTCTATATCTATATCTAATTTTTTTGAAAACCACCAACTTGACCTTCTCTCATTCTCCTCGACAAATTCCCTTTTATTTGATACAACAATTGTTTTTTGCATAAACTTAACATAAAATAAATCATCTCCAAACTGACCTTCAGGAAAACCCCGACCACGGCCAGTCCGTCGGGTTTGCTGGCGGCCTCCCCAAAGCTGGGGTATTTGGTGTTCCAGTGCACCAGGTGAAGCTGCACACAACAAGCACACACTTTCAGAACGCAGCTACACAACAGACAAACGTCATATCTGCGCTGAAATGTGGATCTAAGTCTCTGTTACCTCGGCGGGAAACTTGGCCCCAGCCACGGTGTGCTCAGAGCCCTTGTCGTCAGAGGCCCCCCAGTGGAAGTGGAACTGCTTCAGCCTGTAGACCCCGGAGATGGGGCCGTCACGGAGAGCTGCAGAAGGGAAGCACAATCTGTCAATATAGCGCAGGGGTGTCCAAATCTTTTTTTTAGTACGACGGACACTTTATAGTTCTCTAGACTGACCCCTGCTTTTCAATCCCAATGTTGATCCCAATATTGATTCATACCACAGCTACATTAGTGCCACATATAGAATTGACTGTGACTTGATTTTAAAAAGCCAGTGTTCCAAAGGTCCTGAGTTTTACAAGCTTGGCTGTTTCCGTGGAGCTGGAAGTTGGCTGGATGACACTGAAAGTACCTCGGTGGCTACTTTGTGTTTGCAAGACGGAGGGCCACAAAACAAGACGCTTAGTTTGGATATGCCTGTTATATAGTAATTATTTATTTATAACTTTTTTGGCCTCCACCTCTCTCACTCACTCTATTTATACAACAAACACACACACACACACACAAACACTGAGAGAGACACACACACTCAAACAGAGAGAGAGAGAGAGAGAGACACACAGAGAGAGAGAGAGAGAGAGACACACACACACAAAGAGAGAGAGAGAGATAGAGAGACACACACACACACACACAAAGAGAGAGAGAGAGAGAGAGACACACACACACACTGAAAATTCCCCACTGTGAGACATATAAAGGATCTCTTAATCTTAACACACACACAAAGACACACACACTATAACAGCCCCAACCCTCACCTCTCCCAGGCCAGTATAGACCCAGTATACCATAATAGTATGTATTTTGCTCATGCTTGTGCTTCCCCTGCAAGAGCCCGACACACATGACCCCAAATGTCAGTCAGAGCAGATAAGACTTCCACAGAAACACAAAAAACGCCGTCATATCTGATGGCCTGGTCTTGAGCAATCACTCCGGACACGACGAGCCAGGTATTGTGTTGTTAAATAATCTCAAACCAACTTCCAGAATTACATCATGGTCCCATTGAAGACGGAGACACGGCAGCAAACGCTCAGTCAGAAGCGATTGCACATAGGCCCGTCCTTTGTTCTTCTACCTCAGCTGAGAAGTGTGGAAATAAACGGGTTTTTAAATAGAAAAACAAGTGCTGTATTTCCAGGTTTGAATCCAACTCATGATGAATCACAGCGAAGCATCAAGACGAGACAAAGGCACTATTTTAAACCCATGGAAATTACAGAAATCTAAGCATCTTATTTTTGCATCGCTCCAAGCTTAATCCATAAAGTGGGATTACATAACCCGGCATTTTAAATCATTGTGTTGTAATCCAGATAAAAACAGTGAAAATTGCAGCTTAAAGAACATGCAGTCCTTTGTCGCACGGCCATAAAGCATCCACATCGAGCACTAATAGTTAACCGGGCTTTGAGATCTGTAACCTTGGTTTTTCTTCTCTTTCGACCCCATAGGTTCAGAGAAAAAAAGAATTGTCGTGGGAAAGATTTAGGGACAAGGGAAGGCCTTACAAATCCAATTACTATTCAGGTTCTTTCTCCTCTCTGCTCTGGAGGAGAAGAGGCAACCGTGGATAAAAATAGAAACACATTTCTATGATATAAATAATGACTGTGGATTTAAAATATTCCGCAGAGGGAAAGTAGGCCACAATGTCATATTTATAATGTATTTCAGATTTGACTGGTGGTTCAGTGATGTGCAGATACAGTCTCTTTGTGTCTGGTTTCCAATGGCAGAGCTTTAAGTGCAAATATGCAAATATTTGTACCAATCTTTGAAGACAACACAATGAGAATCTTCACATATTTCTAGTCCACTATAGTGATGTTGTGTGTTTAATTTGTGCAAAATTTGGGGGAAAAATGCACTAACATGAGCTGTCCGTGTCGTCTGCGAAGGTCACTTGGAAGGAATGTCCGTTGTTGAGGATGTCCATGCTGGTGGACGGGTCGTACTTGATGTTGAGGGGCTTGAGGCTGGAGTCGTACACCGCCTGCGCGGGCACGATGTCAATGGGAGACTGCCGCGGTCCGTTGGCGACGGGGAAGTTGTCGGCCCATTTGTCTGGTCCTGAAACAACAACAGTGATGATCAATAGTAATGTGCAGGTTCCAGGAGATGTTTAAGAAGTGCAGGTGTCAGTGATGTTCTCACCGTTATGTGATGCGTATCCCCAAGACATGGTCAGTGTGAGCGTCTGAGAGCGTCAGGAAGGAATACCAGTGAGTGCAAAGGCAGACAGTGTCCTCCACCTGACAGCTGCAGCGCTTATATAGGGTCCCCCCCGTCCGGGCCGCGTGCGTGTGTCTGTGCATGCGCCCGTGCACGCGCCCGTGGGGTTCTGCGCGGACGCGGCTCTTCACGCGGTGTCTGCGCTCGGACAGAAGCGGGAGGAGTCTAGAAGAGCCGCAGCGCGTCTGCAGAGCGCACCATGGATCAATGCGGCTCTCAACGCACGGACACGCTCTCCTCCAGTGCGCTCTCCTCTGGTCCTGGTCCTGGTCCTCTGGTCCTCTGGTGCCGGTCCTGGGCAAGGCCGTGTGTCGGGACTGAGGCTTGTCGCGCGTTGTTTCCGCAGCCGAGTTAATCAATAGTGTGTTATCATTGAAGGACGCGCCAGTCACAGACAAACATCAATCATTATTCACGTGTAAAGGAATGCGTAACAGACGGAGAGTCACGTGATGAAACAGAACCACAGCGTTCTTCAAACAGAACAACATCAGGTTCTCACGCTATATTTCTGCACAGACGTCCTCAAAGGAGATAGATGACATTGTCGTTCAGAAACCACTGTGTTCCCTAGGTTACGCAGCGCCGTGCGAATGCTCTGCTGACACCTCCCGGTCACTCATGGACATTACAGCTACTGACATATGTGCAGTCTGTCAATGTCCACAGACATAAAACCACAACTTAACACGTGCACGAATAGTTATATTCATTTTATGGTATTCATTTTTAGTATATAATCAGGGAATATATTTGTGGCTAGACTTTCCTCAAATACATGTATCATGTGATTATGGACAGCTGCATATGCTGATGAATGATGATGGCTTTAAGACATGCGTCACCAGAGTCTATGGTCACCAGAAAGGGTGATCATGTTGATCATAGGGGAGTCAGGGGGTCAGGGGGGTCAGGGGGGTCATTGATTAATTGAAGATTGAAGATGTACTTTAGCGCACTCAATTGAAGGTGGATTTTGTTTTGCTTAAGAAAGGTAGATACATTTCTTTCTGTTTTCATAATGACGTCTTTTCGTATACTTTAAATAAATCAGCAAGCCATAAAATTTAATCCTTGGGGCTGGGAGTATATTCTATAATATAATATCATATCACATAATATCACATCATTTAAAATAAAATAACATCGTTGCTTTGTTCCACAAGCTTGATATAGATGTGCGTGGACCCTGGTTTTGTTTTTCTGTGGTTATATACATATCGTATATAGCAGTGTCTCCCAAAGTGGGGTCCGCGGCCCCCTGGTGGGCCGCGAGGGTACTGCAGGGGGGCCGCGGGAGGTCATAAAAAAAATAAAACAATAATATAATTATTTAATGTTAAATTTATAATGTTTTGTTTGTAATATTAAAATATTTGTGTTCATTATTTGACTTGAATAATCCACTGTAATCATTTTTGTATTACAATGTTTGTAGCAGAGGCTATTTCCCCAAAATAAAATAACCAGAAGAGCTTGTGTCTTCACCACAATGTTGTCTTCATGGTTATTATTTTGGGGGGCCACGCAGACCCGTCAGATTTTTAAGGGGGCCTCGGTGTTACTGAGTTTGGGAATGGCTGGTATATAGTAATAAAATAATAATACACGCTCACTGCTGCCCTCTGGCGGCCATAGCCAACCACTGCATTGTGGCTGGAAAGTCGCGGAAGAGTGACGTAAACCAGATGAGACGTGCAATAGTAAACACCACGTGAAAAAAAAACAACCAATTTTAAGGTAATATTCTCCTGTTTACCTGACATTAAGCGCACATAGGGCAGACGGAGTTATTTCTGCTGATGAGAAGCTCCGGGACATGAAGTAATATCTCCTTGCTCTTCGCCAAACTGATATTAAGCAGTTTCTGTTCATTACGAGCCTGAAGATGATATAACGCTAGATCGAAGCCTGTTTGCATGAAAGCATTTACAATCTCTACTCATACAGCTAACCTTACTATCTTACTACAATGTACACCGTGTTATTATTTACAGTGAAGTCAAAACTCTTAATGCTTTATACATAACACAATAATAATAACAGTGACACGTGAGGCCGTACACATGTGCTCTCACTGCTTCACTGCATCAATCAACTTTCTCCTGCTAAAGTCAGACTGAAATGATTGTCCCCATAAACAAAGAGAGAGCGTCATCTGTCTCTTAATGTCCCTGGTCTCCTTATGTCTCCGGTCTCCTAGGGTCTCTGGTCTCCTAGGGTCTCTGGTCTCCTGGGGTCTCTGGTTTCCTGGGGTCTCTGGTTTCCTTATGTATCTGGTCTCCTCTCTGGGTCCTGGTCTCCTTATGTCTCTGGTCTACTACTGTCTCTGGTCTCCTTATGTCTCTGGTATCTTTATGTCTCTGGTCTCCTGGGGTCTCTGGTCTCCTAATGTCTCTGGTCTTCTAGGGTCTCTGGTCTCCTAGGGTCTCTGGTCTCCTAATGTCTCTGGTCTTCTAATGTCTCTAGTCTCCTGGGGTCTCTGGTCTCCTGGGGCTTTGGTCTCCTAATGTCTCTGGTCTCCTAGGGTCTCTGGTCTCCTAGGGTCTCTGGTCTCCTAGGGTCTCTGGTCTCCTTATGTCTCTGGTCTCCTGGGGCTCTGGTCTCCTACTGTCTCTGGTCTCCTCTCTGGGGCCTGGTCTTCTAATGTCTCTGGTCTCCTAGGGTCTCCGGTCTCCTTATATTTCTGGTCTCCTCTCTGGGTCCTGGTCTCCTAATGTCTGTTGTCTTCTAGGGTCTCTGGTCTCCTACTGTCTCTGGTCTCCTAATGTCTGTTGTCTCCTAGGGTCTCTGGTCTCCTACTGTCTCTGGTCTCCTTATGTCTCTGGTCTCCTACTGTCTCTGGTCTCCTTATGTCTCTGGTCTCCTACTGTCTCTGGTCTCCTTATGTCTCTGATCTCCTTATGTCTCTGGTCTCCTTATGTCTCTGGTCTCCTTATGTCTCTGGTCTCCTTATGTCTCTGGTCTCCTACTGTCTCTGGTTTCCTTCGGTCTCTCTGGGTCCAGGTCTTGCCTCATTACATCATGATCTGTTGTTGTTGTTTTTGTCTTGCAGGAAAGATGGGGAAGAATAAGCAAAAAGGCAAAAAACAGCAGAATGTTTTCCAAGTGGCAAACAAACATCTGAAGGTGAAGAACAAAGCCAAACCCGTCAAGACCTCACTGAAACACGTACGTTTCTGCTTCACACCCCATCGTTGTTCCGTCTTTTTTATCTTCTGTTATTGTTGTATTTTTTACATGTTTACAGATCAACACACTGAAGAAAGAGAAGGTGGAGAATCTTAATCAGATGTTCACAGAAGTCCAGAGGGATGTGAAAAGTATATCCAAGTCGGTTGCGGTTGAGCCCATGAAGAAAGCGCCGGTAAGCTAGCACAACAGGTTGCAGATTGTGATAAAGAGATAGATACTTTATACAAACAAAACACATACATAATAAGTAGCTAACACAAGTAATACAATGCAACAGCGCTTTAGGTCACAGCAGCAGAGGTGGAGCAGCTGCTGGGTTCAGATCATTTTCTCTGCTTTGGTTCAGAGTGAAATTCTGAATGATTTTTTTAGCCTTTCCAAAAAGTTAGCATTCCTCCAGTGGATTTACGCTCGATCTGCTCGGTTGGGGCCGTGAATCCTCTCTGCTCTGGTCTGGATCAGTGTAAAACCATGAACACTGGACTGCAGTAACATTTACAAGCAGAAAAAAGCAAGAAAAATAACAATCGTAAAACACAAAACTGTTTCAGAGATACTTAGGACTAGCTGCCGTTTTCAGCGCATTCAAAAGTAAACAATGTAAACATATAATCAGTTATTCTTCTTCTGTGTTTCTCTTTCTCTCAGGTCGTCAAAGAGGCCCCCAAAGAGGCGGTGAACGTGGACAGCGCGGCTCAACTTTTCTCTCAGCTGTAACGGAGCAAACACATACTAAAGACTTTTCTGTTTGTGCGATTATGAAGTTTGGTGCTGAAGACGGAACCACAAAACAACAACCAGAAGTCTACAGAAACGACAGAAAGCCACGTACGAGAGTGGCTTTCAGGAGAGAGAACCACTGGAGAGTCATTTTGACATCATCCCACATAATGTCATTAAAGCTGGGGTACTGAACTTTCAAACAGCACACATTGAACTATAATAAAAACCATGTAACTCGATCCTCGTTTGGTTCTATCCCGTCAGACACCCCAGATTTGAATGCATTCTGTAATGTATCCATAATCATACACTTGTGAACAGCACTAGTTAAGATGAAAATGCTTATTCATGGGATAGTTGTGCTTATTTTCCAACCATATTAAGTCAAACTAATTAAAGCCGTCTTAGCTCCAGGTGATTCTCAGCTCTCTTAATCTCATGGAAAATGTCAAGCAGAGATAAGAACCTTTCCTCTCTCAGAAACCCCGCTCTCAGCCCAAAATGTCAATGTTTGATGTTATTACACATTTGAAGTTGTGTGATTTCTTTAGACAAAGGCTAATGTGAAAAAGTCTTAGTATTTCATGTTATTTAACCCACAAAGTTCTGTAAAAACCCACTTTTTACAGAAATTTAGTGTGAAACTGACGAAAGCCCTGACACTGTAAAAAAGATGGATGACTGCTAAAATGTCTAATGGAAAGATGCTGTATAGAAAGTGCCCTGGATTTAGGAGCCCTGACCCTTTCTACTGCTTTGGAGCTCAAAGTAAGTAAGTAAGTAAGTAATCTTTATTTATATACCGCCTTTCACAGACCAGAGTCACAAAGCGGTTTACATTTGTTATTTTTTGGGCATTTGTCCTCTCACTCCACACAGAGATGGGAGCGGGGTCGCCAGTACAGGAGGCACATGCCAGAACTATTGTGCATGTTTTTAGTGGTAGGGGAAACCGGAGTACCCGGAGGAAACCTACGCAGACACGGGGAGAACATGCAAACTCCACTCAGAAAGGCCCTGGTCCGGCCGGGATTTAAACCCAGGACCTTCTTGCTGAGAGGCGAGAGTGCTATCCACTCAGCCACCGTGCCGCCAAAGGGCTGTTGTAAGATGTGACCAGAGGACAGCAGAGTTTTGTGTCCAGAAAATGATTTGTTGAAGTTCTCTGGGAGCCTTTTTATATGTAATGCACTAATATTACTTTCACAGTCAAGTTTGTGTTTTCAGAAATCATAACAACATGATCAGTACAACAGAAACAGAGCTATTTTGTATGTAAACTTAAGAAAATATATGTTAAGCATCAAGGGTCTTGCTTATGATTTGAGACGTACAGTTTTTCTGGATCTTTCTCTATATATTTATTATTGTCTGAGAAAATGAACTATTCTGCTCAATCTGTGTTGAACATAACATATGAATTTGAGCTCCTTCGGACAAAATGGGATTTCCCGCCACCTTCTTATTGCATCTTCCTCCACTAGATGTAGCTATACGCTTACATCAACACATAAACAGTGTGAATGCAGTCACACGCTGTAAACATGCTGAGTAACAACAGGGGCCTTAGTGGAGACCAGACCAGACCCTCAGCCTGGGTCCCGGTGCTGAAGAGGACAGCTCCGTGCGCCTGGACTGGTTCAGCACTGGGGGGCCTGGACAGCTCCTCGAGTAAGTTGGAAATGGAATCGAACCCAGGACCTTCTTATGTGAAGCACAAGCATTTACCACTTTGTCTTTATGTAGATATCAGTCTATTTTATGTTTTAGCTTGAATCAAATATTGTTTAAAATGGAAGTATTGTTATTAATATTATTATTATTGTTGTTGTTGTTGTCATCATTATTGTTTTTAATTATTGTTATTTTCAAGGATAAAAATTGATGTATTACCTGTTTGAGATAACTAATTCTGATCATACAAGTGCATGTTTCTTTGCACTAAAATATACGTATGTGTTCATATTTGTTACACTTTGTGTCTTTATTAAGCTAAAGATACTTCATATTCACTCTTGTGCTGTTTGCTCCTCATTCCTACTGTTCTGTCACTCGTGATGCAACACTGACATTTCCTCACTGTGGGACGAATAAAGAATCTCTTCATCTCATTTGTCCTCTATTGTTTTTGTTTTGTGTTTTTAACTCGACTGAAGCCAAACCAGTCCGTCCTTAACCCTTCAGCCTCGCAGCTCTCACATGTTATTGAGTACGCGCAGATTTACTCACGCTTCACTGAGCTAAAGGGCAGTGCAGCTCATCTGTGTCAAGCTAAACCTCCGCAGCACAAGGCGGAAGTGGGGTTTTCAAAATAAAAGCACCCGGATCACAATGTTAATGATTATAAAGCCTGTGATAAGGAGTTGGTGTAAATGTATTTGAGGAAATGGCATGTAATTAAATATACGTTCTTAATAGTAATGTATCTATCTCACTAAGAACACGTGTTTATTATTGGAACAACCGGAAGTAGTTGTTAGCACGTGTAGCTTGACTATCGATAAACCCCCGGGGATGTGACTCGGCCCGTCCGTGAGCGCTGTCCCATCATCCTGGCCTCTCCGGCACCGATGGCTCCTGCTGGACGCTAGAGCAGCTCCCGTGTCCCTGTTCCGGGCCCTGGATCCTCTCTGTCCGGTTGGAGCATGATCCGCTCGGTGCTTTTCTCACAGGTAGGAGCTGTCGAGCCTCCATCATCCGGGAGTGATGCTAAAGCCGTGTAGCCTCCTCTCTCCTCCTCAGCAGCGGCCGCACCTTGGCTCTGCTCTCGGGTGACTCTCCATCCTCGGCTCCGTGGAGGAAAATAATGTTATTGGTAACGATCCGAGCCGCGTAGGCATCAATCACAGCGGGATGGAGCAGGACAGTGTGTGTTATTATGGACAATGGTTTTAATACAGAGGTCTCAATTATTGTCCTGTATCCGTGCATTAGAGGCAACAATAGACTAAGCTGGGTTTAAATCTCTCTCTAATGCGTGTTAATGTATGAATAAGTCACATAAAGAGACGATTCATCTCAAAGGGGCAATCTCTATTGTTTTTTATATTGAAATTTGTAGGTAATGTCCTATACGTTTCTGTATGTCCTTACACCAGTGTTTTTCCTACATCTATTTGCAGGAAAATGTACTTCTATAAGACGCTGACAGCAGGGAAGAAAATACACTGGACATTTGCTGTTTCCATGTTGTTTGTTGCTAATGATTATAATGTTTCCTATCTTGTTTTGTGAAGCACTTAGAGTTGCCTTGTGTGTGAATTGTGCAATTAAACAGGCTTTGCCTAGTTTCCATCCTCTCCTTTGTATCTTGGTTTTAAAAAAATATGTATATAAAATTAGTGCAGGAAAAGTAGTCGTTAATTAGAACATTAAACCCGGTATTTTAGGCAAAAAAATTACAGGTCATTGTCTAAAATCGTATCCAAATTGGTATTGAGTGTGTATGCATTCATTTCAAGATTGAGTTGGCCATTGTGATGTGGGAGGGCATCGCTAATGACGTTACTAAGTCAGGTTTAAGTCCAGATAACTTTTATGGAGCCAGTGGGCACAAGATTTAATGAACTTAATAAAAATATACTGTCATTTTGTTCAGTATCAATGCTAAAATGAGTATTTACTTTTAACACATTATTTGACTTCAAAATTACAACCAGTACAAACTTGCCTTGGTATACAGTGCAGTATAAGTTATAAAAAAGACATGCATAGATACTAAAAGGCACGCATAAGAAAGATTAATAACATTTGAATCTATATTTACACACAATAAACATTTAACAGCGCAGATTATTGATCATTTTTGATTCTTTTGATACCAGCCATTACACCATTGTACCATTATATAAATATACTGTATAAAAGATGGACCTTACATAGCAGCTATATTTATGCCCTTGTGTAGAACCTGCACCAGAACTGCTTCCTGAGCCTGGCGTCCATGGCCTCCCCGTCCCGCAGCAGCCAGGCCCAGCAGCGCTCCAAGGATGTGGTCCGGCTCAGCTTCAGTCCCGAGACCTACGCGGTCCCCAACACTCTGCTGCTGGGCCTGTCCCGGTCCACCAGCGACACGGACCTGGTCTCCCCTGAGGCCCGCTCCACCCTCACGGCCAGCGCCTCCCATCACACCGTGGGGCAGTCCCAGGACCTGGTCATCTCCTGGGACATCAAGGAGGACGTGGATGCGGGAGACTGGATCGGGATGTATCTTCTCGGTAAGAACTGCATCTTTAATGTCCATCCTAGAGATCGCAAATGGCAAATCTCCAAGACTGAGATTATTATTACGGCTTTTTGAAAGACAGACTAATTGAAATGTTTTTACCTTGTTAACATGTTTCAATAAGAACTAAACCACTAAAAAGTTGAAAGCAGAGAAAACAAATATTATTAGAATACTGTCATTATTTAAGTTGGTAGTAAACAAAAATACACTCAAATCTCTTAAACAAAACGCTTGGTCATTTTAAGCGGTAAGCATTGATTTCTGTCTGCTTTTTATACATGCTTTTTATCACCTTCCAAGTGAGAAATGTCTTCTTTTTCACACTTTCAGTCGTCTTGCAGGACTTCACAGAGATCATAGACTCAAATTGTACGAACCCAGGAAATGCAATAATAACAAACACATAGAGGGTCCATAGGGAGGCAAAAATATATGGAGAATACACTTTGACTGCAACAAAACGTCTTAATATGCTTGTTCCATTGACTTTGAGACGCTAAAAATATGTTCTAAAATGATGGGGGGAAAAAACAACTCCCCCCAACTTTTTACATGGACCTAGAGTGTGTCAGAATCAAATGATAATAAATAATAATAATGAGGATAAGAGTAATTCAAGCACTGAGACTTGGACTTGAGTGTGGTTTTGAAACATGGGAGAGGGTCAATGTTGCGGAGGTCAGGGGGAAGGGTGATCCAGAGCTGAGGAGGAGGAGGAGGGTGAGGAGGAGGAGGAGGAGGAGGAGGAGGGTGAGGAGGAGGAGGAGGAGGAGGAGAAGGGTGAGGAGGAGGAGGAGGAGAAGGGTGAGGAGGAGGAGGAGGAGGAGGAGGAGGAGGAGGAGGAGGAGGGTGAGGAGGAGGAGGAGCAGAGGGAGTGGGCAGGTGTGCAGATGTGGAGGAGCTCAGAGAGATATATCAAGGGAGAGGTTGTGGCTCATAGTGCAGCCAGCTTTTTAAAATTTCCCTTCAATATATACAGTATTTGCATATGGCCCTAAATCACAACAGCAGTACCTCGGAGGACTTTACAAAACTGTCGATTTGCCAACGCAGATCAGAGAATCACACAGTTAAAACACAGGACAAGCAATGATAAAAACACATAGAGCCATCGGTCCATACGGGGCAGAGATCCAGGTCCATAAATCAGTCGTTTGAAGAATACAGCCATAGTGAGTCATTTCTAAAAGACAAATCCATGATAGCTTTGTCTCTTTCCTTCATGGAGATGTTTTTGCTTCGTCCAATCGATACGAATCAATCCTTCTCGCCACATTTATTCTCGAACGCCATGCCATTATGCAGCATTAACTCTGGGCTGTCTCCAGATGAAACCTCGTCTGAGAACTTCCTGGATTACAAAAGCCGAGGAATCAGCGGCTCCCAAAAAGGACAGATCGTTTGGAAGTTTGACTCCAGCGTCCCCTTCCCCAACGGTGAGCTCAGCTTTGATTCGATCTCACATGTTTGAGAGAAATCACTGTCGTTTTATACATGCAACATTTTAGACTAATGCTTTCTGCGTGTTTTTATAAAGGAAATGATAAAAAATTTCAAATGAGGGGATACAGTATATTAGGGGTTAATCTCATTCTGGTCAGGGCTGGATTTAAAATATTATGGTAGTATAAATGTATTAAAGGTACTGTATATAGGCAGATTTTCTACTTCCGGGTGGATCATAAATTCTATTGGTTCTCCGAATTGTCAATCATTTTGGTGATATGTGCTCGTCCAATAAGATCAGTTGAAAAAGTGGAGAGGGCGGTTCTTTCCTAAGAGTAAGTAAAGTCTTTTAGGCGTATTTTTGCATCTGTGGTTATTGTTATGCATTTTTTTAATCATGATATAGATTACTTTGATTTTACCTGAGTTTTTAGATATTTTTCTGGTAGATTCTTCTGAACAAAACTAGTTCAGTTGTTGTATGTCAACATATATGAGCCAAAGTTAAAGAATTGCCCGGTGGCATTAGCATTTATTCTAGTACAAGATAAATTAGATGGTTGTTATTTTTTGAGAAAGAGCTGGTGCGGCTTTAGTTTGACTTTCACATGAATCTCAACCCATTTTTCAGGCTTGACCACCTTTCTTTCAATCCAGAAAAACAAACAATAGTCCTTTCATCGCCCACCTCTCGTCCACCATCCAACTAAAATGTCGTCCTCTGTATCTGGAATTCTGCCTCTGGTTTTGATGAATACAAAATGATGTGAAATGCAGAAATGGGTTCAAAGTCTTACAATAACAGTTTTTATGTATTTTAAAGTTCATGTGAGTTTGTTCTGGGAGAATCTGATCCTTGTCGTCTCTGTGTCTGCAGCAGAGACCCAGGTTTGCTTCAGGTATTACCACGGAGTCAGCGGAGCTTTGAGAGCCACCACCCCCAGTGTCACCATCAAGACCAGCCCCTGTCCAGTAAGCTCCATCTCCATTGGTCTATACAGTATCTACCATGTGGTGTCTACACTTCGTCAAAGGTGCAAAGGTGGTAACAGCATTTAGGGCATTTTAGGACATTTTTAAAATCAATTTGAGCTGAGGAGCACAAGGGTTAAAATCATCAGGCCCCACAACAGGATGCTGCCCCCCCCTCCCCACACGCACACACACACACACAGAGACAGCAGCGCTCAGAGGCCACGCCCCCATCTCAAAAGTGAGTTTAAATTATCCATTTAAAGTGACCTTAAATCCTCCATTTCCAAAAAAGACTTTCTTGAGGTCAATGTTTTATGGTATTAAAATTTGAGACGAAGCCAGGGTTAAAATCCCGGTTGGACCAGGGCCTTTCTGAGTGGAGTTTGCATGTTCCCGCCGTGTCTGTGTGGGTTTCCTCCGGGTACTCCGGTTTCCCCTACCACTACAAACATGTACAATAGGTCTGGCATGCAACTTTAGCCCATTTTTCTTTTCTTTTTTTTACAGAAATTTTATGTGAAACTGACAATGACTTATCGAGCTTAAATTTCAAGCACACAGCAAGTTTGACAAAGCAGATGAAAAAATACATTATTGTAAATTAGTCATATAACAGTATTTTACATGAATTCCAAGACTAAATTCAGTTCAGACTTGTTTTATGTCATTGTGGCGTAGTAGTTTGACTGAGAAAGCACTTTCCAATAGTCCTTCTATCATTCTGACAGTTTCCTCTGTGTGCATCCTTTGTTTTGATGAATCATTTTGATCGCAGGCGTCAAAGACAGTGGTGAGTCCAGAGGCGACCACGGAGCAGCGCAGGAGGAGGCTGATCAGCTTCACTCTGTCCGGTAACTACTTATACTGCCCTTATTCATGTCCTTTATGGTCTTTCGAGTGTGCACAGTCAGAGCCAAGTGAGATATAGTGTGTCCTTTTCAGGGTATAGCCTTTAAAACGATAGAATCCTCCTCTGGTTACATGAATGCAGTCACGCGCTGAGCCACCACAAAAACACTCTTACATGATGACTGTTGTTGTCAGTTCTCGTCCCGTCCGTCTTTCTGCACTTGGCTGGAGCAAGTTGATTGTGTTGGTTCCCGCCCCCGTCTCGTGTTGGCCAAGCCTGCGCCTCTGCCTCAGCCTCTTCCTCTTTCTCTGCCTTAGTACAATGATATTAACTTAATTCATTCTCATTTTGAAGCTTATTTACTCTAGAAAACAATGTAATTTATTTCATTTTAAAAATCGGAATCGTCTATGTAGATCTAGGTCAGTAGAATTAAACCAATCCTTAGCATCAGTCCACGTTTACAGCCTTCTTCATCTTTTGGTCCAGTTTTGGCATAATTCAAACAAACTGAACTAATTTTACATCCATCCATTTTCTTCCGTTTCATCCGTTGCCGGGTCACAGGGGCAGCAGTCTAAGCAGAGATGCCCAGACTTCCCTATCTACACACTCTACACTTCATTCTAATTTTGCTCAGAATAAATACCTGTTAATAATATCCAAAGTTGTGTGCTATGAAGAAAATATTTGTGTCAAAATACCTCTCAATATAAATAAATACATGTGTTTTTTCCCACTTAGAAAACATTTTTAATAGTTTTGGATCCCAGACCAGCAGCATGAGTGTGGCAGCCCTGATCTAAACCTTGTGTGTGTTTGATTGTTAGACCTTCAGGCGGTTGGGATAAAAAAGGGCATGTTCTTTAACCCGGACCCGTACCTGAAGCTGTGTATTCAGCCGGGAAAGCACAGCATCTTCCCCTCGCTGCCGCACCACGGTCAAGAGAAGCGCTCTGCTGTGGCCTGCAACACTGTCAACCCCCAGTGGAGCACAGAGGTACTGCAACTTACAGACTCACACAGACTCACACAGACTCACACAGACCAGGGGGGGAAGACGACCACAAGAAATACGGCATTAATGTGTGTGAATGTGTGTGTGTGTGTGTGTGTATGTGTGTGTGTATGTGTGTGTGTGTGTGTGTGTGTGTGTCTACAGAGGTTCAGCTTTGTGTCTCTTCCCACTGATGCGCTGGAAATAGAGGTGAAGGACAAATTTGCCAAAAGTCGACCCATCATCAAACGGTTCCTTGGAAAACTGTCCATCCCGGTTCAGAGGCTGCTGGAAAAACATGCAATTGGGTAAATACCAACACTCTTGCTAATCTGGAACAGTCGTCCTGAAAATATGAGACAGGCTTCTACTCTGACAATGTTCAAATCCAGGTTAAAAATAGTTCTTAAGGATTGTAGCTTCACTGTTTTGTTTAGCACTTTGAGTTGCATTGTGTACTCTACTCTACTCTACTCACTCACACAATCAGAGTAGAGTTGAGTAGAGTGAAGTAAAGTAGAGTAGAGTAGAGAAGAGAAGAGCAGATCAGAGTATAGGGCCACGTATAGGGCTGGTGGACTAAATGTAATGTATCCAAACTGTCTGTTTTTGCCACAGTAGTTTTCAATGTGGATCTATGTGACTGTTTTGGCAGTGACCGTGTGGTGAGCTACACGTTGGGCCGGAGGTTGCCCACGGATCATGTTTGTGGACAGCTGCAGTTTCGCTTCGAGCTGACTTCATCTAATCACCCAGGTACCGCCGGAACGAGAAGCAACGAATTACAAAAGACGAATTAATTGAGGGAAGATATAGCCATTTTTACTTTGTCTGTTTGAGACTCTAGCAATCCCTAAAGTAAAGTAATCCGGTCTGGTGCTATCAAGAAATTGAAGCCGGAGCAAGAGGAATGTTTAGCAAAAGTCATTGCTGGCAAAGATTAGGGGCGCTACTCCCCACGGGCTCTGTTAGCGGCAAAGGAGATGGCTAGGCTAAAAGCTAAATGCTAACAACTCACTCCGAGGCATTACCTACGTCACGGTAAACTCAGATCCAATCGTTTCAATCTGCAAAAGGAGTTCACCCCTCCCACCTGTTAACGGAGCTCAATGGAGCTCCTCCAGACCTTAGTACGAAATGTAATTTGTACCGTGGTGTGGTACGACCAGACTACGATTAGTCCATTATCAAGAGAAAGGAGGACTACAGTAAGTATTGACAATTGCAGATATAAAACTACAAAACTACAGTTACCAACTAGTTCTATTCTGTTCTTTTAGACACATAAAGGACAAAAATCCAGAAACAGGGATGTTGTTGTAGCTGACTGTTTGTGTTTGGATTGTGTGTTCCCAGACGACGAGGACTTGTCGCTTGTCATCGAAGTCCCTGCTCCTGAAGTGAACGCAGACGACTCTAACCCCACCAACGCTGAAGACGACACCGTCAGCGTTGGACCAGACATCCTGGATCTCCCTGGGGACAGTCCCAGAGACCCCTGTCCTCCAGAGCACCCTACCCCCACCGCAGAAAACACACAGGCGCAATCAGACAGCCCCGAGACGACTGTAGAAGTGGTGAACGGCTACAGCGACGGCAACGAGGTCCAGTCTGATGAAGCCACCGTCACTGCAGAGGCTGAGGTGGAGGATGGGCAGATACAGGAGCTGTCCAGAGAGATAGAGGAGGTGGTAGAGGGTCCTAAACAGGCAGACGATGAGAACAAGTCCGAATCAATAATACCCAATGATAAAGGCTTGACTATAGACGCTGAGAGCCCTGATAAATACGACCCTATCCCAGACACGAACAATGAGACATCTGCGGTGACGTCACAAGCAGTATGTAACGGAGAGATGAGTCCTGTGTCCTGCGGTTGCCAGTCCCTGTTCTCCAACTACAACCAGACGTCCGGACGGAAGACGCGGCCCTGTTCTCTGCCGGTGTCCGAGCTGGAGACGGTGATCGCGTCGGCCTGCGGGGAGCCGGAGACGCCCAGGTCCCACTACATCCGCATCCACCACCTGCTGCACAGCCTGCCCTCGGCACAAGCCTCCAGCCTGGACGAGCCCCAGGAGGGAGAGAGCCCCAATACCTCCTCAGCACCGCCAACCCCCAAGCTCACTGAGAACCAACCGGAGGAGGAGGAGGACGATGACACCACCATGTCTCCCTCACAGGTAGGACTGGATTTATCACAGGTTTTTCTATTTATACTGTGTTTTTGCTGTGGTATTGCGGTGTTATTTTTATGTATTTATTCAACATAAGGACAATATAAAGCAAAACAGACAAACAATAGAAATATAAGCATTACAAAAAAAACACAAAGCAAACACAAAAGACACATTCACACAAAAACAAAAAATGTCTAATAATCTGAATTTCTTTCCAATGAAAAGGTATCAAAAATGGTTTCCCTTTTTTGCTGCTGTTCTTTTTCTGGTCTTCTAAATTGTGAAAGTGCTCAACATAATTCATAAAGTTTGCAGCATATAAAGATCCTTTGTTACTAGACTTAAATATTAAAATTTTCCCCATGAGATATTTTTTTTTAGTGTTCACTGCTCTATCTAGCAGGCTAAGCAGAGATGCCCAGATTTTCATTATATATTCATTTATTGTTGGACATATTATAGATCAATATCAGCATTGTTAAAATAATGCCCATTGTTTTCTCCTAATTCAAAGTGCGGCACAATGTGAAGTTTGCTCCTTCCCCAAAGCTCATGATGAGTGAAGGGAACATAGATTTATCGGTGAATCCAGAGCTTTGCCTTTAGTCTCAGCTCTCCATCACTACAGTCTTACACTGACAGACACCACAGCGATCCATCTGTCAATCTCCCACACACTGAACCAGACTGAGATACTAGAATCCTCCCCTCCATGCAGGACCGATGCCCCCTACTGGAGAGCGAAAGTCATGTTTATCTTGGTTTAACAGGTTTTACTCATTTCCCCAAACTCCCTTTCAGAATTTATATGAATACACCTTTGCAACTCACGGCTAAACTGCTGCATGCTGCGATGTCGTCTGCTGCGTAGCCTTAAAGGACATATATTCTCAAAAACTGACTTATTAGACCTGGAGTTGTGTCCTTGGGCAAGACACTTCACCCACATGGAATGAGTCTGGTGTGTGCGGGTGAATGTTTGGTGGTGGTGGGAGGGGCCGATGGCAAACACTGGCTGCCTCGCTTCTGTCGTTGTGCCCCAGGGCAACGGTGACTACAGTAATAGTTTAACCTTGTATGGAGTGAAAGAATAATGCCGTGAATTGTCTTTGAGCGTCCAAAAAGCACTAGATAAAAATTTATGGATTATTACAGTAGTGCCCCCCCCCCCCCCCGGCCTTTTCTGGAACAGGTTTGACACCCCTGCATTATTATTTGTTATGTCCAAAAATAATGCCTAATATGTCTTTATTACTTAACCACACATGGATTTTTTTATTGGTTTATTTGACAGGTGCGTTAATTAACATTTGTGTAAATGCACCAAAACCAGAAGGTAGTTTTTCATCTGCAGTCCCTGGACACAGTCTTCTAAAGATAATAACATTAAAAAGGCAAACAATCATAAAATGAGTTTCCAGTTTCCAGATGTATTTTGAAGAGTGACGTTAATTCTCTAATGTTTGCTGTGATGGAAAACCTGTCTCAGAGAAGGCACTGGTTAATACTAATTATTGTGTTAATTATCCTGATGGTGCCCAGAGTCAGAACTAAACATGGGGAGGCTGAATTTCAGATTCATGCTGCTAAAATCTGGAACAATCTTCCTGAAAATGTGAGACAGGCCTCCTCTCTGACCATGTTTAAAACCAGGTCTGTTTAGCTACAACTGAGGGATTTTACATTTTCATCTTTCTTTAAATGTGATTATTTATGATTGTATTGCTTCAAATCTTTCATCTTGATTGGTTCAGCACTTTGAGTTGTCGTGTGTATGAATTTTTTTTTCATTTCATTTCATTTTCAACCCCTTTGTCCATTTCTGGGTCGGGGGGGGTGGCAATGAGAGCTGCCACCCAACGCTCATAGCACCAGTCCCTCGCTGATCTTCTGCAGGGGGTGAGTCCACAGGAAGATGGCTGCTCCGTCAATTGTGAAACAGCCGTGATCTTTCAGCGGGGGGCTTCAGGCAATGTGGGGTTAAGTGTCTTGCCCAAGGACACAACGAAAGCAGTCATCAGTGGGAGCAGTTGGAGTAGGTCCCATGGTGGGAATCGAACTCACGACCTCCAGGCCCAAAGGCCAATGCTCTACCAACTGAGCTACTGTCGCCCCTTGTGTATGAATTGTGCTATTTAAATAAATCTGCCTTACCTTGCCATTGTCATCTAACTCAGTCTAAATGTGCCGCAGGTCGTGGAGTGTTCAGGCCGCTGCTGTCGCCGCACTCTCCCGCGCAGTCTCTCCATCGAGCGCCTGTCGGAGCTCAACCACCTGCTGGAGCGTGGCGAGGGGAGGCGCCCGCCCTGCTCCTCCTCCTACAGCACCGAGGAGGAGCAGGGGGGTCCGGGGGGCAGCTCCAGAGACTGTGAGCTCTGCGACACCTCCTGCTACAGCACGTCCTGCTACAGCACCTCCTGCTACAGCACCTCGGCCCAGAGCCACTCGGTGTACGAGGGCCGGGAGCACGCGCGCCTCTCCTCCGCCGACAGTAACCGGCTCTCGGGCAGCACCGTCTTCTCCTCCCAGGACGAGGAGGACGAGGAGAACAGCACCTTCGAGTCGGCGCTGGAGGAAGGGCAGGAGGGAGGAGCAGGCCGGACGCTCCTGCTGAAGGAGGCGCGGCACGGGGAACCAGGAACCACGGCACCAGGTGGACCGGGACCGAGTGAGCGCAACGGCACCAGTGAGTCTGTTTTTACTGTGGAAGTCGTTTTTGTTTTGTTTTCAAACTTATGTGCACAAGACACACAAACTATTAACAGGAAACTAAAGGTATAGGAGGACCTCGCTCCCGTCTCTGTGTGGAGAGAGCGCTATATAAATAAATATTACTTACTTACTTACTTACAGAGGGGAAATATATAACTAACTAACTATAACTATAACTACTATATTACTACTACTAGAAACCTGCCTCCAACCCACTCATACAACACACACACATACACACACATACACATACACACACATACACCCTCACTCATACAATACACACACATACACACACATACACATACACACACACACACCCTCACTCATACAATACAAAACACACACAAACACACTCACTCATACAATACAATACAATACAAAACACACACACATGCACCCTCACTCATACAACACAAAACACACACAAACACCCTCACTCATACAATACACACACACACACACACACACATGCATACACCCTCACTCATACAACACAAAACACACACATACACCCTCACTCATACAACACATAACACACGCACACACACACACACACACGATCACTCATACAATACACACACACACGCACACACTTTTTCAGGGGAGGCTTTGCAGTGAAGTTGGGGAAGGTCTTAAAACCACAGTTCCCATTGTACACGTTTTTAGCAGTTGTGGAAATCTATGCAGACACAGGGAGAACATGCAAACTCCACACAGAAAGGGCACGTGGAGGTGGACTCGAACCCATGTCCTTGTTGCAGTAAACCACAACCACCATGCCCTCCTCCCATGTGATACAATACACCCAGACTAGTGCTTCCTACCAACATATTTATCATTTGTTCACAGTCATGTATGTCTCAGCTTGTTTCCTTCACACGCTTCTCTGTGGACTCATGACGTCATTGCGTGTGCTGTGCTCCCCATAGGCTCAGACTCCATCTCTCCTCTTTGCCATCTTCCAGCCCTGCGCCCCGGCCATGAGCTTAACCATTTCTCTCCCGCCAATGACCCCACCCTACCTCCAAGTAAGCCCCTGTCTCTGGCCTGACATTCTGGAGGCCGCTGCTGGTTCTCGCTGCAGAAAGGCAAAGCTTTAGTCACTTGTGTATGAATTGTGCTATACAAATAAACTTGCCTTGCCTTGCCTTGCCTCATCGCATGTCATTCTCTTCACGTCACGAATGAATTGGAAACGAAAGCGCTCTGTGGGCTCCGACCCTCGCTGCTGTTGAGTTCACTTTGGTTTACGTAGTTTGAAATTGAAGATGTGTTGTTCTGCGTACGTTCCAAAGCAGAGATCTTCAGTTATTGTGCAGTTATTTCAATTCGATTCCATTTTTTTTGTTTAGCCCTTAGTGACAACAAAAGTAGACTCGGAGGACTGTGCAAGGTTGTCGATTTGTCAGCGCAGATTAGAGAATCAACCAGCTCGAACACTGAAATGCAATTGTAACAAACACTTAGGAAAGCCATTGGTCCATAGGAAGCGAGGTGAGAAATGTCCATATTAAAACTATTGATTCCGAATTATTTTTATTTTCATTGTGAGTAACTGGAAGTTGCAAACTGTTTTGGGTCTCGGCGCAAATAAGTTATAAAAGTTGAAAAAGGCATGCTTAATAATAAAAAATCTACATAATATTTCTTAAAATTACTACTATATACAAGCACGAAGAAGACCATAGCCAACATTTCTCAAACAATGAAAGCATTTTGATTGAGTCTTGGTGTGTGTGTGTGTGTGCGTGTGTGCGTGTGTGTGTGTCTCAGACTGGGAGGCCCGTGTGGACAGCCATGGCAGAGTGTTCTATGTGGACCACGTGCACCGGACGACCACCTGGCACCGACCGAACCACAGCGAGTGCGGCTCCAAGTGCAGCCTGGGCCTCCCCCGCTCCGGCTCCACGCAGCAGATGGAGCAACTCAACCGCAGGTCAGCACCACCTTCACTGTCCTCACATGTGGGGGAATAGATTGGATTAGTTCTTCAATTCAAGTTAATTTATCTTTGTACAACCCAAAAACACAACAGTAGTTATCTTGAAGGACTTAGGAGGACAAAACCATTGAATTCTCTGAAGAATCAAACAGTTCAAACACAAAAAATGCAAACAAAAAGAACACATAGAGCCTTTTACCCGATTACTACTATCTATCTAATCCAGAGGTCAGGAGCCTATAGCTTGGGAGCCAGATGTGGTTCCTTTGATAGTTGTATATAATAATAATTAAAGTAGTAACAGGGGAGACAGTGGCTCAGTTGGCAGAGCATTGGCCTTTGAGACTGTCATTTTGTCCTTGGGCAAGACACTTTACCCCACTTTGCCCCCGCTGAAAAGAGGATGCAGCACAGACTAGAGCAGTCATCCTCCTGTGGACTCCCGACCTGCAGGAGGATCAGTGAGGGGCCGGTGAACTGGGTGCAGCTCTGACACCCACAAATGGATTAAGGGGAAGAAAATGGACGGATATAAAGATTTAAATGAATAATAATGCATCCGTTTTAGAAAACGCTTTTTCAGGACACACAAAGATGCTTCACATGTCCATATTCTTTCACTCCATACATGGTGGTGATAAACTGTAGCCACAGCTGCCCTGGGGCACACTGACAGAAGCAAGGCAACCAGTCTGTGCCATCAGCCCCTCCGACCACCACCAACCATTCACACGCACAGATATTAAACTCTAAATGTGTAAATTAAACAAAACCATAGTAAAGTATCAGATGTTTTGGCTCTCCCGTTGCTGACTCAGATATGAGAGTATCCAGAGGACCATGGCCACAGAGGACGAGGGCGAGAGCTCCCGGCCCACAGCGGACACACAGACGGACTGGACTCCTGCAGGTCTGTGTTCTCTCTCTCTCTTGTTTTTTTTTTACAATAGTAAGTAGTAAGTAGTAGTAGTAGTAGTAGTAAGTAAGTAATCTTTATTTATATACCGCCTTTTCACTGCAGATCTGAGTCTCAAAGCGGTTTACAATTGTTAATTTTTTTTATCCCCCATCTTTGTGTGGAGTAATTGTCTCTCACTCCACACAGAGATGGGAGCAGGGCCAGTATAGGAGGCGCATGCCAGAACTATTGGACATATTTTTAGTGGTAGGGGAAACCGGAGTACCCGGAGGAAACCTACGCAGACACGGGGAGAACATGCAAACTCCACTCAGAAAGGCCCTGGTCCGACCGGGATTCGAACCCAGGACCTTCTTGCTGATAGGCGAGAGTGCTATCCACTCAGCCACCGTGCCGCAATACAAGTGCAGACGTACAAACAAATACAGTTGCAACAAGACAGACAAGATACAGTGTGTGCGTGCGTGTGTGAGAGAGTGTGGGTGTGTATGTGTGTGTTATTTTAGCAATTTGATGCATCCACCCATCACCCTCATTGTCTGTCTAATGTGGTGCATTAAAAAGGACACTATGGGAGGTTGTTTACCTGGGGCAGGGGTACTGTTCCAAGGGCATCTCCCATGTGTCCTGTGTCCCTACTAGTTCTTTTTTTCTCTCTCTCTCTCTTTTCTTTTCCTTCCTTTTTTCTGTGTCTTCTCTCTCACATATAAACTGCTTCAAATACTGTCTTGATAGTGCTTGATAGTGCGCTCCTGACATGTGCAGGTCCCGGCTCCTCCTCCAGTAACACCAAACTGAGCCAGCTCCTGCAGTCTCCTGCCGTCAAGTTCATCACACACCCCGAGTTCTTCACCGTGCTGCACAGTAACTACGTGAGTCTCTCTTCAGCATGTGTGTGTGTGTGATTCTTCCACTACGGACAAATCCTGGTCTGCAATTTTTGGATCATTTTGCTTCTCAAAAATGTTGTTTAGCGTTTATTGCTGTTGTTAAACGTGTAGTTTCTGATAGTGGTTTTATTATAACTCTTACATGTTGTTATTCTTATTATATATTATATTACGTCACAATATAAAATGTGATCAAAGAATGCCACATTTACTACAAAATTCTGGGAGGAAATGTAGAACCACTCTCATTTCAAAACTAAAACAAAAACATGATTAAAAGAAATTACGTACGTTAAGTTACTACACAAAACTAAAAGCCGTCAAATTGACTGCTTTGGGAATTCTAGTGTTAATAAACTGGTTTGTCTGGGTCCTGAACCCTCCTCCTTCTGTGCAGGCGGCGTACCGGATGTTCACCAGCAGCAGTTGCGTGAAGCACATGATTTTAAAAGTACGGCGGGATGCCAGAAACTTCGAGCGCTATCAGCACAACAGAGACTTGGTGGTTTTCCTCAACAGGTTCGCAGACACTCAGCTGGAGCTGCCGCGGGGCTGGGAGATCAAGACCGATCCTCAGGGCAAGGTAGGACCAGGCCAGGTCCACGGGGACTTATACTTACTTACCTACTACTACTACTACTATGTGTACTTAACTTACTACTACTACTATGTGTACTTAACTTACTACTACTACTATGTGTACTTCACTTACTACTACTACTATGTGTACTTGCTACTACTACTACTACTATGTGTACTTAACTTACTACTACTATGTGTACTTAACTTACTACTACTACTATGTGTACTTCACTTACTACTACTACTACTATGTGTACTTGCTACTACTACTACTACTATGTGTACTTAACTTACTACTACTACTATGTGTACTTAACTTACTACTACTAGTAAGTAAGTAAGTAAGTAAGTTATTATTTATATACCGCCTTTTCACTGCAGATCTGAGTCTCAAAGCGGTTTACAATTGTTACTACTACTATGTGTACTTAACTTACTACTACTACTATGTGTACTTAACTTACTACTACTACTATGTGTACTTGCTACTACTACTACTACTATGTGTACTTAACTTACTACTACTACTATGTGTACTTAACTTACTACTACTACTATGTGTAATTAACTTACTACTACTACTATGTGTACTTAACTTACTACTACTACTATGTGTAATTAACTTACTACTACTACTATGTGTACTTAACTTACTACTACTACGTGTACTTCACTTACTACTACTACTATGTGTACTTGCTACTACTACAATACAATACAATACAATACAATTTATTCTTGTATAGCCCTAGGTCACAACAGAAGTCATCTCAGAGGACTTAACAAAACCATTGAAATCACCAACACAGGTCAGAGAATCAACAGTTAAAACACATGAAGAATACAGTATAAAGCACACACAGAAGAAAATGTCCATACATGTTGTAGAATGCTAAAGTGTCCTGATCATCACCAATCCTTTCTGTTGGACACTAACTGTCCAACAAGACCCTCCTGCATCGACAAGGAAAAACTCTTAAAAAACCCAGTGGGAAAAAGTGAGAAACCTTGGAGGAGAACTAGGGAAACCCACAGGGAGGGAGACCCATATGAGAAAGGGATCCGCTCCTCCGGACGGACAGACTAATGATCTAGGACCTAAGCTAGCTACAGAACGTGGACCAGTGGACGCTGAACGTGGACAGGTCCGGTGCAGGACCGAAGCACTCCCAGGCGGGTCGGGCGGGGCAGTCCGCAGGTGTAGATGGAAGAGGCCAGGCTCAGAGATCCCGTCATCGTACCATGAAACAGACAATGGGACAACGGGTGAATAGCAATGAACAAACTACAGTCAGAATCCTAAAAATGCTAAACAGATAAAGTAGGAAGGAGGAGAGGATAGTGCTCAAGTTACCATACTTCTCCCAGCAAACTGACTCCCTATGCAGCTTGACTAACACTCTGAGGAGTTTAACCTTCTCCGAGTCTTACCTTCCTAGCCATATGCTAAACTAAAGAGGACTGTTTTAAACCTAGCCTTGAATAAAGAATAACATACAGCATAATATATAACATAATATACAACATAACACAATACATTATTGAATAATATATAACATAATATATAACATAATACAGCATATATATATAATATATACACTACATATTATATATTACCTAATTATATGCTAAATTAAAGTAAAGTGCTACTACTACTACTATGTGTACTTAACTTACTACTACTACTATGTGTACTTAACTTACTACTACTACTACTACTGTGTGTACTTAACTTACTACTACTACTATGTGTACTTAACTTACTACTACTACTATGTGTACTTGCTACTACTACTACTACTATGTGTACTTAACTTACTACTACTACTATGTGTACTTAACTTACTACTACTACTATGTGTAATTAACTTACTACTACTACTATGTGTACTTAACTTACTACTACTACTATGTGTAATTAACTTACTACTACTACTATGTGTACTTAACTTACTACTACTACTATGTGTACTTGCTACTACATACTACTACTACTATGTGTACTTAACTTACTACTACTACTATGTGTACTTAACTTACTACTACTACTATGTGTACTTGCTACTACTACTACTACTATGTGTACTTAACTTACTACTACTACTATGTGTACTTAACTTACTACTACTACTATGTGTACTTGCTACTACTACTACTACTATGTGTACTTAACTTACTACTACTACTATGTGTACTTAACTTACTACTACTACTATGTGTACTTGCTACTACTACTACTACTATGTGTACTTAACTTACTACTACTACTATGTGTACTTAACTTACTACTACTACTATGTGTACTTGCTACTACTACTACTACTATGTGTACTTAACTTACTACTACTACTATGTGTACTTAACTTACTACTACTACTATGTGTACTTAACTTACTACTACTACTATGTGTACTTGCTACTACTACTACTACTATGTGTACTTAACTTACTACTACTACTGTGTGTACTTAACTTACTACTACTACTATGTGTACTTGCTACTACTACTACTACTATGTGTACTTAACTTACTACTACTACTATGTGCACTTGCTTACTACAACTACTACTATGTGTGCTTACTTACTACTACTACTATGTGTGCTTACTTACTACTACTACTATGTGTGCTTACTTACTACTACTACTATGTGTTCTTGCTTAACTAACTATTACTACTATGTATACTCACTTACTACTATGTGTACTTGCTTACTCCTACTACTCTGTGTACTTACCTACTTCTACTACTAGGTGTGTTTACTTACTACTACTATGTGTACTCACTTACTACTACTACTATGTGTACTCACTTACTACTACTACTATGTGTACTTACTTACTTACTTACTACTACTACTATGTGTACTCACTTGCCTACTACTACTATGTGTACTTGCTTACTACTACTACTATGTGTACTTACTCCTACTACTATGTGTACTCACTTACTACTACTACTACTATGTGTACTTACTTACTACTATTATTATTATTATTAATCTTTATTTCAGACTCAAGATAAAATTGGTCCATACAAAAAATAAACAATAAAAGGGCAATGCTTTCAAATATATAGTATCATTTCCGGCAGATTTAAATATGATTAAGTGTATCTGTCCAGTGCTTTCTCAGAGCAGACGTGTAGCGACATGAGCTCATTCTACCGTTGGTCAGAGTCCGAATGATGCCGTTCTCAGAGTTCTCCAGACGTTCCTTGAACCGAAAGGTTAGATGACGTATCAGAGCCTCACAGGTGTGAATGTGGGCATTCACAAACAGTTCACTGGCACTGTGCCACCTGGGCACCCGGAGCAGCAGCCTGAAGGCATCATTGTATGCCACTGTGAGTCTGTGGAAGGACCTACGACTGTACTTGGTCCACAGAGGAGCTGTGTACAGCGGAGTGCAGTACGCTCGAAACAGAGTACATTTAACAGGATAAGAACACATGCTGAACCTCCTCATCAGTGTGTTCGCCTGGGCATAAAGTTTACAGCACTGTCTTTTAATGTCTCTGTCATCACGCCAGTCATCTGTGAGAAAGTGTCCCAGATACTTTGTCTCTTTGGAGACGGAAAGAGGCTGACCACAGAGCTGAAAGTCAGGGAAGGTCAAATGTTTATCCTCTCTGCTTCTCACAATCATCATGTTGCTCTTTGTTGGATTGTATTTTATGTCAAACGTCACACCATACGCTGAGCACACTTGTAGCAGTCCCTGCATGCCTGCACTGTAAGGGCTTATGATAACAAGATCGTCTGCATACATGAGATGGTTGATTACGGTGGTTCCCATGACACACCCTGTTTTACACATGTTCAATTCAGTGGACAAATCATCAACATATATATTAAATAAAAAGGAGAAAGGAGGCCTCCTTGTCTAACACCATTACACACATAAACACTTTTTGAAAGAGCATTGTCCCATTTCACACTCATGAGTTGATTAGCATACCAGAAAGCTAGAATCCTAATCAAGTAATTCGGCACTCCTCTATGTGCAAGTTTTAGGAACAGTTTGCAGTGGTTCACTCTATCAAAAGCCTTACTAGCATCAATAAAACATAAAAGTACAGATGAATTCAACTCCAGGTATTTACTGACAGTTTCTTTCAGTGCATAGATACAGTTATCAGTGCTGTGCCCTTTTTTAAATCCAAATTGATTGTCATTTGTTGTCAGGTAAATTTCAAGCCTAGCAATCAGGATGCGTTCTAGGATTTTAGACAGAACACTCGCAAGGGCAATAGGCCTGTAATTGTCCATACTATTTAGCTTAGCAGCCTTATCTTTAATTACAGGTACCAGAACAACAGAGATCATGGACTCTGGTAAAACTCCATGTATTAAGAGTCCACTAAAACACATAGACAGCAGAGGGCATATCTGCTTAGAGGAGTTCTTCAGGTGCTCAGCTGTGATTGTATCCAGACCGCAGGCTTTGTTTTCACTTAGCTTTAATATAGCATCCTGGATTTCAGTTGACCGTATCAGCATGCCAGCCTCCATATCCACATGGCCAACAGGACAAATGTCACTTTTCACTGAATTAAATAAGTCAAAATAATGCTTCCTCCATAGAGCAGTAATATTTTGAGAACCACATATACCTTCAATGTTAGATGGCAATGGTGTTCTAGAGTTGTTCATTGATTTCACCTCCTTCCAGAATTTATAAAAATCCTTACATTGAAGTCCTCTGGCAAGCGAGTCAGCTCTTAACATATTTTCATTTCTTTTAATAAACCGTAGAGCATATTTAAATCTAGCTGTAGTTGCCTTTTTCGACTCAAACAGTGGTCCTTGTCTGGGCTTTCCTGCTGCATGCCAGAGTCCAAAAGCTTCTCTAGCAGCAGCATGATGATCAGCCACAATGTCATTCCACCCAGGTTTTACATGGGGGGATTTATGATTTTTCTGTTGCAGGCATTCACTACTGTCTTTCAATACTTGGATTATGTTTTCATAGAATATACAAAGCTCATGGCAGTGACTAGAATTATTACAGTTTGGATCAAGGCAAGTCAGTGCATCTATAGGCAGTGTCATGTTCTGCAACAGAACATCTGTCCTAGTTGTGTATTTTTCAATATTCTTTATACTTATTTTTGACCAGTCAATTCTGGCTGTGTGTTCAGCATTCGCATTTTCCAGTAGTTCTGGTACACTGTCCGTATCTAGGGATATAACTATAGGTATGTGATCAGAGGTGGCAAGTCCGTACATAATGTCCATGTTGCTCAGAGAAGCATGTGCATCTGCTGTGCAGACACAGTGATCCAGCCATGACGTAGAGTGCCAGGCATCACTGATATAAGTATAGCTGTTATCTGGTAAAAGCAGTTCACTTGATAAGATAAGATTATTGTCTTTACAAAACTGGACTAAAAGTTTTCCGAAAATAGATGATTTATCCGACAGGTCAGCATTAAAATCTCCAATAACAAACACACACGTTGTGCAGTTATCTTCAATAAAGGACTCTATGAATTCCAGTTTGTTTACAAACTCATCTTCCATTTGGTGTGACTCATATGGCATATATACATTTAGCACAGTGAATTTTTTATCATTGAGGCTTATTTCAATGCTAATAGCCCAATCAACATTGAGCCTTAAAACCTTGATGTGGATTATGTCACATTACAGTGTGTACAGTACACACTTGGAAAAAGTAACAGTGTCTTGTGGTAAAATGAAATTAACCCAAAAATCCAAGACTGCACAAATAGGTCATTTATTAACAGCAAAAACAGCTAAATTCAGAGTAAAACTACCAAAATGAAGCGGAACAGGATTTAACTACACGAGACTCAGGAGATACAGGTGAGACACATGAGGGCAGGTAAACAGGAAGTAGATCTAAGGAGGACCCTAACAAAAAACCGTAACCATGACAAGCAGCGATGACGGCATGGATGATCGGTGTCCCAGATAGATAAGGAAGTCCAGTGTTGTGGTTGTTCTTCCTGCACCATTTCCAAAGCCGTAGTCAGTGCAGCTCTGAGTCCCAGTGGTCCGTGAGGATTACAGTGCCCTCTGCCTCCGCTGGTCTCTGATGTGTGTGGAGAAGCCGAGTGGAAGATCTCTGTCCGTTATGTAACCTAACTACAATCTGAATGTTGAAGAATGATGTGAAAGGTTTTGGGTTATTTTGTGTTGCTTTTTATGCTTCATGTTTGAACTTTTGTGTTGTGAATATGTCGAGTTAGCCTGGTCGTACCACACAATTACATTTGGTACTAACTCATTGACTGCCATTGACGTATTTGTCTGGGAGCCTCTATTTGACTGCAGATTACAGGACAATAAAAATAGCTAGAAACAAACTTATTTTTGCTGATTAAAGTAGACTATCCAGTCTTTCAGAATCTGGTTTCATATTTCACATAGTCTTAGGAAATAATATTCTGTGTGTCTTGAGAATCAGTGAAATCATCAAAAACGGCTGGCAGTCAATGAGTTAAGGTCTGGAGGTGATCAATTGAGCTCCAGACTGAAACAATTGGATCTGAGTTTACCGTGATGTAGGTAATGCGCCCGGGTGAGTCGTTAGCATTTAGCATTTAGCCTAGCCATCTCCTTTGCCGCTAACGGAGCACGTGGGGAGTAGCGCCACAATCTTTGCAGCGATTACATTTGTTAAACATTCCTCTTGCTCCAGCTTGAATTTCTTGATAGAACCAGACCGGAATACTTTACTATCGCATTCTTTGCCATTTCCAAACTACAACCTGCCCGTTTTACGCAAACTCTTGACGTCACCCACATCTGACTACAACACCCGCCTCCCGCGCTCTCTGATTGGTCGGATGGAATTCAACCGATTGTAATTGCAAACACAGGGACCAGACCCAGACGTTACCTGCAGGAAATAATGATTGACCGGAGAGTACGGATGGATAAGGCCAGGCTAATGTCAAGGGGACCCCAAGAAAACTAGCGACGACTTGTGGAATAAAATTGTAATGTGTCTTTTTCTGTCAGTCCTTCTTTGTAGATCACAACAGTCGTGCTACAACCTTCATCGACCCTCGAATCCCTCTTCAAAATGGCCGCCTGCCCGGTTACCTCGCTCACAAGCAGCACCTGCAGAGGCTACGCAGCTACAGCGCGGGAGAGGTGCGCACATGGAGCTAATCATTTATCATTTCAGCTCAGAGCAGTGGCCCCCTAGTGGACATCAAAGTGTACTGTCTGTGTGGCCCCCTCTTAGAGTCTGGGCTATGGCATGTCATACATCATTTTAAACTTAATCTTATAAAGAAAAGAAACATGCCATTTATATTACCATAAACATTGAACCCAAAACATATGAAGTATTAATTCAAAGTAAACATTATTCAGTCCAGAAGTCTACAATACTCGGCCTTCGTTGCCTTTGGTCCGAGCAGCTGGACTAATTTTGTACTTAGAAATATTAATATAATAATAATAATAAATAAGATAATTAATAAGATAATAAAAGAAGTAAAATATGTCCATAATCCATCAAAATACCTTCTTTATAAAAAATCACAACTGCAATTGATCGTTTTTTTCTTGTTTTATGGTTTTTGTCTCTCTCCTCACGAATGTTTATTTAAAGGTGCAGTAAGAGATTCAGATTCAGATTCAGTTTATTTGCCATTTGCAGTAAAAAAAAAAAACACATTGGAATACATTAGCAAAAGTCTCCAGTGTGCACAGACAAATACAGACATAAAACAACATTAAAAGACAGAAATAAAACAAATAAAACAGTAAACAAATGTCACTGTGAAATTGATCGACTAAAACAGTTTCAAAACAAGTGCAAATCATTAAAGTGCTCTGTTCACACTGATAACAGCCTGTGGATAAAAACTGTTAGCGTAACGAGATGTCCTGCATCTCAGAGAGCGATATCTTCTGCCAGAGGGAAGAAGCTGGAACATGGCTTTCCCAGGGTGGCCAGAAGAGTCATTAACAATCCTAAGAGCTTTGTTTAAAAGTCTGGATTTATAAAGAACCTCCAGAACAGGAAGCTCACAGCCCACGGTCCTCTTTGCAGAGCGGAGCACCTTGTTTAAAGCTCTCTTTTCTTTATCTGTGATGTTTCCAAACCACACAGACACAGAACCAACAAGTACACTCTCAATGGTGCAGCGATAAAAGTTAAGCAGAAACTTAGAGTTAGTGGTAAATTCTCTAAGTTTACGCAGAAAGTAGAGACACTGACGAGCTTTCTTAACGACTCGGTCAGTGTTTTTAACCCAATTCAGGTTAGACAGAGTTAAACCCAGAAACTTGCACTCCTCTACGATCTGCACCTGGGAGTTGTCGATTACGACAGGCAAATGAGAACTATTGCGACTGAAGTCGTAGACCAGTTCACATGTTTTCGATGCGTTCAACTGGAGGTTGTTAGTTAAACCGAGATGTTGTTAGCTTAGCCGCAGCACCAACTCCAAACCACACCCCCTCCCTCTCCACCAAACCAAACATCCAGCTTTTTTTTTTCTTTGTCACAACTGGGAGAGTGGGCGGCAAACGTGAAATTGGCCTTTTCTGTTCTGTCATTTTAGGTTTTAGAAAATGTGTGTGTCTGTGTGTGTGCAGGCGTCAGAAGTGTCGAGAAACCGCGGGACGTCTCTGATGGCCCGGCCGGCGAACATGCTGATCGCGGCTATACGAAACCAGCACCTAGATCAGCAAACGTCGCCCCCTTGTGAGTGTCGGGAGACAATACAACGACCCACAAGTGACACATTCATGGACCCTTTTTGTGTTTCCCTTTCGCAGCATACAACGATAAGATTGTGGCCTTCCTCCGACAACCCAACATCTTTGACATGCTGCAGGATCGGCAGCCGAGTCTGGGCACCAACCACGAGCTCAGGTGAAGTTTAGGAAGGACTATTTTGATTTCTTTGTAGATAAAGTCATCGGTTCTTTTATATCAGACAATTGTAATATTGTGATGTTATTATCTTGAGGCTACTGTCTCTTTTCTGCACTGGTAAATGTCTATTGTGTGCACTTACACTGCAAAAAATTATAACATTTGAGGTAATAATTGCTTGAATCAAGTAGTTTTCCTCTGAATCTGAGCACATTCTGACTTAAAACAAGATTCTCCAATGGGACAAAGTCATTTAGTCTAAGTTCATTTTCCCTGTTTCATTGTTTTTAAGAAGTCAAAATGTGCTCCAGTTAAGATACATTTTTTACTTATTTTCCATAACTCTGTGCACTGTGAATTGTGCACCTGTATATTTTAGTAATTTTAAGAAATGTTTTGAAAATGTTTTGTATGAATGACTTATATCTATTTTTTCTTTTGTAACTTATTTGCACCTTGAGCCAAAGAAAATTCCCAGTTGGTCACTTCCTGTTATACAATTTGAATAATTGTATTGATTGGTTTCACAGTGACAGGTTTTTTTTAAGCTTGTTTTATTGATGTACTTGTCTGGTTTACACTGGGCTATATGTATTCCAATATAGTTTTACTGCAAACGGCAAATAAACTGCATCTGAATCTAAAAAGAATTCTGGTTCTTACACATGTCTAAAGTAGCAGAACCAAATAATTCAGCTCCACCTCTCAAAGCGACTTTGTGATGTTAGTTCACCTTGGAGAGACCCATGAGGAAAACGCATTAGACTTATTAGATTTAAGCATGTTTATTGATTGAGCATGTTTGGCGCCCTAGGCCCGGGCGGGATGCTGTTGAGCACGGCGCTTGCTCGCGTGCATGATCCCCAAAAAGCGGGCTTGCGATTGGGATAGCAGGACGTACTGCGCGGGCCTGAGAGCATGAGCGAGCTGAGAACATGCGCATGTTCAGCCAGCCGCTGTAGCAGAGGAATCTTTGAGCGAACTGAGAACATGCGCGCACGCGCATGTTCAGCCAGCCGCAGCAGAGGAATCTTTGAGCGAACTGAGAGCATGCGCGCACGCGCATGCTCAGCCAGCCGCAGCAGAGGAATCTTTGAGCGAACTGAGAACATGCGCGCACGCGCATGTTCAGCCAGCCGCAGCAGAGGAATCTTTGAGCGAACTGAGAATATGAGCGCACGCTCATATTCAGCCAGACGCTGAAGCAAGGAATCTTTGAGCGTTTGAGGAAAGTGCGTGCCGCCACCAGAATCTTATTGCTTACTTGCTTTGCTGGGAGCTTACGAGGAAGCCGGTAGACGTTGTGCTGCCATGATAGCGGTCGCATCTGGCCTGATGTAGGTGGAGAAGCCGAAGAGGACCAGCGCCCCAGCCGTTGCAGAGGAAGAGTGGGGGAGCCCCAGCGAGGTCGCGCGCGTGGCAGCGCCTATCCTGAAGGAGTGGGCTGTATAGAGCTGGGGAGACAAATTGCAGAGGAGCAGTAGGGATCTTAGCTGAGCTCTGAACCAGGTTGCTGTTATGGGAAGGTTGACTGGAGTGAGAATTAGAGGTCCGTTAAAATCTCCTTTTTGCCGCGGAGGCGAGTGTAACGCATCATGGACCTGTAGGGGCAGAGAGATGTGTCGAAGCGAGCTATTATTGTGTTGCAGGCGCCTCTGATCTTTGAATGTTTGAGATGAAGGTTGAATGGTCAGGGGACATTATGTTGGGTGAGAAGAGCGACCTTTGTTTAATGCTTCCACTACGTCGAGATGATCACGCATGACAGAGATCCTCTTTCTCTGCCACGTGTGATTCCGCAGCGCGCAGGCCACGACCACTGGGAATGTCTCGTGTAGGGCAGAGGAAATGCTCCGGGGAAAGTAGCGGGCCACGGCCGGCGAACCACTGGTCCTGGAAGAATCCCCCAAAAACCCACGGAAGGGGCAGCGTCCGTGTAGAAGCGGAGACCTGTAGGGGCAGAGAGACACACCGGAGAGGGCCATTGATGTTGCAGGCGCCTTTACGCTTAGAATCTTGGGTTGGAGAGTAGATAATTAGGCCAGTAGGATAGGACGGGAAGCCGTGTCTCGGACCGCATTGAAGGTTGAGTGAGCAGTGGTGAAACGCTTATGCAGAGAAGCCACAGAAGGCGAGCAGAAGATGCTGCGAGGAGGGCAGACATGTACTTGGAAGATGAGCCGGAGTTCAGCGCCGCTGCAGGATGGGCAGCATGATGGGGAGCCTGTGATCAGAAGAGTGAAGAACCAGGTATGGATGCCTTTGATTAGGAGTCCGATTGACGGCTCAGCGCAGCTACTTGGCCAGCTGCATCTGATAGAATCAGGAGATTCAGTAGAAAGATGAAGCACGACCGCCGAAGCGACCCTGGGAGCATAGGTGCGAGTCCGGCGCAGCGCGGCATACTCAGCCGGGCTGCATCCATTAGAAGCAGGATAAGCTTCTGAGAGAATGGGTTGCAGTAGCAGTAGCAGCAGCGCAGCGGCAGTAGCCTCAGATAATAACAGCAAAGTCCTGTATCAAGCCGCGGCAGCAGCAGTAGCAGCGTCCTTAGAAAATAACAGTAATAATTCTGTATCAAAGCCACAGCAGTAGAATGTTGTTGTAGCTGTTCAGGGTTTCAGTAAAAGAGATGCGAAGTGAAGAGAGATGGCAAAGTAAATGAAGCAGCAGCAGTAGCAGCAGTAGCCGTATGAAGCAGCAGCAGTAGCAGTATGAAGCAGCAGCAGCAGTAGCAGTGTGAAGCAGCAGCAGCTGCAGCATCCGTCGATAATAGCAGCAATAATCCTGTATCAAAGCCAGAGCAGTAGAATATTGTTGTAGCCGTTTAGTGTTTCAGTAAAAGAGATGCGAAGTGAAGAGGGATGTCAAAGTACATGAAGCAGCAGCAGCAGCGCAGCAGTAGCAGCAGCAGTAACGGTAGCAGTATGAAGCAGCAGAAGCAGCATTAGCAGTAGCAGCAGTAGCAGTATGAAGCAGCAGCGGTTGCAGCATCCGTAGATAATAACAGCCATAATCCTGTATCAAAGCCAGAGCAGTAGAATATTGTTGTAGCTGTTTAGTGTTTCAGTAAAAGAGATGCGAAGTGAAGAGAGATGTCAAGTACATGAAGCAGCAGCAGCACGGCAGCAGATGCAGTATGAAGCAGCAGCGGCAGCAGTAACGGTAGCAGCATGAAGCAGCAGCAGCAGCAGCGGTTGCAGCATCCGTAGATAATAACAGCAATAATCCTGTATCAAGCCACCGCAGTAGAATATAGTTGAAGCTGTTTAGTGTTTCAGTAAAAGAGATGCGCAGTGAAGAGAGGTGTCAAAGTAAAGAAGCAGCAGCAGCACGGCAGCAGATGCAGTATGAAGCAGCAGCGGCAGCAATAGCAGCAGTAGCGGCAGCAGAAGCAGCAAGCAGCAGCAGCACAATGCAATTCATACGAACAACAGACGTGTCACGCCAGCGTGCGCCGCTTGTCTCCGTGAGCCAGGTTACGTACGTGTCTGAAGAGCCGAGCCGAGAGATAGGTGCAGCCTGGGAGCCTGCGGAGCGGCAGCGGCAGGAACAGCAGCAGCGGCACATGTAGTAGTAGGAGCAGCAGGAGCAGGCAGCAGGGACAGGCAGCAGCAGGAATAGGCAGCAGCGGGATCAGGCATCAGTAGGAACGGCAGCAGGGACCGCAGCAGCGGCGGTCAGAGAACCATGCCCACGGTTGTTTAAGAGCCTGAGGAAATAAATCAACCCGAATCCGAAACATTCCCATGCGAGAAACAGATGTCCCCTGGAGCCATCTTGCTGCTTTGGTTATGGCAGATACGCATGAACGATCACTGATCCATGCGTTCATAGCTACAGCTCCACTTCAAACCCATTGCATATTCACATTGGGCCCCTTTTCTTTTCTGCTGCACTTTCGAAATGCAACAACTGCAGTTTAGTTACCCAGTTTAATACTAGTGACCTAGCTATTTAAATGCATGGCCCCTCCTTCCTCCTGCAGATAGACGAATTTAAATACATAATTTAACAATAGTGACTTGCGAGTAATGAGATTGATGCTGTAAAGATGGCGCCGTGCAAGAGCTCTGTGTGTGCCGTCTGGAGCACGATGGGGTAGTCTTTGCACATTTTTTCCAACGTGGTTTTACTGCAAGTGGCAGAACATGAATCTGAATTAATGCACATTGCTCCTCTTATATCCCTCAGACATTGGAGATTGATGCCATTTAATATGCATTGACCCTCAGTTAGCTCAACACGTGTAAAACGGAGCCTGCAGACCAAGCACGGGCGAAGACTGACGCCTGCAGTCAAGTGCGTAGGGCAAAAACCAGCCGCCTGCAGCCTAGACTCCGGGATTAAACTGTCCGCGGTCGGCACACTCACTGTACTCACATGCCAGGAGACTTGGGAAAGCAACGGGACAACGCGGCACCGCCAATCGAGGCAGGGACACGCACGGCACCGCCAGACCGTCTGCGCGCGGCAGCAGACCACGAGGAACGAGCAGCACAGAAACCGCGGAGGGCCCCGCGGAGCAGCCCGCAGAAGAGCCCGCAGAGGAGGAGAGCAGTGGGGATATGCGAACCACAGCAGGTGCAGGGACGTGGAGGAGGAGCAGACCACGAGCAGCCAGACTGAGGACAGCCGGGCCACGCGCACGAGCAACACGTGAGCAGAAGCGACCCCTCCAGAACAACGCATGCATTTGCGAACAGGTGCGTTAGCGACATGCACCTTGCAGGCTTCAGAAGTTTGCAGACTTCAGAAGATCGGGAAGTGGGCGTCTCCGGCTTTTAACTTGCTGTCCTGGTGGTTATTGGTTGACTGGGTGTGGGCGTTGCTGGTATTGATGAGTCGAGGAATAGCAGCCTGTGGCCTGGCAGCAACAGCCGGGTCTACCACGGTGAACTTTCGCGAAAGCTCCATTTTTCTCATGACTCATCTCACCACCGTGACTGAAGCGATGTCGTCTTTTCAACAGAGAGAAGATCCACTACATCCGCACAGAAGGCACGGCGGCGGTGGAGAAGCTGTCGTGTGATGCAGACCTGGTCATTCTTCTCAGGTGCACACACACACACACACACACACACACACACACACACACACACACACACACACACACACACACACACACACACACACACACACACACACACACACACACACACACACACACACACACACACACACACACACACACACACACACACACACACACACACACACACACACACACACACACACACACACACACACACACACACACACACACACACACACACACACACACACAACACACACACACACACACACACACACACACACACACACACACACACACACACACACACACACACACACACACACACACACACACACACACACACACACGAATGATGTGTTCATTTATTGTGATTTTTTGGTGGATTTCCGCAGCTTATTTGAGGATGAAGTGATGTCGTATGTGCCTCCTCATCCCGTCCATCCTGGCTTCAACTTTTCACCGCGCTGTTCTCCTGGATCGTCCCCACAAAACTCCCCAGGTTTATATTTGAATTATTACAAATGTATTATAATTTTGGGCCTTATTTTTGCTATGTGTGAGTGCTGAACAATACTGAGAGATTCTTCAAGTTCATGTCTAAGTTTACTTATCGCTTCCTCACAATAACAATAACAGTGTACTCTGTATAATATCTAATGTACCTGTGCTCTTCCTCTCCCCTGGTGCAGGGCCTCAGAGGGCCCGGGCGCCGGCTCCGTACCGCAGAGACTTTGAGGCAAAACTTCGAAACTTCTACAGGAAGTTAGAAGCAAAGGGCTACGGACAGGGACCGGGAAAGATCAAGTAAGCTAAGCTCCGCCCACATGCGTACGTTTATCCAGCTCCACATCAGCGCCTCGATAATAAGCCCTATGTTCCTACGCAGGTTACTCATCAGAAGAGAACATCTTTTGGAGGGAACGTTCAACCAGATCATGGCCTACTCCCGCAAAGAATTACAAAGGAGCAAACTCTACGTCACTTTTCATGGGGAAGAGGGGTACGTGTGTCGTAAGAAGTCTCAATACATCATTTTTTTGGACACTCAAAGACAAAAATAAAAAGCTAAAATAAACATCTAAGTGTAGGCAATTATGAACAGGTGGGTTTGAAGTTCTGAAGTCTGATTTCCTGATTTGTTATGGGAGAGAGTTCCATAGAGTAAGGGCAGCTGGAGTGAAGGCTCGGTCCTCAGGGTTCAGAAGGCTCGGTCCTCAGGGTTCAGAAGGCTCGGTCCTCAGGGTTCAGAAGGCTCGGCCCCACAAGAAAATGCTTATTATTACTTAACTTCATGAATGTGTGTGTCTACCACTTCTTGCTCATCTTGTGTCTCTTCTTCTTGGCTCACATCAGGTTGGACTACAGCGGTCCGTCCAGAGAGTTCTTCTTCCTGCTGTCTCAGGAGCTGTTTAACCCTTACTACGGCCTGTTTGAGTACTCAGCCAACGACACGTACACGGTGCAGATCAGCCCCATGTCGGCCTTCGTGGAGAACCACCTGGAATGGTAAACACCGCTGCCTGTATGTCACCACACGAGGGCGCTGTACTGCTGTAGTTCATTCTGTGCTTGCTGTTGCAGGTTCCGCTTCTGTGGTCGCATCCTGGGCCTGGCCTTGATCCATCAGTACCTGCTGGATGCTTTCTTCACACGTCCTTTTTACAAGGCTCTATTAAGACTGTAAGTTAAATATTCTGTGTTTTTTTTCAGAGCTCTAGGCAGCATCATAGTGTGTAAAATGAGTTTGGTCCTGTTTCTGCTTCAGCCCCACAGACCTGTCCGACCTGGAGTATCTGGACGAGGAGTTCCACCAGTCTCTGCAGTGGGTCAAGGACAACGACATCACCAACATCCTGGAGCTGACCTTCACGGTGAACGAGGAGGTCTTTGGACAGGTCTGACACCTCTGCTCTAAAACCGTCATCACTCACAAAACAATTAAAGCAGGGTACCTAACTTTCTGATTCATTACATCACAACATCAGAGAGTCAGAGGTATACACATCTATCTATCTATTTATATTATCTACCTATCTATCTATCTACAGGATCTATGTATCTATCTATCTATATATATATATCTATCTACAGTATCTATGTATCTATCCATCTATCTATCTACAGTATCTATCTATCTATCTATTTATCGATCCATTAAGTTCTACCAACTGTTTTTGCAGACAAAATGTATTTTCTTTGACAACTTATCTGGTGCGGTTTACGTACAGATAAAAGCTTAACAGTCCAGCAATCAAGTACATGCACTTTAGTTTGATGGATTGACGTTTATGACAAAGGTGACAGAGAGAGAGCTAAAGTCTGGAGGAGCGAACATCCAGGTGACGGAGAAGAACAAGAAGGACTACATCGAGAGAATGACCAAGTGGAGAGTGGAGAGGGGCGTGGTGCAGCAGACTGAGGCTCTCATCCGGGGCTTCTATGAGGTCAGGACCCTCTTGATCCTGTCCACACTACAGCATCACCAGGGGCCCCTCTGAAGGCTGTCTGTCCCTTAGGTGGTGGACTCCCGGCTGGTCTCTGTGTTCGACGCCCGGGAGCTGGAGCTGGTGATCGCCGGGAGAGTGGAGATCGACCTGAACGACTGGAGGAGCCACACAGAGTACAGAGGAGGTACACGATAAGAAAATGACAGAGACTTTGGTGGGGATCTTTCACAAAATTCCCTGGTGGCTTTTATTTAATTTTCTAGCTTTTTCAGGCAGAAGGAAGTCAGAACAGGAGTTTTATTTTTTCAATTTGCGTCACAACAAAGACGCCAACTCACAGGTGTTAGCTAGTCCAAACAACATGACTTTAAAGACCTTATCACTTGAATACCATGTCTTGCGTTTGTCTCACGTCCATTTTCTGGAGATTCCACACTATTTGAAGCTGTTTGAAATGATTCATGTTTGCGTCTCTATATTCTCCTGGACCACATGATAAAATGGTGGCATTTTGGCCCACTCTTCATGACAGAACTGACAAGGTTTGTGAGCCTTCTTGTCCAAATGTGACACAGCTTCAACTTTCATCTTGAGATGTTGGTTTAAAATACCCAGATATCCACCAGATCTAGCACAAAAAATGTTACTTGGATGAAACGGGAGTAAAAAGTATTTTGGTGTATTAAGGCGTATGTAAAGTTATGAGGAGTAACTATCTCAGGTTAACAGTACCTCTTGCTCAGGCTATCATGACGGCCACATCGTGATGCGCTGGTTCTGGGCTGCGGTGGAAAGGTTCAACAACGAGCAGCGACTGCGCCTCCTACAGTTTGTGACCGGTACCTCCAGTGTGCCGTACGAGGGCTTCGCTGCGCTCCGAGGCTCCAACGGGCTGCGGCGCTTCTGTATCGAGAAGTGGGGAAAAGTCACATCGCTGCCCAGGTCTGACGCACTCATGCACCTCCACATCTGTGAATATCATTTGTAATCACTTTGTAGACTTTTATATTTCAATGAATTTATGTATTTGATTAGGAACAAAAAGTTTCTGTAGTCTCTGGACGGTTTAATGCTATAATTAGATAGAAAAGTGAAAAAGATTCCCCCCCATCACTCAGCCAATCAGCTCTCAGCCCAAACCACAAGGCTATTTCTATGCAACAGATACAAATGTGTTCTAATAAGATAAAAACAGTATGTTTTGTTCTGAATCGTTCACAATGATTTACTTTTACAAGACTATTTCTATTGGGGCAAGCAACATGTATTACCTGTGACACTAAAAAGTTAAGTACCTGAGCTTTAAAGCACTGTGGGTGCCATGAAAGGCGTGGTGTGAAATGTTAGAGTGGGTAGTGTTAGTGTTGTAATGCACTGTACAAAAATAGCCACCAGTAGCTCGCCATCCCCCGTCCAGGTAGCTCCCCAAAGGATTTAGAAATGAACAAATCAAATAATACACTTAATATTTCAGACTGTTTTATTCTTCATCATTATTTATTATTGTAAATGCACTTATTTTGTCACAATTAACAAATATGTGATGATACAAAAATGAATGTACCCAATACCAGGCTCGTTCACACCAATATATCACCAAATTTGCCGCTTAAGGGAGTAGCTCTCTGCCTTTATTGTTCCGGGGAAAGTAGCTCTCTGGGTGAAAAAGGTTGGCGACGCCTGCTATAGATTATATAGACTAATATCTTTTATGAATTATGAATACTAATTATGTAAACTAAAATCTGCATATTCAGAAAACGTGTTAGCTTATGTTTGAAGCTCTCTGTAGACTATAAAAATGACACTATGCCACGTCACCCTCAGCTGGTCTGCACTGAACCTGCCGTGTTTCTCAATTCACTTCAATACAATTTATTTTTATATAGCCCTAAATCACAACAGTCGTTATCTCGGAGGACTTTACAATTCACCAACGCAGATCAGAGAATCAAACTGTTCAAACACAAGAAATGTTATGATAGAAAACATACAGAGTTATTGGTCCTCACGAGGCAGGTGACCAATGTCCATAAATGTCCATAAATGTCCATAAATGTTGATAAATGTCCTTAAATCAAGTGTCTCTGTGTGCACTATCTCAGGGCACACACCTGCTTCAACCGGCTGGACCTGCCCCCGTACCCCTCCTACTCCATGCTGTACGAGAAGCTTCTGACGGCTGTGGAGGAGACCAGCACCTTCGGCCTGGAGTGAGCCCCACGGACCCCTCCTCTCACTGGGACAGAGATCACAGAGACCCCCCCCCCGGAGCCTCCACATGCGTCTGTAATCACGTCTCTACAGAATAACTCTTGACACTACAAGACAGGATCCAAAAAGACTTTGTCCGCCACAAGATTTCACCTTTTTCTAACGCTTTTGAAATATATACCAAGAAACTGTAGAGTCAGAAACATGAGGAGTAGAAGAGGTGTTTTTGTGACCAAATTAAAGATTATTTATGATCCATCAATAAATATTTATTTTCATTCAAAATAATATTTATTATGGTCTTGGGAGAGCTCACTCAGCAGGACCTTGTGATGGGTGCAAGATTTGTTTTTTTATCTACCACTGATAAAAACAGAAAATCTCTATTATTATTTTATTTTTGTTTGTGGATAATGTTTTGTGAAGACAGCCACAAAATCTCCCTTTATAACAAATCAATAAGAACGTATAATGTAGATATACTAAAGATTGTGCTTAGAATACTCTGTGTCTTACAGATATGGACACAGTGTCGCTGTGATTACTATGAAATATTCACAGAGATTAATCTTGCAGGTCGAGAAACTCAACAAATGTCCCAAATTGTGTCTCAAATGTCTAAATCTGATCTTTTGTTTGACATTCTGGTCATTTGCAAAAACAGATATCTCCTTTCTACAATCGTCAACCTGTTTTGTTTTAGACAGAACATGTGGAAGAATTTGCTCAAGATGGACTGAAACTTTATGGCCCTCAAAATATATATCTGGCTTCTCACAAAAACGTTTCGCAGCAGATTATGAGGTGCTTTATCTCGTGCTGGTTTTCCTGAGATCTACGACGCAGCACAGATGTCATTTTCCAGTCCATCTTGACCATAATTTTTTTTTTTTTTTTTTTTATACTTTATTGTGTCATCTTCATTAGTTCACACCTTTTTCTTAATACACACAGCTTAACAATACACATTAAGCTGTGTATTTTAATTTAGTTTTTTCCTTCCCCAAAAACAAAACAAAGCAAAACAAACACATAGATAAATAGATAATAAAAAATATATATATATATTTTGGAGTGAAACAAAACAACCAGATAATCAGGCCAATCAGACATTAATCATGTTATTTACAAGTATAAACTCAAAACGTACATTTACCGTCACCATTTTTCAGGTAAAGTTTATCAGCTGGATTCATAAACTTATTCCCTAATATCCACAGTCTATGCCATAAACAGAACAGCCAGTTGTTAAACATTATAAATAGTTTTTTATGATCTTACAAAATTGCATTATAAAATCTATAACTTAAATAACTCCTTGAGCTAAAAAAATTCTAAGTTTGTGACTGTTACTTACAATGGCAGTATGAATAATTAGGTCTGAGCCCCAACTGGGGTAAGGGCCTTATGCTTTCCCAACGAGTAATGCCTGGAATCACTGAGAACCCAATAGTTGCGTCCGTTCGCTCGTTCTGATTCTGTTTCTAAACTTTCAAAATGTTTCAGTTGTTACGTTTATTTTTATTATATTTAAAGGCTTTTATGTGCGCATTGTTGTGGGAAAAATACGGTACTTGGTGAAGAGCAAATTGGAAGCCTTTACCTTGAGGCAGATATGTCCAAACCGGTCCAGAAAGGGCCGCTGTGACTGCAGGTTTTCTATCAGACCAAGCAGGAGCAGAGCAGACTCCTCCCATTTCATCAAATCTTCAGGTTAAGACTGAATTTACTTGAGGAAGTGGGCGGAGTCTGCTCTGCTCCTGCTTGGTCTGATAGAAAACCTGCAGTCACAGCGGCCCTTTCTGGATCGGTTTGGACACCTCTGCGTAATGCCACTTCTCTGTTTTTGCAAATGAACTTTTCACTTGTCCCTTTCTTAGAATTCCAAAAGCTTTAAATTGAATCTTAAAACGCTGTAGCTCTGACGTGCTCAGTCTTCTGCTCGGTGTCTGTTCATGTACAGTGTATAGAATTTAAATCGGGGGCAGAAAAGTGCGACACCGACGTCAGCTTTCTCTCCGTCTCACTGTGTTTTTAACGTATGTGACTTGTACAATCTACTGCCTGAAGTCAGAGCAGCAAAACTACATGCACACACACACACATGCACACGCACACACGCACACACAGACATACGACCGACATGATGGCAGACGTGGTTGTAAACTTATTTAATTTTTTATTTATCAATTTATTTTTTGTGTCTATTCTACTCAATTGAAACATGCAAAGGTATAACAGGGCTTATTTTTCGAGCCCGTCTCAAACACCGGTACTGTCCCGCACGTCTTCCACTCGCTCTTTTCTATAACGCCTCACCTTTTTCTACATTTCTGGAACTCATTTAAGGACGTCCTGCTAAAGGCAATAATGGACTTTCTTTGTGTCGGCTTCAAGTAATAATATTAATAATAATGCACTCAAAGATGCTTCACATGTCATTTTTAATTCCCTCCAAACACAGTGGTGATAAATTACTATTGTAGCCACAGCTGCCCTGGGACAGACTGGCAGAATCGAGGCATCCAGTATGTGCCATCGGGCCCTCAGACCACCCCCACACATTCTCACACACGCCAAACTCATTCTAATTTGAGCCAAGTGTCACAACAACTGTCACAAATTTGGAGAAAGGCAAAGGAATTCTACTCCTCCCTCTGGTGGTAGCAAAGGGAGTTGCAGGCCGATAGCATTACTGACCTTTGATACTTGTTTCAACATATATTTTCTACTTGAGATATTATTTGACATTCTAAAGCATGAAAAGACACAGTGAACAGTCAAATTATGATTTTAATGTCCATATAATAATGCATAATAACTCTCTTCAGAATCTCTTGAGCTGTATTCCTTGAAGCTACGTCCAAGTCCAGGTCATTGTTGCTCTGTTTTTCCCACATCTGACAAATATGGATGTCAGTCTGTCTGAAAAGTGAGGTTATTTACTAATTATTTTTACGACTGAATGTTCACCAACCACAAAGTCGGTGTTGGAGCTATGAAAAACTCCCAGAATTCCTTTAAAAATACAACTATAGTTACATACATCTGCACTTGACAATGCTGTAGTATTTAACAGTTTCTCCGTGTAACATTTTGATTCATTCCCCTTCTTTCTAAACACAATAGTACTCTTATCGGCCCTTAATTTGCTGACCTGAGACGTATGTGTGTGTGTTTTATGTAATTTAAAGGCTACTCTCAAAGCGCGGACAAGTACAAATGTGAAAAACAGAAATATCCTCATCGATTCCAACTCAGTACCGGTTCCTTTTGTATGGCTGCACTGTAGAGGCCTTATGTACCACCAGGCTGTGCATATTTTCTACTCTTTTTCTAGTCATTTCTACTGTGTTTACATTTGTTGCCTTCACTGGACGCCTTGCTCATGTTTGGTTTGTTTATTTGTTTGTTTAAGTAGAAATCACGGTTCCTAAATGTATCCATAAGCTGTTGTTAAGGCCGCATGTGTTGGAATGTCACGTGTGGGAACAGTCAAAAGGCATTCATGCGGTTTACTGCATTCGTCACTCAAAGCTGTCAATAAAGATTACTCTAAAGTAAAGCAGGCGTTAGACACTTTTGTCCGTGTCTGCTGTGTGTGCTTTTGTCCATAGGTGTGGAGTTTGTGTGTGTAAATGATTTAAACAGAGTATACGTTTTAAGATATTATTGAAAATATTATCTTAAAAGGCATCAGTTACAAGCTTGTTTGGTTCTATGTAGACTTGCCCTGTTGAATGTCCCTGTCAAATAAATGAATCAATAAATAAAAAATAAATAAAATGATCCAGAAGAGGATTGGGAGAAAGTCCTATAGTCAGAAGACACCAAATAAGAACTATTTTTGTGGAAACTTTGCTTATAGTGTTTGGAGGAGAAAGAATAGACTGGTAGATGGATTGATTGGCAAAACAAGAAAATATAAATCTCTCGGTTGTATATGCATAGCTAAACCGAACAGTTTTTAGCCTCAGTTTGAACATTGTCAGAGAAGAAGCCTGTCTCACATTTTCAGGAAGACTGTTCCAGATTTAGCTGCATGAATCTGAAATGCTGCCTCCCCATGTTTAGTCCTGACTCAGAGTCCCAGCAGGAGGCCAGTCCCTGTGCTCCTCAGAGTCCCAGCAGGAGGCCAGTCCCTGTGCTCCTCAGAGTCCGAGTTGGTTCATATAGCACCAACATGTCAGGGATGAAACAGCTAAACAGATAGATAGATAGATTGATAGATAGACACTACTGTATACTGAGCCTTTGTAGGAAAAGATCAGGTGTCCAGCAGCAGAAACACATCCACAAACAAACAAACATATACACAATTCTAAAAGTTACCAACAATAGTAGTGACCGAGTTGTATCCAAATATCACCTCTGACTGTGGAGCAGGGGGGTGGGAATGTCATGCTTTGTGGTTGTTTCAAAACAATGGATCCAGAACGATGGATCCGTGTGAAGGAAAGAATGGATGGGGCCGTGTACCGGGAGGTTTGTAGTGAAAACTTGCTTCCATCAGCAGCTTTGAAGATGAAACATGGGTCTTTCAGAATAACAACAATTCAAACCAGCACGGAGATCTCCAATCCCCATTAGACCTCTGTTATTGCCATCAAAAGATATATAATTTACTTTTCTTATTCAATTATTCTCTACCAAAACATGCAAATGAATTATTATAAAAAGTCTCCATTACAAGATTGTTCTTAGTGTGATTTCCTGGATCTTTCTTCTCATTTTGTCTCTCAGAGTTGACGCACCCTATGATAAAAAATACAGACGTCTCTCTCCATCAAGTGGTGGCTGACTACTTACTGTATATATTATCAAAGCAAATGCGAAACAAGAGCGCCGCCTAGAGGTGTCTGCAGGTTCCTTTTTGAACAATGAAACCACATAGACCAGTACATCTGTTATGATAGAACGTCAGAGATAAAACAGACTATATAAATGCCCAGATTCCAGCTTATTTTTTGAAACGCCCAGACTCCTGTAAATAATCCATGTCGCTGTGAGTGTTTTGTGAAGTCACCCACGTACATCCCCTTGTTTGGCTTCGCAGCGTCTCTCTGTGCGTGTGCGTCTCACGTCACAGGCCGCGGATGGATGCAGCTTTGTCCGCTCCTCCAGGAACAGGAACCGCAGGCCTTCTCCCCCACCACCACCACCGCCTCGCCCCGGATCTGCTGTCTCTGCCCGCGGATGGAGGAGCCACAGGAGCCCGCTTGACGCTCATTCAAGGCCAAATGAGCGCTTGTTTGTAGCGGGGTCTGCAGTCCCATCCATCGCGGTTCTAGTCCTGGACCAGAGAGCCCCAAACATGCCGCGCGCTCCGGCCCCCCCGCTGGCCCCCCTGCTGGCCCTCATATTTGGGCTCTTTCTAGAGGTGAGTGGCTTTGATGATGCGCTATTTGTCTTTTGTCAATGTCAAACTGCTTCATCCTAACAAGAATCTACAACACATCTGTGAATACTTTTCCAAAAATTGTAGCCTGTAATAAACTTGCTCTTCCATCTCCAGGCGGATGTGGCTCCTCTCTTTCTGGGTTTCAAAGCCAATAGAGATTTAGGATACTTTAGCACGTATTTTGTTTATTATTATGGACTGCCCCTGGAGGTGAATCGTCTCCTATTCGTCCTTGTATTTTTTTATTATTGTCTATTTATAGCCCAGACTCCAAAACCATAATCTGCCATTGTTCTCAGGGTTCATGGGTCTCTCTTTGTTGCAGATGGTTGAAGCTAAGAAGTACTGCTGGTACTTTGAAGGAGGATATCCCATCTACTTCATGTGAGTAGGCTTTTGATTACAGACAATACACATCATTTGAAGGGAAGCTAAAATAGATAATAATGTTGATATGTTTTGGCACTTTTGTGACTGCATGTGGCCAAATGGAGCATGTCTGAGTTACTACAGAAGGAATGGTCTCGTGAATTCTGTCTATACCTGTTTGTGTACATCATAAAGACAGAATTCACAAGACCACACTATTCAGAATCAGTTTAGGAAGATTCATTTTGTCTTCTTAGTAAAAAAGTATTTGGTTCTACACCAGACAATAGCGAACCTATACTGTTGTCTGGTATGCAAGAACCAAATACTTTTTATTCAGAATCATTGTAAGCAACAGGAAGCAACAAAATAAGAATATGCAAAGGCGTAAAAGGTGCAGACAAGTTATACGAGTAAAAGAAATACAGTTTGACAGAAAAAGTGTCTGAAACCAAGTGATAGAGAATGAGGTATATTTCAGTTCCAAGCTTCAAGTAGATACAGGGACTCAAAAAGTGATCCACCAAATGTTTGAGGAAACTAGTAAAGGGTTAAAATGTCTAGAAAATAGTAATAGTAATAGAAATAGTGCAGAAAAGTAACAGTAGTATAAGTATAGCTCGCCAGCCCCTTACAGGTAGCTCGCTAAAGGAACTAGAATTTAACAAATACACTTCAACGAATACTTTTTGACCCATTACGTATCTATTTTATGTATAAATTTAGAGTTACACAGTATTATGGTGTATTTTATGGGTGTTCTCTGAGTTTGGTCGTAATTATTAGATCGATTTTTTATCACGACTGCAAAAAGGAGCAGCTCTCTGTCTGTTTGTTTGTATAAAAGTAACTCTCTGATTGAAAAAGGTTGGAAACCTCTGAAGTAAAGTATAGACTGTTACTGTTTCAATGATAGATTCACATTTTTCAGGCCAATGTTGTGTGTTGTGTGTGTGGTGTGTTGTGTGTGTTGTGTGTTGTGTGTTGTGTGTTATGTGTGGTGTGCTGTGTGTTGTGTGTGGTGTGTTATGTGTGGTGTGTTGTGTGTTGTGTGTTATGTGTGATGTTTTGGTGTGTTGTGTGTTGTGTGTTATGTGTTATGTGTTGTGTGTTGTGTGTTGTGTGTTGTGGTGTGTTGTGTGTGTTGTGTGTTATGTGTTGTGTGTTGTGTGTTGTGTGTTATGTGTTGTGTGTGATGTGTGGTGTGTGGTGTGTTGTGTATAATTTGTGGTGTGTTGTGTGTTATGTGTGGTGTGTTGTGTGTGTTATGTGTGGTGTGTTGTGTGTTATATGTGGTGTATTGTGTGTTATTTGTGGTGTGTTGTGTGTGTGGTGTGTTATGTGTGGTGTGTTGTGTGTTATTTGTGGTGTGTTGTGTGTTATATGTGGTGTATTGTGTGTTGCAGATGCCGCTCCTATGAAGACTGTTGTGGCACCCGCTGCTGTGTGCGGGCCCTGTCCATACAGAGACTCTGGTATTTCTGGTGAGAGTCCGATACAGACACATTTATGATTGTTGTGTTGCTCCCACTCGCTCCTTTAGACGAGAAGAGCTTCAGCTTTTTCAAACAAAAACAGGAAATAGAGAGAACCTTCCCTCGGCCAATCAGCTCTCAGCGCCCAATAGTCACTCCCAGTTTGTTTTGTGATAAGATGAAGACAACATAATGTGGTCTGATTGGTTAATAATGTTTTACTTTCACACAAGGACAAACAACATGCATTATTTAGAGTGATAAAAGTTAGGTCGCCCAGCTTTAATTTTGTATCGAAAAAACCGACAGACTCAGAAACTCAACAGGAACGTCGTATATTTCTGCATTTCCCTGTCGGCACAAGCTCAGTTGCACCACACTGAGACAGTATACAAGTGAGAGTGACGTTTGTGTGTGTTTGCGTCTGTGTGTGTGTGTGTGTGTGTGTGTGTTCAGGCTGCTGCTCATGATGGCCGTGCTGTTCTGCTGTGGCGCTGGGTTCATCATTCGCCGGAGGATGTACCCGTCTCCTCTGAGGGACGAGCCCGCCTTCAACGTGTCCTTCACCCGACATCCAGCCCACTCTCCAGGTACAGCAGCCTGACGAAGCAACACAACAGTCTGAGGAAGCAACACAACAGTCTGAGGAAGCAACACAACACATCATTCTAACAGTGGAAGTGAAGAAAAGCTCAATGAAGTGGCCTTATCAAACCAGTGGAGTGGGGGTTACAGAAATACACTTAAAACTTTGGCAGAGATTTTACCGTCCAGCAGGAGAATGACCCCAAACACAAAAACCAGAGATACACTGGAAAAAAGCTCTGAAAGTTAAAACAAATAAAAGTCCAGCCTTAAATCTAATTGAAAAACCTTAAAACTGCTGTTCACCAACTCTGTCCATCTAATCTGACAGAGCTTGAGTTGTTTTGTGAAGAAGAATGGGCAAAAACGTTCAGTCTCTAGATGTACAAAGGTTGTAAAGTCGTACCCCAAAATATTTGCTGCTGTGTTAGCGATAAAATGGCGGTCGCACAAAGTAGTGTGCGAGCCCCGCGTTGCAGCTTTTGTGTGAGAGGTCTGTTCAAAATAAAATCTGTATAATGTGTCATTGTAGATTAGGTTAAGAGATTCTTTATTCATCCTACAGCGGGGAAATTTCAGTGTTGCATCACAAGTTATAGAGCAGTAGGAAAGAGGCGCACACAGCACAAGATACGTGACCAATAGCTGTACTAATTAAAATAAAACAAAATCTCAAACTCTGGCATCAAAGAACAAGTACAAACTCTGTATCTTGAACATAATCATAAGCCCTAAATCATAACAGCAGTCATCCCAGAAGTTGTCCATTCACCAATAACAGATCAGAGAATCAAACAGTTTGAGCAGAGGAAATGCAATAATAACAGTGGTCCATAGGGGGCGGGATGAAGGTTAATTAACAATAAAGCAATAAAGCAGAATACAATATCGCAATAAAATAGAACAATTAGATGAACTATCAAGGCAGAGTGCAGATGGAGCGCTGTGAGGCCTCTCGTCACCCGCGGACACCTGCAGGAGGAGAGCGACTGTGGGGCAGAAGCGGCCCTCATCATATCAATAAGGATATCTTTCTTATTTCATTCAGATAACACTGTGTGTTATTCTGCACAGCGCGCACTGCAAGGCAATGATTATAATTTTCTTCTGATCATAAAGAGCACTGCTTGTCTCAAATAAATACAAATATATATATATATATAACGTGTCCCGTGTAAAATTGAAGATTGTACATTGACGATGGTAGCCTAGCTGATGATCTTGTGTCAATACGAATACTATTATTATTATCGAGATAATATTTCCCACAGTGATTTCGGCCTCTAAAGAGAAAACAGTCTGGAGATGACGTAAGAAGTAGACGCATATAGCAGCGCGAAGACGTTATGGTCCCGTGCTTTTCTAAACTATCATTTATATTGTTTGAATTGACATATTGTTACTGAGTCAAATTTAACATATAGTGACCGACCTTTTACGTGTTTGCAAAGTTACAAAATAAATCTAGCCAGAAAAGTCTTCGTAATTTTTTTTTATTTCGGCTGGAATTACAATTACTTAGCATATTTAGACAAATAATTTACACAGTTTCATTATGATCACGATTTCCTTGCAACAACAAATTCTGGTTTAGTGAACAATCAATTTGGCAAAAGGCTGTATCAGCGCAAAATACATAGCGGTCAACTGACCGCAGGGGGCGGTGCAAGGTATGTTTAGAGCACGGCGGTCCTAGTGTTAATATAAACATAAATGTCCATAAACTGTTCATAGACCCTGGATAGGCTGTAGATCCAGGACTCAGGCTGTAGAACGAGGACTGAGGCTGTAGATCCAGGACTCAGACTGTAGATCCAGGACTGAGGCTGTAGATCCAGGACTCAGACTGTAGAACGAGGACTGAGGCTGTAGATCCAGGACTGAGGCTGTAGATCCAGGACTCAGGCTGTAGATCCAGGACTCAGGCTGTAGATCCAGGACTGAGGCTGTAGATCCAGGACTCAGGCTGTAGAACGAGGACTGAGGCTGTAGATCCAGGACTCAGGCTGTAGAACGAGGACTGAGGCTGTAGATCCAGGACTCAGGCTGTAGAACGAGGAATGAGGCTGTATAATAAAAAAAATATATAAAACCGGTTCTCTGGGCGTCCATCTGAGAGTATGACATCATCACATTGTACAATCCCACCAATGAGAGCTCACGTTACTGTATAAACTTTAAGTGCCCTCCTGTCCCCCCCACAAACCCCCGTCTGACCCATACCCTCTTACCCACAGTGTCCCAACAGCCGGTCCCGGTCCACGGCTACAGAGTGAGCGGAGTGCCTGAACCCGTGGTGTACCCGGCCTCCTACCCCCCGCCCCCGTCCTACTGCAACCACCCCCCACCCTCCTACGAACAAATATTCCAAAACAGCGACAAGACGTAGCTCCAGGCGCAGACTTTTGGACTGAGGAACATTCAGGAGGAGGAGGAGGACCACGCTGAGACCGGGTTCGGGAGCTCCAGCCTCACACAGCATGACACTGCACTGATCCAAATCTAAGTCCTGGTTTTATGGACGCTGGACTTCTGTATATTTAACCAGTTTGTGACAATGAGGAGAAATGTGGCTCTGTGGTTCTACTCTAGTCTATTCTAGTTTATTCAACTTTATTACAGACTCTAGGTCCAATTTACAACAGACAGACGGCACAAGACGGACAATTCTACTCTAATCTATCAATTCTGTTCTACACTAGTTGTGCTGCTAGACGAGACTATGAGCGGCCATTAAAGCTGGGGTACCTAACTATCAAAGCACAATACACTGAGTAATGTAATAATTATTGTTGGGTCAAAACTGTTTCTATCACCAGTTTTCACACGCAAGACTTTGAAATAGCTTTTTTTTCAGACAGAAAAAGTGAAAAGGAGAGGACCAACCCAGACTCAGCCAATCAGCTCTCAGCCCAAAAAGGTTCTTTAAGCTCAAAGATAACATGGAACACGAGCTAGTCCTGGGTTCGATTCCAGCTCCAGGCCTTTCTGTGTGTGGAGTTTGCATGTTCTCCCTGTGTCTGATAGGTTTCCTCCACCACTAAATGATTGGAACAAAAGAGTCAGGTGCCACAGCTTTAAGAGGATTTAGATACGATTTGACTGAACTGACAAAAGGACAAAAATGGTCTTCTGGATGTACTCAGAACTGCTATTTCAAAGTTTTCTCATGCTGTGTTCAGACAAAAATACATGTACAACGCTATCAACGGTCACAAAGGTCTATCATTGATGTGAAGTTTGAATATCAATACAATACAATATTATAATAATTAGCAAAGTCACGGTATCTCGTTCTTATACATCATCTTCTGTTGGGTTCCAGTCTGGTTTCAATGTCTATACACTGATCCATGGACCAGTTCTACACACAGCCTTTTCTTTGAGACCTTTGTTAGTGGAAAAACTAGGACATAAGGCTTCAACGGATAAACTGAGAGGTCAATTCAGAACGGCCATCGCACAGCGAAGGCTTAAAGGAGCAGTGTGTAAAAATGTGGCCAAAAGTGGTACTGCAGCCTCTCCCAATCTCCGACTCAGGTTGCCAGATATGCAGACGAATCCAGCTGGGACCATATCTGAATAGACAGTAGTTTAGTCAACAACAAATCTATAACCAACACCTTTTTCACAAAGATAGAAATCCTGGTTTATTTTCCTGTTTTTATCGTTAATGATTTGAGAATCATAACAAGACCTTTTTTAGTTTTGTGGCCACATGGTACTTTACCAGTGAGATCAGCTCCATGCGGTGAGTTCTGGCAACCCGGATCACTGACTTTCTGATTGGTGAAACGATGGAGGGCGGGACATAGAAATGAAAACAATAACATGTACGGGCTATAAAACAAATTTTAAAATCCAAATATCTCTGAACTACTGTTATTGATTAAAGAATATTGGAAAAGAGCATGTTTTATTAATGCCTTTTGACAGATTAGGGCCCTTTTAATGATAACTTGACATGAAAATCTTACATATTGCTCACTTTGCTTCATACTTTGTCTGGGCACAAGTCTGTAGATCCCCCTCTCCTCTCCTCCTTTTTGAAGAACTGGTGAACTACTTGTAGCTTGTGTGTAGTCGCTGGATAGCAGGGCTCACATCTGCATGTTGTGTTCTTGTGCAGGCAGTGGAGAAAGATGTTGGAATCTTGAAATACGCACAAATGAAGTTGTCTCTGCCAGGACTGAAAGACCACTTGAAGCTGGGCCATGCCTTTGAACAAGTCCAATAAAGAAAAAAAAACTGCTTCACAACAAAAAAGTGTAGTTCATTCTGTTGAAAAAATTGGCTGTTTTAATCTAAAGTGTATTTTTCTCTGCTGTTGGAATGAAAAGAGAAACTTGGAAGCTGAGTTTAATAACAACGGTTTATTACTTGGCACTTTTGAGAACTGTTAAAGGTACCGTGGATAGGAACAAGCACGTGGCATTTCTTCTCAGGCTGCATGAACACAGAAGCATAGGTACACAGTATAGGTACAGAAGGCAAAGAGCTGGCCAATCAGACGCATGCACTCACATTCAGGAGGTCTGTGTGCATTCACGGGCTGTCGGCACCGCCACACAACACCACATCGAAAAACACCAGGACACCGCAGGGGAAAAGACACAGTACAGACCTCTTACTGTAAACTCCAGGTACGAGGAACAAAAACAAATACATTTAGAACATTAGGATGCACATAAGTCAGAGCAGTTTGACAGTCAATGAAATGCATGTGTTTTATCTTCTAGCTTATCTCTTCTGGCAGTTTGGCAGTTTTGTGTCAAAGATCCAAGCCGTCAAGTAACCATGTGGAGTGATTTTGATTTGATACGTGACTGGGGATTAACTTGATAAACAGTGGCTGAGTGGTAAGTAGTCCTTAAGAGTCTGTAAATGGTCCTGGGATCCAGACCTGGGATCCACACCTGGCTGGGGTAAGGCGGTTCTATAGAGTTTGCATATTCAGGTACTCTAGACCAGTATTTTTCAACCAGTGGCCCTTGGTATATTAAGTGTGCCTTGAAATGTTGTGTGGTGTGTCTATGGAAATGGTCCAATATCCCCAATTGGTCAAAATAATGTTACTGCCTTGTTCCTGAACGCTGCAGTTTCATGTTTGTATCAGTTTCAGCTGGTTGTGTCCCGTGTGATTGTTAACAATGAAAAGGTTGTACCACGGCTCAATAAGGATCGGGGAACACTGCTCTAGACCACAGTAGCTCACGGCCCCTGACAGGTGGCCCCAAGGCAGAGGAGTGGGGAACATTCAGAGGACATCTGCGCCTTCATCATTAATAGTTGTTGTATATAGCAGTAATAAGCACTTGCCAAGACAGCACCAGCAACCTTCCAGCCGTGGGTGCATGCTTTACAATCTACACCACTGTCATCAAAAGTACGGCCGCTGTGGAGCCGATGCTGAACAATGTTGTCTTGAAACTGTTTGCAAAATGTTCTGAATCAAGTTGTATGTAGCAGGCACATGGAGGATGATGTAGCTTTATGAAATGAAAAGCGTTGAAACATCCATAGAGACCTGTGCATGCTGTTTGAAGTGTTCTGTCAAGGGGAGAATTCAAGTATAGAGACCAGTTACACGGAGCATGCACAGCCAGAGTGTGGCCTTAGTGCTGCCAACGCAGACAACACACACAAACACAGTCCACTGCTTCAGAGTCCTCCAAGCACAAAGGTCAAGAGCAACACAAACACAGAGCTCCACTCCTCTGAGGAGAGCCACCTCCAGTCTTCATCAGAGTTCAAAGGCTGGGAAACATGATGCTTCAGGGTTTGACATCTCCGACAAGTAGTGGATGGTCCCTGCCATTCCTGAAACCACAGACGTAGATTGGAAGTCTACATGATCTGAATTCTGCACCGAAGAAACTTGAAATTCCTAATAAAGCTGACACAACCATGTCACAGACTGATGTGTGTTTTTTTCCCCCGATGTACCAACTCATTAGAGGATTTCTAAGTGTGTTCTACTGCAGCGCTCAGTGTTCATGAGAGTGGAGATGCTTCACCTTCGAACAGTGAGTAGGGTCTGTCTGGGATGCGGCAGCCATGGGTGCCATAGTCCAAACACCACTCTGCAAACTGCACACACACAGTCAGGCTTTGCCCTGATCTCAGTAACTGTGGATAGAGAGGTCCAGACTGACCTTACACGCCCGGTACAAGTACTTCTGCTCCTGGGTGACTTTATACATAGAGAGGAAGGCGTAGCCGTTGCCGGCGGTGCCGTGGCAGATGCCGTAGCCTTTTCGAAGCAGGCCCCGCTGCCAGATGACTTCAGCACAGTCTGAGGCCTCCCTCAGATACTTGTCTTCTTTAAAGACCTGAAAGGTCAGAGTAGTGTTACTGTAACAGACATATGTATGGCTTTATAAGCTGCTCACCTTGTGGGCCAGCAGCAGCAGGTGGATGACCCCTGGGGCCCCGTGGCACCAGTGCACTAGTCGGTCCGACTCGTTGCTCAGGGACGAGGGGAAGTTCCCAGAGCGAAACCTCTTGTGACGGATGTAGTCGATGCTCGGCCGGATTAGTTCAGCCATCATGTCAGGGTGAACTTTGGCACTGGGCTGAGATACAAACACTCTCATTGATAAGTCTGTAGTTTAAATGTTTGTAATGGTAGAGTTTATGACCACCTGCAGGAGCATGTAGTAGATCCCGGCCAGTCCATGAGCTGCTCCCACGTACTGCTTCTTGTGCCATTCGTACAGCAGGGGGCAGCGCTCAAACTTCTTCTGCTCTGCCGAGAAGCTCTTTCCAGACTCAATAATGGTTATGACCACCTGCACAGCAAATCACAAATACTTAGTCATGATAAAAGTACTGCTTCCAAAGAGCTTACTACAAAAGATTACTTTATATGTTGTTCTAATAATATTTTCAGGTAGAACAAAACAAATTCAGTTATATTTGTATTAAACCAGACCTGGACCAAACATAGGGACGGATGTTAATGTACACAATAATAAGGAAATAATTACCCTAATTCTTAGTAATTGTGTTTTGGGTTCAGCTTTTAGATTAGAATAAACATTGAATCAGTTGTTCACTGGGCCAGTGGACAGGTTCACTGCTCAATGCTTGCAAGTTAATAATGCAAAATGTAAGTCATGGGAGCCACATGTTTGAAACTCCTGGTATAAGTATTTAGTTAGCTCATTAGCATCTTCGCCCGCATGTTGTCTAAGGTCTTCACTGACCTGTGAGAGCATAGCCTCGTCCACAGCCTCAGCTCCGAGCTCTTTGCACACGTACAGCAGAGCGAAGAGGTATCCAGAGCGCCCATAGAGGATCTCATCAGGCATGTCTCCATCAGGACTCAGCACAGAGGCCTGAAGCTGCAGCAGGCTGCACACACACCACATGTTGGGGTGCATTCAAGAAGACTTAAATAAATGGTTCTATTGACTCACCGAGACAAACAGTCTTTGCTCTCAGCGCTGTTGCCCAGTTTATGGTGCACTACTGCCCCCACAGCCAGAGGCCCCGCATCCCCACACAAAAAGGTCACTCTCCGTCCATTGAGGATCCGCATACTCCTCTTCACATAGTCCAGCGCTCGCTGAATGTGAGAGGCCTCGCCGGACACTCTGTGCAGCTGCAAGTACAACAGGGCGATACCTGCACAAGAAGCAAAGCATGAGACTCAAGCAGAGGAGCAGCTTGAGCAGCTGAGACCAGGCCCCACCGGTCCATCCAGTGTACGCAGAGAAGTCATGGGGGTCAGCGGTCTTCAGACCCTCCTCCATCTGCAGCAGCAGGTCTTTTATCTTACTCTGGACTCTCCTCTCGAATGATGCACTCACCTAAAGATCCACAACAGAACCACATATGTAACAGTCAAAGCCAGACCCAGACTGTCCTTTTGTGGAGCGATGGTAAATATAGATTATTATAACCGGATAAAGCATTTGTTTTATGCAGGTTCAGTTGAAGACCAGAGCATACTTTTTATTTTCAATTTTACTTTATATTACAACAAACAAACATCCTGTGTCCAATCTGACAGACCATGTTTATATGCTGCGTTATTTGGTCCAGCTGTTTGCATATGTTACAGTTTTCATGCAGATGCTCAGGAAACTGTTCATAAAGTTACATTTGTGATGAATATTTCAATCCCCAACTAGAAGCTCCTCACACAATACTCTTCTTCTTCGATCTGTCAAATGTTTTGAAGCGAACTATGTTGTGCTAAAGTTAGCTTAGCTCAATAGTCTAATATAAAATAGCCGGTAGAGTTACCTTGCCATCCTCAATGGGCCCCTGGGGGCCTTCGTCTGCCTCTGAGTCCGCGCTGGCGGTGCCTGGGTCCCAGTCCGGGTGCGGGTTGTGGAAGGAGCGGTCCTCCGGGTCTCCGTCTGAGGACAGCAGCTTCAGACGCTTCGACATGTTCTCTCCCATCACCACCACGGAGGCTGCGAAGGGACAAACCACTGCTCTGGCGGAGACTGCGCACAAACACTTCTTCTTCTTCTTCTTCTTCTAATGGTTTGCGGCAGGCTGTACGCTAGCAAAGCGTAATGCTGCCCTCTTCTGTTCACTCAACTCACTTCACTTTACTTCAGATTCTTGAGTAGAGGTTGGTGGAGAGAAGATAGCTCACAACCGCCCTATCTATTAAACGCGAGTTTGGCCTACACGAAAAAATTGATCTTATTGAAAACTCAGTAAGCCCAAGGGTTGCAAGGTCTTTAAATAACTTTCCCCTTTCCACAGAATAACAGGTGCACGACAGCAACACATGTGGAATAGTCTCCAACTGACCACACTGACACAGCCCGTCTGGATGCTTGCCCATTGTATACAAATATGCATCAAGCCCACAATGCCCCAGTCTTAATCTGGTTATTTTAACTTGGTTTGATCGGCAGGTGTACCACAGGAGTCTACTACCCTGCACTAGAGGTTGACACCTAAAATAGTGTCTCCCTCTCGTCTCATTCTCCCACTCCCTCTGCCATTGTTGGTGCATAGCAGTTTTAAAAATACTGACACACTCAGCCTTCCCCAACCGGACCACATATTCAATTTCTGTCTCGAGAAGTGCCTCCTTAGCTAATGTATCAGCAGCTTCATTCCCCACTATTCCTGAATGAGATGGGATCCAGGAAAAAACAATACTAGACCCCATCAGCTCTATCCGGCGAAGGCAACACAAAATCTCCAGCACAATATCTGCCCTAGCCCCAGAGGGACCATCCGAAATTGCCTGTAAGGCAGCCATAGAATCAGAATAAATATACGCCGTTTCAGGCTGATTTCTCTCAACCCAATCTACCGCCCACCAAATGGCTAACAGCTCAGTAGTGAACACAGAGACATGATCAGACACTCGCATACTTTTTCTACTTTCATTATTCATAATGTAGACTCCAAACCCAGCTTTTCCTGAGCTTGGGTCCTTAGACCCATCTGTAAAAATGTGGTACGAAGTTTCCTTATTAAGAGCCACAAACTCATTTATTTGGCCACTAACACGACCTTTGTCCAGCCCAAGCAGGTCCAATTGGACCTCTGGTTCTGGCAAAAGCCAGACTGGAAAAGAGGACCACACTGATGCAGCAACATTCCCATTCTCCAGGCCCACCTTACTAGCCAACTGCCAGATAGATCTTAGAAAACTCGCCTTTCCCTCCCTCTTTACAAATTCCCAGCAGTCCTCCAAGAGGCACTTGGCCGCAGAATTATGCTGAAGTCCTGCTAGTCTGGCCCAGTACTGGAGTCCCAGCTTCTGCCTTCTAATATTTAAAGATGTTTCCCCCATTTCAACCAATAGCGCAGGTATGGGTGTGGTTCTAAACGCTCCACTGCAGACTCTGAGGGCTTTTGCTTGAACTCTGTCCAGCTTTATTAATACAGTTTTAGCCGCAGCACCAAATACAAAACAACCAAAGTCCAATGTTGATCTTATCATTGCTCTATAGATCATAAGCAGAGTTGATCGATCTGCTCCCCAGTCACTGCCAGCCAAACTACGAAGAACATTAATTACTTTTTCACACTTCCCAACAGTCTTTTCAATATGCCTGTTCCAGGTCAGCCTCTCATCCATCCACATTCCAAGGAATTTGAACACATTTACCTTTTCTAACTGGTTACCATATAAATACAAAGATCTTTGGGGCAATTTCTTTTTTAGACCAAATATCATGTAATTACTTTTAGATGCTGAAATTTTAAAACCCCACGTGTCTGCCCAGCATACTATTTGATCCAAGGCTACCTGAGTTTGCTTAATTAAATATTCTAAATTTTTACCCCTACGCCAAATAGCGCCGTCGTCTGCATAAAGGGATTTCCCAAAAGCTGCATCGACACACTGAAAGATACTATTTATCATTACATCAAATAAAACCGGGCTAATTACAGATCCTTGAGGTGTACCATTCAAAATACTAGCCGTTTTGGAGAATTTGCTTTCTATTTTAACCTGTATTGTTCTACCGTTAAGGAAATCTTTAATCCATAGGAACATCCTTCCCCTAATACCGGCATCAAAAAGTTTAAACAGCAAACCCTCCCGCCACATACTGTCATAAGCCTTTTCTATGTCAAGGAAAACTGCCACCACAGCCTCCTTGTCAATCACTGCCTTTCGAATATCCTGATCCAATACTGCAACAGAGTCCATGGCATTTCTACCAACCCTAAAACCGTTTTGGTAATTCACAAAAAACCCAGTAACTTCTAAAGAATACATAAGTCTATTAGTGACCATCCTCTCCATCACCTTACACAGCACTGAAGTCAATGCTATGGGTCTGTAAGACGACGGAGAGGATGGGTCCTTTCCTGGCTTCAGGATAGGAATTATGACAGCCTGTTTCCAAACCTTGGGTAGCGACCCAGCTTCCCAAATGTAGTTAAACAAGACCAAGATCTCTTCAAGCACTGGATCATCCAGCTGCTGTAAAAGCTTATAACTTATCTCATCTTGTCCGGGTGAAGTATTAGCCCCAGCGTCTACTGCCTCCTTAAGCTCCTTAAAAGAAAAATACACATTAAAAGCACTGTTTGCATCCTCACTGCATGTTAACTTCCACTTGTTATCTTGCAAAACTTCATTTCTAATTCTAAGACTTTCATCCCTTAAAAACTTTGAGTTATGGACATCTTGAAATACTTCTACACACATATTTGCTTTTTCTTTGCTAGAAATAGCTTCTATATTCCCATTCTTTAACACAGGTACACCAGTATTGGTCCTTTTCCCTACCATTCTATGAATCCTAGACCAGATTTGTTTAACTGGGGTTTTAGGGCCCAACGTACTACAGTACTCCCTCCAGCATTTCTTTTTTGCCTCCTTGATAGTCTTCCGAGCTAAAGCCCTACACCTTTTAAAATCAATAACATTTTCCTGGATAGGATGCATCCTTAACTTTTTAAAAGCTTTCCTTCTATTACTTACTGCCGTAGAACATTCCTTGTTCCACCATGGGACAATTATTCGATCACGGGGGAACCTTCTACTTGGGATAGACTCTGAAGCTACCCTTAGGATCATAGCTGACAAAGAGTTACACATGTTATCTATAGAGCCATTACTATCCACCCCTGCCAACCCCTCATTAGTACCTTCCCTGAACTTGTTCCAATCAGCCCGGGAGAAATCCAACCTAGGTGGTGTACCTGAAGATTCCACCACAAGTGCTCTATTAAAAATTGCCATAACAGGAAAGTGATCACTACCAAATGTATCTTCGCCCCAAACTCCCCACTCTGCTAACCTGGCCAGTGCCGGGCATGTAAAAATGAGATCAAGACAAGAAGTCTTGTTTGTATTTATATCAATCCGAGTTGAGCTTCCATCATTCAAGATTATAAAATTACTTCTATCCAAAAATTCCTCTACCACACCCCCATTTGCGTCCCTTTCCTGGCTCCCCCACAGAGGGTTATGGGCATTAAAATCACCCACCCACACAGCAGAGGGACCTGTCCTCCTCTCAATTTCATCAAACTCTGCCAAAATCAGAGGCTTACACGGGTTATAACAATTCACCACAAATATTTTACCCTCAGTGCTCCACACCTCAGTGATTAAACACTCCAAAGAGACTTTACAGTCACATTGTTTATACTGAATACCCACTCTAATAAATGTAGCACACCCACCACCAGACCTATCGCCTCGATCCTTACGCAAACACTCATATCCCGGAATTGAGAAATCTAGACACGATTTCAGCCACGTCTCTTGGACACACACGATATCTGGTTTCACATCAAGATCCCTGATAAACTTCTTAAACTCTTGCCCATTGGCTATAAGGCTCCTAGCATTCCATTGTAGGATGCGGACCATGGGATATTACGCTAAATCCCCCCAAAGAAGGCCTCAAGCCCCCCTTCCTCCATATTAATTTCTTCTTCCTCGACTCCATCCCCTGCCCCACTGCCGGTGCTGGACTGGCTCGATGACTGGTTTTGAGCCCCCTGAGCCTCCTGAACCTCCTTCATGTAGCCGAACAGCAACTGGGGAGCATAGTCTTTAAGCCCCAAAAATCTGCCAGCAGACTCAACCACCCACTTGATTAGATCTGATCTTGACTTTTTACCACGGGATCCATACACAACATCAACAATGAATGCCATAAGTGACTCCTTATTTACTACCAAATCCTGATTAGGGCTGCCATGCGTCTCTATTCGTCGTTTTGAAGCATTTGGAGGAGCCATAACTACAGCCTGGGCCTGAGGCTTTCCCTCCACCTTTTTCACGGCTTCTGCATAAGAGATCTTGTGTTGCTCTTTCACCTCTTGTACGCGCTTTGCTTTTGCAAACACCGCGCAATCCTTAGAGGATGCCATATGACAGCCTCCACAATTACAGCATTTTGGAGACGGCACACTACAGGACGCAATATTGTGCTCTCCTCCACACTTGGTACACCGCCTATTACCGCGACATGAAGCAGCCAAATGCCCAAACCGCTGGCACTTGAAGCATCGCATCGGGGGTCTCTGATAACTTCTAACCGGAAATGACAAACAACCAATAAACACCCTTTCTGGCAAGACATTACCACTAAACGTGATCAAAACTGGAGCATTGGGGTTTCCGCCTTCGCGAGCTTTAAACCGTTTAACTTCACACACAGTCCCACCTTTGATACTTTCCTTTATTTCACACTCCAAAACTTCAGCATATACACCATAGATGACGCCCTGAATAACTTCCTTTTTCTCCACCATCTGTGCCTCCACTTTTTTCCCGGAAATCTTCGCTATCTTAGCCACTTTCCCCCTCTGCTCCTTGCTTTTACACAGGACCAGCAATGCTCCATTCGACAGAGCGCGGGCATCCACGCCCTCCCCAACACTTTTAAATGCCTCGGCCACTTTTAATGGATTTAAGCCTCTAAACCCGTCCCCCGTTTGTTCTTTTAACTTAAAGATAACTCGAAACTCTTCAATCGACTTTGCCATTTTCATTACAGGAACTCCGTCTCTTCCAAGTGAGGCGTCTGCACCACGCTTCCTAGCCCCAGTTTTACTTTTATCCCCTTCCTGAATACCCCTTCCTCCACCTCCCGAGGAACAGGCCATCCAAAAGTTTATACAAGCAAACACTCAAAGCTCAAACTGAGTGGATAGTTTAGTAAGATTTTACGACTTGCTGACACTACAGCGTCTCCGCTCTCCACCAACCGTTCCGCCTCTTCTGCGCACAAACACCATACAATAGATCCATGATACAAACACACACCTCTGGATCAATGCACACAATCTCTGCATGTGGCCACAGCCAGAGGGTCACAGGGTGTAACAGAGGGGCACAGGGTGTAACAGAGGGTCACAGGTGGACACTTACAGAGGGTGAACAGTCTCAGAGAGGACTGTTGTGGTCCGCAGTTGTCACAGTCACAGTAGTGCTCTGTTACCGGTGTCCCCGCAGTCACAGCTGGCATGTGTGCGTCCTGTGGCCGTGCATCGGTGTCTCCATCGCTGGACCGCAGTGTCTGCCTCCGCCCTCCTCACAGCCCGGACTCCGGCTCCGACTCCGACTCCGGCTCTGGTTCTGGTTCTGGTCTCCGGCTCTGGTCTCTCGCACTGACAGATGGCGGTGCCTGGTGCGCCTGCTCTCATCAGCTCCTCTCACTCTGCTTTCACCAGCCTCCCTGCTCCTCTACCCAGGGATTACAGAGATACAGAATCAGACAGGGCTTTAGAGCAATCCACATTTCGAATTAAAACCATTGGAATATGAATACTAATTTAAATGGTCTAAATGAGAGCAAAGGGAAAGGATGGGTGAAAAGGGTCAGCTCAGAGAGGGTAACAGGGGTAAAGGGGTAAGAGCAATAATATAAAACATCCATGTTTAAGAGGAGCAAGCAGTATTTTTGTACGGATCAAAAATGCACATTGAAATGTTTCTGTGGATCTTCAGCAGGTTGTAATTGCCCTGTCTCCCCAGCGCGGGGCAGCAGAGTGCTTCAAAGACCTTTACGCATGCGCACTTCTGTCCCCCTCACAATAACAATGGCGGCCTCCGCAGCGGTGTGCCGCGGCTTCAATGTGAGACACACACACTGTCCCAGGACCATACCCAGGACATGTCTCCGGGTGCTACGGGCGCAACTGTCTACCCGAGCGGGAGTAGGTCTAACCCGGCCAGAGCAAGGGCCAGAGCAAGGGCCAGAGCAAGGGCCAGAGCAAGGGCCAGAGCAAGGGCCCGAGGAGGCTCACAGACACACGGGAGGTGGGTAATGTCACTGCTGCTGTGCGTGTGGACATTACACAAGTACTTTTAACAAAAACAATCAAGGTCATAATATTAAAGGTTTTCCAAATGTTCTCCCAGATGGCCTTATATTTGGTACTTCCTGGTTGTGAATTGCCCTTTGTAATGCTTTTTTGGATCTACTTCAGTCTGATCAGTTTCTATTTCATTGAAATGCCATTGGACTAATATAATTTTAATCTCAAAGACAATGATCAGGATACATTTTCAAACAGTTCCGCCTCAAACTTCTGTAAGAAAACTCCTCATTGTTTCGCACAGGATTACACATAAACTGCACTTATTGAGGTTTGCATATATTTTTAACCAAAGCAAGCTATGGTGCTGTTAAAAAATGAATAATTAAATATACACCGTGTAACCTTAAAACTGTTGTTTTGTCTCTATGGCTATTGTATTTTCTTTCTTCAGCAAAACCATAAATGTTATCAAACCATAAAAGTGAATTGACAAGCTCCCATTGGTGATGGCTGCCATGTGTCCTTGGGCAAGACACTTACCCCACCTCGGCCCCAGCGTCTGTGTCCACTTGTGTACGATTGTGTAAATGGGTAAATGATAGAAAAGTGCTGTATAAATATGAGCTGGTGTTCACGATGTACTGTTGATTTGTTTCATTCCTAGACACAAAGAAGACTGGACCAAAAGCTTTACACGTTCTACAAGCGCAGCGCAGAGAAGAAGCTGAGAGATCGGTGTTGATCAGCTGCCTTCCCAGAACGCACCACAACAAGTTTCTCAAGTATCTGTCCAGACACGGAGACGTCAACAAATGCTTCTTCTACGAAAGCTTTGTACGTCCTGCGTCATTTGCATCGTGATGAAAGATAGTCGTGGTAGTGGTGGCAAAACGTCAACCAAAAGAGGATTTAGAATTGAGACTCGTAGGTTTTTATATCGTGATAAATCAACTTCATAAACGTTCTTATTGCAATGACAAAGTAACTCTAAAGCAGGATTAATTCAGCGAGTGCAGAACTGATATGTTTATCCCCTTTCCTCTGAAAAATTTGAAAAATACCTCTTCTTTCATGTCCAAAAGTTGAATCTTTTTTGGCATAAATCACAATGAACCAGCTGTGATGTAATGCTGTAGTAAACAAATGTGTTATGAATTATTTAAAATGTCTGTATTATCATTCAGCCAAAACAGTGAAATTCGCTTGTACATATTTGAAATTATATCTACAACTTGCAAACGTAGTGGTCAGGGACAGATCTCTTTCTGTTTGTTTATTGATATTAATGGGGACAGTTAAAATGGAAGCCTCATTCACAGACCTGCATACAATAATAATAATTGGTCGTGGAAACAGAAGCAGGAGCTCAGTCTGATCCATCTGTCAACTACCTACAGGTACGTCTGGGTCCGATCCTAGTGGCTGTAGTTACCTCTGTTGTATCCATTTCGACCAATCAGAGAGCGGGGGAGGCGGGTGTTGTAGGCCGTGTCAGTGACGTCAAGAGTTTGTGCTGAATTTGCATGTTGTAGTTTAGTGACGGCGGCGAATGCGATGGTAGTAATAGTAGTAGTAGTAATCTTTATTTATATACCGCCTTTTCACTGCACATCGGAGTCTCAAAGCGGTTTACAATTGTTATTTTTGGGAGTGGGGGTACCAGTACAGGAGGCACATGCCAGACCTATTGTACATATTTTTAGTGGTAGGGGAAACCGGAGCACCCGGAGGAAACCTACGCATGGTGTTTGTGTTCAAGTCCCTTTCTCAGTCCTCAGGATCAGTACAGTCTCTTCTGTGTTCCGGTCCTCTCTCTCTCTTCTAACTAGCTCTCTCTCCTCTAACTAGCTCTCTCTCTCTCTCTCTTCTAACTAGCTCTCTCTCTTTCTCTCTTCTAACTAACTCTCTCTCTGTCTCTCTTCTAATTAGCTCTCTCTCCTCTAACTAGCTCTCTCTCTCTCTCTCTTCTAACTAGCTCTCTCTCTTCTAACTAACTCTCTCTCTTCTAACTAACTCTCTTTCTCTCTTCTAACTAGCTCTCTCTCCTCTAACTAGCTCTCTCTCTTTCTCTCTTCTAACTAACTCTCTCTCTTTCTCTCTTCTAACTAGCTCTCTCTCCTCTAACTAGCTCTCTCTCTCTCTCTCTCTCTTCTAACTAGCTCTCTCTCTTTCTCTCTTCTAACTAACTCTCTCTCTTTCTCTCTTCTAACTAGCTCTCTCTCCTCTAACTAGCTCTCTCTCTCTCTCTCTTCTAACTAGCTCTCTCTCTTTCTCCCTTCTAACTAACTCTCTCTCTTTCTCTCTTCTAACTAGCTCTCTCTCTCTCTCTCTCTCTCTCTCTCTCTCTCTCTCTCTCTCTCTCTCTGGCTGTTGTCCTTGTTGTGGCAAAGGTTGGTGTTTGTTTGGTCCTTGGCTCACACCTCCGGGCTTCACTGGGTTTTCCGGCCTGACGCTCTCAGATACATGTTTCCATGTGAGAGGAGATGCATTATTCCTCTTCCTCCCAGGGCACGTACGCTGTGGTGGAGTTCTCCGATCGGGATGGAGTGGGGTCTCTGCTTGAAAGCGCCGCCGTCCCCAGCATCAGTCATGAGTCTGTGGTTCCTTTGAGATCCAGACTCTTGGCTGTACGAAACATCAGTACTGTGGACACGCAGAGCGCCCCCCAGTGTCAGCCGCAGAAGGCCCTCCCCATCAACGACCTCATCCAGCAGCTGTCCTCCTGCACCAACGTACGCACTACTTCAGGCTAAACAGTTGTTTATCTGTAGCCGTAAACCAGTTTCTCCGAGAAAGGTCAATTGAGTGGGAGCCCGAGGTCACCTGTCACTGGCCATGGTCAATGGACACGCCCATTCTCTCTCTCTATACAGGTGTGCTTGAGGGTTTACACACCAACACAACTGTACAGAGGGAGATTTAATTTATTTAAACACACTATCATATAATTTTTTTTTTCTATTTTCAATGATAATATAACAGTAAGAAGTCTACTTCACTGGGAGCTTTTCAATAGCCTATATTTCCTATGACGGCTTGGATTGGTCCCATCCTCATGCCATGAAACAGACAGACCGACAGTTGCTACAATGATGACAATATGGCTTCACACAACCTGTAAAAACAATATTGTTACAGGTTAGGGTTAGTTGCCCATAGGATTTTGATTATATGGGCAAAATAATAAGAATCCTAGCTCCTGTAAATTTCTCCTGTGTGAGATTAATAAAGTACATCTTATCTTATCTCTATATGTAAACTCTCAAGCACTGCTGTATATAGTAGTAGTTTCAAACAGTTCTTTAAAAGTATATAGGAGGATTTTTTCATATTTTAGGAAAGAACCACCCTCTACACTTTTTGAACAAAACACTCCGGTCTTATTTGACGAGCACGTATCACCAGAATGATTGACAATTAGGAGAACCAATAGTCTTGATGATCCAGCTGGAATTAGAACATTTTCCTTTATACTTTTAACACAAGGTAAAGCTATAGGCCACATTGTTGTACCCATTTGGATGTTTGTGTTGTAAACATCACAAGTGAAAGTAAGTTGCTCTGTGTGTGTCAGCTGGAGCAGCAGATCGTGTCCCTCACAGAAGCCCACTCTCTGACAGAGGAGAACATCCGCCTCCGTTTCCTGGTCTGCTCTTTACTCAACGACGTGGCTTCTGCCTTCTTCCCCGACTGCTCCATCCGGCCCTTTGGCTCCTCCGTCAACGGCTTTGGGAAGCTGGGATGTGACCTCGACATGTTTTTGGACCTGGATGCCATCGGTGCGGGCAAATCAAATGTGGTAAATTTTATAGGTATTTTTTATCAAGAAAATGGGTTGCTTCTTATTTTCAATGTGTACGTCTAGTAAAGCTGCTGAGGCTAAATGTCCCTATGGGGGATGATACAATTAGAGTTACCCAGCTACCTCTGCCTCACCCACCACTTCTCTGGGAAGGGCAGGTCAGAGTTTTTCCAACAGGTCTTTGTGAAATGTATGTATCAATCCATAAGCAATCCACATCTATTTATTTGTATAGCACAATTCATGCACAAGGCAATTCCAAGTGCTTCACGCATTAAAAACACAGAACAAAGAGGCCATACCGATACATCAAAATAAGTGAAGAAATGAGACCACTGCATGGATTCTTTGTCTTATTCAAAAACATTGTATATTTTTCATACTTGTTGAAAGAGCCCTATGAATCACTATTTGATGATTTTTTCATTTTTCTGTCTAAAAAGCTGATCCTCGGAGGAGACCGAGGCCAAAGAGACATGTGTTTGAAAACTAGTGACAGAGCCAAACTGTTTTTAAGACCAAGGAACTATTATATGGACTTTATAACATAGTAATTGTGGTTGAAAGTTGGGGACCCCAGGTGTAATTGAAGTCTCTGTGAACTTTAGCACTTACTTTAGCACTGCTCTCCTCATGACGGCAGAATGACCTGAGTGTGATGTGTCCCCAGTCTCGCTCCACCGCCCCGTACGTGGAGTATCAGATGAAGAGGAGCAGCTCGGAGCGGGCGGTGACTCAGGGCGTGTTGTCGGTGATTGCAGAGTCTCTGGAGCAGTTGGGGCCCGGCTGTGTGGGCGTGCAGAAGATCCTCAACGCCCGCTGTCCCCTGGTCCGCTTCGCCCACCAGCCCTCGGGTTTCCAGTGTGACCTCACCGCCAACAACAGGTGAACGTGCCAGAACAGACCTCACTTTGTCCAGCGCTGAACCCCTAGCCCCCTTGGGACTTCTGCGCTTATGCACCTCACTGATGTTTTACACTGTACTACACAAATATTGTCATGAACTTTTACAATAACGAGTGTCTACAAAGATACAGCTTTGTCCTCCTCCACCATCATGATCCGTAGTTATTATGTACTTCATTTGACTGCTTAAACCAAATGTTTATATTCAGTTTTTGTGGCTTATGTTGCACAACATCTGACTGATATATACTGTTCTAAAGGCCTGATAAGATGAACATATTTGGGTCATACAGTAAATCATCTTCCTCAGTGATATAATCTATAACTCCTCTTAATGGTTCCAAACCGCCTCTTCGACTCCACTCCACATGGATGTAAAATAACTGACTCTATAACATTAACTGAGCCTGTGTCCCTCAGAGTGGCCATGCGCAGCACTGAGATGCTGTATGTGTTTGGAGAGCTGGACCCCCGGGTGCGGGCCCTGGTCTTCACTGTCCGCTGCTGGGCCCGAGCTCACGGCATCACCAGCTCCATCCCCGGAGCCTGGATCACCAACTTCTCCCTGACCATCATGGTGGTCTTCTTCCTTCAGAGGAGGAGTCCCCCCATCCTGCCCACTCTAGACCAGCTTAAAGAACTGGCAGGTATGATGTATGCAGCGTGGAAGCCCTACTCCACTCCTTTGGGCATAATGTACTGTGTTATTGGACTATAAGGCGCACCTTCATATAAGCCGCACCACCTACATTTGAAAAGATAATGTTGCCGCACTTGAATATAAGGCACATATGAGACAAAATATAAGACAAAAAATGATTTAATGAAGAGGTGTTTAACAGTTACCGATAGCTTCCATGACTCATTCACCTTTTTCCACTTTTGACAATAATCAAGTCTCCTATAGCTACTAAAATAATTTGTTCATAAACTCAGCTCAAGAATTAATAATGAAGCATTTACAGGTAGCCAGGAAGCATATCAGCTACTGTACTTATGTTGTATATTTTGTGTGTTTAAATGTTTCAGGGCCCTCACAAAAGTGCATCATCGACGGTAACGACTGCACGTTCAGCAGTGACTTTGACAAGATCCAGATGAAATCCAACTCCGAGTCTTTAGGTGAGAAAATACGATCATTTCTACAAATGTATTATTCCCAAAACTAACTCTGCTTTCTTTGTCCCAGATCGACTTCTGAGTGACTTTTTTGAATTCTACAGCACATTTCTCTTCAACAAAATGTCAATTAACATCAGAAAGGTATTTGAACGCCTCCCATTATCACCAAAATGCCTTATATCGCCAAGTTCTGTGAGTCAGGGGCTGAGAAGAGTCTGTGATGTCAGTGCAGAATTCCCCACAATCCCACTTTTCCACAGGACAAAGCTAAGGCCTGTCGCAGTTACACTTTTGATCCTGTAGAGGGCGATGTGAGCACCTGAAATAAGGCTCTGAATAACAGCTGAGTCAAAGCTAGAGCCCTCACTACAGAAAGAGTAAACTCAATCATTGGAAAGAAACTGTTTTATATTATGGATGGAATAGACTCGAATACAGTGGGAACTTGTTGGAGTTTAATCCAAGGTTCCTGCTGCTGTGTGCCATCTTGGAGGAGACGGGAGATTCTCATACACATTATAACTATTTAGGTAGATGGATGGATACTTGATTGATCCCTGTAGGAGAAATTCAGGTGTCATGCAGTAGAAACACATCCATCCATTCAAACTAATAAATAAATATGTGGAAAGGTTACTAACAATTGTAGTATTTAATATATGTGTAAGTATAGTATGAGTTTGGTCCTATCTCTAGTTTCCACATGCGTGTAATTTTGGCCTCCGTCACATCTTTTGATCAGCTTTTTCAGACAGAAAGATTGAAAAAGAGATGTTCACCCTCATTCAACCAATCAATTCTCAGCCCAAAGACTCAAATAGTGACTCACTGGGTATATTTTCTGATAAGATGAAGCCCGTTCTGGTCCGACTCTTTCTGTGGGGTGTGAGCGAGTGTGGCTGCGGGACTAACAATGGAAATTAGCTTCAAAAATCTACAATCTGGTGTATTTACGGGTACAAATACATAAACAAAATTCAATTCGGTTTGTTTTGTGTAGCCCTGAATCACAACAGCAGTTATCTCAGAGGACTTCACAAAGCTGTCGACAGATCAGAGAATCAAAGAGTTAAAACTCAGGAAAAGCAACAATAACAAACACATAGAGCCATTGGTCCATTCTTACTTTACATGTTAGAAGCATGAGGGTGTAGGACAAAGTGACAGTGGACACATGTGATCCTATATTGTACATAAAGTCAGGTATTCCAGTTTTAAAGTCCACGTTTTCAAGACCCCTCTCTCTCCTCCGTCAGGGCAAAGAGGAGCACAAGCCGGAGCTGGGGCCCCTGCACATCCAGAACCCCTTCGAGACCTCCCTGAACGTCAGCAAGAACGTGAACGCCACGCAGCTGGAGCGCTTCGTGACGCTGTGTCAGGAGAGCGCCTGGAGCCTGCAGAACGGCGGGACCCTCACCGCTCTGCTGCTGCCCTCGCACGTCGCCGCCATCAAGAGCCGAAAGAAGAGGAAACGGGAGCCGGCCAGCGAGAGGATCAAGGGCCTGCTGGAATCTTTAAGGACCAAAAATAACGGGCCGAAGAAGTGAGCTCAGGGACGAAGCACGAGACTGTTTTTCCAAGGAGATGTGAAGGTGTCGGCGTTAGATATGAACGGACTCTGGGGAAGCCGGTATCTGCTTCATGCCGGACTCTGTGGTTTGGATAATGGGGTCAGAGTCTATACTAAATATATTTTGGGCAGCCATGGCAACACTTCGTACACAACTGTTGAATAGTTAAAGATGGAGGACCTAACTTTCAAACCACACACAAAAATGTACCATATAATAAAATCTATCTACCACTTCCTCGTTCGCATTACAGTTGGTTACATGTGAGGTTGGCCTTTGTCACATCTTTAGACCAGCTTGTTTCACACAGAAAAGAGAAAAAGCGAGGACCACATTCAGCCAATCAGCTCTCAGCCCAGATTGTGCTCATTATGACATGTTTTCTACTGAATGTGGTGTGGTTTGATTTGTTCACAAAATGCTTCTTTCACAGGACAAAAGTTTTATTTCATGCCCCTAATATTTATTGTGATCAGGTATTATCAGACGACCATTATTGTCAGCTTATTGATTGCTTATAGCAGTAGTTTCCATTGTTATAAGCAATCAGTGCCCTTGAATATACAGTATTTTAATGAAGTTTAAAGCAAAACCCAATGGTCTGTACTGAAATCAACCCGTATACAAATGCTGTTTTATCAAATCGGTAGAATATTGTTCAAAAGTCCAATAACTCTTGCGTTATTGGTTCAAAAAGGAGCAGATTGAAAACTGTCTAGAAATATTAATACATGTTCTTAAATGTCTCGGATCATCACTGTCCTTAGACAAAGGAAGAACTCAAAACCCAGTGGGGAAAAAAGTGAGAAATCTCAGGGAGGCCCACAATGAGAGACGGATCCACTCATACGGACGGACCGGCTGTAGATCCAGGACTCGGGCTGTAGATCCAGGACTCAGGCTGTAGATCCAGGACTGAGGCTGTAGATCCAGGACTGAGGCTGTAGATCCAGGACTGAGGCTGTAGATCCAGGACTCAGGCTGTAGATCCAGGACTCAGGCTGTAGATCCAGGACTCGGGCTGTAGATCCAGGACTCGGGCTGTAGATCCAGGACTCGGGCTGTCGATCCAGGACTGAGGCTGTAGATCCAGGACTGAGGCTGTAGATCCAGGACTCGGGCTGTCGATCCAGGACTGAGGCTGTAGATCCAGGACTCGGGCTGTCGATTCAGGACTCGGGCTGTCGATCCAGGACTCGGGCTGTCGATCCAGGACTCGGGCTGTCGATCCAGGACTCGGGCTGTCGATCCAGGACTGAGGCTGTAGATCCAGGACTCGGGCTGTCGATCCAGGACTCGGGCTGTCGATCCAGGACTCCAGGACTCGGGCTGTAGAACGAGGACCGAGACTCCTGGACAAGTTCACATGTGCAGATGGAAGACGGGTCCGATCATCACACCATTAAACAGGCAATGGGACAGAGGGTGAATAGCAATGAACAGACCACAGCTAAAGTCATGGTGATGATGGATAAATGGGTAATGCTCATGTTACCACAGTTCTCCACCATTGTCTCCAAATGCAGCTTGACCGACAATTTGCATTTTTAAGTCCTACCTTCTTAGCCAAATGCTGAATTATTAGAAAGGTCCATTTCACTTTTGATTTCTCCACCTCCTCTGGGTCTAAGGTGTTGTTTGAAATGCCTGGTCCCTCCCCGTGGCCGGACTCTGGCTGTGCGCTGGTCCCGTATCACTGTTCTCATGCTCTTATCAGCTGGAATGCAATGGCCCTGGTGCTTTTCCCAGTGGAGCTAAAGGGTGGGTCCACTTCCACAAATAAGACTTACAGCACTTTTAGTCAAGATTAGCCCAACACACAAGTACAAAGCTTCTTATGGCACGCTCTGTTTATGTTTACATTGGATTTTCAAGTTCAGCGGGCCTCTCCCTGCAGGTTGTTCATCTCTGGGGTCATCCACTCCCACTCGGCCTATAGTAGGAGGGGGTTCTCTGTATTTATGTCCAAGATGAGCCTCGAGAAAATCCTGCAAGGCTCAGGTTTCGTTTTAGCCTTTTACATCTGCACGGTTATGAATAGATCGTGCTTCTGATATGCAGCAACACCCTCCCATTAGAGAAAGGATACTGAAGTAGTTAATTAGATATTTGTTTAGTTTTCACACAGTGGCAGATTAGGGTAATTACCGTAATCGCTGGATTATGATAAGTACTGATTATTTTGATACGTAACGAGTAGTTATACAGATTTTACCATAACAAGGATATCTTCACAAAAACAAGATGCATTCAAATGTTTACTAGCTCTGTTTGACTAATAACAATGATTTTATTTTTAATCAATGAGTTTGTTGTTGGTCTAGAGTACTGTATTTTTATCTGACAGTTGAACTCTTCACCCAGGATCTCTTAATAATGAGTCTGTTCTGTTACTGCTCGTTACTTTACTCTAGTTGTTATCCTCTCTGTCTTTAAGAATATGGGAAAAACCAAGCGTACAAAGCAGTAAAATCAATAAAGTAAATATACTTTATTGTCCTCTGCATTTGGCCCACCCTGAATGCACTAGAGCCTCTGTCGCAGCTGGGACCTCACCTCGGTCCGGTCCAGAGCTGGAGGATAGCACATACTTTACATGTTTTTGTAGAAGGGCACTCCTATGTAGACAATTACACAATACAATACCATTTATTGTTGTATAACCCTAAATCACAACAGCTTCATCTCAGAGACTTAAATAAACCATTAAAATCACCAACACAGATCAGAAAATCAACAGTTAAAACACAGAAAAATATAGAACACATGTTGATAAATGTCCATACTTGTTATAGAATGTTAAAGTGTCCTGGATCATCACCACAGTCCTTCTGGTTAGACATTGTCCAACAGACCCTTCTGCATCTGCAAGATAGATAGATACTTCATTGATCCCTGTCAGAGAAATGCAGGTGTCTGGTAGCAGCAAAAATAAAAAATAAAATTGATAATTCTAAAAAGCTAACAACAGTAATAATCTTCAACAGCCCTTCAGGTCACAGAGGTGGAGTAGCCTCTGGGTGGAGCAGGACGGGTCACAGCAGCAGAGGTGGAGTAGCCTCTGGGTGGAGCAGGACGGGTCACAGCAGCAGAGGTGGAGTAGCCTCTGGGTGGAGCAGGACGGGTCACAGCAGCAGAGGTGGAGTAGCCTCTGGGTGGAGCAGGACGGGTCACAGTAGCAGAGGTGGAGTAGCCTCTGGGTGGAGCAGGATGGGTCACAGCAGCAGAGGTGGAGTAGCCTCTGGGTGGAGCAGGACGGGTCACAGCAGCAGAGGTGGAGTAGCCTCTGGGTGGAGCAGGACGGGTCACAGCAGCAGAGGTGGAGTAGCCTCTGGGTGGAGCAGGACGGGTCACAGCAGCAGAGGTGGAGTAGCCTCTGGGTGGAGCAGGACGGGTCACAGCAGCAGAGGTGGAGTAGCCTCTGGGTGGAGCAGGACGGGTCACAGCAGCAGAGGTGGAGTAGCCTCTGGGTGGAGCAGGACGGGGCACAGCAGCAGAGGTGGAGTAGCCTCTGGGTGGAGCAGGACGGGTCACAGCAGCAGAGGTGGAGTAGCCTCTGGGTGGAGCAGGACGGGTCACAGCAGCAGAGGTGGAGTAGCCTCTGGGTGGAGCAGGACGGGTCACAGCAGCAGAGTTGGAGTAGCCTCTGGGTGGAACAGGACGGGTCACAGCAGCAGAGGTGGAGTAGCCTCTGGGTGGAGCAGGACGGGTCACAAGGTGGAGTAGCCGCCTGGTTCGGACCATTTTCTCTGCTCTGGTCCAAAGTAAAATGCCGAATGCTTCATTAGAATTTAAAAAAAAGTTCCTCCAGTGGATTTTCACCTGATTAACTTGGCTCGGACCATGAATCCTCTCTGCTCTGGTCTGGTTTAAGGAAAAAAAACAAAAAAAACATCAAAACATGGAGAGAACATGCAAACTGTACCCATAAAGGCTCTGTTCTGACCGGCAAACACAAACCCAGGACCTTCTTTTGTGTTGCATGTGTAACATATGTGTACATACTGTGTACATGGTTTAATTTGTGACTGTCCCAACATCAGTCTAAGAAGCTAATGTCAAACTGCGATTTCTTCGAGGATCAACAAAAGAATCTTAATCTGTGCTAATCTGCGCCGCTTTCTATTTGTCTAAAGTTCTCCACAAGACTTGGGTTTGTTTCTGCAACTTGTCAAGAACCTTTCACTGCTTACATTGGACTACAGAGAAAGTTATGGACAAGGATGTGTCACGGTATTTTGCCAATTCAGATTCAACCTGCGTTTGCAAAGACGGGAATCTAACACCAAACTCTCTGCATAAAAAAAAAAAAAAACATTACAATTGTCTGAATATCCAAATAAATGTATGCTAAAAACATTATAGACCAGGTATGCCCAAATTCTGGCCCGAGGGCTAATTGCGGCCCTCTGCATCCTTAGACACGGCCCTCTGCTTTGCTAATATTTCAGATCATCAACACAAGTCGGCAGTGTCATCCAGCCAACTTCAGCTCTGCCAAAAAATGCTATACCTCGTTGGACAGCTCTAGAATCCAGTTGTTTACTTGTTGGAAAGGTAAGTTTATTTGTATAACACAAATCATACAAAAGATGTTTGTTTTTGATTATGTCAGGACACTACACATATTGCGCTGATGAGAGATAATAAACATCATTATGGACGTGTCATTCCTCATTCCTGATTCCAGTCCAGACATTGTTACTTGCGGGTTGTCGGCTCCCGGACAAGTATTCAGAATTATTTTATTTGCAGTAAAACCACATTGGAATACTTGTGCAAATGTTTCCCAGTGTGCACCAGACAAGTACGTGAATGAAACAAGCTATAAAGTACAAGAAACTATTGTTGCTGTGAAACCAATCAACAAAAACAGTTTTTATCTGCTTTATTGATTTTATTGTTTTATTTTTACTGATATTTTTAAATCAGATTTAACTGGTATTTTTTTTTAATATTCATTTCGTATTCATATAAAAAAAAAAAAAAAATTGTCCACTCACCTTTGGCCCTCCGCGGGCGGTTATCCCTCTCTAAGCTCGGGTCCTCTACCAGAGGCCAGGGAGCTTGAGGGTTCTGCGCAGTATCTTTGCTGTTCCTAGCACTGCACATTTCTGGACCGAGATGTCCGAGGTTGTTCCGGGGATCCGCTGTAACCTCTTCTAGCTTCGGGGTCACTGCCCCGAGTGCACCGATCACCACGGGCACTACTGTCACCTTTACCCTCCAGGCCCTCTCCAGCTCCTCTCTGAGACCTTGGTATTTCTCAAGCTTTTCATGTTCTTTTTTCCGGATGTTACCATCGCTTGGAATTGCCACGTCCACCACCACGGCTGTCCTCTGCCCTTTGTCTACCACCACGATGTCAGGTTGGTTTGCCATTACCATTCGGTCGGTCTGTATCTGGAAGTCCCACAGGATCTTCGCACGCTCATTCTCCACCACCTTTGGAGGAGTTTCTTAGACCTTGGGGTTTCCAGCCCATACTCTCCACAGATGTTTCTGTACACTATGCCAGCCACTTGGTTATGGCGTTCCATGTAGGCCTTCCCTGCCAGCATCTTGCACCCTGCAGTTATGTGTTGGATCGTCTCAGGTGCCTCTTTGCACAACCGACACCTTGGGTCTTGTCTGGTGTGGTATATCTGGGCCTCTATCGCTCTGGTGCTCAGTGCCTGTTCCTGTGCAGCCATGATGAGTGCCTCTGTGCTGTCCTGTAGGCCAGCCCTTTCTAGCCATTGGTAGGACTTCTTGAGATATATATATATATATATATATATATATATATATATATATATATATATATATATATATTTTAACTGGTATTTTATTGTTTTCATTAAAAACATTTACTGGTATTTTACTGTTTTTTGTTATATTTTTATAGTTAACTGGTATTTTATTGTTTTTATCACATTTTTATAGTTTTTTACTTTGTGCACAATGTTTTACTTTTATTCTTTAAACATACAAAGCTGGCAAACTTGTGTATTTAAATGTGTTAATTCTACCTCTGTGCAGCACTTTGGGCACTGTGCTGTATCAATAAAGTGGATTGGATGGTGGAAAGAAGCTGTTTGCATTTCTTAGATGTCCTGCGTGTCGTGTCAGAGGGAAGAAGCTGGAACATGGCTTTTCCAGCAGCCAGGAGAGCCATTGATACTTTAAAGTCTGGTTGAACTAAAGGGACTTCTTCAAAGGCTTGAACTCTGTATGTTTTAGACCAGTGTTTTCCAACCAGTGGGCCGTGAAACGCAAGTGTGTCCTGAGATTTTGTATGGCGTGCCTTTGGAAATGGTCCAATATCTCCCTGTTTTGTCAAAATAAAGTGAAAAATAAATAATGTAAGAATTGTAGAAGTACTTTTTTGTGCTTGTTTGACTTCTAATAATCACACTTTTATGAGAATGACTTTTGGTCTGGGTAAAGTCTGCAGAGTTTCATCTTTGAGCACATTTTAGCTGGAGGTGCCACAGCTCAAAAAGGTTGGGGAACACTGTTTTAAACCATTTGGAGGTGCAGAGTGTGATGCTGGAGCACAGTCACACTTGTTTGATTGGGAATGGGAGGCTGGTTTCCTGTCGGACAGCCTGGAATGTGGCTCAGTGTTCACCTTACTCTGAAGCAGCAGGGCTCAGGGCCGCACCAAGCATTCTCTCTCTAACCGCTGGATTCTCGGACATTCTTAAAATAATCCTAATTATAGCCCTGCTCCAGAGGTAAATTGCAGCACTGGCGAGGCCGCTTCAAAACATATTCTGAGCAGCTCGATCTGTGGAGGATGGAGGCAAAGTCACGGTATGTAGTGGGAATGATGAAATTAGATTAAAGTGGACATGACATAGACCTCCTCAGACTCATGGAGACCCGTTCAGACCCCACACAGACTACTGTTGGTCCTACAAAATAATTAATGGTACATACATAACCTCAAAACATCCACTGATCGCCAACATCACCCGTGGTTTGAGCGGAGCCTGTAGGGCCTTTGTTGTGACTTGTTTTTTACTATGGTTTATTCTGATTTTCTCTCAGTTTTAGATCCATTTTGTGCTGATTTCACCAAAAGCTGACTCTCATAAGGCGTGTTTTGTCCTCATGAATAGAGGCACATGTGGAAGGAAAACAAGTTCACTAAAATTCCTTTAAATGATTCAAATCAAAACAAAGAAATATGAAAATTATTTTAAATGATAAATAGGACAACCTGAATCCAAATTGCTTTTCTTCTGACCAGTTTATAATTTCCTTTTAAAATAAATTATTACTATTATTGTACATTTGCGTTTGCTTTTTGAATGTTTTGTGAAGCATGGTGTCTTGTGTATGAATTGTGTCATAAAGAATAGACTTTGATATATTTAATAAGTAGACAAAATGAGTTAATGTTCTTTGTTTTTATTTATTTTTCTAAAGAATAGAAAAGGGAAACAGCCAGAGCAACACTGTATGAAGCCTCAGGTAAAACAGGGAAATATTTCTTACATGTTGGCTGATCTTTAAGCAACCAGGAGTCAGGAGCGGTTGATGCTCTGCTTGACTTTGGTGGTGAGGGAAACCGAAGCGCCCGGAGGAAACCCACCCAGGCACGAGGAGAAACACGCACGCTCCACACACGTTAGAGAGAGTGTGTCTTTCAGCTGGCCTGGGGACGCCTCGGAAGTGTGTGTGGAGAGGGAAGTCTGGGTGTCTCTGCTTATAGACAGCTGCCCCTGCCACCCGGCAGCGGATTAAGCGGAAGAATATGGATTAATGGATGAATGCTGGTGTATTTATCTAGCACAATTTATACAGAAAGCGACTCAAAGTGCTTGACAAAACAATAAAAGAAACGTTACAATCACACAAGGCATTAAAATCATAAATAATAAACACAACCCGGATTTGAACATTGTCAGAGTAGAAAAGCCTGTCTCACATTCTCAGGAAGACTGCTCCAGATTTCCCGCCTGCATCAATCTGCCAGGCTCGCACGGACCATGATGCAGGCGCAGATCCGCGGTGAAAACACAGACTGCTGAAGGTGCTGTTTGGACGCTGAGGTGAGTGAGCAGTTTCGCAGCAGCAGCAGCAGTGGTGGGTGTTTCGGGGGCAGTTCTCCTCCTCACACAGCCGAGACCAGAGCCCAGAGCCCGGAGTCTGCACCCGGTCTGCACCCGGGGGCCAGCGCGGACCACCACCACCATGCGCGGATGAGAGCTGTCGTGATCCTGCAGGTAAACACAGTCTGGATGTGGCTTGATGCTTGTGGGACCATGGCTGGAGCTGTGTGTGTGTGTGTGTGTGTGTGTGTGTGTCTCTCTCACGCACACACACACATGCACATACACCGAGGCTCTGCTCTGCTCTGCACCCGGGCTGAGGCTGAGGATCCCGGGGAAGCGCGCAGAGGTGACAGCGGTAGGACGCGCGTCTCTCATCTGAAGGTTAAAGATGTGTGTGTGTGCGTGCATGCGTGTGTCTGTGTGTGTGTGTATGTATTAGCAGTTAGCACTAGCCCCAGTGCTGTGGACAGAGGCCAAACTCCGTCATTTGATTGTGATGGAAATAGATTAGAGTATGTGGAGGAATGGTCTGACGGTGATGGCGTTTTTCGCGCAGTGATGTGTCCTCCGCTGGACCGCCCCCACACACAGCTGTTTTTCCCCTGGACTAGGTCATCCATGTGCGCTTTGGACTGACCGCTCCTGTCCTGCCCTGTCCACCCCGGTACCATGCATCTATCCCCGGGAGAGGACAGGGTCAAGCGTGGGCTTTACTGCTGCAGATGTTTTAGCTGTGTTTTCCCCCTCTCTCTCATTCCTCCACTACACTGTAGCTCATGTGCAGTGATAAAAACAGTCCATATTTGCTGCTTTAATACTTCCCCCGCGTGTACACAGCTGGACTTCAAAACACAGGAGTTGGCAAAGTCTATTGTTTCTGTTCTGCAGCAGTAACAAAGTTTATTTGTCAGATAAAGCCTTTAGAACTCCCGACAGATCCAGACTCTCCCTGTGCTTTGAAATGATTTGTGTGGGTTTGACACAGAGGTGAGGTGTTTTGTGCTTATGTTGGCCTAATTTAAGGCTCTCTGACAATGAATATCTTATGAAATAATCTAGTGTGTTATCTGACCCATCTAATATCTCATTGTCTATTAGTTGACTACTTCGTGTTAGATCATTTACAAGGATTTCTATGGTAAAACTGCAAACATGAGAAGGGTATAGGGTCCGAGGAGAGATGATAATGATCCCGGACATTCGACATTCCACGACATTTATGATCATCCATCAACATTTATGGACATTGGTCTCTGTGTTGGCGAATCCAGCTTTGTATAGTCCTCTAAGATAACTGCTGCTGTGATTTAGGGCTGTACAACAATCGAGCTGAATTGAATCGGATATGTAGAAAATCCGATGAAGATTGTTGTAGTCACTTTGATATGCAAAGCAGGTTAAACACTCTATGAATATTTTATGCAGGCATAGCTAAATATTCAAGTGATAATATGCTTAGATACTTGTTTTTTTTGCATGAAATGAACGTCCTGTGAAGCCTGTTTAGCTCAGATGTACTATAGTTTTGAACGCCTCTTCAGTCCATCCCTGCTATTTCGTCAACTAATCAATAGACAAGGCATGACTGCGGCTCTAAGACCAATGAGTTAGTGTAAGCAACGCATGCCAACTGCTCCTCTTGCTGCTTGCTTGCTTTCCATTCCTTTAAAACTCATCTGTAGTCCATCCTAAAACAATCATATGACATGTCAGCCGCCCTTCTCTCCTCTATTGACCTTCAGTTTGGGAGACAACACAGAATCCTCCTTATGCTCCACTCCTACAGTTCCAAACAGCTCTAACTAGATTCCACCCATCACTGCTCTCCGCTCCACTGTCACCCATAACTCAGGACAATGGGTGCTCCGGCCTTCAGCGGCCACAGAACCCAGACTGTGGCCGCGCTGCAATAAAACGTAGGTCAGATTCTGTGCAGGGAAGACTTTCAGATAGTGGCAACATGAGCTGGTGTGTGTCTGGCTGTTGTGTAGTTAACTACAGGCCTGTTTCCAGAGACAAATGCAGTCTTGTGTAGCGCTCAGAATCATCAGAGTGGGATGATCTTCATGTGTTTAGTGTTGGGCAGATGTGGAGCAGGTGCAGGAGGCAGTCTGCTGAACTCTGCATGTTCTGTAGGTTCAGGATGTTCTCGGCAAAAGGCTGTCGAACCCTCCTCAGTCCCCCCACTCAGCTGTAGAAGGATGTTATGCAACTGTTGCCATTTAAATCAGTCCCAGTGTCTGTCTGTGCGCATCATTTCTAGGCCAGGCTGTGCTGTCGCTGAGGCTGCTACAGGGATCCCCTCAGAGCTGCGTTCATGTCATGTGATGCCGGGGCTGACGCAGGTGGGAGGGGCCGGGCCGCTCATCATGCTCCGCTGCTTTCGTATGTGCCCTATATGTGCAGTGTGTGCCAGGCAGCTGCAGTCACCGAGAGCAGGGTGACTTGTCATGACAGCATCAGCATGACTGATCAAAGGGACTGTGGAGCAGCTCACAAACAAATGAGCAACATGTCAAGCATGGCACTCTTTTCTCTGGCTCTGAAATGGATTTGGAAATCACACGGCAACAAACATCAGTGTTCTACCAAACTACAGACATGTCTGTGTCATAAGATCTGTGTCTGAGATCTGTGGAGCTGGATTTGATATCGGCATGAAACCTGATAAACTGCTGAGTCTAACACAATAGGAACACTGATTGTTATATACTGCAGCTGTAATTATTGGTCAGTTTTTATTCACGGTGCAGCAGTTTCTTCAATCATTTCCAAACCAAAAAGGAACAAAAGATTATGAGCCGTGATTTTGACTTTAGTCCACTTTGTATATCAGCATCTTTACTCTATGTTAAAGAGGGCTGACCTCTGCAGTCTGAGCCCGGTTGGACTTGGACTTGGACTTAGACCTGTGGTCTCTGATGGAAACTCCTGTGTCGCTGTGACAGCGCCCTTCCCCAGGAAGCCCAGAGTCCCGGGCTCTCGGATGTCACATGGTCAGAGTTTGTGATGGTTCTGAATGCTCTGGTTTCACAGAGTTACTACAGAATGCTCTGTAGTGTTTTCAGTGTAGTTTAATCGGCCACAGTGTGTGGCAGTGCTACAGTGGATGGTGTGGATATGAATAATTTCTAAAATAGTAATTGGTCTTCGTGTTATCCAGCACACTCCCTCTGTGGCTCCCACATATGTTCCCCATATGTGAGTCTCGGGTGATTTACGTCACCTCTCCATCTCACTCTGCAGAGCCGCCTGCTCTCCTTCTTCTCTCTATCTCCCTCTTTCTGATCCTTTGTGCATAATGCTCCCATGTTTGGAACAGGAAGACATAGCTCTCATTGTTACAAACTGTGGGATTTGTATAAATAGGGTAATTATGATGCACAAGAGCACCACCAATGTTTTGTTTGCAATGAGAATGCACAATTGTCAATTCTGTGTCCTGGATGTTTGTGTCTGAAAGTGTGGGGATTGAACTTGAGGTTAATGATACAGATTTCAGGAGATGTCACCTGCATGTGTGTACATGTGTGTTGTTCCTATTGTTCCATCACAACTTATTCCACTGTGTGTTTGTCTTCTGCCTCAGCCATGGAGCCTGCAGTGCCGTTGATCCTGCCTCTGCACTGAGCAGCCACAGCTGCCTCAGATGTGACCATGTACAGTGTGGAGGACCTCCTCATCTCACATGGATACAAAGTGCCCAAACACAACTCCTCCAGCTCCGGCCCTCCTGCCCGGCCCGCCCCTCCAGCCTCTCCTCCCTCCTACAGCAGACACCAGCAGCTCCTGGAGCGGCCCCGCACAGTCAACGGCTTCTGCAGCTATACCCTCAACCACAACCACAACCACACACGGGAGAGGAGCCAGTCCAGGCAGGAGGGCCGCCTCCACGACGCAGAGTGAGTTTCTCCACATTTCTCTGGTTTGTTTTTGTAGCTTTGGAAAGTTCATCTTGTCTTCTTAGTAGAGTTATGTGTTTCTTCTAAGACAATTGTAAGATAATGATGTTATTACCTTGACCATGTTTGTTAGTTTGTTAGTTTTAATGGATACACAATACTTTTGTGTAAACAGAAAGAAGGAATTCTTACAACATATTAATTCTGCTTACACATCTCCATTGGGTGTGATCCAGGTTAAAGATAGTTTTCTTGGGTTCTAATGTTGTAAAATAAATGTAAAATATAATTAGTTGTATATATTAGCGTTACTCTGATGCTTCAGAATCACCTTCAGCTGTTCTGACTAAAAGCATGATGTTTTTCCACATGCAGTGTCTGTTGCTGCTCGCAGCTATCTAGCTCCATCTAGTGACTTTGTGAGTCATATGTACATTTTCTACTACAATAGTGTGTTTTCTCCTTGTCCTTTGCAGGTTCTATGATGCAAACCGCAGTCTCCCGCTTCAGGCTAAGGATGTGTCCTACTGGAGGAGGAAAGGGCAGGACTTTGCTGTCTTGTTAGACTACACAGATTACAAAGAAGCTGCTGCTAATGGTCGACAGGGAGCTTATGTAAGGCCAGAGTTTGCTGGAGAAAGGGGCCCAGCACCTCTGGAGGACGGTCCCAGGACACAGAGGCCCCGCTGCAGGGAGAATCAGCTGCTCCTGCCCTGGAGGACATCTGAGAGGAAGTGCCAGAGCCTGGGAGCAGAGGAGTGGCACCCTGCTGAGCAGCGCCTGCTCAGCAGAACTCCAGAGGTGATGGTTCTGCCTCGGACTAAAACAAGAACTCAGTCTCTCCCCAGAATGCAGAGCAACTGTCGGCAGTACGTTCCTCTGTTTCACCAGAGCACCTACAGAGCACCGCGCTGGCCAGACACCGGCCGACCTGCCAGCGCACACCCACTGTCAATCACACCAAAGCCACGCTTCACACGACCCCCCAGACCCCCCTCTTATGAGATGCACCAGCAGATCAGGGGCAGCTGTGAGATGTTGTCTGGAAGAGAGCTGACCCGGGAAAAAACTCCGCTCCCACGGTTACGACCAGATTCTCACCTGGACTACTTTGCACAGGACTGTGGGCCACCAGGGTACATCCCTCCCCCCTCCTATAAGAGAGCTCCCATCATGGAAGGGGTCTGCAGGAATTATGGAGAAGTTGCCATTGACTATAGGTAAAGTATTATCCTTTTGATGGAGAGGAGAAAACTGTGTGCAACAGATTTGCTAAATAATCTCACAGTAATTTAATGAAAGACGAGTGCAGATTAGTTCTTCATATGTAAATTATCACAGTGTTGTAGAGTTAAACCATGCTATACCATGTTTCTATCACATGTGCAAAACCATGTGTATTTGCAGTCTGAATGTTGCTGGTGTTTGTGCAGGTACAGAGGAGACGTGTACCAGCAGCTGCACCGGGCTCCAGACGGCTCTCTGTGGTGCCCCCCTCCCTCTAGGCAGCTCTATCCTGTCTACATGACCCAGGACAGGCCAGGGGGGAGGCTCCAGTATCTCCCATTTGACCCCTCCTCATCCCTAACAGACTCTGACAAGATCCGCCACATTCGTAAGGAGCTTCCAAGCCTCACAGTGTCCGAGCCAGCTTCCGGCAACAGTGCCTTTTTGCCTCCATCACTGGGACCTTCTTCTCTTGTGGTTAATGACTCTGCATACGGGGAGTTTGACAGTGACAATACCAGGTGGCGCAGACATTTGCACAAAGAAACTGTAGACAACATCCCAGCAATCGACCAAAACTACAACAGATATCACAAAATGCAACAAGGGCGTGCAACATCTCCATTTTCTGCTTTCCATGCACCAGTTTCCCCCTCAGGTTTGAGATGCAAGTCAGAGCAAGGCTTTTTAGAAACCATCACCCAAGTGAAGCAGATCAGGCCAGACCTTGGACCTGACAACAACAGGAATCCGAAGAGGAGATTCAGCGAGACCATCTTCTGCCTGGTGTCTGTCCCTGTCCACACTCCCACCAACTTAAACAAGAATGCTCCTGCAGACCAGAACAACAATGAGCCCACCACTAACCACAACATCCCAAACACATTCGCTGTGGGTCTGAAGGAGAGCCGTCCTGTGAGGAGCAGGTCTGTCAACCAAGTGCCCATCTGGACCCAGAGCACTCTGCCCGACATCAGCGGCACCTCCTCCCTGAGGAACTCCAAAAGGGCTCCTCTCAGAAAAGAGATTATAGATGCATGGGCTCTTCAGGCCAATGAGAGCAAAGAGATGTACTCGCGCTCATGGCCTGGGAACCAGTATCGCAACCAGGAAACTCAGACCGGGTCACCGCTGGTCAAGAGTCCAGAACCTGAGGACAAACCTGCTCAGGTGGTGCCCAACACCAGCGCAGACGGTACAGCTGCTAATGTTTACTGTCTGAAGGACCAGAAGAACCTACAGCTTTCCAGCAATAGTGCATTTTCCCTAATCAGTCCCAACCAGGCTGCATACAAGGAGCTTTTAGCTCCAGAGCTAGATTTTCCTTTAGCAGACGTCATCGCAGAAAGGCAGCGAGTGTCCAGTCCCTCAGAAAAGTGTCCAGAGCTGTCCACAGACAGTGCTGAGCATGTTAGCTTTGGTCAGTTTCTGCTGAAGCCAGTAGACCGGCGCCCGAGTGATTACATTGGTGAATTAGAAAGCATCAACAAAGAGATGGAGGACACTATCAGCAAAAGGGCTAATGCAAATTTGAGCGGGAAAGGAATAAAGAAACGCAACATGCACCGCTCAGGGGCTCAGTCTATGGAGGAGATGCATTTAGTGAAACCCACTTACATTAATGAGCGATCGAAATCTTTTACCTCTGCTGCTGACCTGGACACAGAAACAAGCTGCTTATTTATTAGGCCACAAAACATCCCACCATCACAAGACATCAGCGACTTTACTCTGGACGGGGATATGACCCCACAGGACATCCCAGTCCCTCAGGAGTCCATGCTTCGAGACGTGGGTCTAAAAGTGTACACTGAGACTGGCCCTACAGAACCGGCTCCACGATCATGCTCCGTTCCACCTTTTCAACAGTTAGACGAGCTCTCTTGGGAAAACATGGCTAAAAACCTGTGCAACGATAGCCACGAGCACAAAGTAAACAGAGAGTCTAAAACTCGAAACAGCCACAAGCATCACACATCAGGGGTGAGTTTACGAATCTGCCGGAGCCGGAGTGAAAGCAGTCGATCTTCTCATAAAAGAGAGTGCTCACCTCACGTCAACAAACTCAATCGTGTCAAGTCGTGTCCCGGAGGAAACCAGCCCACATTAGCTGACGAGCACCTGGAGAGCTTGTTGATGAAGGAGAAATCCAACTCTTTACCGGCAGAAGATCTCAGTCACCTGTACGAGGTCAAATGTGCGGCAGGAATCCCCGAAAACGAGTCCATCGAGCAACGAGCAGCAAGGATTCTGGGCATTTCTGTTCCGGTGGGAGCTTTGCACGTCGACCAAGCAGTGGAGCAGGAAGTTTGTGAGCGTGAGGTAGAGGAGGGGGTCGGAGACGTAGAGAAAGATCTTGCCAAATATCCTCAGTCCCTGCCATTAGTTTACAACGCTGAGCCCATAAAGACAGGTACTAGTGAGGAGACAACTTTAGACTCTTGGGAAAGTCCAACAGAGGAGCTTGGATCATCTCCTGCGTCATGTCCAGAGTCTGTGGAGAATCGGTTAGAAGAAAGTGCAATGCTTAGCGAAGATTTTAGTTATGTCGAACTGGGAGAAAGTCATGGGAAAGTTGCAATAGATGAAACAGCGTCAGAGGAGCTGATTCTGGGAGTGGAGTCCAAAGAGAAGGGTGTAATTGCACTAGAAAACAATGAGGGTATCAAAGATGAAGATGAGGTGAAGACGGAGGATTCAGAGAAGGTCGAGGTGAACGATAAGGGAGAAGGAGGGGTGACAAAAACAACAGAAAGTGGAGGTCGCCGAGTAGCGCCTCCCAAACCGCCCAAACCCAAACAACGCAGCAGGCTCCAGAAACCCGCCCTGCTCCCCAAACCCCGCTGTGTCCCGAAGAGAGAGGTCAGCCTGCCCCGCCTCAGCACCAGCATGGAGGCCGCCGACAGGACCACTGTTCCTGGTACGTATTTGCATTATTTATACATACTACAGTATAATAGACAGAAGATCAAAATGGGTTGGCACTTTCCCCGGGAGGCCACTTCATTGTATGGGGCCGGGCCTGTTTTCATATATTTACCATTTTGTGGAATTTGGATCAACATATTTGTCTGTAAAACATAAAAAATAGTTAAAAAAGTAACATGTTTTTTAGTATTTGATAAACACCAATTTTTACAGAAGAAAAGGAAAGGGAACCCTAAAGAAATCCAATGTTATCTTTGTGTAATTTTTTTTAATTTTTCATTAAAACGGACTATATGTTTTAGTTGACTTTAGATTTACATTCTTGCTTGGATTGAACCAAAGCTGGACTAAAGATAAAAGCTAAAGAAGGTTAAATATTGTGGACAGATGCTTTTGATTTTGCCATTGTTGACTCGCTGTGGATGAAGCTAACTGTAAAAAACACATTTGGGAGGCACATTATTAGCTAATGTTATTATTATTAAACATTAGCTCACGTTAGCATGCTTCCCTGAGCCGTTCTATTTTGTCAAGAAGTGTAAGTTTTACAGCCACTAAAACTGAATGGAGTCTGTTCTGACAAAAGCCTTAATCAAAAAACAAATTCTGTGTATTTCTCTACCATTTGTGTTGGTTCTCTCTGCGCTTTTTTCATCTAACTTGTCTTTCAAAAGAACCACACAGATGATAGAGCGGTCTCCAAATTCTTTGCCGCACCTCAAGAAATACTCAATAATTACATACATTACACACATGGCTATACAGGCCCCTTCATGTAAGGAGGGCTTATAGTCTGGCAGTGACAGTGTACTGCAAAAAATGATAATATATGAATTAATAATTGCTTGAATCAAGAAAATTTGCCAATGGGACAAAGCCATTTACTCTTTCAAGAAATGTTGCTTTATTTTCTCATCCAAAAAGAGACATTTCTTGTATCATTTTGATAATTTTGCTTTGTCCCATTGACAAATCCAAATCTTGTTTTAAGGCTCAGTCAAAATATATTAAAATTATGATCCATTTAGCCATTTATTTTTCATTCCTTCTTGCATTGATGAATGCTTAGAGGCCCTTTTTGCATCTAAGCTTGTGTCAGTGTGTGTTCTATTTACTGTGTTTGGGCAGATACTGATGAAAGCTGTTTCTGACTAAAGGAAAATGAAACGTGTTCGATAAAGATGACTGTGACTCCTCCCCAGACTCCTACGACCCGAGCCGAGTGGAGAGAGTGTAGGCCGTCTCAGAGGAACGTCGTCTTCACTGTGGAAAGAGCAGAGGTCCTCCTGCTCCTCCTGCTGCTCCTCCTGCTCCTCCTGCTCCTCCTCCTGCTGCTCCTCCTACTGCTCCTGCTCCTCCTGCTGCTCCTCCTCCTGCTCCTCCTCCCGCTCCTCCTCCTGCTCCTCCTCCCGCTCCTCCTCCCGCTCCTCCTCCTCCTGCTCCTCCTCCTGCTGCTCCTCCTGCTCCTCCTGCTCCTCCTCCTGCTGCTCCTCCTGCTCCTGCTCCTCCTGCTCCTCCTGCTGCTCCTCCTGCTCCTCCTCCTCCTGCTCCTCCTCCTGCTGCTCCTCCTGCTCCTCCTGCTCCTCCTCCTGCTGCTCCTCCTGCTCCTGCTCCTCCTGCTCCTCCTCCTCCTGCTCCTGCTCCTCCTCCTGCTCCTCCTCCTGCTCCTCCTGCTCCTCCTCTTCACACGTGCTCCACATGTGCTGGCCACAGGCGGGCGCTCCAGGCCTTGGTTTCAGCACAGCCCGACCCTCCTCTCGCAGATGTCAGTGTTCGTCTGCACTTTGGTTTGTGTGGAAAATGAATGTAGAAGTGTTTCTGATTTGAATTTTACATTTTGTCACACAAAAAATAGTATTGCATTACAATCAGTATTCTCCATCCAAATGTACATACGGTTTTCTTACAGACTTATAAAGTACTATTCAGCTGAAGAAATGTATATTTTCTTATCAGTGTTACATTTTAGAGCTCTACGTGTGTGTCCTGATCCTGTGTGATAGAGAATGTACTGAGATGAAAAACACTGTGCTCCTTCAGTCTCTCACAGCAATATTGTCCGATGCGTCGTTTATGTTAGAAGTCCCTCACGTACTCAAGTACCACTTTCCTCAAAGTGAAACTCGCTTTTATTGTGCAAGTGTAGTTCAAGAATGACGGCTCATCAAAAGCACAATACATGAATAATTATTATTATTGATAAAATACTAGTATTTTATGATAGAATAATATTCATGGTGTGGCGTTGGTCAAATGTGGCTTTGAGTGTCCAGTTCTTCAGGTGTTGGTGAAGTGGTGTTTCCTTGTATGGACTTCTGCTGTGGACAAGTCAGGTTAAAAGGTTGAATGTAAAGCTTAATCCATTAAGCATTTCACTCATTCAACTCATTATTTTCTACTTTTAAAAATATATATTTTATGGCAATAATTCTGATAGAAACATGATACTGAGTGTGTATTTAGACTGTAATCAATAATGTTTATTAACATTATCTCAATAATTTAAAACATATCAATGTTATATTGTATGCGCAACTGTAATTGGTAAACTCTCATTGTATATGGGGTAGCAATATAGTACAGAGCAAGTACTAACCAAATGGAACTTTCTGCTATGCACTGGGCCTGGACCAGTCCAGACTGAGAGACTGTAGCTGCTGGTTTAGCTCATGTGCTGCATGTGTCCAGGGGTACCACCTGCTGGGGGGTCACAGGTCACTGAGGGGGGAGGTGCGGTGAGGGGGAGGCACGGTGAGGGCATTGGTGATGGTGGGAGTAAAGTAAGAAGTATGGTGTAGGGTGGCAGTTGTGGTAAGGGAAGAGGTTTTGTGAGGGTGCAGGTATGATGAGGGTAGAAGTATGGTGAGGGCATGGTGAGGGTATGGTGAGGGTGAGGGTGGCGGTCATGACGAAGGTCCTGGTGGAGGGGGCAGTTGTGATGTTGTCTTCATCTTGGTGAACCCAGTACCTCTGTATCTCTGCTTACTTTTCTACTGCAGACGTCATACAGACCACTGGTGCACATATTGATTTAATATTTTATATTTTCATATAGAGGTCTTTACAGCTTCTTTTGTATGTGCTGCATTTCTCCTCTTTGTGCATGGGGCGTGTGACGTCACACAGTTGTATTTGGTACTCTATAGTTGATCCAATAACAATGTTATATTTGCTATAATGTATATTTTATTTTAAATGTTACACTGCATATTTAAATAAGAACAATGTATTTTTAGATCCTTGTGAAAAAAAGAACTAGAGGCACAGTATTGTCTGGACTGGTTGCATATAGACAGCGTACACTTGTACAGAGCAGAGCTGCAGTCTTCAGAAATAAACGTCTTTGCATGAGCAATCTGAGTCTTTGTCCAGTACGACTGACATGGATCACATCCCACAGACCCTAAAGATCACACCTAAAGACTCGCCCCGTTTCCTTTGGATTCAGTCTTCCACAGTATGGCATAAAACGTATCCATTTTCATGAAGAACAAAACTGTTTATTTAAACTTTATTTCTATGGGGTCATGCTGAGGACACGGCGCCCTCAGAAGTTACATGTGTTGCTTTAAATAAAAAGAAAAAAAAAATTTCAAAAATATACATTTGAAAAATAGAGAAATGTATTTTGATCATCTTTATTGGATTAGAAAGAGCAGCCTGCTCTGCTGCCGCTGGACCCGACCGTCTTAACTGAAGCCTTTCAAAGCCTTTCGGTCAGTGGCAGTTTCTGCAGTCATTCAAACACATAAAACCTGGAGGAAACTTACAATTACAAAGCAGCAGTTTACTTGAAACTATCAAGTTGTCAAAATGCATGGGTTCCATAAACTTTATAGCAATAAAATGAAGTACATTCAGAATCTTAAAACCATTTTTAGGGACTTAGTGATTGCACCTGCAACCTTTCTCAATAAACACTCCAATCAGTTCAATCCGGCTCCACTGAACAGTGAAACAAAGAATACATCAATCATTTTAGATTTACATTTTAAACATGACTACATTAGTATGCTCAAATAAAGCCATTCTCTACCTAATAATTAAGGAATAAGTTATCTGTCAGTGCAAAACTGTGAAATAAAAACTGTTTAAGACAGTCAGCAGTGGAAGCCGATGTTCCAGGCAACGTGTTGATGGTGCTCAGTCACACCGCCCCTTCAGCTTTTTCAGGCGCTTCTGAATTGTGGGACGCAGCGTACTTCAGACGGAAGCCTCCTGCAAACAACAGCTTTTATATTACAGCTGTACTAGAGTAAAGTCAGAGAGTACTCTCCACTCTTTACCTTGATGTGTAGAATCGATGGAGGGCTGGTTACAGTCGTGAGTGTAGTGACCGCTCAGCCCACAGTTGGGACAGGACACCATCCCGTTCTTCTTGTTGAGGCCTCCCCCCAGTGCAGCAGCGGGCAGCAGGCTCACGGGCCCCGGGAAGTGCTGAGGGTACAGGCGCTGGCAGAAGGAGGCGGGCATCTGCTGCTGCAGCCCCAGCAGCTCTGTGTGCAGCGGCCCATAGGGAGCGTACAGGGGCAGAGTGGTTCCATTGGACTGGGGCTGAGGCGCAGCGTGCGCCTGCGGGAGGTAGTTTGTGAGCGGGAACAGGTGTTGCAAGCCGACAAGAGGCCGAGCCCCGGCACCGACCTGATGGAAGAACATGGGAGAGGGACTGACGGGGCGACCGCCACACTGACAGCCACACACCCCACAGCTGAGCACCTGGGGCCTCTGCACGGGCCCCTCCACACACACCTCACTAGGGCTGGAAGACGTACAGTCGCTGTGGGCCATGCTGGGGGGCAGGGTAGGGCTGGGGCTGGGGGCTGGCCCTGGGGTGTGTGTGGGCACCACTGGGGCGACAGCACCCTGTAAGAGTCCCTGAACAGGCGCCGCTGGGGCCCCTGCCGGCTCCACGCTGCTCATGACGGAGGAACGCGTGGAGAGCAGCGGGTAGGGCAGGTTTAAGGCCGGGAGTTTGCCGTGCGGAGAGTCCACCACGGGAATGCCCATGGAAGCAGCTTCAGGACACGGTAAAGGCGGCTTCACACTGGCAGATAAAGAAGGAAGGCTGGTGGACATAACACTGATGGCTCTGATGGGGGTGGGCAGAGGAGTCGGGGGGGCAGTGAGACACGTGGGGGAGTCTCCTCCGTGGGACAGAGATTTGAACCTCTGAACCAGCGGCTGCATGGCAGGGACTTCTGGAGGCGGGAGACCAATCGGTGATACTCCAAACGTAGTGACATGGTCTCCCTTTTCTGGTTCCATCATAAGACCAGGGCCTGCCATGGCTGGGGGCAGATGCATCCTCACTGCCCCAGGAGCTCCAAGAGGCAGAGTGAATGGCATGAAGGAAAGTGCCCCGATGTCTGCGGCGTCTGCCCTCACAGCCTCCATCTGACTCTGCTGTCTCAGGGCCACGAGAGGATCCGCTCGGAGGCCGTCAGTGTTGTCCAAGTGGCTCACAGGGTCTGAGACAAAAATAACTAGAGTTTAGTTTGGACGACAAGCCTGAAACAATCAGAGACAGTCAGTAAACATCTATTCATCCATATCTTCTGCTTTATCTGTTGCCAGAACGCAAGGGCAGCAGTCTAAGCAGACTTCCCTTTCCAAACACACTTCCTCCAGCTCATCTGGGGGAATCCTGAGGCATTCCCAGGCCAGCTGAGGGACGCAGTCCCTCCAACATGTTCTGGTCTCCTCCTGGTGGGACAGGCCCAGACCTCCCCGCCACGGAGGCGTCCAAGTGGCATCCCAAACAGACACCCGAGCCACCTCACCTGGCTCCTCACCACGTGCAAAAGCAGCAGCTCTACTCAAAGCTCCTCACTGTCTGAGGGGGCGCTCTGTCCCTGCAGGACACTCATGACGACTTCTTGTATCTGCAGCGCAGACTTCTTTAAGTCACTACCGTCAGAAAAACAGTAAAGCTGAACGTCTACAGACACAATCAAAACTCTTCAATAACATCACGCACCAGCTTCACTTGAACACACAAAATGTGACTTTTTTCTGTTCTTCTCTATTATTGTTTTTTATTATTATTATTTTTTTTATTTTCCCTCCTTGTCTTTGCGTTATGTTTGTTCTGCTTTGGGGTTATACTTTTATTTTATGTTGTGTTCTTTTTGTGTTCTTGAATGTTGATGTGTGGGTCCACTTTGTCGTCTTTAAATTAAAAATATATATTGAGAAAAAATAAAAGTGGCATCTGTCTGGAGATAAACTAAGCCTGAATCTGACTTAAGGCGATCCAATATTCTGTGCAGTGAAGGCGAGTGAGAGCTGCTGTGATAATCCTGCAGAGACTTCAGTACATGCAGGGCTTTGTTTCCAGTGTTGCTCCTCCTCACTGTCCAGGCTGTCTGTGGCTCGGTGCTGTGGGCTGGACGCACAACTGGAGCGCCCCGAAGAACTCTCCCCGAGCGTGTCCGGGCCAGACGCCGCCTCTGCAGAACACACCACCGTCTCAATCGCGCAAGTCGTGAGTAACCGAGCCAGCTTTAACCCCGCACTCACCCCTCCACTGCACGCACGCAGCCACACCTCCGTTGAGAGCCGCCTTGGTCTTTCCTTTACTCCTACAGAGAGAGACGGACAGGATTAAAGTTTAGTTTCTCGTTTCAAATGATTTACGATGATTAAAGGCGGAGACAAACCTGGAAGTGGGCTGTGCGTAGTTGCGGCTTTCACCCTTTCCGTACTATCAAACACGAGAAGATTTTAGTTACTGATGACTTGGAACTATTTAAAACAAATGCTAAAGAGCCATAGAGCCTGGAGATAACTTTATATATTCATATCAAAACTAAAAAGATTTGCAAAAAATAAAAAATAAATAAATAGAGAAAATAATGTAATACAGTCATGGCATATTTTTCCCATAAAAAGTGTGAATGAATGTTGGTTTGATGGATCACTGACCTCTGTGATGTGGCTCTCACTGCGAGTCAAGCTGCAAAGACCAGAAATGTAGTTACATGAGGCACAGACACAGCTTCAGGGTGAATAGATTCAATTTATTTATGTATAGCCCTAAAATCACTACAGTAGTTATCTCAGAGGAGTTGTTGATTCGCCAACACAGATCAGAGAATCAAACCGTGCAAACACAGCAAACGGGGATGATAAAAACAGAGATTTTGGTTCGAAAAGGGGCGGAGACCAATGTCCATAAATGTTGATAAAGGTTGTTAAATGTTGTGTTCTAACGAGTGAGGAAACACATTAGCATGTTTAAAAGGATGTAAAAGTCACCCTTATGTAAAACATCTACTTAAACTATTCCAAAATGCAGAATATCAACATTATAATCATCATTGCTGCCTCAAAATAATTAACTTTGCTCACCTTGGACTCTTGTTCCTGTGCTTTTTCTTGTAGCCCTGAACATAGGACTCTGGGAGAAAAGAGAAAGAACAAAATCACTGTGTGCCTGACGTCACGCCACACGCGGTCAGTCGAGGGTAAAAAGCATGAGGTGGAAGTGTCATCTGATTTATGCAGACGACGCGCCCCCTTCAGTGAGCTGTGGGTACTGCATGTGTCAAATTACGTTTCGTTTCAGCTCCACATTTAGTATAATGGGAGTGAGCCTGGTGCAGTTATGGAGAACAGAAACCGAAACTACACAAGTAACTGGGGAAAAGCAGGAGCTCTACATCAATAAATACTGGAGGATTTAAAAAGGAATATGTTCTCTGCTCTCACCTTCGTCCTGACTGGAGCCATCGGAGGCGGCTTCTCGATAGGCCTCACCGCTCAGACCTGACACAGAAACACAATTTAAGCAGTTAAAAAATACACATAATACCACAATTCTTTGTCCAATTAGCACAGTGCTGTTTGACACCTGCCTGTCTATCAGTCTCATTTCAGGTCAGAATATGCAAATTATTTAGGCCAATGTTAATAAGGGCTTCTTCATTAAGATCCTTTTGTTCTGGGGTGCCTGGATAGTTCCTAATTTTCACAGTATTTTGCCTTATAGTGCTATTTTCATCTTGTTAATGTGGAGAACGTTGGTCAACTCAATGGTCAAGACAATTTCAATAGATGTCAATTGAAATGTGTTTTGATTTCAATTGAACCGGCTAATATATGATTTTCAGAGTCGTAGTCCAATTGAAAACAGAGACACACAAGACAATCATACAAACTAACAATGACACTGTGCGCATCCCGAGGAAGGCAAGCTGCTGAAACAGGTTGGTGCATTTCAATTCTTCTGAGCCATGTTTGAATAAAGGCTAAACTTAACGCTCAGAGAGTTTCAGAAGTACAGCGAGTGGAGACTGCAGATGGACATTCAAATGAACTAAACTAATTCTATTTTGCAAACAATAATACCAACATGAGGAACGATTACAATACACAAACATTAAACTGGCTCCAAGCGTCCATGAGTTTGGAAAATAACCTAATATAAGACCCAGAATTTTAGACAGTATTTTAACGTACGTAAAAGCTATGGTCCTAGTATTCAGATTCAGAGAACTTTATTGATCCCAAAGGACAATTCATTTACAGCATAGAACACACACACTCTACACAAACACACAGTGAGTCTCGCAGTTCACACAGCAGCAGGTTACACAAAATAAGTTACAAAAACAACACTGAACAACACAATTCCCAAAAGTCAACCACCTCGACCAAAGTTCAAGTTTTATGACAGATTTTTTGTGTGGAAAAAACGGTTTGTTTTTCGTGCTGGAGCATAAAAACGACGCCCTGAAGTCATCAATACAAAGTCAGCGATCAGAGGATGTTTGGGCTGAGCCAGAATACATTTTGCTTTATTCAGCACCTGTTCCTCCCTCAAAGAGTGAAGGTCTCAGAGTTTTCCTCCAGTGATTTTGGAGCAATTCTCTGTAACCTGTTTCTCTATTTCAGCGTCAGACTTCTTTCAGACTTTCAGACTTCTTTCAGACCCTCTGGTATGACATTACAGCACAGACACAGTCATGTTGGAACTAATAAGCTAATTAAGCCACATAATGAGAATTAATTCAATATTTCTAGTTGTATAGTTTCCAAACAAGGAGTGCAGATATTCAATGTAAAGTTGTTTTTCCACTAACGGCTACATATCAAAGCTACCAAACCAGCAGCAATAACCAAATCTAAAACGGCAAAATCGATCACAACAAAGTCTCCGTAATGTTCCTTGCACCCACCACAGTCTGAGGCAAAGAAGCAGCACACAGCCCTGTCCCGCGTGAAGCCTGGAGGAGCCGACAGGAGGAGAGTCCTACAGCAGAAGGAACAACAGGGTGAGTTCTGTGGCCGCGCCCGCCCTGGGACCACACCTGAAGAGCCTACCTGAGCCTCTCCTCCGTGCCCCTGTGCTCCTCCTGCCGCAGGAGATGATCCAGGCCTCTTTCGAACGACTCGTTACGTCGGTGTTTTGGGAGCTGCGCAAAAAAAACACATTATTCAACCTTGACTCAAATAATTCATTCCAGTTTATTCTTGTATCGCCCTAAATCACAAGATTTCTCTGAGGACTTTACAAAACTGTTGAATTTGCCAACACAGATCAGAGAATCAAACCGTTCGAAAAACACAGAGAGCCATTGGTCCATACGGGGCAGAGACCAATGTCCCTAAATGTTGATAAAACTTTAAATAATTGTTCTCATAAATAATACATTGTGTTTGAACCAACAGAAAGAATCTTGTAAAAGTCAAATGTGAACAAATGAACAAACATGGATCTTCAAAATTTTAGAAAACCTTGTATCTTTTCAAAACTTGAAAGAAAGATCTCTGTCACTATTCGACCTTTTGGGCTTAGAGCTGATTGGCTGAGTGAGTCTGATCCTCTCTTTTTTCACATTTGTGTCTAAAAAAGGCTGGTGAAAAGTTGTGAAAGAGGCCGAAAATGGCATCTGAAAACTAGAGATAGGACAAAAACTATTTTGAGAGGATTTCATTATAGTTCAATGTTTTTTGTGCTTTAAAAGTTATCTAACCCAGCTTTAAACATGGCTAATCTACAGAGAACGGATATGAAATGTATTAAGACGAATCACATTTAACGCAATAATCAAATCTGCCTCATGTGACCGAGATATTGCGCAGAGCAGAGATTTAGATCTGAATCATTTAATCTGCTTTCACTGAATTGTGTAATCTGTGTGTTTTGATGGATTCTCACTATCACCGTCTGCACATTAAGAAGCTCAAAGACAGATCAAGTTATTAGAACAGTCGAAATACCTTCAAGAGAAAGTTCTCCAGTTCCGAATGGGTTTTGGTAACAGTGCTGGAGGAGGAGTCCGACCACGTCACCTGGAGCAACAAGGCGTCATTTCAGGACAGCATCGAGTGAAGCAGTGACTTTCAAAGAGGCTTTTTAAAAGAGAAGACCCCCTTTATGTTGCCAGAGCGGCTCACGTTTCTTACCTTAAAGTTGTACTCTCTGTCACCTTTTATTCGCGAGACGCCGCGGAGAACAACCCTCTCAATGTGGACGGCTGCACAGACAGAACAGCAGGTTATACACACGACGTATGCTCTTATTGAGGCTTCTTTTTAGTCTGGTCATGAACTTACCGTCTTCCTGTGGAGGCGCTGGTGGAGGCATACAGGCCTCTACCCGAGACTGTCGCTCCTGCAAACAAACACGACAGGCTATAAGACACTGTGCTTATGACTATTATTGATATTCGAACGCTGCTGTATTTGTCATTAAACTATCCCATGTGGCATCTGTTCACTTCACACATCTGTTCACTCTGGAATCGTCCCATTTTGGCCTATTCCCAGCTCTACTGCTTATGGTGTACTGTGGTCCACTCAGCTGCACTTCCTACAGTGAACAAGCTGAAGAGATGAAGGATGAAATTTGTGTACCCCCACCGGTGCTCTGTCTGTAAATGAAGTTCCTCACGGATTAATAAAGTTATTGAATTGAATTGAATCCAAACAGCAGTGGAACTGTTGCTTTAAGGGTGGGTGGAGGCTCTTATAGAAACTACAACTTATTTTCTGTCCTGGGGCTCGGGTGTTTATCAGTCAGCAAAGGCAGCTGATAAAAATGTTGGCAGATGCTTCAAAAAAGTTTTCCATTTGAGGAATGGAATATTATGAAGTTGTATACAACATCAATGAAGGAAACTCCAGTTGGAAGAATGTGAAGCAGAGTTAACAGTAGGCCTTCAACAGGGCTGTGTGGCAAGAAGCCCACCTGCTGTACTCAGTTAGAGATAGAACGGGTTAGCTTTAGCTCAGGCTGGAGCTACCCCAGCTGTAGTGAGCTCAGGCTGGAGCTACCCCAGCTGTAGTGAGCTCAGGCTGGAGCTACCCCAGCTGTAGTGAGCTCAGGCTGGAGCTACCCCAGCTGTAGTGAGCTCAGGCTGGAGCTACCCCAGCTGTAGTGAGCTCAGGCTGGAGCTACCCCAGCTGTAGTGAGCTCAGGCTGGAGCTACCCCAGCTGTAGTGAGCTCAGGCTGGAGCTATCCCAGCTGTAGAGAGCTCAGGCTGGAGCTACCCCAGCTGTAGTGAGATCAGGCTGGAGCTATCCCAGCTGTAGAGAGCTCAGGCTGGAGCTACCCCAGCTGTAGTGAGATCAGGCTGGAGCTACCCCAGCTGTAGAGAGCTCAGGCTGGAGCTATCCCAGCTGTAGAGAGCTCAGGCTGGAGCTATCCCAGCTGTAGAGAGCTCAGGCTGGAGCTATCCCAGCTGTAGAGAGCTCAGGCTGGAGCTATCCCAGCTGTAGTGAGCTCAGGCTGGAGCTATCCCAGCTGTAGAGAGCTCAGGCTGGAGCTACCCCAGCTGTAGTGAGCTCAGGCTGGAGCTACCCCAGCTGTAGAGAGCTCAGGCTGGAGCTACCCCAGCTGTAGAGAGCTCAGGCTGGAGCTATCGAAGTTGTAGAGAGGAGAAATGGACGTTACCAGCTCCTGTGTGCTCCTCTGCAGCAGACTTTGACGCACCTCTTCTTCCACTATGAGCTGAGTCTTGTCGAGCTGAGCTCGGAGCATTTGTCGTTGGTGGAAGTGGAACGCAGGGTGGAGAGACGCCATCGTAAACAGCAGAGCCAGCTGGTCCAGAGCAGCCAGGGCGGCTTGGTGGAGCTCCGAGCCCGAGCCCTGAGTGTGAGTCCCGGGCGGACAGGACACGGAGGTGTGGTAGCAGTGCACAGGGTCCACTCTGGCCAGGCTCTGGAACAGCAGTCCCGCACAGTCCCTGCTGTCAGAGCCCAGCAGAGACAGACACACCAGCAGCTTGGAGCGGACCACTGGGTCACACACGTCCGTTAGAGAGGCCAGCTCCGCGGGGCTGTTAGCACGGTTCTCAAAGTCCCGCAGGATGTGGAAGTCTTTACGGGCGAGATCCTCCAGATATGAGCCCAGAAAGCGCAGCTCCAGCGGCTGGCACATGTGCAGCAGCCCGCACATGAACTCCAGGCGGCGGACAGGCTCCAGCTGCAGGCCGAACCACTCGAACACCGTCTCCTTGTTCAGGGGCAGAGGTCCACTGTCTCCGCGGGCTTCGGGAGCACTTGTTGGGGCACTTGTTGGGGCACACGCCGCCGTCGGGCCCTCGGACGTGTTGAATAGAAGCTTCATTTTCGGCATGATTCCGCCTCTGTCACATTAGAGCAGACACAGAGCTGTGAGAGCCATGAGAGAAGCTTCTGCAGCCGCAGGAGAAAGTGTCAGACTATGGTCTACGGTCAGGGCAGGCACTTCTCTGTGTGTATTATGGGATGTGTCACACACTTCCGCCTCCTCTTCTTCTAACGGCCTCAGGCGCACTGCGCCGCGGCGCCCCCTGCTGCTCACAACCTGCATTACATCCAAAGATATAGAGAGGCTTTCTTCGTCCCACAGTGGGGAGATGTCAGTCATGCAATGGTGTAGGTTTGGTTCCAATCTTGGTGGGGACATTCACTACGACCTGAGTCTACACCCATTGACACGGGGTCCAGAGTTTCTCCCCCAGAATTTGTTGTGTAATCACACACTATATTTGCAATAGTGTGTTGCCTTCTACACTAAACTCAGCTGTAGACTGAATGAGTTAAGGATTTTTTCTAATAGTTAAAACAAAATCAATTGGATCAGAGCTTCTGAGTTTTGTGTTGCGTTCATTCTATACTGACTTAAACCTAATCCAAATCTACATAATAGCCCTCACCTGAGGCTCTAACAGTTCAGGAACTGCTCTCAATACTTGAAATAAATCATGCTCTGATCTTTCAATTTCCTATAATAAATAAAAACAGAGGAGAAAATATTGAATTAGAATCTACAGTGAGTATCTCACTACATTGTTTGACATATACGATCAATCTCTAAAAACAATTCATAGTCCCATGCAAACCTACAAAATTCCAACCTCACCTGATGCACTGAAGGGCCTGTTGCTTCTACCTCAACATTCCCTATATTGTTCTCTCTTGTTGGTTGAGTTTCCTATGTATGTTAACAGAAGATTAATCATCACAATTCATAATTTGCTATTACTTGTGCTTTCTATTACTTACTTTCCAACTGTTAAAAAAGCTCCTGATATCTTTTATCTTTTTTTGTGGAGGTGGCATTTTTTCTAAATTATATAAGAAGGTATAGACAATCAAAAACGGACATTCATATACATGAACTGCAGAATCATTTATATAACTTGGCCAATGTCAAAAGTTACATAGTATTTCTCAATACAATGAGTTAACAAGAGTTTGGCAATAAGTAACAGTGTGGATTTTTCTATATTTTCTTTTTTTTTATTCCACTCTCTACCCAAAAAGGCAAGTAATGACTCACAGGGCTCTCAAGTATGCAAAATAAAAACTTAAATGACCTGTTGTGGTGTGTTTTGCGCACAACCAGCATGCATCGTTAACGCAATGGAAAATTTACGTATCCGAGCTTTAATTTCGGGAGCGCTGGTTGCGCTTTGGGAAGAGTCAGGGGAGAGACATGTCAGAGACACAGGGGAGAAACGGGGAAGATACGAGGGAGACCCGCACTTGCAACATGGTTCTGTCTGCATATGGTCCGAGCTCGGTACCATGTTAGAGCTGTGCTTTCACTGAGCGCCGCGGCTGTCATTACAAAGCGGCAGCAGCTGCACCAGGACGTGCACATTCGAGTGCATCGCTTGAATGTGCTTAGAGCAAATAACAGCAAGTGCCCGCTGTCACACATTTCACAGAAATTACATTATCAGCAGATAAAGGTTGTAAATCGTGGATCCGTGGAATATTTTCATCACTAGTTTATCCTGATTCACACAACACACCCTTATACATTTTGGATAGTAAGAGCACAATAAGTATTTTTTCAGCCTTTCACCTGTTTCTTTATTGGAGCCAGTTCTGTTCTGTCTCTGTGCCGTGTGAGCTCCTCGGGACATTAAACAGTGCACTGACAGATTAGAAATAACGTAAGTACTTTGAATGGTAATAGATCTACAGTACTTTCCTCTGATTACTCACGTGCTACAACGCTCAGGGAACGAAATAAAACACTTGCTTCAGTTTGGCGCTGAAGAAGACAGCCAATCACTGCAGAGAACGGAACGGGTCACGTGCTGCTGCTGCTGCTGTTGCTCTGGAGGCGAGGAGGAGGCGCGACGTGTGCACAAACGGAAGACATGTGTCCCGGACCGTCCGGGTCACGGGACATCATGTCATTTTGGTGGGGACTTTTTAGTCCACACCAAATATTGGTGGGGACATGTCCCCATGGTCCCCACGCAAACCTACGCCCTTGCAGTCATGGGCACAATAATAGTCCCAATTTGAAAGTGAATTTGCAAGAAAATATGAAGTAGTTCTTAAATATAAATTTAACCCTTTTATCTTGCTGCTCACTAGTTCTTGAGGCTGTGGGTGTGCGGGTTACAATGATCTCATAGTTTTCCTTGCTAAAATAACCAAACAACAGATCGGTAACAGTTTAGCTCCTCCATTTATTTCACACTCTGACTCTCGTGCTCTCTCTCGCTGACAAAACAGTGTTGAACCAATAATAATAAAAACAATATTAATCAAGAAAAGAATAATCATGAAATAATTCGCTATCCAAAATAATATTATTATAACATGTAAATACCAAAATCACAATGGTACTTAAGTAACAAACTTGAACTTAACATTTGTTAATGGACCAAGCAGGGGAGCCTCCTCACAAGTGATGATCCCTTTTTATATCTAGAGGTGCACATCTCACATCTCACCCTCAAGAAAGAGGCCTTCAGGAGAAAGGTCCTTAGGAAAGAGGTCCTCAGGAGAGAGGTCCGCTCAGCACTCCTGAGGACATTCATCTCCAACAAAGCCACCAGAAAGCACAGAAGATCACACAGAAGATTGTTCAGAACCGCCCTGATCATGCACTGTTGATGTTGCTGCCGTCTGGAGGAGCTATCGTCTCCTCGAAGTCAAACTGAAAAGAAGGAGCTTTCAACCAAGGCCATAAAACTGCTAAACCAGGCCTAACTCTGTGAACATATTTCTACTGTTTGTTGTGTGCACTATGGCTATGACACTTCTGCATTAGGTACAAAAGAATTTCTCAAAAAATAATGTGTGACACTAACAAACTTGAACTTCAGCAATATTGTTGGAAGCACTATTTACACAAAATGATTCATTTCAAACAAAAATTCACATAATAAAAATCAAGACACAGGTCCCCAAAAGGGGATGGATGAGCATACGTGTTTTGCATGAGCAGAACTGCCTCTCCACATTCAGGCTTCTGTGTTAATTGTGTGGGCTGCAGGCCACTTCCCACTTTCCCTCCCTTCGCACAGTAGTTGCACCAAGGACTGCTGTGTGATCTCACTTTCTTCTGTAAGAGCCTGCTGAGCACATGAGGTAAGATCAGTCTGCTTTACTTGATGCTGTGTGTGTGCAGATGGGGATGTGAGACTCAGGTGTGGTGCCAGTGCAGTTACCAGGTGGATATTGTTGGGGTTTTGACCAGTGAGGACAGGACCAGTGAGGACAGGACCAGTGAGGACAGGACCAGTGAAGCAGGTGCAACCGCTGTGTAACAGGGTTTCAATTGACTTTGAGACTTGACCAGGGGTCTCCATACAGACCAGGAGCCCCCACATTGCAGGCAATTCCACAAAGATCCTGAATGATAGCATTTTGAGTCATAAATATATATATTTATAAAGTTCTGTAGGTTACATTTAAACAGTATTATTGTGTACTTTAAATGTGTGTTCTCCATGATTTGTGGTAGTTATTATATACACTACAGATTTATCATGAGTGCAAAAGGAGACGCTCTCTGCAAATTCTGTTGTGTAAAAGTAGCTCTCAGATTATAAAACGTTGGAGACCCCTGGAGTAGACCTTCCCTGTACTGATGTACGTGCCTCTTTATATAATTAACACCAGAATTTGGATTTTAAACTGTGAAACAGTGCAACTCTTGTGCAGAGTCCGGACAAAGGGAGGGTAGAAAAGGTTGTACAAAACAGAGACAACTTTCTGTAATCTTCTTCATATTAGATTATGCATCCCACTGCACTAATATACAATATGGGTGATTACCTGTGAGACCACAAAGTAAGTGTGGATTATTGTGAGTGTAACTGATGTAAACCTGTGCATCTGCCCTGATGTGTGGCTGCGTCCCGGTGTAACTGCAGAACAATCAGTGAGAGCTCAGGGACAGGACCAGAGCAGATGTTCAGGAGGAGGCCCTGTGTTCAGATGGGTTCAGATTCATCATTAAGTTTGGAGCTGGAATACTGCAGATATGACTGATCAAATTGAACTGGTGAATTATGTATCATATCATAGAAGGAGTGGTTTGCCATCCCAGTAAGTTTAGTTTTTATCTATTGACAAATCATACTGTGACATATGCGAAAGTGTCCAAGGGTGAATGTGTGAATATGACCACGTCTGTGTCAATGACATGAATAAAAAGTGTGTGTGGCTTTGACAAAAAGGACTATGGACATTTATTAACATTCATGAACCGTTACTTATGTGTTCTGTTTTTTTGTTTGTTTGAGCTGTTTGATTTTGTGATGGCGATTTCAAAGATTTTGTTAAATTCTCTGAGATAACTACTGTTGTGATATAGGGCTATACAAGATTACATTGAATTGAATTGAATAAATATCTGAACAGAATAATTGTAGACACTCACAAAACAACAATCAAAACAAATGAAAATGGGAAACTCAAACGGCATCAGACGTGTGTGTTTTATGAAGTGGTGACTCTGGTTTCAACATCTGCACACACGGAATGCAGTGTGGTCTGAGGCCAGAGGGGGGCGACGGAGCGACCACAAAGCTGTGATTGTGGTGCTCTCCTCATGAGTGTGATGCTGCTGATGAAAGGACTCACATCAGCCACAACCGCTAAGTGCACCTGGCCCCGGACCGGACCAGAGCTCTGCAATTGTCTCGCGCTGCCTTGTTTGTGAACAAGTGCGTTGCCAAATAACAATTTAAAGTTACATCTATGGCATTGTTTGTACACACTTGGAAGAACAGAGTCTGAGAACAGTCAGGTGGATTTATTAATGTTCCTATTATTCACTTTTTCATCTTTAAATAAAATAAAATCCAATATGTGATGTCTTTAAGGCTGGCGCACATAATTTTTCTGTTTTGTAAATTATATATTTTATTTTCCACACTGGAAAATTCTGAAAAATGCGTGACCTAATCTCATTGTGCTGTCTTCCTCAAATTATTCTGTTGTTTTCAAGTTTGTAAAAAAGAGCCCCATGAGTCACTTTGTGTTGAGCATGAAGGACCATACAAAGATGTCGATTCACCAACAGATCAGAGAAAAAAACAGTTCAAAAACAGGAAATGCAATAATGACAAACACATAGGAGCCAAAGGGTTCATTAATGTTAATATTTTGTCTTTAAATGTCCTTAAATGTCAATCAATCAATCAATCATTATTTATAGAGTGCTTTTCCTACAGAGGGCAACACAAAGCGCCTCACAGTCCACACCACACAAGGCACCAATCATCAACAATAAAAATACAATTAAAATCACAAAGATAAAAATTCTTCAGTTGTACGCACAGGCAAAAAGAAAAAAAAACGGTGGGAAAAAAGTGGGAAACCTCGAGGATATCCACAAAGAGAGTGGTATCTGCTTCCATGGACGGAGGCTGTAGATCCAGGACTGAGGAGACTCCCAGACGGGGAAGAGGGGGCAGCCCACGGGTCCAGACCGAGGGGAGACCATGAGTCCACGGTGCAGATGCTTTGGACTGAGAGCTGATTGACTGTAAAGGGGGGTCCTCACTTTTTCACTTTTCTGTCTGAAAAAGTTGATTTAAAGATGTGAGAGGCTAAAAAGACATGCATGTTAAACAATGCTATTTCATATAATTTTTTGGGAGGTGTGGAAGTTAGGTACCCCAGCTTTATTAGGTCTGACCAGCAACAAATAACACAAAACCCAAAATAAGACATGTCCTCTGAGATAAATACTGCTGTGACTTCAAGCTACACAAAAATAAATACCCTTGAATTGGATATTTACTGCGCCCAAAATGTATTATTCCAACACTGTATTTATGGTTCCAATTAGTCCATTTAGCTCCGACCATGACAGGCCATATTAATAACATATTGCCTGTCACACTCTGCTCCTCCCAATCACATAAGAACAGGCCGTCGTATCCAGAGGCAGTCGCTCTCTCTCATTACTCGCGACCGGAACCAAGATCCTCAAGAGGTGTGGAACAGAACCACAACCTTAGAGAGAACCACAACGTCAGAGAGAACCACAACCGGAAATTTAGACTCACGATTAAAGCCAACATCTGCAGAAAGCGATCTAATAAGAGCACGCTCACACAACCCATACATTTGCCATTTTACCACAATTAAAAGTTCATGGAGTTGGTGAAGATTTGCCCCAGAATTGTTTTTTCAGAACATGCTGGTCAGGTTTATGGGGGGCACTTTGGGGACAATGGAAACAACGAGGGCCCTGATAAACTGCAGTAAAGTAAAAGGTTTGCATGTTCTTCTAATTGTCGGTTTGTTCGGTGGAATACTGTGGTGTGGAAGTTCACACTCCCAGACAAAGATTTCTCAGTTTTGGTGATATTTTATGACTTGAGGATTATTATATTTTCCTCTCTCAATGTTAGAGGTTTTTTGAAATCGCTGTATTTTGTAGAACGAGAACAAACTCTTACTGAGAGGCAGATGCAGAAAAGCATCTCACTCTCAGATTCTCAGAAGGGCACATTTTGGGCCTCCTTTTCTTTGCTTTGGTGCTCAGACGTTATATCGTCAAATAAATATGGTTCAAACTTCTTCCAATTATAACCTAATTGAGCTCCAGCTTGACAGATCATGCAAGACAGCCCAGGAATTTACAAGCGCTGGAGGCTTTGTGGCGCCATCTGCAGTGAAAGCCAGATCCCATCAAACCTCTGACACTAAGCAGGACATGGCCTGTTTTAGTGCTGTGATGGGAGACCTCTGGGAAGTTGGAGATTTTTGATGCGAGGACAGAAGAGTGGTATCTGTTGTCATTATTGATATTATTATTATTGTATGAATTAGACAATAAACAGATTCACACAACCACTGACAAGGAGAGAAAACTAAAAAATCTCTAAAATATAGCCCAAAATAAATCTAAATTTGGATTTGGTAAAGTTTCAAGCACAACTTTTTCACAACATTTCACACATTTGGAGGATCTTGATATTTGGAGCCACGCTGTAAAAGTGTCTGGTTTATCTGGCTCTGCGGTGACTCTTACCATGTTCTGCTCAATGAAGCCTGCAGCCAAGAAAACACGGCCCTTGTAAAGACCGCTGGTTAGCCTGCATTTCACAAGAAAATCAAATCTTATGTTTGTGCCAAGTCCACATAACAGCAGCAGACGGCTTTTATGGGACACTTTATGGACAGCTGCGACGCCCAGGCTTGTGCCATGGTTTGGACTTCTTACAGAGACAGTATGTGACTCTCTCTGACTGGGAATTTTCTGACAATACAAAGTTGTCAATGTGAAGAGAACATGCAGCAGCGGTTGTTTGAAGTAGTCCTGATAGAAACATTTGGTGCTAAGGTCCTTGTTGATAATTCTGCTGGAATATGTGGATTTCTACAAAATTATATTGAATTCTGGCTATAAATGGTTTTATTGTTTAAACCAGTGAAGTCAGATTAATTGAATTGTTTACTATTTTTTGCTTCTTTATTAGAGAAAACCATACACACACACACACACACACACACACACACACACACACACACACACACACACACAGTTAAACAGAAACACACACACACACACACACACACACACACAGATACAGTAGAAACACATTCACACAAACAGACAGACAGAGAGAAAAAGACACACACACGCACACACAGAGATAGAAACACATGCACACACAGACAGACAGACACACAAACAAACAAACACACACACACACACACACACACACAGACACATGTGTTTGTGTGTGTGACAGACAGAAAGTGCCACTGGATCCCATGCAATCGGTTCATTTAACAATTGGGTTATTCAAAATATACAATACATCTAGAACATGACTTGAACCATGGACTAAGATAATAAGATTGCAGACAAGTTGGTGGATGAGAGATGTGTGGTTCTTTATCTAAAACCACACAAATGATCCTCGTGTCATCTCTGTCCTATCTGTGTCTGTGGAGATGATAGAACGAGGCCTCTGTCCCTTTAAAAACCTCATAAACCTTATACGCTGAGGTCAAAAGCAAGATTCCATCCTGACCTCCTTTACTGCATTGTGTCCAGGATTTGATGGTTTTGAAGGAGATTTCAGGAGGAGCCATGTTTCTCTGGTCCCTGTGGAGCGCCGTGCTGCTTCTGACTGCTGCAGTGGAAGACCCCGACAATGTTCGTGCAGGTAAGACTTTTGACTGAACCTCAATAAGGCCACGCCAGTTTTTTTGGAGACAGGGCGGGCTGTAGGCATTTGATAGATAGGTAGATAGATAGATACTTTATTGATCCCCCGTAGGAGAAATGCAGGTGTTTCCCTGATACTCATTGAATTATACACTCAGTTAGACATTTCCAACACCTTTCTTATTGTAGGTTACAATCATAAACCGTATATAGATGGACTATGCTAACCTACTATATGTCCCAAGGCGGGCGCTGAAACATTGGTCCATGTCCAGTTTGTGAGAAAGGGTGCCCTGAAGTTTTTTGCCAAATTTCTGTAATTTCGCGCAGTGGGATCGAGGCCAAAGTTAAAATGTCAGAGGTCAAAGTCAACACTGATATTATCTTGTACAGAATGTGATCTTATATGTACAGGCTGTAGCACGGCTCAGAACGACCTGGTCTACATCGTGGACGGCTCCTGGAGCGTTGGCCCCGAAGACTTTGAGATCGCAAAGCAGTGGCTGGTCAACATCACCAGTGACTTTGACATTAGCCCCCAGAACACACAGGTACATCATCTATCTGTCTGTCTGTCATCTATCTATCTACTGTATCTATCTATCTATCCATCTATATATATATCTATCTCGATCTACCTATTCCCATGTGTGTTGTGCAGGTGGGAGTGGTGCAGTACAGCGACACACCGCGGCTGGAGTTCTCTCTGGGCAAACACCAGGGGGCAGCAGAACTCATCCAGGCCATCCACGATATAGAGTACATGGGAGGAAACACTCAGGTAGGACCATGACAGGAAGTGGAGGTTTTTGCAGCCAACCGGCTGCTCTAGATGTAACTTATCTGAGATGACTGACTTCACCGAGATAGGCAGCAATGTGCCATGAGTGTCACTCCCATATTCGTCCCGGAAACCGGATTCGTCCGGAAGTTCAGTTTGATCCAATGAGCATACGCAGCAGTAGATTACGTCACGGAATCTGGACGGAAAGGGAAGTAAATATAAAAAACTACCTATTCATGCCTAAACTTAACCAGCCATTCCCATAAAATAACCCCAACCCAGCCTTAACCCTAACCTTAACCATCTTAATCAGACGCCTAAACTTAACCAGTCTCCACTTAAGGACATATTAAACTTTTTGACATGCGCAAACTGAACTTCCGGACGAATCCGGTTTCCGGGACGAATACGGGAGTGACATGAGGCACTAGTCTGCCGGAAATCAACCGAAGAAGAAGAAGAAACATCAACAATATTGTTTTTGTTTTCTTGGATCTGTGTGTTTGTGGGTTTTTATGTTGAAAAAAAAAAACAATATTATTGATGATAAAAAAGTTACATGTGAATATTATTGAATGTACTGCTACTTTTTCAGAAAAAAAACCCAAACAAAACTAAATCAAAATGTACCAAGGGCCAACAGATTAACACATAAAATCAAATTAAAAAACCTATGAAATACTTAAATATATAATTGTATTGTTTGATATTGTTAATGTTTTTAAAAAAAATGAAAAAAGCATAATTGTTTGAAGATTTATTCTTTTATTGAAGCATTTATTGAGTTTAATTCAGTTTTTGAAGAAAACAAATAATCCTGCAGTTTGCTCAAACATTTAAAAATAATGTGGTTACAATTTAGATTAGCCCTCACTAATTATCAGCTAATTAATTGCTAATTAGCGTACCCTAACCTTACACCTAGCCCACATGGGAAAGTGTCAGTTAGTAGTTAGTTATACATTAATTAGCAAGTTAGCCATTAATTAGTGAGGGCTAAACTAGTGTGCGATCATATATGTTCTTTGCTCACAGACAGGCAGAGCCATCAAATTTTCCGTGGAGCATGTCTTTGGCTCGTCGCAGAGAGGCAGTCAGGTGAAGAACCGCATCACGGTGGTGGTGACGGACGGAAAATCCCAGGACGACGTGGTGAGTCTGGAGAGTTTGATGAGTTCTTCTGTCTGCTGTGAGTCGGGTCCATAACAGGGTGTGTCCCAGGTGGACGCCAGCGAGGAGGCCAGGGCACAAGGCATCACCCTGTTCGCCGTGGGGGTGGGCTCAGAAACCACCACGTCAGAACTGGTCACCATCGCCAACAAACCGTCCAGCACCTACGTCCTTTACGCCCAGGACTACGGCAACATCGAGCGGATCAGAGAGGCCATGCAGCAGCGGCTCTGTGAAGGTCTGTCTTGCTCTTCTCTAAGTACACTCCAGTAGCTCCACTTAAAGCTGGGATACCTCTTGGGAACAAACATGCTGTCTTTTGCATACTGTGAGCTGATTGGCTGAGTGATGGCTGGTCCTCTCTTTTTTACTGAAAAAAGCTGATCCAAAGATGTGACAAAGGCCAAATACATGCAAAAGTATGGATCCACTTTACTAGGTACATGGATTTTTAGTGTGGATTCAAATGTAGGGACTCCAGCTTTAAGACTGCACATTTCATTTTGTATTTTTTCCCAAATATTTGTACTTTTTCTTCCTTGACTAGTTCTTTTGCATCTGGCGACACAATATACAATAGGCTAGAATAGGTCAAACTCCACTCTGAAAGATCCTAGCCGAGGATTCTAACCCTGGACCTTCTTGCTAAGAAGCGTTAGTGCTAACCAATGTGCTGCCCCAGAACTTTTTTAGAGTTTTTAGAGTCATTGAGTCATTGAATCTCCGCCTTAGCTTCATTTTTGTGTTTCTCAGAGTCCGTGTGCCCCACTCGTATCCCAGTTCCTTCGCGGGACGAGAAAGGTTTCGAGCTGCTGCTGGGAATGAACATCCACCTGAAAGCTAAGAGCGTCCCGGGATCTCTGGGCACGGAGTCGGCCTACGCCCTGAGCGCCGAGGTGGACATCACCGAGCCCACCAAGTACCTGAGCTCTTCTTTCTCAGCTCACTGTCTGGAATCATAACTCCTGATGTAATTCCATGTGTCTTTCTCCAGAGAGGTGTTCCCAGAAGGCCTGCCCCCGTCCTACGTGTTCGTGGCCACCGTGCGGCTGAACAGTGGATCTAAGTGGACGTTTGACTTGTGGAGGGTTCTGTCTAAGGATAAGGAGGTGCAGGTGGCTGTGACTCTGGGGACGCAGAACAAGACGGTGACGTTTACCACCACCAGCGTCACCCACCGGGAGCAGAGGGTCCGCTTCCCCACCGGCTTCCAAGTATGACGCCATTTAGTAATAGTAGTAGTTTATTTCTTCAGTCATAACCAATAGATCTAAAGTCACATGTTTTCAAAAAATCATATACATTTTAAATTAAGACAAATTATTTATTGTATGCTAAATGATGATTCACAAATAAGGTGTCCAAGCTAAGGCCCAGGGGTCAAATGCGGCCCGCTTTGTCATTTTATATGGCCCTCTGCTGCTAACACAAAGTATCCATTATGTATTTGCACAGTGTCATCCAGCCAACTTCAGCTCCACCAATATATCCGTGGCGCACCTCGATGTAAAGCTCACGACCTTTGGAATCTTATTTGTGTATACTGAAATTTGTTTTTGATTGTGTCGCAAAATTCCACATAATATCACACCCAATTTTTAAAACACAAAACAGCCAGAATCCAGAAAAAATAGTCTGGCTGAGCGATAGTGGCCAATATTTCCCGTTGGTGTCTTGGGGTTTGGCCGGATTTTGTACCTGTGTCAGCTTTTCACCTCGAGGAAAACAGACAAAACAAAATGCACAGGACAAAACAAACTTACAACTTATAATGATGAGTCAAAACAAGACTTCTCCGGCCACAGTCATTATGCAATGTGTTGTTCTTTGTGTGACTCGTATGTAGTTTATTCACCCACTTCATCAGAGCCTCATATAAAGCAATGGGCTAGAAAACAGCTGTTAAATTTACAGCTACACATGCCTCAGCCAAAAGACTACATTGTAAGGCAGGTTAAATGCTGAGTCGTTCTGACCCACCAGCCCTGGACAAAAAAAAACGTCTACTTTAACAGTTTGAGTTGAATATGAAATAGTTTGAAACAGTGATTCTAAAATGTGATTTGTTTGATTTGATTGTGTTGTATTGTATCTTCCTGACAGGCCCTGTTTGATGGAAAGTGGCACCAGCTGAAAATAGTGGTTCGGCCGAGGAAGGTCAGTGCTTTTCTCGATGACCGACTCATCCAGGAGCAGGAGCTGCAGCCGGTGGAACCCATCTTCATCAACGGATACACACAGGTGTCCAAGAAGGGCAGGACGGAGGTCACTGTCCCGGTGAGGACCATGCTCACACACCATTATAGTTCAAAATGCTCTGTATGGGGTTCTTGCAAGTTCACCATTTCCCCACAGCTTCCAACACTTCCTGCTGCTCCACATGTTTAGCAGGGGGTCTGAGAGTGTTGAAGCAGCGTGTGTTGGTCTGTGCAGGTGGACATCCAGAAGCTGCGTCTGTACTGTGACCCGGAGCACAGCGGGAGGGAGACGGCCTGCGAGATCTACTCTGTGGTAAACTCCCTCACATATCTACTGCTGCTGCTGCCTAGTGCTTCTGATGTGTCCTAATGCTCTTGTCTCTTCTCTTTTGGACGGCAGGATGATGAGCGGGTAAGTGTGACACATCAGTGAGCAGTCATCTTCCTCTTTTCTTCTCGTATCAATTGTCTTCTTTTAAATCATTCCTCTGCGTTGATCACTCACTGCCTTGGAGTGAACATCTTTGTGCTGACTGTCCCCAGTGTCCCCTGAACCGAACGGCCCCAGAGGATCCGGATGACTGTAACTGTGCTCTAGGCCCCCAGGGGCCACGGGGGCCCCCTGGACGCATGGTACACTCACACAGCTGCTCCTTATCACTGTGCTCTTACATTTAGTTATTTCAGTTCAGAGGGGACAGACCACACCCACCAATGAAAGGGAAAGCAGGCACGATCTGATGTGGAAATGTGGCTATTTGGCAAATCTGTATTTTACAAACCTCACTCTTAATGCCACACCCTGTATGTGACATCACACATGTGTGAGCGGCTTCAGGTCCCATAAATACATCTCCAAAACATACACATGCCTCCTCTGGTGGTCTGTGCAGCCCATCAGGTGAACACATGCTCTGATTGGCTGATGTGCAATGCTCTGTCTTTTGCACAGGGGTTTCGGGGCGAGAAGGGCCGGGAGGGACCCCCAGGGCCTGACGGGAAACCTGTGAGTGCACTTCTTTTTCTTAATCAAGTGTAAAATTTGGGTATTCTAATGAGCAGGAGGCTTCTTCATCAGGGCAAAGATGGGAAAGTGGGACCACCTGGGATTCCTGGAGCACAAGGGAACAAGGTTAGACTGATCTCCTCACACCACAGTATGAACACACAATTCTGTGTTTGTTTTCATGAAACAATAGCTCTTCTTCCATCTGTGTTGATTTTATAATCTGCATATTTTGGCTGCGTTGTTAAAGTTGTTATTTTCGAACTCACATTGATCTGATTGTGCTGAACAGGGGGAAACTGGGCCTCAAGGCCTCCGAGGAGAGCAGGGTCTCAAAGGGGTCCAGGTACATTCACTGAACTCATCATTGATGTAAGTTTGGTAAATAAAACCTAACACTCTGTGTTTCTAGGGAGATCCAGGAGAATCAGGTGTTCCTGGGAAACCCGGTCCTGATGGACAAAAGGTATCATCTTAACATCCACAAAAACATCCACAGTTTTCAATAGTTACAGAGAAACTATTAAAACCTTTAATCAAGGGATGCATTAAGTGTGACCTGTCTGACTTAGGGTCTTCCCGGAGATACTGGGGAGGCGGGGCCACCTGGAGAACACGGACCAATGGTAGGACCTTGCTCCTCTGTCACTGAATAAGTTCATGTTGTTGTTGTTGTTGTTGTTGTTCTCTAATTGAGTTATTGTTCTTCATCACTGCTTGTGACTCACAGGGAGACCCAGGACCTGTGGGGAAAGCTGGGGAAGTGGGACCTCCAGGTGCAAAGGTGAGATGCACACAAACTACCAAAAGTGAAATGAGATGAAAAGATACATAGAGTATTACAATTTACAGTTCTCTGGATTATGTCCATGATGATACACATCACAGCTACATCAGTGTCTTAGAAATGTGTGACATAATCAAAAACAAATGTCAATCTATACAAATAGAGTTAACGACTGAATAAGGTTCTGAGCTTTACAACACGGTGCAGTTATTTGCACATGTAAATGTCTACGTTGGTGAAGGTGAAGTTGATTAGAGGACACTTAAAGTACATCAGCGGCTACATTGTGTTAGCGGAAGAGGGCACATATAATCACAGCCGCATTTGGCCCACGGGCTTTGATTTAGACTTCATCTTCATCAACGTGAGGTTAAGTCCTCACGGTGCCGGAGTAACTGGGAGTCAGTGATGAGAGGAGTAGACTTACAGTATAAAAGAATCAGAATCAGCATTCTTTTCATTGTCATTGTAAGTAACAGGAAGTCACAAATGAGGAATTTAATTTGGCTCATGGTGCAAACAAGTTAATATAATAGAAATGGATGTAAAGGCATGCATAAAAAATCTTAATAATCTCATAAAATATATTAACATTTCTACTGTATACAGTGCACACTAGGTACACTCAGAGACAACAATAGGCACTTATACAATCCCATTGTCAAAGATCTATATGATAATGTTAATTATGATAATTAGTGTAATCGTACGCCTCTGTAAGACCAGCCCATATCCTGGTGCAGTCAGAGCCCACATCAAACTGGCCTCTTGTGAAATATATTGTGTTGTTCACGGCCCCTGTGTAATTAAGGACATGTCGTTGCGGTAGACCCACACTACTGTATGTGCATGTGGCGAGACACTTCAAATAAAACACAATGCGTTTCCTCTCTGCCAACAAGAACAGGCCCCGAGCAGCTCCTCCCAGTCTGTCCCCACTGACCTGCTAACATTATTATTCTCTTTACATCGCTGCGTATTCAAATGAGCAAACCGTGGCACATTCACACTATGTCTTGCTAAAAGTCCTATATTGAGCTCCTCCTCATGTTTCACAGTCCATCCTATGCACATGTTTGATCATAATTTGAGTGATACATCAACAGCACTTGTCATTTTATAAGCATGTGGATCTCCTCTGCCTGTGAGCCCGCCTCCCTCCGCCCGCGCAGTGACGTAGCCTCACGCTGACTTTGTAAACACAGCAAACTCTACAGCTTTCTCCAGTACAAAATCATTTCAGACCTGAGAATACACTTTTCCAACAATGACAATCCGTCCCATAGAGCCCTATGTCCTCGATGCAGAATCAGACCCTAATTATTTAGTTGACAATATAGTATACGGCGAAATATGCCTCTCGAAATTGAAAGAGAAAGATCTCTTCCTAACCATAGCTTGAGGGAATCAATGAAAAAACTCCACTGGGCACTATGTGTTTGAGGACAATTAGTTCTGTAATCAAGTTTAAAGCAGAGAAAAGTCATGGGCTCAACATCTTTACCTAAACCACCAGCTTTTGTGTTGTACTTCTGCTGTTTTGTCCTTCAGTGTTCTCCAACAGGAGTACATTCATTGTATGTTTCATAAAGGGACATATATAACGACACTATTCTCTCTGACAGCGTCACTGAAGCACAATGTCTGTCCTCCTCAGGGGCTGAAAGGTGACCCTGGATCTGTCGGTCCTCCTGGACTTCGAGGGGATCCGGTAAATTCAATTCAATTCAATTTATGTTTGTACAGCCCCGAATCACAACAAAAGATCTGAGAATCAAACAGTCAGAAAACACAGGACATGTAATAACAAACACGTAGGAGGGGGATTACACACTTAAAGGGGAAACACAGTGAGGCTTACCAGTTTTGTTGCTATGTAGAAATTGATCAGACCGAATCAGTTGAATGGATTAAAAGAAGTTTATGATTGGGGATCCAGTCTCAGTCAGACAACAGAATCTGATTTACTCTATTTCAATCAAAGATAACCTATTGCAGTCTGAAGTGTCTGAGGTCATGAGGCCGTAACATCCAGAAGGAACATGTGCCATTCGCCTCTTCAGATATTCCACTACTTACTTTACCTGCTGTTATTATTATTATATTATTACATATTCCACTAGTTACTATACCTGCTGCTGTTATTATTATCACTACTGTTTATCCTAGTCATATTCTCTGCTGCTAAACCATCTGTAAACAGCTCATGTTACTCCTAACTGCAGTGTATCCTCCACAAGTGACTTTTCCTTGAACCAAGAGTTTTGTTATATTGTCTTTGATTGTAATATTTTAAGGCAAGGCAAGGCAAGGCAAGGCAAGTTTATTTGTATAGCACAATTCATACACAAGGCAACTCAAAGTGCTGAACAAGATAGCATTAAAATCATAAATAATCACAGAACATTAAAACGAAAGATAAAAATATAAAATCCCTCAGTTGTATGCACAGCTAAACAGGACTGTTTTTAACTTGGTTTTAAACATTGTCAGAGAGGAGGCCTGTCTCACATCTTCAGGAAGATTGTTCCAGATTTTAGCAGCATGAATCTGAAAAGCAGCCTCCCCATGTTTAGTTCTGACTCTGGGCACTAACAGGAGTCCAGTCCCTGTGCTCCTCAGAGTCCGGGCTGATTCATATGGGACTAACATGTCACTAATATATTTTGGTGCGAGGCCATGGAGAGACTTGTAACAAGCAGAGCTGTTTTAAAGTCTATTCTCTGAGCCACAGGAAGTCAGTGCAGAGACCTGAGAACTGGACTAATGTGGTCGTTCTTCCTGGTTCTAGTCAGGACTCGAGCTGCAGCATTTTGAATGTACTGCAGCTGTTTTACAGCCTGTTTGGAGAGGCCATCTATAACCTTAAATAATTGATGTTGTTAGATGTGTGCATAATTTCAGAGCTCATTTTCTCCTTTCCAACAATGACATTGAAATATTCCCACATTTTAGGAAAGAATCGCACTCTCCACTTTTTGAACCAAACTCTCTGGTCTTATTGGACGAGCACGTATCACCAGAAAGATTGACAATTAGGAGGACCAATAGTCTTGATGATCCACCCGCAAGTAGAAAATCCTCCTTTACACCTTTACAGAGCGGGATCCCCACAATCTATAAATGTGTATGAATAAATACTTCTATTCTACCTCATGATATTTGACCAAAAAGTAGCAAATTGATGGATTCTTTATGGGTCTGTATACAGAGGATGGATATGCCAACAGTGGTTGGGAAAAGCTTTCAGGAAGGCTCTATTCAAATGTAATGAAATACAAACAGAACCCAGAGTTAATACACAGAACAGACTTAAAGGATAAGAAACAAAAGGGCTTTGTTGGAAGAAGCATTCCGCGACGATGCTGGGTCTGGCTGGCAGCGCTTGAATGAAGTGGTTTCATGTTTATGTGCATCCTCTGTGCTCTGCTCGAGTCGTTATGGTCACGCCCAGTCTGTAGGCAGGCCGGGATGAAACCACCGGGATCTGCCAGTGTTGGGGCCGATGTCAGGGCCAGGGTCAGGGCCAGTGTCGGGGCTGGTGTCAGGGCCAGTGTCTGGGCCAGTGTCAGGGCCAGTGTCTGGGCCAGTGTCGGGGCCGGTCCATGCTCTGGTGGCCCACACGGCTGAGGGTTGGGGTAACAGTGTCAAGAGGAAGATCTTAAAAGCAGGACTTTCAAAAAATAAAACATTTTGTTTTCAAATATTTTTCTATTTTTTTTTGTCTCTCATTTTTATTTATTTTTATTTTTTCTCATTGTAACTCTCTCCCTTCTATACGGCTCCCGGCAGGATCAGGGGAGGGGCGGGAGGGGGTTATTCTTTAGAAATAATGGGTGTACAGAGGTCAGGATAGGAGACCAATGATAGTGACATTCAGACTTAGAGTTTACTGTCTTCATAATCTGTTTGTGCGGAAATAACAAATGTAACAAAACTTAAAACCACAAAGAAACAGGGACAAGAAGAAAGATGGATAAACAATGGGAGCAGACAGAGGAGCACAGGGGTTAAATCCACACAACGAGACACAAGTGAAACACATTAAGTCACACTAAAAAAAATATATATATATCAAAAATATAACCAAGCTGCAGGCAGTTTTTAGTTTAAAGTTACAGAGGTATAACATGAAAAGATTAGTTTAGTCCTGACTCTGGGACCAGCAGGAGGCCGGTCCCTGTGCTCCTCAGAGTCCCAGCAGGAGTCCAGTCCCTGTGCTCCTCAGAGTCCCAGCAGGAGTCCAGTCCCTGTGCTCCACAGAGTCCCAGCAGGAGTCCAGTCCCTGTGCTCCTCAGAGTCCCAGCAGGAGTCCAGTCCCTGTGCTCCTCAGAGTCCCAGCAGGAGTCCAGTCCCTGTGCTCCTCAGAGTCCCAGCAGGAGTCCAGTCCCTGTGCTCCTCAGAGTCCCAGCAGGAGTCCAGTCCCTGTGCTCCACAGAGTCCCAGCAGGAGTCCAGTCCCTGTGCTCCTCAGAGTCCCAGCAGGAGTCCAGTCCCTGTGCTCCTCAGAGTCCCAGCAGGAGTCCAGTCCCTGTGCTCCTCAGAGTCCCAGCAGGAGTCCAGTCCCTGTGCTCCTCAGAGTCCCAGCAGGAGTCCAGTCCCTGTGCTCCTCAGAGTCCCAGCAGGAGGCCAGTCCCTGTGCTCCTCAGAGTCCCAGCAGGAGTCCAGTCCCCTGTGCTCCACAGAGTCCCAGCAGGAGGCCAGTCCCTGTGCTCCTCAGAGTCCCAGCAGGAGGCCAGTCCCTGTGCTCCTCAGAGTCCCAGCAGGAGTCCAGTCCCTGTGCTCCTCAGAGTCCCAGCAGGAGGCCAGTCCCTGTGCTCCTCAGAGTCCCAGCAGGAGGCCAGTCCCTGTGCTCCTCAGAGTCTGACTTGGTATACGTGGTTCTTTTGACACAAACTGATGCCAATGTTTGGATTCATGTAAATACATCTAATCACATGTTAGGTTCAAACAGTGTTTTGTTGAGAAATGTTGCTTTAAAATGAGGTACAACATGCCATGGTAGCCGAATCGACATATTAACATCAATGCTGCAAGTTTAATGTATCTATTTATTCATCAAGTTTAATTTAAAATCCGCTCAGGAGCCACTGTAATACCCTTGTGTTTGACACTTGTGACTTGTAGGTGCAGGTGGAAATAACACCATCCTTCAAAATGAGATGAGAGAGTATTTATAGAGAATGAGTGGGAGGTTATAGACTAACTGCGGTCTATGTGTGTTAGAATGATGTTGGTCTGTGTGTGTTATGGTTTGTGTGGGCTCTCACTGTATCGTCTCACTTGAACATTATTGTGTTGTATTTATGCAGTCACTAATTATGTCAACATGTACATATACTAGTTTATTTCTTAAGCTAAACAGTAGTTTCTCTGATCAGAAGCAGAATATGAGTCTCTTATGGGTTGGGGAGTTGCCAGTTTCTTTTGTGATAGACAGAGGTGGAAAACATAGAGAGGCGGCTAAAGCGAGAGATCCTATTTGTATAATAAGTGTACATTATTGTTTTTATTATCCAGTTTTTTGATTGGACAGACTGTGTGTGACGTCATCATAGCTGAAGTTTGCCTTTTCCCAGAAGAAGCTGTTAAGAGCTAAACTCAAACAGGCTTCATGGGCAGGAATCTGGAGCCAATTTCTCAGATAGCAACTACCTAGCAACTAAAGAGCCAATCAGGAGAGGCTGGTCTAACGCCAAAGCCAATTTTAGGGACAGAAGGCAGCGGACAAACGACTCTGTGATGTATTCTGTGTTTGTTTGAGTGATGTAGAATAGTTGGAGTTGTTTCTCTATATTGTCTCACAAACATAACACTGTATTGTTTTTATGTCGCAGGGTGAGCCTGGAGCTGTGGGTGGAGCGGGTCCTTTGGGTCCCCCGGTACGTTCACTGTCAACTATCCATGTGTCGATCTGCCACTGACACTTGACTTTCTTTTCTCAGGGAGACAGGGGCCAGCCCGGACCCCCGGGGGCAGCAGGAGTGCAAGGCATGATGGTCTGTAGTAATTTGCGTGTGTGTTTGTTTTATACAGGTTAACATTTCTATGGTTTGGTTTCATGGTCGTTTTTCTTTGAACAGGGAACCCAGGGCCCCCCAGGACCCCCTGGAGAAACTGGCCCACAAGGAGCTATGGTTTGTTCATGTATAATGATTCCACACCAGACAGACTCCAGTCAGAATGAGCTGGTGCAATAACAACTCCATTAGCCATTAGCCATTAGCTATTAGCTGCTGATGTGGAACCTCCTGGCCTCAACAGAACATTGGCAGTAGTGCTATTACCCATGATGCTCTGTGCCACAAGAAACAGGCGGAAAGAGAGAGTGGGACGAGTTTTTATGAAGGAAAATGTGCATTTATAAAAAATGGCCCAAAAGACAAAAGTACCCACAAACCCGGCCTGTGCTCTGTTACCTGTATGTTAACATTGGGGTAAGGCTAAAGTGAGTAAGACCCTAGTGTAAATTATCATTCATCTTATCCAGCCTCACATGCACACATGTGTGATATAACCACTGTAACTGTAACAATGTTTCTTATGGTTCTCAGGGAAAGTCTGGAGATCCAGGTGCAGCTGGAGCTTTGGGTCTACCTGGAGAAAAGGTAAAGTAGTCTAGCACCAATTAATGCACTCAATAAATCTATCCTTAGTCATTTTAGTTTTTTCGAACGATAAAGTAGAGGCCCATGCACATGAATCAATTCAATTATACCATAGATTAAGGACTGTAGAACAAGGACTGAGGCTGTTAAACTCAATCCTGCCCTTTATACAGATGTAAAACATCATCACGTGTGCCTTGTGCAGGGTTGTTTGGGGGACCCAGGGGTCCCAGGTGTGCCCGGAAGAGTGGGGCTCCCAGGCATCAAAGGCCATAAGGTGAGTGCTGCAGGTGCCACATTAGTATGAGTATGTTCAGGTGATGATGAAACTTCTGCTTTTGTCGTTTGCAGGGACACGTGGGTGAAACAGGCTGCAAAGGCTCACAGGTATCACCAGGTTTTATTCACCATCACCTCCTCTGCTGAGGTCAGGGACTGTGTCCTCGTCCTGCTGCGTCAGTCTGCGTCAGGCGTCTGCAACAATAACATTACGGAACTAAACAAAATATACATGTTCAGAATTACTAATATAAAATGAAAAGGGAAGTATAGACACGGACATGACAAAATAGCTCTGGGCACTGTGGGCACGAGCTACAGTACATAAAAAAACAATGCAACAACTCTTACATCATACACCACAGGTTTGTCTTATCCATCTTTGTGTTTTCAGGGCGAGAGAGGCAACGATGGAGATCCGGGAAATCCTGGTTTACCAGTGAGTGTGGATCTTCAATTGATTAAATTTCAACAGAACTGTATCAAACTGAGGAACACTGGAACTAAAGCAGTTCCATTGCACATTTTACTTTGAACCTGCAGTTTAGCACCTGGACTGACACATGAGGCCCTTAGACTTGATTTTCACTCATTGTCCATCTGTCTTTGTCAGGGGGACGTGGGACCCGTTGGGAGGAAAGGGGAGGTTTGTATTTTCTGTTATTCTGACGACATCATCACATATTGTTCAGACTGTTCGCTCCAATAGACCAGGTCTGTGGGTTACTCGTGTTGTAAGTGTCGCACTCTTCCCTCAGAGAGGTTACCCTGGGTATGTGGGCCCTGTGGGAGCAGTGGGGGCCAAAGGAAACACAGGCCACACAGGGGTAGCAGGTCCCAGAGGTTTCCCAGGCCAGGATGGACCCCCAGGTCAGCCAGGTCAGGCTGGACAACCTGGGTACCCAGGAAAACCGGTGAGCTCTCTACTCTTGAAGGAACTGGACTGTTACACAGATGTGTCACATGTTGTGTTCTTAGGGAAAGGCTCCGTCAGACGATGTTCTCCTGAAGATCTGCACCCAGGCCCTGCGCAGTGAGTACAGCTCACACAACATCAACGGCAACAACCATTACAACCGTAACAACCATTACAACCGTAACAACCATAACAACCGTAACAACCATAACAACCATAACAACCATTACAACCGTAACAACCATAACAACCGTAACAACCATAACAACCATAACAACCATAACAACGACAACAACCATAACAACCATAACAACCATAACAACGACAACAACCATAACAACCATAACAACGACAACAACCATAACAACGACAACAACCATAACAACCATAACAACGACAACAACCATAACAACCATAACAACAACAACAACCATAACAACTGTAACAACCGTAACAACCGTAACAACCATAACAACCATAACAACCATAACAACCATAACAACCATAACAACCATAACAACCGTAACAACGACAACAAGCATAACAACCATAACAACCATAACAACGACAACAAGCATAACAACCATAACAACCATAACAACGACAACAACCATAACAACCATAACAACCATAACAACGACAACAACCATAACAACGACAACAACCGTAACAACCATAACCATAACAACCATAACAACCGTAACAACCATAACAACCACAGAATGATCAAACCAGTCCATTCTTCAGCCTGAGCTGCTCTCTCTGTGGTGCTCAGTGAGGACAGTGGTCAGTCGTACCATGTGTAAAACCTGCTGTTTCTGTGTCTAGACCAGCTGCCGGTGCTGCTGCGCTCTGTCAGTTCTCCGTACAGATGTGCACCTTGTATGAGTGTGAAGGGACCCGCTGGTGATCCGGGAACACCAGGACCTAAAGGTTCTATGGGAGCACCCGGCTACCCTGGCACTAACGGAGCTACTGGTTACCCTGGACCTCCAGGCAGGCAGGGAGATCAAGGCCTCAAAGGTAGGACTTTGGATTCTCTCATCTCCACAAGAACACCCTTTGCTTTGCTCCTGGGGCGGGGCCTTTCTGAGTGGAGTTTGTATGTTCTGTCTGCGTAGGGTTCCTCCGGGTGCTGCGGTTTTTCTTACCACTAAATACATCTACATTAGGTTCCTCCACTCTAGGTTCTGGATCTTTGTGGACAGAGTCTTGCCAAATTTAAATAAATACATTGTTTTTCTTCATTACTATATTTCACACCAGTGATGCATCTTGTAATAATACAGCAAAGCCCAAAAGCACGACAGGCCAGATTAACCACTGTCGTCCTCAGGTGAAACTGGACCTAAAGGACAGAAGGGCAGTAAAGGAGAAGGCCATCAAGGCCCCCCAGGAGACCCCGGACAGCCAGGTATATACACCTAAAACACTGGTTAAACAGACATTTCCAAAAGGGGAAACAATTATTGTTATTATTTAAGTAATATTTACTGATAATCAACTGTACTTTGAGAATCAGTGGCCTATATTCCTGGGCCTACTCACCATGTCCCGGACGTTCATTCTGTTTGTTTTTTTCTAGGATCACGAGGTCTGCGAGGTTTTGATGGAACGGGGCATCCAGGAATACCAGGAGCCCCAGGGAAGCAGGGCCCTCCAGGATATCCTGGAAAACGCGGAGGTCCTGGTCTGCCAGGGGTCTGTGATCTCTCCATGTGCTATCAGAGCTACAACCTCAGAGACGAGTACAGCAAGGGCCCCAGCGAGTGAGGCCCCAGGGCCACATCAAAGACACTGCTCGGGGCCTCATCCCACAACAGCAGAGGGACAACTCAGGACTTCTCCTCACACACACGTCTCCTGAGAGCCACTCAAACCCCACAGCTTTTATTTATTTTGAACTGTTTTGTATTGACTGTGAACAGACTTAGTGTAAGTGCGGGAGGTCAGGGGCCTCCTCTGACCACACGGACTGTTGGCTCTGCACTCGCGGAAGACGGTTTTGTGGAACTGTGGACTGAGGAGAGTGAACCCAATTCCCCCATGGAGGAGTGTGTTGAGTTGGTTTTTAAACCTGTATAACAAGCATTGGGCCCCTGTGCAGAAGGCCCCTGTGCTGAGGGCCCCTGTGCTGAAGGCCCCTGTGCTGAAGGCCCCTGTGCAGAAGGCCCCTGTGCTGAAGGCCCCTGTGCTGAAGGCCCCTGTGCTGAAGGCCCCTGTGCTGAGGGCCCCTGTGCTGAGGGTCCACCATGTGATTGAGAGACATTTCATTATAGCAGCACATGTCCAGCTGGGATAAACTTTTGCAGAAGATGTTTGGACCCAAAGTGTTTCATTATGAACTCATGAGTATGTTCAACATTACCCTCACTGTTTTTTTATTCTCTGCAAAAAAATACTAAACATAATTCAAAATCACTTGAATTAGCCTTAATTCATCTGGATGTTAGTACATTTTGTCTGTCTCAAAACAAGATCTTCCAATGGGACAAGAAATGGAGCAAATTCTCCTTTGAAGTGGTGTTTTTTCTACTTCCTTTGAACACATTTAGCAGGTCTCACATCCTGTTTTAAGACAATTTACGTTCTTGAATCAAGATATAAGTTGCTTTAAGCCTTTACTGTCCTATATTTGATCTTTTTTTTCTGTGCATCTGAATATTGAATATCTGTAGAGTCAACAAATAAAGTTTTTTTCATTCCTTCACCAGGAGTTGCAGTGAAAAACATTTTAGTTTCTTACATAATGAATCTAAGATCACTGAAGAAAAGTGACGCACATGAACTCCCACTGTATGGATTTGGATTTGTTGGAGTTATTTCAACATCATGATCTAATGTAGAAGGAACTTGAACACGACCCATGGTTCTGGTATTTCACTGACTCAGATCTGTCCTGGCTTTTTCTGGGAAACACACTCCTTCAACATTTGATGTGTAGTGATTGTCAGAGCCACATGTGGGCGTGTCCCGTTTCTGAGAAGAGTATAGAAGTAGGACATTTCATTTCATACTACATACACATTTCATACATAATGAGATACAACATTCATTATTATATTATATTAAATTAAAGGGACACGCTGATATTTCTGTTCATTTGGCGATGTCTTCTTTGTGTCTTTATTCGGAAGCATCAAAAAAGGACGAGACAAATGACAGAAACACAAAGACAATGCAAGTCAATATTTACATGCGATTTCTGCGTGTGTGTGTGCCCATGCGTGTGTGTGTGTGTGTGTGCGTCCATGCATATGTGTGTGTGTATGCCCATGCATGTGTGTGTGTGCATGTGTGTGTGTGCATGCGTTTGTCTGTGTGCTTGCGTGTGTGTGCATGCGTGTGTGTGTGCATGTGTGTGTGCGTGTGCATGCATGTCTGTGCATGCATGTGTGTCTGTTTCTATTTCTATATATAAAATACAGCTGGTACACGTCACCTCCAAAGTTACTTCTTTCTCATGAGTAGAAACCGTACATTTACATCCACTGTGGGTTTTTTTCCTCAGTGTCTGAAATTAAACTTCGGACCAATCGAAGGTAACTGTTTTATACTGTGAACATTTCAGAAAATTCACAACTGGCAATAATTTGGCACTGGGCCAAAGTCCAAACATTTCAGTTCTTGTTTTTACACTTCTGGATACAAGTTACAGAAAGTCCAAATCTTATGTCTTGATCCAATGAGACAAGTTTCCGCACAGAAGACAAAGACGTTTGGATGTTTGGATCAAACGGTCATCTACAATAAATATTGAATTCATGCATAAACTTTAAACATTTACAGATAATGCAATACTTTCATATAAGTAATAACGAATATTTCAAGTTCAACCCTTTAATGTTCGTGATGTAGAACTTCTTTTCTTTTCTAAGATGCAGGAGCTCTGATAACCCCCAGTGTTTTAAATATACAGTACGTCTCTGCAAAAGGCCTGAGATGCAGTTTGATGGTAGAAGCCTAAAAATAAGTGAAGGAGATGCAACAAGAAGGTAGATTTCTGTTCCAAGCTTCAAGTAGATATAGATCAAACCATTAAAGGGTCAAAGGCAAATTAATGGAAAACATCTTCACATACTGTAGGTGATGTAAAGATAGATCATGATGTTGAGCCACGCACTTCCTTCCTTCTATGACTGATTCTACGAAGGAGTCTGAGTCAGTGCCTCCAACGCCGACAGAGAGGACCAGAACAGACACTGCAGATCTGACAGAGAGGACCAGAACAGACACTGCAGCTGAGACAGAGAGGACCAGAACACACACTGCAGCTGAGACAGAGAAGACCAGAACAGACACTGCAGCTGCAACAGAGAGGACCAGAACACACACTGCAGCTGAGACAGAGAAGACCAGAACAGACACTGCAGCTGAGACAGAGAGGACCAGAACAGACACTGCAGCTGAGACAGAGAGGACCAGAACAGACACTGCAGCTGAGACAGAGAGGACCAGAACAGACACTGCAGCTGAGACAGAGAAGACCAGAACAGACACTGCAGCTGAGACAGAGAAGACCAGAACACACACTGCAGCTGAGACAGAGAAGACCAGAACAGACACTGCAGCTGAGACAGAGAGGACCAGAACAGACACTGCAGCTGAGACAGAGAAGACCAGAACAGACACTGCAGCTGAGACAGAGAAGACCAGAACACACACTGCAGCTGAGACAGAGAAGACCAGAACACACACTGCAGCTGAGACAGAGAAGACCAGAACAGACACTGCAGCTGAGACAGAGAGGACCAGGACAGACACTGCAGCTGAGACAGAGAGGACCAGGACAGACACTGCAGATCTGACAGAGAGGACCAGAACACACACTGCAGATCTGACAGAGAGGACCAGAACAGACACTGCAGCTGCAACAGAGAGGACCAGAACAGACACTGCAGCTGAGACAGAGAGGACCAGGACAGACACTGCAGATCTGACAGAGAGGACCAGAACAGACACTGCAGCTGAGACAGAGAGGACCAGAACAGACACTGCAGCTGAGACAGAGAGGACCAGAACAGACACTCCAGCTCGGACAGAGAGGACCAGAACAGACACTGCAGCTGAGACAGAGAGGACCAGGACAGACACTGCACTCCTCCGTCTGCAGCCATGAGCGCTTTTCTTGATTTCACCAACAGCACTGTCACCACCAGTGACCTGTACACAGACTACAACACAAACTACAGTCAGTATGAGGATCTCGAGGAGCCAGTGGGGGGGCGGGTCGCACTGGCCGTCTTCTACTCTGTGGTGTTTGTGTTCAGCCTCAGCCTCAACCTCCTGGTGCTCACCGTCATCTACATGTGAGTATGCTTCTACAACTCTTCTGCAAATGCGATGTTGTCTGCAGTGTGCAGACAACTGAAGGATTTTATTTCCACTCTGTTAAGTGTACTATGATTTGAATGCCTTGTTATCATCTTGAAAAAAACTTGCCTCAGTTGCCTCACCAGGTGCACAGACTTTTGTAGAGCATTTTCAGCATTGGAATAACTTGGACATAAACATTTATCCCAGGATCGTTTCTTTATAGATCCAGGTATGTTGCTGTAACACAGTCAATCTTTGTCACCAGGGTACAAGGAGACCACGACAGTTAAAAGTTTAAAATGGATTTATCACAAAAGAGTCTTTAAAAGTATGATTAAAAGCTATTGGGTTAAAACTAGAGAGGGGAGAGGCTGGAGCTAAAACTTAAAGGTGCGAGCTTTAAAAGTCAGGGTCCAGGCAATGCAGCGGTTTGGATTGGCCGTGCTGGTATGGCTTTGTCCCCAGCAGGCCCCAGATCCTGCACAGAACTGTTGGCCTTCAGACCGCCTGGAGGACCCGAGCTCTGTTTCACACCAGACAGAGGGAGAGTGTCAGCTTTTAAAGGGGAAGTACAACCCACCACAGCTGCCAACTAATTAAAACATTGGCATAGGCCCACACCAAACAAGGAAAAAACACAAACCAAGAAAACCACACCCCAAACTCAAAGTGACAGTGTAGAGAGGATACTTGTACCCTGTTACATTGCTATTCCTGTTCATTTTATATTAGCCAAACACAACAACAACAACAAAAACAACAACAAAAAACACTAACGTCATATCATGGATGTGCCGTTTCCCGTACAAAGTTACAGCTACATACTTTTGCGGCATTGTAAATACTGTATGTATTTAACATTGCAAAGCGCTTTGGGTGACATCGGTCTGTAAAATGCGCTATATAAATAAACATTACTTACTATATGAACTGCGTTATACAGTTTTTGAAAAGGAGTTGGATGCAAAGAACCGCCCTTTCCACTTTTTTGATATAACTCAGAATCAGAATCAGTTGTATAGCCATGTATGTAACAGGAAATAACAGACTATAGGAAATATGCTTTGGCTCGGTGCAACAGTGGTCTTATTGGCACGTATCACCAGAATGATTGACAATTGAGAGGACCAATAGTCTCGATGATCTACCTGGAAGTAGAAAATTCCCCTTTATAGATTTGAGTCAAATACACAACTATTCCCTCCACTCGTGTGAACTAAAGCTGCTGCTGTATTGTCGCTGCAGGTTCGAGAAGCTGACCACAGTGACCAACCTGCTGCTGCTGAACCTGGTCCTGTCCTCTCTGCTCTTCATCAGCAGCGTCCCCTTCGTGGCCGTGTACGAGTTCTTCCAGGACTGGCCCTTTGGAGGCCCCATGTGCAAGATAGTCAGCAGCCTCTACTTCCTGGGTTTCTTCAGCTCCGTGCTCTTTCTGACCCTGATGACCTACGATCGACACCTGGCCGTAGTCTATTCTGTCACGGCGGCGCGTCTGAGGTGCAGGACCTACGCGCTGGTCTCCTGTGCGGCCGTGTGGGTGGTCAGTGCTCTGGCCTGCATCAAACCCATGATCGTGCAGTCGCTTCTTTACCTGCCTGCAGATGAGCGCACCCTCTGCCAGACGGACGCGGTGAAGGAGACGCCAGCTCTGAAGGCGCTGGGTTTCTACGTCCAGCTGCTTCTCTTCTTCCTCTTCCCTCTGCTCCTCATCATCTACTGCTACATGCGCATTGTCTGCACCGTGCTCTCCTCAAACATCGTGACCAAGTTCAAGACTCTGAGGCTGATCTTTCTCATCGTGCTGCTGTTTTTCATCTGCTGGACGCCGTTTAACGTGGTCACGCTCCTGCAGCAAAGGGCCTCGACTACTGAAGAGGTGGAGCGGTGGGCCAGCTGGGGCAGGGACATTTATAGGTTCACTTATCTCTACTTCTGCATCAGTCCCATTTTCTACACCTTTGTGGGGAAGAAGTTTCAGAACTATTTCCTCTTGCTGTTGGTGAAACGGTTCCCGAGACTGAAGAGACACGTGTCTGTCAGTAACAGTAGGACCACCGTGCAGACTAGAAGTACCACCAGATAGTTGATATGGCTCTAGTCTGCACATCTTTACCGCAAGGTTGGCCAATGGAGGGAAAACAAAATTAATTCAAATAAGATTTCCCAACATTCAACAGATGAAACAGATTTTTCCACACAAAGGATAAGATAGACTTTATTGATCTCACACTGGATAAATGTACATGTTATGAAGAAGTAAATTTGTGGGAGAAGTGTCTTGCCTACCGCTGAATATTTTACAGCCAGTATTACAGTGTTTCCGAAGGTCTCCCATCACAGCACTAACCGGGTTATGTCCTATTTAGCTTCAGGGGCATTATGGGATCCGTGCACAGGTACTAGTTGAGTTTTCAATTCATTTTGGTATCAGCTGATGCACAATGGTCAATCTAATAACTATCTGTTCAGCCAATTACATCGGTGTGGCCCACAACCAACAGATTCTTAAATCTCTGACAAATATATTGGTTAATTGAACAAATATTGGCTTAAGGTTAAGGGTAGTTACGGTTACGGTACACTTTAATTATGCCAATATTGCCACAAAAGCAGTAGTTTCATATTTCTACCTGTTCGTATCCAGGTAAAAATAGGTCTGATCTGCTTTTTTTTTCTTTTTTTAAACAACATGAATATACTTGTATGTTTTAATTTTTTCAATGATTGTAATGGTTGGTTTCCTGATTTATACTTTGAGTCGCTCTGTGTATGAATTGCTGTATATAAATAAACTTGCCTTTCCTATAGTTCTTCAATAACCTCTAGCTCTGCTTTTCAGAACATCAGTGTTTGGTTATAAATGGGCAGGTCTGAATGAGAGCTCTGAGTGGTGATGAGGTGTCACATATGTTTTGAAAATTCTGCAAACGAACACTAGTCATAGTCATTCATTCATTGATTCATTTTCAACCCCTTTATTAGTCCATTTCTGGGTCAGGGGGCTGGCAATGAGAGCTGCACCCAATGCTCTAGCACCAGTCCCTCTGATCCTCTGCAGGGGGTGAGTCCACAGGACGATAGCTGCTCCATCAGCGGTGAAACAGCCCTGCTCTTTCAGCGGGGGCTTCAGGCAACGTGGGGTTAAGTGTTTTGCCCAAGGACACAACGACAGTAGACATTTGTGGGAGCATTGGAGTAGGTCCCATGGTGGACTCGAATCCATGACCTCCAGGCCCAAAGGCCGATGCTCCACCAACTGAGCTACTGTCGTCTATATATAGTCATTGTCAAACTTTACTCATCAAAGTAAGTTTTCACTGTGCACTTTTTATTCTTATAGAAAAGTACAGTGGTAGTAGAAGTACTTCTGTCTCAGCCATGGAATGTCCAGCCCATGAATTATGTGGCTCTTTAGTGGGGCTAAGAAGACAACAGATACTTATTATCACAAGTTTAAAGTCACCAAACATTTAAAAAGAAAATAGAAAATAAAAAACAGGTCGAAGAAGGAGGGCTGAAGTCCATCTAACGTATTTTTTTCTTCCGTATGTGTGTTTTAGAAAGGGGCGGGCAACACATGATTTTCATTCATGACAGGACTACAATTATTAGAAATGTAATTATAATATGTGATGTATTGTCATATCCACAATTTAAATAAATACATAAATATGATAATGAACCTTTGACTCTACAAACCTAGTAAAGTGGTGACCATTTAATACTTACAATCTATGGTGACCATGCTGCTGTCTAATATAACACAGTCTTAAGTCCATATAACTGTAGCTCGACATCTGCTCAGCCTTTGCTTATCCCCACATTTTCACATTTAAAATTACAAATTGCCTTTTTCATGGGTGACCCCGTATATACATATCTAGCAGGACAATAAGTAGATAAAGTGACATTCAGTGGACATTCTAAGGGTGCAGTTCCACCCCGCGCCGCCAGAGGTCTCACCCCGGCCCCGTCCGCACATGTGGGGCTTGTTGCTGTTGTGGAGGTCTGGCTGAAGCTACACTCTCCTCGCGGTGAGTTCTATTCGTGACTCTGAGCTTCTGTTTCTCTCTCTATGTTCTTCTTTTGCTCTCTTTTTGGTTCTGTACGCAGTTGTTGACTCTGTGGTGTTTGTGGAGCGCTCTCAGACTCACTTCGGGAAGCTGCCATCTCTCTCTGCTCTGTGTGTTTATATTATGTTCAGTGACAGGATGAGGATCACAGTTTAGATGGCACTCTCTGCTTCCACTCTGTACACTTGTAAGCTCACACAGTGTTGTAGGGAGAATATGGTTGTGGTTTGGTTGATTAGGAATACATCAAATAACTATATAAGAGGACATTTAATGACACTAAATAGTTACAAGATACATATATAGTGAGACTACAGACAGAGAGGGTCCACAGAAAGAGAGAAAGTCCACAGAGAGAGAGAGAGAGACCACAAACAGAGGGAGAGTCCACAGAGAGAGAGGGTACACAGTCAGACAGAGAGAGAGAGAGTATACAGACAGAGACAGCTGTGATGTCGCACACATGTCACATTTGATTGATCAGTCATGTGTCAGCCAGGACACAGTGGTGCACCCATAAACTGTAGGTGCACCCCAAAGTGAGGGGCCATTGATGGCAGGACATGAAGAAAATCCATCCCAACACACAGTCTGTCAGTGTGTAGTGTGGGCTTTAACTTCAGTTTCTGTTTTCAGTGGAGTTTCTTTCCCTGGAGCAACATGCGGAACCTGGTGCTGGTGAGGAGCGTGCAGGGCTCTGTGCAGCAGCCGGGGCCCCCACACTCAGGGGCCCCTCAGTGTGTGACAGTGCGCAGTGACAGTGGCTCTCTGCTCATAGCCTCACAGTCGTCCATCACAGAGTATGACCCGCACACAAGGGAGGTGAGTGAGTGCTGTCTAGTACAGTTAGCAACCTCCAAACAATTAATTTAAATGTTTTTTTTATATAGCCTTAACTCACAACAGTAGTTGATGCATTGATAATGAGTAATTGTAAAAGTCCTGCTACATATGTATACTTTTCTCTGACTTCCTCTGTGGTTCACAGGTGCTGAGTGAGGCGTCTCTCAGTGCTGAGGGCTTCCTTCCTGCAGACGGAGGTGGGACAGTAGTCGGACTTCAGGACTTGGCAGAACTAGAATCAGCGTGTGTGGCCACCGCTGCAGGGGACGTCATACTCTACAACTTCAGCTCTTCACAGGTTTGTGAGTTCATCAAGAATACCTGTTCAGTGTTGTCAAATCCAATGTAGTTATAAAATAAGAACACAAAAGTAACAATGTAGCAAACTGGATACATGTGCTTTAATCTTGTGCAGTTTGAGTGTGTGGGGAGTGTGGACAGTGGCCTCACTTCAATGAGCTGGAGTCCAGACGAAGAGCTTGTCATCTTTACCACAGGTTCGTGCACTGCGTATTCAAACGGGCTTACTTTGATCATATTGATGACCTTTTCAATACTTAGTATGGTCATAAAAGTGTAGAATATAGTGACTACTACAAGAGGTATTAAAAAGTATTTTTTATAGTGTTACATTCTTAGATGATCATTTTGCTGAGCTAAGTTTAAGGAAACAGTGTGGTATTAAGAGTCTGTTGTTACTTGTGCATGATCATGTGTACTTGACTTCTTTAGGTCAGGACACATTCATAATGATGACCAAAGACTTTGAACCCATCACTGAGGTTGGGATTCATCAAGAAGACTTTGGCGAAGGTACAGCACAAACTCTTGTCTCTCTGACGCCAGAGGAAGTCTGATTAATCTACTGTCAAATGTTTTGATTCCAGGTAAGTTCATCACCGTGGGCTGGGGAAAGAAGGAGACTCAGTTCCATGGCTCTGAGGGGAAACAAGCGGCTCAGAAGAAAGCATTGGTCAGTGGATCTAAGGGGATGAATAAGAGGAAAATATGTTTCTCCGTCTGAAAGTGTCTGTGTGGACAGGAGCTGCAGCCGGCCCCTGAGTGGGACGACCACGGGCCCAGGGTGTCATGGCGAGGGGACGGGCAGCTGTTCGCTGTGAGTGCAGTGTGTCCACAGAGTGGAGCTCGGAGGGTCCGGCTCTGGAGCCGAGAGGGAGTGCTCCAGGCCACAAGTGAAGCCATCAGTGGACTGGAGCAGCCTCTCTGCTGGAGGTGAGGCCTCTCACTCCCAGAGACAGCTGTCCTATATTTATATAATATTACAACCTTTAAAATTGGCCATCAGCCTTTTCTACTTTGCACCAGCCACAAAATGAATGCTTTTTAAATGATGTAGTCATTGCTGAATGATGTGGTGTGGAACAGGCCTTCTGGAAGTCTTATCGCCAGCACTCAGCGACAACCCAACAAACACTGTGTGGTCTTTCTGGAGAAGAATGGGCTTCAGCACGGAGACTTCACTCTGCCCAACAGCAGGAGCCAGACCAAGGCAAGAGCTCTGCCTGAATACATAACATGTGTACACAGGTACACGCTCACAATGTCCAGGACACGTGTGTTTCAGGTGAAGGATCTCTGGTGGAACAGTGACTCCACAGTGTTGGCTTTGTGGCTGGAGGACCCCAGTGCTGCTGGAGAAGGAAGGCTCACTACTCAATGTAAGCAGCACCAACACGAGTCTCTAAAACAGTCCTGAACAGTGTTGTATTTGTTAAAAGTCAGAGATGTGTTTTGCTTGTGACTGAAGTTCAGTTATGGACGACTGGAAACTACCACTGGTACTTGAAGCAGAGCCTGGACTTCGGGGATGACCCTCACAGGGCTCCAGTGTGCATGTGCTGGGACCCGGTGCGGCCTCTGCAGCTGCATGTGGTGCTGCGGGACTGGACCACTCTCACGTACGAGTGGAGCTGGACCACAGAGTGCAGCCGAGGGAACGATGGGAACGACGATGCCAGTGTGGCCGTGATCGATGGAAGTGAGTAAAGTTAGATGATTGTGATCTGAGGCTTTGTAACTGTCTTAATACATGTCGTTTTTTTATCTTCAGGTAAAATCCTTGTGACCAACTTCAGGCAGTGCGTTGTTCCTCCTCCCATGTGCTCCTATGAACTGCAGCTGACCGCAGCAGCAAACCAGGTGGTGTTTCTGTGCCAGCCCGGCAGGACCAGGGAGCTGGCTGCATATAGCGCTGACGGACGTATCTCGGTGTTTGGTCCAGACGCAGAAGAGAAGGTCAACACAAACATCAATGGCTTCAGGACAGTGTGTCAACCCCTGGTCTTACAGAAAACATACAGGTAGACCTCACATGCAGGAGTTTGAGTTGAAGAAATCCCTCTGTCTGTGTCTCCATGTTATTTCCTCTCTGTGTGCAGCATTGACCTGGTCCTGGAGTGTCCTCTGGAGCTGCATCACCTGCTGTGGCTCAGAGAAGACCTGTTTGTGGCTGTGAGAGCATCCGGAGGGACAAACGGTTCCAAAGTGCTCTTCCTCGGTCCCTCTCAGGCCTCGGACCAAGCGCTCTCTGTCAGGTCTGTAGCAGAGGACATGTGTGGACCATCGCACAGGGAACTTCATTTGGTTTCATTTGTATGTCACAATGCAGAGATGGAAAATAGTTTAATTTTTAGTTCGAAATTGAGCTGAAATAAGTGCTCTATTATACTGACAGCTCTCAGATTGGAAATTGAAGACTCAAAGAGAACGTGATGACGGAATCACTGAAGAATGAAACAAGAAATGCATACATGTTGAAATTAGTTTTGTCTGGAAATTCTATCAATTAGAACGTCTGCCTCCAATTTAGATGAGAATCATACACGTTCTAAACAACTCATCTGTTAATTGATGGAATATGAATGCATTGATGATTAATATGATCAAAGTTGTTTACAGCTCAAGTTTGAAATAATCAAAGTTGTAAATGTTGCTGGTTGTTGTTGTTGACAGCTTTATCTCTGGCACAGGTTTGAGGTGGAGGTGTCTGGGGCTGTGCTCAGTGTGGCTCACAGCGCTCACAACGGCTCCGTGGCTCTGCAGCTGGAGGATGGACGCATCAGAAAGCTTCTCTGGGGTCGGTCACACTGGCTCTTCTCTATTCTAATGTTATCGTAATGTGTGGTTACATTTGACTGAAGGATGAATGAGTTTGGATGATTTTAGATTTGTGTAAAACCCTAGACCGTAGAAAGGAGAGCACCTGTAGTTGTCTTTTCCTCGGTAGAAGCCGATCAGAGCTGACTCAGACTCTTAACGCCAAATTCTCAGATAGCAGCTTCATAGTAACCAATGAGTCAATCTGGAGAGAGGCTTATCTGGTCCCACTCACACTACCTGCTTGCCAATATCTGGGATAGAAAACAGATTGGTCAGCGATGAATGGTTATATTTAAAATACCCACATAAAAACCCCAGGATCATGTAGAGCATTAACCATAATTATTTACTAATAGTTAGAAAGTGAATGGGAACCAATGAAAGTAGGAGAAAAACTGTTCCCATGAGCAATCCTTATGTAGGGTGTATGGATAAATTGTGTTGTGTTGTTGTGTCAGACTGCGCAGAGCCGTCAGTGGAGGACTGGGAAGACCCCAGAGGCGGTTTCGTCCGGTTCCCTGTTGTGTGTGTCCAAACTGTGCTGTGCAACATCGGCCAGGAGGTAAAAATGCAATGGATATCAGAAAAGTCTTGCTTTTTTTCCAAACCCTGTGGTGGGAGATGGACCAAAGAGAATCTGTTGGAGAATGAATGATTTCAGATAATGTGTATGAACTCTTGGTGTAATAGCATGAAAGTAAAGACCTGTAATAGTCATCTAATAATGAGACTTCTTATTAACAATTCTTAAGATAACAGTCCTTCAAATCTATTATCTTGTATATGAATAAAGCATGTATCGAAGCGATCCGAGGTGAAACATTTTTCATTTGTCTGTAGGAGTGTGTGCTGGGTCTGACGGACAGATGCCACTTGTACGCTGGAGACGCTAAGGTACGTTTTTGAAAGCTTTGGCCCATTTACTTGTCCACTTTCCGCCCATTTAGAAAGTGTGTGGCAAAAAACAGCCTTAACATTAATCTAGTGCGTTTTTCTCTTCAGCTTGCGTCCAATGTTTCGTCCTTCACAGTCTGCAACGACTTCCTTCTGGTCACCACCCACTCGCACAGCTGCAGATGTCTCCAGCTATCCTCCCTGACTGTGAAAGGTCAGTTTGTTTGTATTTAGACCACTAGCAAAGCGATAAAGCCCCGTCTCCACAATCCCTCTCTTCTTTACTCTACTCTACTCTACTCTTCTCCGATTGGGCTCGACCAGATCAACCTGGATAGAACCAGGGTCAAGCAGGCACCAACAAGTACCTCATATGATTCCCTGAGCCAGTGGAAATGCTTCCAATCGGGAAGAGTTGAGCCAAATAAAGTAGAAAAGATATCCTTTATTTGGGCCACAGTGGGGTAGAGTAGGGCAGGGGGCGGAGGGAAGAGTAGGGCATGAGAGAGAAGGGTAAGGGACAGTAGGGCAGGGGACAGTAGGGTAGAGGAGGGCATGGGAGGGTAGGGTAGAGTAGGGCATGCAAGGGTCGGGTCGTGGAGGGCAGGGCGGGAGGGTAGAGTAGGATAGGGGGGGTAGAGGAGGGCATTGGAGGGTAAGGTAGAGTAGGGCAGGGTGAGTAGAGTAGGGCATGGGAGGGGAGGGTAGGGTACAGTAGGGCAGGGAACAGGAGGGTAGAGTAGGGAATGGGGAGTAGATGAGGGCATGGGAGGGTAGGGTCGAGGAGGGCGGGGTACAGTAGGGCAGGTGAGGACCGGGTAGGGCAGGTGAGGACCGGGTAGGGCAGGTGAGGACCGGGTAGGGCAGGTGGAAACGGGGTCATCTGATGCTGATGGTAGCGTCGGTGCTCAGACCTGCAGGGGGCGCTGGCTGCAGACGGAGGACAGAATGACGAGACCGTGCGCAGAGTGGAGAGAGGGGCTCGGGTCGTGACGGTGGTGCCCCAGGACACCAGAGTCATCCTACAGGTCAGTGCCCCCGACCCCCCTGAGTGATGAGTGATGTCACATCCTAAACACGAGCTGCTCCTCCTCCACGCAGATGCCCCGAGGGAACCTGGAGACTGTGCATCACCGGGCTTTGCTGCTGGCTCAGCTCCGAACGTGGCTGGACAGGTCTGTGCAGTATTTGAGAATTCAGTGTTTCCCAAAGTGGGGTCTGGGGGTCCTCAGAGGTTCGTGGAGTGAGTGGACCAATGCCCAAAAATAATAACAATTGTAAACCACTTTGTGACTCTGGTCTGTGAAAGGCGGTATATAAATAAAGATTACTTACTTACTTACTTACTTACTTACTACTTACTTACTTACTTACTTACTTACTACTTACTTACTTACTACTTACTTACTACTTACTTACTACTTACTACTTACTTACTTACTTACTTACTTACTTACTTTCTTTCTTTCTTTCTTTCTTTCTTCAGGGGGATCCCAAAAGTTGTCAATATTACAAGCAATTGGGAAAAAATAAGATCTAACCGACCCTAACCCTTGTTTTTAGTTAACATTTCCACATGAATACTATTTTCCACAAATCTATAATATATTTTCTGTTTTTTTGTATAGTCTGCGATTCAAGGAGGCTTTTCTGTGTATGAGGAAACTTCGAATCAACTTGAATCTCATTTACGACCATAATCCAAAGGTAAGTTCACACAATAATGTTTAAGTTATCAATAGAATCAAAGGGGAACACTGACGGCTACTTTGTTTCTCACGTTTTCCAGTTATTCTTAGACAACACGGAGACTTTTATCACACAACTCGGCTCCATCAACCACATCAACCTATTCCTCACAGAGCTCAAGTAAGATTCAACCAGACTACTGCTACCCACGCAACCGGCAGCCATTTTAATAACAGTTCATATTGTTGTTTACACAGAGAGGAGGACACCACGCAGACCATGTACCCGAGGCCAGACGACCGCCCTCTGCCCCCTCTCAAAGTGACGGGCACAAAGGTGGACGCGGTGTGTGACGCGCTGAGGCACACGATGGAGGCCATGGACGCAAACAGGTCAGAGGGCGTGTCCCGAGCCTCTAGAGCTGTGTCATGTTTGTATTCTGACCTCTCCTCGCTGCGCAGGTATTGCTTGTCCGTTCTGACCGCTCACGTGAGGAAGACCGTCCCGGAGCTGGAGATCGCTCTGCAGAAAGTCCATGAACTTCGAGGTGAGGCATTGTTCCTTCATCAATATTATATCATTGTGTAAAAGGACTCTGATTCTAAGATTAGCTTTGAGTCAACTTTTTTTTTTGTAACCTTGTTTTTTAACCAATGATCAAAGAAATAACTTAAAGTAGTACTAGAATTTAATATGCTGCTATCCAGAATATAAAACTACAATATGTGTTTATAATATTTCGGGTGTTCATTTTGACATCCATTCCATCCATCCATTTTCTTCCCTTTAATCCATTTCTGGGTCAGGGGGGTGGCAGTCAGAGATGCCACCCAAGTCTCATAGCACCAGCCCCTCACTGACCCTCTGCAGGTGGTGAGTCCACAGGAGGACGGCTGCTCTCTGACTGTGAGCATAGCCTTGATCTTTCGGTGGGGGCTTTGGGCAAAGTGGGGTTAAGTGTCTTGCCCAAGGACACAACGACAGCAGTCATCAGTGGGAGTCGGTGGAGAAGGTGCAGAGGTGGGAATTGAACCCACAACCTTCTGGCCTTAAGGCCAATGCTCTACCAACTGAGCTACTGTCGCCCCTTCATCTGAACATGTCATTTTGACATGTTCAGATGAATTATGTTAAAAAACGGCTTTGAAGTGGCACCTTTTCACTTCCGCATAGAAACGCTAGGGGGCGCCAAAATGGCGGCGATGACGTAGGAGAAGGACCTCTCACAGCAGCAGCAGTCTGGGCTGAATCTGTAGGAGGTTTCACTGTCATCTGAACAAGGTATAAACATATTTTCATCAGTTTTGTACATAATAGTGCGCAACTCTTTTAACCTTTTAGCCTTATTTGTGAGATTCAAGCTAATTAGTGTTGGGCAAGTTAGCTAACTCTACTTGATATCATAAAACATGCTAACAAGGCTAATATTCGTGTTTACATTATGCCAGTCTCACTTTGGTTGCCTTAGATTTATTTACCACAATGTACATTGTAATATTCAAAAATGCTAACACCTATTAACGGTTTAATTAGCATTTTTATCAATGATTGCATCACATGTAGTCTATGTTTTCAACTTCTGCAGCTTTTTGTTCATAAAAGTAAAATATTTATTTAATTCAAGTTATTTTGATTAGCATTTATGGATATTACAATGTACATTGTGGTAAATAAATCTAAGGCAACCAAAGTGAGACTGGCATAATGTAAAAACGAATATTAGCCTTGTTAGCATGTTTTATGATATCAAGTAGAGTTAGCTAACTTGCCCAACACTAATTAGCTTGAATCTCACAAATAAGGCTAAAAGGTTAAAAGAGTTGCGCACTATTATGTACAAAACTGATGAAAATATGTTTATACGTTGTTCAGATGACAGTGAAACCTCCTACAGATTCAGCCCAGACTGCTGCTGCTGCTGCTGTGAGAGGTCCTTCTCCTACGTCATCGCCGCCATTTTGGCGCCCCCTAGCGTTTTTTTAAAGGTGCTACTTCAAAGCCGTTTTTTTAACATAATTCATCTGAACATGTCAAAATAAACACCCAAAATATTATAAACACATATTGTAGTTATATACTCTGGATAGCAGCATATTAAATTCTAGTACTACTTTAAGCATGTTAACATATGTGTTGATGCACAGTGAACCCTCCCCCTGCTCCTGCTGCTGCTCCTGCTGCTGCTCCTGCTGCTGCTCCTGCTGCTGCTCCTGCTGCTGGTCCTGCTGCTGCTGTGACTGCTGAGGAGGCTCTGAAGTACCTGCTCTTCCTGGTGGACGTCAATGACCTGTATGAACACTCTCTGGGCACGTATGACTTTGACCTGGTGCTGATGGTGGCCGAGAAGTCTCAGAAGGTAGACTGTTCAGTAGAGTATGTTTCTGTTTGTGTGGCTGCTGAACTCAGGACGTGTTTGTTTTGTAATGTTCAGGATCCAAAGGAGTATCTGCCGTTTCTGAACATGCTGAAGCAGCTGGAGCCCAGTTATCAGCGCTACACCATCGACAAGTATCTGAAACGTTACAGGAAGGCTCTGGCTCATCTCAGTCAGTGTGGTCAGTGAGAGATCACATGTCATACTTTAGAGCAACAGACCTTCTACGTCCTCCTTCAGAAAAACTTTATAACAAGGCTTCATGTGATGAGACACAGATGTAATATTAACCTGGTCATTGTGTTTGATCAGGAAACGAACATTTCCCTGAGGTGCTGCAGCTGGTCAAAGAGCAGAAACTCTACACTGAAGCTCTACGTTTATTTACTGCTGACAAGACTCAGTACAAGGTACGTCTGATCTGCTTTGGTCATAAACTGTACTTTACCAACACTCTCACCTGTCACACCATGAATATCCCTGGTTAGATTCCCCTGATTGTAAACGTGCAGGAGAAAAGTCATGCAGGATGAGTTGGTGTATTCCACACCTGTTATTCATAGACTGTTGGAATATTCAGCTCATGAGAGGCCTCTGGTGTCCTCAGGCGCTGACCGTTGCCTTCGCAGAGCACCTGGTGGGGCACCAGCAGATGGAGCAGGCCGGGCTGCTGCTGTGGAGGTGTGGAGAGACTCACTCCGCTCTGCAGAGCTTCGTGAGCTGCTGTAGCTGGAGACATGCCCTGTGTGTGGCTCAGCTCATCCCTCTGCCTCCAGACCAGCTGGCTCTGCTGGCCCGGGACATCGCAGGTAAATACACCATCTTTCACAAACTCTAGACATTTACCACCATCCCTTCATCCTTTGGATGTTTCAGAAAAGCTGAGTGATCAGCGCCGTTATTCTGAGGCTGCTCTCCTGCTGGATCAGTATGCTAATGTGAGTATTTAGGAGATGCTAATCATTGCTTATTGTGTGAGATAACTGACTGAGCAGGTTTGTTCAACAGGACTGTGAGGAGGCCATCTTGGCTCTGATCACTGGAGCTGTTTGGGATGAGGCTCTGCGATTGGTTAGACTTTGAGTTTATCATTTGATTTCTATTGTATTACAGTTTATAACAAGAAATATATATTTATTTCATTTTCTGTAGATTCACAAACACCAAAGACAGGACATCACTGAGACCAACCTCAAACCTGCTTTGTTAGAAGGTACACTGCCAACTAATATTGTAGTATTACATATTACATATATATATGTGTTTAGCCTCTAAAGCATAATGTTTGTGTCGTCAGCGTTCAGTGCTCAAACCACTTTCCTGGAAACTCAGCTGTGCACGTTCACACGTCACAGGAGCAGACTGGCTGTGGTCCGAGAGCAGAAGCTGAAGGCCAGGGCGGACATGCTCGGTAAGGATCAAGTCTCTATATTGTTTGTTGGTTATGAAATACTAAATAGCATTGTATTTTATAAAGAATCCTGGTGTTTCTGTTGGACAGTTAGTGTCCAACAGAAAGGATTGGTGATGGATTGTTAAGTCTCTGAGATGACTTCTGTTGTGACCTAGGGCTATACAAGAATACATTGTATTGTATGAACGCCCTCTTCCTTCTCCAGCACAGCTCCTAGTCCTCACTTCTCCCCATCTCAAACTTCAATATACACAATACCTGTGGTCCATCATACAAACTATCCTCATGCTCTTTGACAAACATCCTCACATGTATTGAAGTGATGATGACTCTTTTATGTTTGTTAATGTGTGTAACAGATGAAGAGGGTCCAGACTGTGCTGATGCAGAGCTGTTCAGTGAGGCCAGCAGCGTCCTGACCGGCTCCAAATACTCCCAGAGCAACTCTCGCGTCTCGTCGTGAGTTCACCACAGTTTTTATGCTCTCATCAATACCACTGGTTTTATGTCCTTTTATCTGTGTGTACGTGTTTTTGCTTTAGGAGGTCATCCAAAAACCGACGCAAGGCAGACCGAAAGAAGCTGAGTCTGAAAGAAGGAAGCCCGATGGAGGACAGGGCTCTGGTCCATGCCCTGGGGGAGATCGTCACAACTGTGGATAAAATGAGAGGTGTGTCCTAAATCTAACCCTAATGCACTGGCAGTGGACACGCTAGAACCTATTTACAGTACTTATGTAGATGTATATAAGAGCCTGTATGATTCAAACAGACAATAACCCCTGGCAGATATGTGTACCCAGCAGAGGGCGCACTCTCAAAGATGATCAGAACTTTAAACTGGGGTTAAACTAGAATGACCTATTATTCAAACCTATTCCCTGGCTCTCAAACTCTTGGCTTCTATCACTAGTAAATACCCAAGCTGTAAAGTAGCCTTTGTCACAAAGGGGGAATTATTTTTTCGTGGATGATTTATAAACGTAAGAAACTATTAAATAATATTATGCACCGCCTGATAAGGTTTTAATGACATCTACATCTTTCATGTGTCCCTAGATAACAAGTCACATGAATAATATTTGACCTGAACAAAAGTGGAGTTATTCTTATTTAATAATACAATGTGCATGATGTCCATAATGTTCATGTTCGTGATTTTCCAGTTTAATCAGAGAGCAGAAGGAGGCTCTCATTTGTGTTTCCAGTTTGTTAGTGGATATTTATCTGGTTTTTACCATATTTCTTCAAAAACAAATTTAACACACAGAAAAATACCACCTCACATTTGCTTAAATGATGGTCATATGCAATACACAGATTGTAATGTTTCTATCTGAACTCTGGCAGGTGGATTGCATCTGTAGTCAGTGCTTAGTGTCACAGGCAGAACATTCTGTCTTCTAATGACATTATTTGACCACTAAGAGGGCGCGTTACAGACTGTCCCTTTAAAATCTGCTGTGGTTATAACTTATTTTGTTGCTCTTGCTCTCAGTTTGATTGAAATCCTTTTATTTAATAAGTAATAGGTAACATTTAACCTGGCAAGAGCCAGATTGATGATTGTGTAGAACTCTAATGCGTTCTCCACAATATCAATCTGGGACTTCTGCAGGAGAATCCTTTCGGGGAAAGGAGGGATAAGCAGCAGAATACTTCAAGCTGATTGGGCGAAGTGACGCTGTGTGCCCGCCTACCAAATGCACAAAGCGCCTCTCGCTGTTCATCTTTCAAAAAAGAAATTGGAGATTCTGCTAAAACTGACTTGATAGCCTCAGCTACGCGTCCGTCCTCCTGCGTAGCCATGTTTGTTTTGCTTCGGCCCGGCACTTCTTGTTGTCGTCAAACCTGGATATCCCGCCCTAAACCCCCAGACTGGCGCGTGATTGGCTTGAACACCTAGATGTTCTACTCGAAAAGGGTTGGCGGGAGCGGGACAAGATGTATTCTCGAGTGTTTGTGAACTCACAAATACCGCGAGGATCCATCCTGGTGTATGTGTGTGTGTGTTACAGAGGAGGTGCACGGCCTGCTCAAGATGCTGGTTCTGTTTGAGTTTGGGCGACAGGCGCAGAGGCTCCAGGAGCAGTATTCCGAGGCCCTGAGTCTGCTGGAGACCGCCCTGCCCGAGGTGTGGCCCGACAACGCACTCGGCAGCGCTCCGGTGAGTCCCACACACACACAACAGCAACACAACAGGAGCTAAACTAACAAAGGGTCGAGTGAGACACAAGTGCTCTGCTCATGAGCAATCCTTCAAATGTTATTCATAAAGCCCTTTACATTTTGGTTAAAGCAGTCTCGTATGACAACAACAAATCTAAAGCACTACAGACCTGCATCTATAGTGAAATGTTAGTTCATGAGTGTGACTTGTGACTGAAACTCAGCCGTGTTGTTGTTCTCTCTCTCTCTCCGTTAGCTAACCGGACCCAACAGCACGGCTAACAGCATCTCAGCTTCCTTCCAGCAGCCGAGTCCAGCCGCCCCCCCTCAAACTCAGCCTCCAGGTCACAAACAAACACACACTACACAATGATAAATTATTATTCCTTGTTTCCATTGACCGATTGTTTGTCCTCTGTCTTTAGATGCGGAGATTCAGGCCGTACCAAAGATGAGAAGTAATATCAAATGGAAGCTCATGGTTCTTACTTGAAATAAGACATGTTATTTTAGTTTTATCTGTTTTATATCTTTAATTGTACATTTTATCATGAATTATTAAAATGAATGATGCTGTTAAATTATGGCTCTGTCTGTCTATATGAAAATGTCTTATTTTCTTACACTGAGGGGACACGCCCATTTCCATGCTGTGTCTCTTCTGCTGGTTATTTCATGCACATGGTATAGTTAGATCTCAATTATATTTTATGAATGAAATATTTCTAACAATGGTATTTTCAGAAATTCTGTACACTCACTGTCCCCAACTGAAGTTCGTACTTTAGAGTCCCCACCTGAGAGTCTCTTCAGTCCTGCACCACACGACCTAATGCAAACACACACACGGCATGAATGAATAAAAAAGGTTTGAACTGCTTAATTCTCTTGTTGGCGAAATTACTACATTGCATTGACAGTCTCCTACCAGCAGAGGGCAGTCCTTTCTGTATATTTATTAGTTTGTTGCCCTCAGACAGTGGTTGGCAGTTATTCTGACTTAACTACGCACGTACAAACCTTTCACACTGGCGTCGTCACAGTTCTACATTTGAATTGTGTGTGAGAGAGAGAGAGAGAGAGACTATTATTTATCAGAGGGGCCGACGGCACAGACTGGCTAGCTCTCTTTTGTCAGTGTGCCCCAGGGCAGCTGTGGCTACAATGTGTATGGAGAGAATGAGTCTTGAGTGTCCACAAAAGTGCTGTATACAACTGAGGTATTATCACAAAATGCATACAATCTCCCACTTCAGAATCTATATTTGCAAAAATGTGTAACTAAATTCAAAACTAGTTTTAAGTTAATTTAAAATCTGATTTATTGATACAACCCCAGTTCACACATCTGGACACTGGCTTTCATCAGAGGTCAGTCAGGCCGCTGTTATAGAAAGCGGATCATGATCCAGAGCAGCCATGGTTAGTCCACTCCAGACCATCCTGAGCCACAGTCCTGGTCCACACATGGTCCCAGTGTGTGTGTGTGTGTGTGTGTGCGTGTGTGTGCAGCTCCCAGTTTAGACTTTAATTACAGCCTGTGCGATGGTGGAGTGCGGCACAAACATCCAGCTGCTAGGAGCTGCTTTTTTCCCCCCCCCCCCCCCCCCCCCCCCCCCCTTAACCCAGATAGTGCATGGGCCAGTCCTGGACCATGAGCTGACCATGAGACAACTTTATTATCATTCATACCTACTGAGAGAATGAGATGTGTGGTCTGCAAAAAGTTATCCAAGACATCACTGCTTCCAAATGCCTGCTGACCATCTGTGACCCGACCACAAACTAATGCTTGATTTTGAAATGACTTGCGCTCGTAAAATTCACAGAATGCTGGATCCAAACAAGCGACTTTGACCACATGATGTAAACATGTTGCCTCCTTGTGCCTTTTGCGACAGATTTCACCGGTTCTGTGGTTGTGCTTTGGTTAAACACTGCTGGTGGATATGAATGGATCTAATTGTATATAAAAACACATAAAAACAACACAACAGGAAATCAATTTTTTGTTTCTGGAATAATTTCCACTGTTCACATCTGTACACACCTTTAAGGCGTATACAGTTCTTTTAAAAACAGTGTGATGAAAGTAGTACTTCACAGATCAGACTGGAGAAGTGAGTCCCATGTGTGAGCCAAGATGGATACAAGAGACGATGGACCATCAACAGAGCCGAGGGGGCCTACACGTTGGCTCACACAGATTCAGCTGGTGCGGTTTGTTTACAGATGCACTTTATAGTCCATGGATTTGCGACATCACACTTTTTGGAACTGGCTTTTCTTTTGTTCTGTACTCTTGCTGTTTCATTCATTATAGTGTGTTTTTTCTGCTCATGTTGACATCAGAATAAACCAAATCTATCCATCTGTGTCAGAAATATTCAATCATCATGTCTTCTGGGCCCAATTATTGTGTTGCAGCAAATTTTTATAAACAAAATACCAGTACAAAGTTCTGACTAGTCTATACCAAGTTACTCCCCATGAGCGATCCATATTTTATTACCATTTTGAACTGGGGCTGAGGGCCGAATAAGATTGAGGTCTCGGGACACATATTGTATCAGTCTATGATAATAATACAGGTACAATTTCAATATCACCTCATTTGAAGAAGTCATTATTAAAAAAATATTGTAATCTTTCTGTCTGTCATTAAAATAACCATATTTATTTACACAGTTGGTCGAAAATGACACCAAACTAGTCCTTTTTATGTATTCCCTATCGCCCCACAGTCTGCAGACACACATATGTTCCAGCATGTCACTGGGACAAAGGGCCCGTCCCAGAGGCCTTGGATGATGGGGGACCGCCTCATTCAAGGGCCCATGTAAAGAGCTGACTCGTGCCTCCTGTCTTACATCCTCCGAGGGGCCGCACAAAAGCAGGGGACGGGGCCCGCACAAAGGCCCCATGGTGCTGTTGACATGGGCATTAGAGGACAAAGGGCCCACGTCCAGGGACCCCACACGCTTCCTGTCCTGAGCCCTGAGATGTGCAGATCCCCCTGTGGCACTCGTCGATGGCAGCATTAGATCCAGACTGGGTAAAATAAAACGTTATGTAATATTAATGGAGATATTTGTTGTTATTATAATTTGAATCACCGCCGTTTGTAAAACACATTAGTCATAATGTTGCAAATAATGTAGAAATAATGTAGATTTAAACTAAAGCCTACAGTAACATAATAATACAGAATAATATAATTACAGTGACATTGCTTGAGCTGACATAGTGGCTGAGTGGTTATCACTTTCCCACCAAGAAGCTCCTGGGTTTGATTGGGTTTGTGGTATCAAGCCTCTGGACAGGACCTTTCTGAGTGGAGTTTGCATGTTCTCCCTGTGTCAGTAAATGGTTTCCTCTGGGTGCTTTGGATTCCCCTAAAAAAAAGGCAAGGCAAATGTATTTGTACAGCACAGTTCATACACAAGACAACCCAAGGTGCTTTGCAAAACAACATAAAACAATCACACAGGGCCTTCAAGTCTCTCCACGGCCTCGCACCAAAGTACATCTGTGACATGTTAGGACCATATGAACCAACTTGAACTCTGAGGAGCACAGGGACCGGCCTCCTGCTGGTGCCGAGTCAGGACTAAACACGGGGAGGCAGAATTTTAGATTTATGCAATTACAATCTGGAACAGTCTTCTTAAAAGTGTGAGACAGTCTTCTACTCTGACCATGTTCATATCCAGGTTCATAACAGTTCTGTGTAGCTGTGCATACAACTGAAAAAAATGTATCTTCACACTTTAACATACTGTGATTACCTAATTCCTTATGTTTATTTTATTGTTTTGTGAAGCTCGTTGCGTTGTCTTGCGTAAGAAAGAACTCTGCTATATTGATAATTCCCCTTACACAAAGAGATTAGAGAGTATAGATCCAGGCCAGGCATAGGGGCCCCTGCCTGCCTCCTCTTACCCAGCTCCACATCTGGCGACAGCACGCGCGGCAGACCCCTCATTCTCAGGCCCTTCACTCTGCGCATGCTCAGTCCCCACACCACCGCACACCAGGCAAAGAGGGGGCACCCACACATCCAGCACTTACAGGACACCCAGGGACCCTCTGCATCTATGGAGCGCCTCGACACGCACTTTTCCCAGCCTTCCAGTCCACGATGAGCGTTTGGATTTGCCTAAAATGTATTCCCAGATAACCCATTCCATCCTCCTTCTTCTTTGCGTCTATTTGGTCTCCCAGCCGCTGCGTGCTCAAGGTATGTCACCCAACTCTGTCCAATCACACATAACTCTATTGTTTTACACTTTCACGCACTTTTAAACTTTTTTTTAGCACGTTTTATTTCCCCTGCATGTAAACACACATTGGTTAGCTGCAGACTGATAGATCCATGGCTGCAGCGCGTTGCAAATACAAACTTATCTGGGAAAAAAGCAAAAGTTTTGTGCGTAATTCTCGTCAATGCTGTTTGTAAATCAGATCAAAGTGTCTATTCACTATGCAAAATGTGTGTTTGAAAGTGCGTGGAGTGTTTTGCTGAGCTAATACGACTCGGTTTGGAAGTTTCTCAACCCAGAATGAAGTGATCGCTAGCTTGGACGTCCCGTTACTTTGGGCTAGTCAGACGTTAGCGCGAGGAAGGAGCAGGGACAGGAAGTGGCACGCGCAGCAGGACTGGGCTTTTTATAATAATTATGAAATGCTAAAGTGGAAATATATGATGTATTTGTGAGATGTGGCAGTCTGTGTGTGGGTTGTAATGGATTTATATGATAACAAATGGAGAAAAGATTAGGCTCTCCCCGCCCCTGTCCCTTCTCCGTCTCTCTCTGTCTCTCTGTCCCTTTCTGTCTCTCTGTCTCTCTCTGTCTCTCTCTCTGTCTCTCTGTCTCTCTCTGTCTCTCTCTCTGTCTCTCTGTCTCTCTCTGTCTCTCTCTCTGTCTCTCTCCGTCTCTCTCTCTCTCTCTCTCTGTCTCTCTGTCTCTCTCTGTCTCTCTCTGTCTCTCTCTCTGTCTCTCTGTCTCTCTCTGTCTCGCTCTCTGTCTCTCTGTCTCTCTCTGTCTCTCTCTGTCTCGCTCTCTGTCTCTCTCTCTCTGTCTCTCTCTCCGTCTCTCTCTCTGTCTCTCTCTGTCTCTCTCTGTCTCTCTCTGTCTCTCTGTCTCTCTCTGTCTCTCTCTCTCTCTCTGTCTCTCTCTCCGTCTCTCTTCCATGATATCTTCCATAACATCTGACAGAAGTGCAGCCTTTGTTTGACCTGAGCAGTGTTGGGTAGAATACTTTGAAAATCTATTCCTTAAAAGTATTTTGTATAATATTCCGTTACTTTGGAAAGAGTAGTACCTGCACTTGTAATTATTATTTTTGTATTATATTTATATTTATTGTAAATTCATGTTTATTTACAACACTTCAAGCATTTAAAAAATATTTAAGACTACAACCTCAATAAATTATTTCTATTTATTGTTTAAATAATTAAAACAATATTGATAATTTTTTTGAATATTTTGAATACCTTTTTTTTGTGTGTAAATATTCCCGTGATTTTCAGAAATAAACTGTGTTCTGAATACTAGACTTTATAGGAACTCTAAGGGAATACGGTTACTAATTTAATACAACTACAATTACATTACTTCTTCAGTTACTCCTCAACACTGGAGACAATATTGTTGCATTCCAGTCGTAATATTATTATGTAGTTTAAATGTTAGTTCTGTGTGAAATATGTTCTAATTTAATCATGTGGGAGTGACTTTAATGTTCTGAATAATACATTGCTTGTCTGTCTTCATCTCATTAGAAAATGTTATCTTTGCAGACTTGTAGAAAAGAACCCTGTGAGTCACTATTTAAAGCTTAGGGTTGAGAGCTGATTGGCTGAGAGAGGGTGGTCCACTCTTTCTCATGTGTCTGTCTGAAAAAGCTAATTAAAAGAATAGATAGAGGCCAAAAATATGTGTATTTGGAAAATCTATGTATCTGTTTCTGTAGAGGGGTCGATATGTCAAAATGATCCTTATGTTCTCAGCATAAGCACATGTGCAAGGGAACTGATAGACTGCTGAGCTCTATGGGATCATCCTGTTGTATTGTGTTCTTTTCAGGAGTAGAAATTATAGCATATACTAGTATACTATTATTGGGTGGTTTTGGGGTTATTTTTGTGGTTCCTTGGAAAAGTCAAATAAGATGTATTAAGTTATTATTATGTTAACATGCTTGGGTCTTAACTCAAAAACACACAAAACAATTTTTGGTACTCAACAAAACAAAATTCACCTTTTTGAATGTTGTTATTTATTGCAGTAATCATCTGTCAACATCTTTACATTTTATTAAAATCTTTGTTGTTGTTGTAATATTCATTTTACTTGAATGAGGATTGATTTTTCTCACTTTAAAGTCCTGTTTTTTTCTGAGTGGTTCCTTGCAGATGCAGGAGGGTCAAAAACATTTACTAACATGAATTAACATTTATGGACAGTGGTCATCCCGCCTCCTACAGACCAATGCATTTCATGTTTGAACTGTTTTATTCTCTGATCTGTTGTCGACAAATCAAATGTAAGTCCTCTGAAACGACTGCTGTTGTGATTTAGGCCTATACACAACTACACTGAACTAAAATGAATTGCATTTTAATGATACAAAAATATGTGTAGATTTTGCTTTGATATTTGGACTGCCCTGATCGTGACAGACCTTTACATGCATTTTGACCCATTTGGCCATGGCATCCAATTTCCCTGCAGCCGCTCAGAGCTGATCCTGGACCAGTCCTGTGTGAGAGCTGCAGCAGGAGTCCTTACATATGCTAATGAGGCGTGCTGCTAATGTCAACAGCACAAAAGCACTGCAGTGTATAGGACTTACAAGACAACTGGCCTCTTCAATTAACTTTCTCTTGCTAATAGACTAAACCAACAATGATCCATTTGCCTGTTGCCATTGTGCTTGTGAATACACCATTTGGCCCCCGTGTTATCAGGGGACTGGGGCTCAGATGCTGGAGGTCTTTGAAGTCCCTCACACCACATGGAGGCAGCATGTCCATGTGCGAGGATGGCTGTAGTCATTATTCTTCCACTCGTTCTGCCCCGGTCGGGACATGAAAGAGAAGAAGCCGCTCTGCTCTCAGATCTCTTCTTCAGGCTGCTTTAGATTCCTCAGATATGTACAAGTTCCGGTGCCACGTACAAGAAATGACTTATTACTTCAATATTCTTGCAGTTTTATAGATTTAACTACATATGTATGCATACAAGTACACAGGGGTATTCTTTTAGACTTTTTTTCTTTATTAACCACTTTCTAAAGTATGGAGTTTGCTTTTCTTGTGTTGTGTGCTCCTCAGGATTAATTGCAATTGAAAATAGTCAGATTTTGAAGGGTTGGAATGAGTAAATTCTTCATATAGGAGTCTATTATTTGTATTGTTGCAGTGAGTGGATCTAGTTTTTGATGTTTGAGTTCCGATCAGGGAGAACGTGTTCCAACAATTACTGCAAAAATGTGAAGAAAGAGGGGACAATAACTAGCCTGGCCTTATCCATCCGTACACCCTGCTCACTTATCATTTCCCTGCATGTAAACGTCTGGGTCTGGTCCCTGTGTTTGAGATTACAATTGGTTGAATTCCATCCGACCAATCAGAGAGCACGGGAGGCGGGTGTTGTAGTTAGATGTGGGTGATGTCCAGAGTTTGCGTCGAACGGGCAGGTTGTAGTTTGGCAATGCCGAAAAATGCGATTGTAAAGTATTGCTCTACTGATCTGGAAGTTTTTTAGGTTCTGGGTACGATTCCACCTCCAGACCATTCTGTGTGGAGTTTGCATGTTCTCCTTGTGTCTGCGAATGTCTCCTCCGGGTGCTCCGGTTTCCTCTACCACTAATAATAAGTACAACAGGTCTGGAATGTGCCTCCTGTACAGCGACCTGCAATGTGTGGAGTGAGAGACAAATGCCCAAAACAATTGTAAAGTTGTGAAAGGCGCTATATAAATAAACTCGCTCTGGCTCCTGTTGAACACTCCTCCAGCTCAGTAATCGCTTGTGTCCCATTCACCATTCTGGCCTCACGAATCCATGGTTTAGTGCTCTCAGTGATCCTGGTGTTTATATTCTGATCTGGCTCTATCTGCATGCTAAAGCCAGATGCTGTCAGACCTCTGAAGCTAAGCAGGGCAAGGCCTGGTTAGTCCTGTACAAGGACCATAAATGCAACTGGTGCTAAATCTGGTGCAGCCATCTTTTCAATGTAACTGCACATTCTCCTTAATAAATTAAACTTGTGTGGTACCTGGTGGAGCCTCCCTTCAACTAAACTGATTGGAGGCTCCACCAGGTATACCGCTGCGGCTGTAAAGTGCCAACCTGACATTGTCTCCTTACTTCACCCACATTAGCTAGTATGACTTTGGTGTGAGCATTAAAAATGGTGGTCGGAAGGGCCTAACTTCTGTCAGTGAGCCCCAGGACAGTTCTGGCTATAGTGGACAAATATTGCTATGTCTGCGTCTTTAAAAAGCGCTGTATAAATCGGATGCATTATTATTATTATAATTAGATATAAATAATATAAGGATGAACCAATCAGATGCCTTCATTCATGTGAGAAACTCCAGCTTGTCTTAGCAACTGTCTTGGCTTATAAGCGCAACAGACGAAATGCCCATAAAAAATGGCTCCAGCTTATGTTCAAGTGGGAATCTTCCACATTAAGTCTAACACTGTGGTGACGTCAGCTCTCGGTCAGTCCACTCACACACTGGTGCGTCACAGCAAGTAGGTACTAGGTTCGATTCCACCTCCAGGCCTTTCTGTGCAGAGTTTACATGTTCTCTTTGTGTGAGAGGGAAAAAAAAACCCCACAACAATGCTAAAGTGCTTTGAGACTGCCTGTGAAAGACGCTATAAAAATGAATATTACCTACTTACTACGACTAATATATGGTCTATGGGTTTTTGCAAAGTTTCAGAAATGCCCACCTGTTTAATGCAGGCTTTAACTGTAGCATTGAGTGATGTTGATCCAAAGCAAGTTCTCCAAAAGACAATCCAACACAAAACCTCTTCCATTAATCACCGTCTTTCAAATCCAACGTTGCTATTCATTTGAAACTCTCCAGTGTGTCCCCTGGGATCTAAGTACACCCCGGGTTCGTACGCACTGCTATAGATTAAATAATAAATCATCGGATAGCTCTGGATAGCTTCAAACATCTCCTTTAAAGCATGTGTGGCAGTGGAAGTTCAAACATTTATCTAAAAACAACAGCATGCGTCAATTTCAAAAACCCAACCAAAGAAAAACTCCACTCTCCGATGTGTGAGAATTCCGCACATTTTTCTCCCTGGCAGGTTTTTAGTTTCGTGTTGTTTTTCGGTTGTAAAGGGCCGGCCGTGAGAGAATGCATCTGGATCCAGTTAGGTTCCTCAAAGCGTTGTGTTTTGGGAGGGGGGCTGGGTTAGAGCGTGTCCTCGGCCTGTCCACAAACCTAATTATACTTTGGTCAGAGCTAGATTAAAGTGCGGCAACGGCAGCGGGCTTTCCTGGCAAGTCCTGGTCATCGCCAAAAAAGCACCATGTACCAAACTCTGTGCCAAAATATAAATATGCAACAATAGGGAGCTATAAATATCTAGAGGTCAGTGGATTTGTGGATTGGCTCAGCTGCAGCACCGGGCAGCGAGAAATAGTTTTGGGCATACTACTTTTAGTGATGGATTTTGTATTCAGTTCACAAATAACAGAATTATACAGTATTATTATAAACAAATAGAAAAACATGTTCAAATTTTGGAATTCAAAGGTTGTTTTTCATTTCACTTTTTGTATAGCAGTCTTGAAAATGTGTGCTTTTTGATAAATATGGCCGTCACTTTTTTACCTCTAATTGTACTTAAAATACTTTTATTGTACTTTTTTTCACACATGAGTGATCTTATTTATGTCAAATGTGACATGTGAATATTTCCATTGTGAGATCAGAAAAGTTTCATCTTAATCTTAATAAATGGATTTGCTACGACAATATCAAAATATAAAAACTAGGATCATAGAGAGCCATAAAACAACCTATTTCAACGGTTTGTGAGCTAGAGGAGTTTAGTTTACAATCTTAGTCATGAGAGGCAGAGCGAGTTGGAGCAAAACTGTTGTCAATACAAGAGTTCATTATTGTAGAAGTCGACCAAAAATTGGGGAAATGTGTGTTTAAAGTTTGTGAATAAAATACTTTCTTATTAAAATGAAAAAATTGACACCAAAAGGAAAAAAACATATAATTTTTGTTCCAACCAAGGACCATTGAAGGTAAATGGGAGGATTTTCTGTTACTATCATTCTGGTGATATGCAAGACACGTTTTTATAATTGAAAATCCTCCTATATTTTGCTCAGCCTCACACACAAAAGTCTCCCAGTCCACTGCCCTCCAGGCCTGATTAATGTGCACATAATGTGATATCACTTTATAGATCCAGTTATGCGGCGGTTACCTCACTCTTGTGTAATCGAGTTGTATGTTCTGCAGCTGGTTCTGGATTACCTCCATTATAATATCATAACATTGGCCATTACGGGTGTGAAACCAGAGAATAGACATTATATTAGCAGTGGACTGATCGAGTGCTCACGTCACCATCGTATTAGTCAGAATTAGCAGATTTGAAAATAAACTATCTGGAGCCAATTTCCTTATATGGGCATTTCCTCCGCAATAGACGTGTTGTTAAAAGGGTTGGTGGGCTAGAATAACCCCCACAAATGAAGGCATCTGATCTATCTCATATCTGGATCTACAAAGGAAATATCAAACGGCTACTGAGCTAGAGAAGTTTACTTTACAATGTGAGTCCATAGGAGCCAGAGCGAGTTGGAGCAAATCTTTGTCCAATAGCACTTCCCTACTGGGCTTCATTGAGCAAGGGGGTTATAGCATTGTCCGTGTAGATACAGGCTCGATTAGAAGTGATGTATTGGTGTGTGCGTCATGAATGCTGCGCTGAGAGGACCTGTGTTAGCTTTTGATTTGCAGACCAAGCAAAGGTCATTCGCTCAGAAGATACAAAGAAGCTGAGAACAGATGTAAGGTTTGATGAATAAAGAATTAAGCTTTGATAAATGATGCCGTCGCTGTCACATATGGAACGCAGGGCTCGGTTCATACGGAGCGAGTGTTAGTCACAAACATCCATAACTCTAAGTGACTAATCTACGGCCCTGCCCTCACCTTTAGTCATGAGCTTTTGGTAATGACCGGAAAGGACAAGATCACCATCTAGAGTTCAGGAAGAGAGCTCATCAGGAAGAGACCCAGGGAAAGACCCAGGACACGCTGGAGCGACTACAGCAGAGGCCTCAAACCTTTTCCCTGTGGAGAGCTTTAAGGACAACACTGGCAGAGAGCTACTCCTTTTCAACAGTCGACTAAATGGATGAAGTCGTTTTTATCTTGATCTGAAAACATGTTGACATCCTTAAAATACTGTAATGGAATGTTTGCAGCGCAGATAAAGCAAATGTATTACATGATCTATTCGCAAATCTTGTTTTAAGTCAGTCACAATGCTCTAATCAATTTTCAGCTAAACTAGGGCAATTTTTGGCTTTGGTTATGTTATGCCCATAAAATAATCATAATCATCCTTTGGGGAGCTACAGTACTTTGAAGAGGGTTGTGAGCTATTGGTAGCTCTTGTGCTGTAGGTTGGAGGCCCATGGACTACAGTATATTCTTGATAACAGCGCAATAGCAATAGGACATCCTGTTAGAAGGGCAAAAAAGTCCTGTTTTCACGAATATTTTACAATTATAATTCAAAAATCCTTAAAATTCTCCATTGCGCATGCTGTTGTTAGTGTGAGCTGCTGGCTAATACCACAACAGGGTCCCCAGTTGTCAGTATATTGTGTGCACTTGTGAATGGCCCTGGTTCATTACTATCACTGTTCAGGTCGTTCACACGGATGAGGAGCACTGCGGGGGATTCAGCTGGCCTTCTCTTTGCCGGTCACAGATATTCTCTCAGTTTTCCTCATGCTGCACTTCTCTGACCAGCCCTGTGCCCCTCAGGCCACAGCTGTCTGTTAGAATGAGCCCTTGTTATGAGAGGCCCGAGCCTCAGAGTGGGCCTTGTCCCGACACTGCTGCTGCGCTGGAGCCATCTTAATGCCCATTATTAATCAATGCACAGGAAATCACCTCTGACTGCAGCCATTAGCCCCCCTCACCCCCCTTCCCCTGTGGCCCCTGCTGTCCCTGGCCCCTGAGCCGATGTTCGCCTTTGGAATGCAGGACAAGAACAACTCGGCAGCTCATGTGTGTTTTATATATTGCTCTCAGTTAAAGGTATAGGAGGATTTTTTACTTCCGGGTGGACCATCAAGACTATTGGTCCTCATTATTGTCAATTATTCTAGTGATACGTGCTCGTCAAACAAGACCAGAGAGCTTTTCTTCCTTAAAATGTCCTAAAATTTGGGAAAATCCTCCATATATACCTCTAACAATAATTTTTATTGTCGGTGTGTGTGCATATATTTTGGCTATATCAAATCTCAATTATTATACTTAATTGCTCACTTTATTTATTTACATATTGATGATTGGTATGGATCTTTTGTGAGACTTTTGAAGCAATGTTAAAACTGAGCTGTATGCAGAAGTCAGGGATTTTCAAGGTTTTTATCTGAAGGTTGAGGCTAACATAAATATTGGCGCTGTGTCAGATTCTGAAAGGAGTGTCCCTGTTTTGTCTTCTAAAAAAGCCATGTCCACGCTGCAAAACTCAGGTACATTAACACACAGCGGAAAGCAAGGCTCTCGATTTATCAGCCATTCTATATTCCCACCTTCACCTACGTATGAGCTTTGGGTAATGACCAAAAGGGCAAGATTCCATAGTGGCTTTAGTGCACTTTTTAGACTAGGGGCCTTTTCATAAAGGGGGAGCTCGGGGTAGAGACACTGCACTACGTGGAGAGTAGCCATTGTGGTGACTTTGGGAAGCCTCCTGGACGCCCATGACCCATGACACGCTGCAGGGGTTATGTCTCTCAGCTGGCCTTGGAATGCCTCAGGGCTTTCCCAATTGATCTGGAAGTAGAGTGCATTGATGAGAAGTTCGGGTGTCTCTGCTCAGACAGCTGCATCCGTGTCCCGGCCATGGATACAGCGGAAGAAAATAGATGGCCATAAAGTAACAGACAGAACATGTGGCAATTTTCTGTATTAAAATCCGAAATAAAATCCCTTACATTAAAAAGATAATTCCATGGTCACAAGCATGGAAAATAAAACATTATAGCACATTAAATTACACATTACAATTAACCTTTAAAATTAGATTCATTTCTAGTCAAAGTATATATCATAACATTATTTTCAAAATGTACAGTATCATCTACTGCCACATATGTCATTTTATATGTTGATTGTGAAGTTGTGTGTGCTTGTGTGTGTAAATGGGCAGGGCCAGTTCCAGCTCGGTGTGTGGAATGGGGCCAGGGCTCATTAGCAGCCTCCCGGGCCCCTTATGTACGGGCCCCCACTGTCCTCCAGGTTATGCCGCATGCCTTTGTTAGTCGTGTGCTAGTTATGACCCGCATGAGTTCATCCCGGACACTGCTGCACTGTCCTCTACAGTCGTGTTCAGCTGCTGTCACGATTAGAACCCATTGTTTTTTTGGCGACAAATGTTTAGCCGTAAAACAAAAGATAATTGTTTTTTGCTCAGTACTAAATGTGGTGATTAGTTGGGATTTCTATTGCCTCATTTGGACTGTTCTACGGGATTGAATATGACACATAAAGTTGAAGAGGTGTAGGGTCAGAGAATGTTTGGGCCTGTATCTTGTCTTTTTTTGTTAGAGGGATTGGAACCAAATTTAGCTGCTTCGTCCTTCCCCATTTTAAAACTGTATAGCTGTGTTCCGGTTTAATATTTTTGTCTTTTGGTGTCCACTTTTGTTAATAAACTCAGTGACTCAGATGGTAGAGCTTTGGTCTTTGAACCTAATCGTTGTGGGTTTGATTTCACCAACTCCCACTGAAGTCTGCTGTTGTTGTTCCCCTGTGCAAGACTCTTCTGTGTCTAGTGTGGGATTGGTGAGATTTTGACATAGATATGAACTAATAAATGGGATCAATACTCAATATACTATGAATTTCAAACAAATTCTAATATTTTTTCCTATGTGCTTTCTTTTCCCCAGACCCCTTGTGCTGTAACCATGCCCCGGAATACTCCCCGTGTAAAGAGGCTTGTGACCAGGTACTGTTTAAACACATTTCTGCTCCACGCACAGGATTTTGGGTCTAGTTTTGAGCCTCTGTTGACGAAAGCAGGTCTGTGTTTAAATGCCCACATGTGAGCAGGTCGTAATCACTGTGCAGGGCCAGTCCCACCCTCTAAATGAAGGCTCTGCTAGTCACTAATAATACTTTATCTAACGGCATCTGACAACATTACATTACAGAGGTGGGAGGTTTGGCACGAAAGCCGAGTGTTTTGTAGGAGTACACGCAATAAGATAAGAATTATGGGACACAATGAGATGCAGGTAAGATTACTCAGCCTCCAGGCGTTCTGCGGGGCGTCCTTGTGAGCTCCAGGACCGGTCCGGGGCTGTGAGCTGTTTGTTCTGGAGGCTCTTTATGAATCCACACTCACTTAAAACAATCAATGACTCTTTTGGCCCCTGGAAAAAAAACCCATGTTCCAGCTTCTTACCTCTGGTAGAAAATATTGTTTGTTGCATGCTAACAGCTTCTTTCCACAATCTGTTATCAGTCTGAACAAAACACTTTTAAATAATAATAATTTGTTTCATATTGAACCATACAATTCCAGGAAAGCTCAAACTGCTACAGATTAAAATACAGTACAACATAAACAAAGAAAAACACGAACGAATGTATTGAGTAATGTCATAGGAAATACAATACCTCTAGAATTAATATTGACTTGATTGTCATATCTCAAAAAGAGTAATGGGAAGAAGTATCAACCCCACCCCTTTTCCATGATTAAACTTTACCTCATACAATCGCAAGTCCCTAAAATATCACAAAGAAACTTGAAGGGGTTAAAATTACATACAATCCCGAATTTTGTACTTGTTATTGAAGCTGTTTTTGTTGATTGATTTCACACGACAATTGTTTTATTTATGTATCTGTCTGGTGCAAACTGGGGATACTCTTGCACGTGTATTCCAATGTGGTTTTACTGCAAATGGCAAATAAAAAGAATCTGAATCAGGGCCACAGACCGTAAAGTCAGGAGCGGAGCGGGCTTAGAGCGCTAACATGTGTTGTTTGCAGCTCGCCACCATAAAGAGTGAGTCCCGTCTGAAACACCTGCTGCAGCGGCTGCCCAACTACTGCCCCGAGTCCATGGTGAGAGAACTGGGAGGTTTTCTATGCACTCAAGGTTTCTTTTGGGTTCCCCTTGAGCTTTAATGTTGTGTGTGTGAGAGGATGTGTTTGTGTAATATATATAAAAAAATATGTATACCTGCATGTCGCGATTTTGTGGAGACCCCTGAAAGAATAGCCCCAGCCCCTCAGTAGCTAACGGGGATTTTAGATAAACTAAACCTAACTGAATTTGCCTTATTGCCACATTATGTCATCACAGAAAAACATTTAGAAAACAAAGACCCAGCCGAGAATGAGAATGTGACAAACTTGTTGCTCATTCTCAGCTTTGGACACTGTCTGTGGTCCTGTGCAGAGACCTGAGAACTGGACTAATGTGATCCTACCTTTCACTGTATGCATTTTGTCGTTATAAAACACAATATTGACCCAAAATGACGTAATTAGAGAAACCAGTCTGTCTTCCATCCAACAGCAGCATCTTGATACGTCAGCGTCAAAGTCGTCACATCAAAGTGTTGCTGTAGCGTTCACTGATCCCACATGAGTCTTTCCTATCCATTTCCTCAACCCTATAAAAGCCCTGGCGTATCCTGGCCCGGCCCACGGTGCAATGTGGATGTGCCGTGGTTCCATTAGTCCCAGTGCAGGCGGAGCGCGGGTGCGGTGGGACCAGGTGCTACTTTGTTCTCTAACCACCAAACCACTTCCTCTACCCCTAATGAGAGAGCTCCCATCGGGCACAACAGGAAGCCAGCAGGCCCCTCTCCTCTCACCACGCACACGGGAAGAATGGGCACTGATGACGCCTTTTTGCACATACCAGAAGAACCCAGAACTTGTGCCTGTTAAAGCTGGGGTACCTGACTTTCGCACCACAACACATTGAACGATGTGTAATGAAAGCCAGGTCGCTAGTTTGTTGCTCTCTTAATAGTTTCACTAGTTTACTCATGCATGAATGTTTGGCTTCTGTCCCAACTTTAGATTCGAGTTTCCAGAGAGAAAAGTAGAAAAGCTCTCAGCCCAAAGTGTCAAATAGTGACTCACAGGGCTCTTTCTCACAACACAAGTACCACCAGTATGCAAAAGATAACAGATTTTATAACACAATCAGACACCATGTTGTGGTCTGATCTGTTTTATTATTTCGGAGCAATAAAAATGTATTATTCAGTGTTTTGGCTTTTTTCTGGTACTAGTTTAACCACACTAGGAGGTACTCTTTAAGCTACTTCTCTGTGGCAAATCCGGACCAGGGAGTTCATGAATAAAACTAGCTTGGATTGATTTTTTGAAATATAGTTACTTTGACACATGCAGGTTTACATAGTTTATTATTTTCCTATACTTTCACATGTGTTGAATCCAGTTAGAGCTAGACATATATGAGTTAGTGGAAAATCAGGGACTACAGGTGTAAATTAGCACTGCTGCTGCAACCTGGTACAATGCATCTCTCCTCTTGGCTCATGTGTACTCTGTCCCTGTAAAAATAAAAGTCCTACCATACCTTACCAAAATATGAATTGTGTCCTTTTTTACAGAACGAACTGTGGACTTGTGTCAACTCCACGCTCCCAGGTACATCTTTTCACCTGCACATTTTTGGATGATTAAAATAACTAATGCTTGCCCTACATATTATTACTATATTCATTCATCTGTGTCACTAATACACACTCAGCATTTGATAGAACATTCCTATCCCTCCATTCCTCTTGTTTACGTCCCGTCCAACTCCAACACCCAGGATGCAACACGTCACATCTACATAAACGTTCTTTGGCTTTGATCCGTGCTCACTGCAGCTGCCACAGAAACAGCTTTCTCCACATCTGCCATAACCGTGTTTATTTAACCACCAAGTTTGAACGCACTTTTTTGCAGGCGTGTCCAGGAAGTCGGAGGGCTGGGTGGGCTTGGGCTGCTGCGAGCTGGCCATCTCAGCCGAGTGCAGGCGCAAGTGTGAACAGGTGAGACCCTTTCTACATTAGTTCATCATGTGTTTGCGGCCCGTACAGAACAGCAGTCACTCCTCTGCTCCTCTGCAGGCTTCATCCAAGAGCGACATCACCAAAGTCTGCAAAAAGGTCACAGAGGTACGGCCGCTCGCTTATTTTTATTTATAGTGTTGTGTGTGGTTCCAGTCTGTGGTCTAAAAATGCACTCTCTCTTCTCTTTCAGAAACCACTGTACGGCTGCATTACCAAAAATGAAAGTACGTGGGCATTCTTACACTCAATTCATGGTTGTTATTTTTTAAAAAGACAAAAGGAAAATCTGCCTTCTTGCCTTTGTTATTGCCAAATATCACGTTAACCAGGCTTTGATCTTTTTATCTTCACTTTTCCTCAAAAAAACAGACTTTCTTTTGCTGTTTCTTGGCTCCATTAGCAACACACTTTGTCCTCACTCACTCAATGACTGGACGTTGATCAAGGTTTTTTAAGAAATGTGATGTGAAACAAGAACCTGAGGAACAATGCTAACCCAATAGCTCAATGAAGCCCAATAGGGAAATGCTCATGGAAGAAGTTTTGCACCAACTCGCTCTGGCTCCTAAGTAAACTCTAGTTCAGTCACCGTTTGTGTCACACTCACCATTTGGATTTTGTCTTTTGTAAATCAAGAGATGAGCCGTATAATGTTGACCAATCAGATGTCTTCCTTCGTGCAGGTATCTCTAGATCACATGTGTCAAAGTCAAGGCCCGCGGGCCAAATCCGGCCCGTGAATGAATTTTACATGGCCCGTTGCCTGCCATTGACGCACTATTACGTCAATTGTGTTTTCCGCTATTTTCATGTTCCCAGATGTCTATTATATCTAATATGTTTGGGGATAAGCTTGAGAGCATATTGAATCGAGCCAGCAGGTGGCAGCAGCGCTCTCTGAATGGTTTGAAAAAAGCTAGATGCACTTGTTGTGCCTCTTTTTTCTCAACTTTTTGGTGATTTCAGTAAAACTTCCCTCTACTCAACTGGGGATTACAAGCTAGAAACAAAATTCTTTTTGCTGATGAAAGTAGACAGTCTACTCTTTCCGAATCTGGTTTCGGATTTCAGATAGTCATAGTACACAATATTCTGTGGTTCTTGAAAAATCTATAAAAATCATCAGAAACTGCTGGCAATATGGAGTACCTGTTCTGAAATAGGCTGGCAGGCAATGAGTTAATAAACATTGAACCAGTTCGGCCCTCGGCTCGCAGCAAATTTGTTTTTTTGGCCCTCTGATGTATTTGACTTTGACATGCCTGCTCTAGATTGCCCTTAGCGACCGACTTAGCAACAAGTCCATTGCTACCTCCGTGGAAGAAATGCACATTAGAAGATTGGCTCCAGCTAGCTTATGTTCAAATCGGCCTCTTCCGCTTAAGGCTAATGGTGACATCACACTCTGTCAGTTCACTCCAATTATCAATTATAGATCCTAGATAGGGCTACTAAAATCAACTCTCGGAATACATACCAAATACAATACATACATGTATACATACAAGGATACATACTAACACAAATGTACAATTGTTTCTATATGTGGGACAAATAAAATGTCTCAAAATATTGAATCTTAACTGAAGACTCATTTTTGTTGCCGTGTTTTTGTCCGTGCAGTCGGCTCCACGTGCTGCAGCTACGCGGGCCGCCACACCATCTGCCGCGAGTACTGCCAGGCCATCTTCAGGACGGACTCCACCCTGACGGCGTCTCAGATCAACGCGGTGAAGGGCTACTGCCAGAGCCACAGCAGCCAACTCCTCAGCTGCGTCAACAACTTCACCAAGTCCTACCCCATCCGGAGCCCCCTGGACAGTGAGCCACACACACAGCTGCATGTGTATTTTAGTGTGTGTGTGTTGTCCATTCACCAACACAGATCAGAGAATCAAACACGGAGGAAACCAGGGGTGGGATTAAATATGTTTTATTTTTATTTTTCCCGCTCCTTTTTGAGTATCTGCAAGTGTTTCTCTTGTGTATTTGATATTTAACATTTTTTATTATGTAAACGTAACTCAGGGTTATTTATGCAGTATTTTGATAATCTGCTTTGGTTTCATGTACACTTATTTTGCTCGACATATATTTATTCATATTATTTCATTATTATAAACAGTTAAAACACAGGAAATGCAGTAATGAAGAAACACATTGGAACCATTGACCCATTAACTAACATTTATGGACATTGGTCTTCTACCCCTTATGGACCAATAACAAAGTGTTTTCTGTTTTACTGTTTGAACGGTTTGATTCTCTGATCTGTCTTGGTGAATTCAACGTCTGTGTAAAGTCATCGGTGATAAATATTGTTGGGATTTGGGGCGGTACAAGAATAAATTGTCCATACATGTCAATAAATGTCTATAAATGTAAATATATGTCCTTAAATGTCCTTAAATGTCCTTAAATGTCCCGGATCACCACCACTGTCCTTAGACCCTCAACAAGGACCAAAAACCCAGTGGGAGAAAGTGCGAACCCTCAGATAGAGGGAGGGGTCAGTCCCACAGACCACAGGCGGGCGGACTATAGATCCAGGAATGAAGCTGTAGAAATAGGACCGTGGCCATATATGTTCTAATGTTAGTTATTGAATATGTTTGATTTGATTTGTGTTAGATATGTTAGATATGTTGATTGCAAACCTCCCCCACTTCCATTCTGTAATAATCACTGTTCCTGCCCCAGGCCTGTACTGCTGTGACCGGGCCGAGCAGAGCCACTGTCAGGTGGCGTGTCGGCGGATCCTTCGCACCATGAACACGGAGCACGAGATCATGGAGGGTCTGATCGAGGAGTGCGGCTCTCAGCCCCTGCCCCAGGACCCTCTGTGGCAGTGCTTCCTGGGCAGCGCTCACCCCCCCTCCCCACCTGAAGAGGAGACGCCCCACCCCGCCAAGATGGACCAGGCCAAACTGCACTGCTGCGCCAAGGCCAACACCTCCCTCTGCAGGTACTAGCTTTAGGAGATAGAGCGTGTGCAGATGGTAAAGAAGTTCTTCCGACTCAGCAGAGGTTCATTCACCATCATTACTGTATTGCTTACTACTATTATTTTGTTCATTTTTTTCATTGTGAATATGTTTGTTTTACTGCTGGCTGCATCTGAATGCCACTCATCTGTTTTCAAAAACAGAACTATCAAACTATCAAATCAGAACCGGATCCAGACATAGTCCATTGTAATGCAGTTGGGTCAGTCATATCTGATCTCGGCTCATCTCTGCTTCGACTGTTGGTTACAAACATTTATGACATAAGCTTGATCGCCTGGAGTCTCTGCAGTCACAGTGTCCTTGACCGTATATCATTTTCACAGTAATATAACACTTAATGATGGTACAAAACATAACTATTAGCTATTCATACTCCCCCACAAGCTTTCGATGATATGGAAAATATACAGGTTATAGTCATATGGGGACGTATACAAACTTTATGGCCAAGGAAATGTCATCCACACAAGAATCTCTATTCTGATGAGATATGTTAAAATAGATTAAATCCTTAGGAAGTTATCAGTAATATCAGAAACTTCCCGCTGTACATAGAGAGAGAATGAGGCCAAATTTACCTTTAAAGGAATCAGGCATGGATAGACTCTGTTGCTGGCTGCTTTTCGCCTCATCAAACCCTCTTCTGTCCACGCGCAGGGAGATGTGTGAGGAGATGAGCACAAACTGGGGATCTCAGACCTGGCAGAACTTTGTACAGTGTGAGTACAACCCTGTGGAGTCGGAGCTCATCAGCTGCCTGTCGGACGTGAGGGAGCCCTGCCAACTGGGCTGCAAGGACCTGGGCTACTGCACCAACTTCAACAACAGGTGAAGACGCCCTGAGCACTGTCCGGGACTCAGCCACACAGACATATATGAATGCATTAATGAATGAATGAATGAAGCCTTTCCTACGGACTCGGGGTCAGATCATACAAGCTAAAAAGACAGCTATACCAGTGCGTCCACATTTTCCACTGATAACGAGCGGCACTATTTTAATTAGCTTAAGACAGAAAGGAAAGTGCTTGACAGTTATTGGAAAAAAATCATGTTTCTGTCCTGTTTCGTTCTACAAACCATAACCATTGCCTTTACCAAAACACCAAGATCCGTACAATATATTTGGGCACACCCTTCTGAATACGTTTTTATGGCAAATTTTCTATGGTTACCCCTACCGAGAGCTTTGGACGCATCCAGAAAGCACGTAAAGGTTCACTGAGGAATTTCGTTTTTTTATATTTAGCAATTAGTTCTGTGCCCAACTCAGCCTTATAACCAAACTGACTATCTGAAGATGTTATCAATTTAGAAATCTTGTCTAATAGATTTTGGATACTATACTGGCACGATTGGTCTGTTTTTATCACTACTGCCAATCTTTCCTGTTTTATTTTTAATAACCGGAACATACTGTACATATATAGTGTTGGAAATGTGTGTGATAAGCTTGCATTGGTATTGGCTTCAGAAAACTAATAGTAATACATTTGATAAAAGCTTGGAGATGGTTCCAGTCCTCAAGGGGCGGCTCTGTGGCAAAAATCATTTCTCCTTCTCTCTTAAGTAATATATGGTCTGCGTGAATGTTTTTTCAAAAGTTCCCATGCTTTATTGTAAGTTTATTAGTCCTGAACAGCGCATGCTAACCCGCCATAGGCATTTTTCCATCCGTTGTCCCATGTTCGCTCTCACCCGTGTGCCTTAAACACTGCAGGCGGAAATGGTGAAGTCCTGCGCAATAAAAAAAGCAATCACAGCAGACAACGCTCACTCTCTCACTCCCGCTTTTATCTTCAGCCTAAATATTGTTCTTGAACAATGGTATGCAATGCAGTTTACACAATCCTGATATAAATCCTCTCATCTGAAACTCCAAAGTAACATGGAACTGAAACCACGGGAGAAGCTTGTGTCTGGAGTGGCTTCAGAGGACGTGGCTTCAGACGGGAACATTCCAACGTGTTAATAAATAAACACACTCATAATAGCAATATAGCAGCATGTCTGTGATAGCCGGGCGAGTTCAAAGTTGTGTTGTGGAGACTGGAGCAGCAGGGGCCACTAACAGGGCCCACAGGCACTGCAGGGCCAAGGACAAACATATTTGTCCTCTGGGTTGCCGGGGTTATTCAATGGGGCCAGAGACGTGGGTTATACCTCTCACTCCACACAGAGATGGGAGCGGGGTCGCCAGTACAGGAGGCACATGCCAGACGTATTGTACATGTTTTTAGTGGTAGGGGAAACTGGAGTACCCAGAGGAAACCTACGCAGACCCAGGGAGAACATGCAAACTCCACTCAGAAACGCCCTGTTCCGACCGGGATTCAAACCCAGGACCTTCTTGCTGAGAAGAGGGAGTGCAGTCCACTCAGCCACCGTGCCGTTTTCCTTCTTTACGTCTGAGTGAAATCCAGTTAGAGGTCGTCCATTGTTTGTTTACGGCAGCCTTTTACAACAGCAGAATGGGAGGCTCGGTGACGGTCCAGGTTTCCTCAGGGTGCTCCGGTTTCCCCTACCAGTAAAAACATGTAGAATAGGTCTGAATGTAATGAGTGGGTGAATGGATGGGGTTGGGGGCTGTGTTGCTCCTGTGTCTTTGGTGTGTCTCGCTTCCGTCATCACCGTGTGGAGAGATTGGAACAAAATCTGAATATGAAATGCGCTATAGAAATAATAGACGTTGCATTACTTACAACAGGCACTTGCTGTGGCCTGCTTAATCAAGACCCCACTCTCCCTGGTTCCCATGGTACGGCAAAATAAAAAATCAACCTGTAAACTCCTCTCCCCTCTGTCTCTCCAAGAATGCGCCTTCAGAACATAAACAATCCTTAAAATAGACACTTTGTTTTTTAACCGTGGGCTTCGAGGCACTTGACAAAAGTAGGTCCTGGAAACCTGAAAATGACCGTAGTTCTTTGCTCTCTAAACAGTTTGGTTCTATGCCTAGTTTTTACACGCAAGATGTTTTTCAAGATTCAAGAATGTATTTGCCATTTGCAGTAAAACCACATTGGAAAAACTGTGCAAGACGAGCCCAGTGTGCACCAGGACAATGTATTTTCGGCCTCTATCACTTTGTCGCAAGTGAAAAAGAGAGGACCCTCCCTCACTCAGCCAATCAGCTCTCTGCCCTAAGGGTCAAACAGTGACTCACAGGGATCTTTCTATAATAATAACATGTTTTAAGATGTTATGAGATGTTTTTCAATGGATTTTTTTTTTTCCTAAATGACCATGAGCCGAGGACGTTCATGATGAGTCACGTTACATTAGCCGAGCGCTGGATAAACAAGGCCTCTGTAACCACACGGACACACCCAGAGCTGTCATCACGGACCACAGCCGCTCCACAGCCGCTCCACAGCCGCTCCACCACTGACCCAAGCACCACGCGGAAGGAACACACTGTCTTGTTTACAGCAGGAAACGGACAGGGAAAATTAAGTGAATTGTAGACTTTACTAGATTTTGGATTTGGTTTGGATTATAAGAATGTATATGGAGTATTTATGGGTTCTTAACAGTGAGGTCTGGACTGTTTAATACTGTCCACTACTCCTTTCCAAATCTCATTTTTGCGACAGGCAGAAGTAAATTGTCACAAATAACATACTATTTTGCCTTTAAACCTAAACGAAATGCAACCATTCCCACCCAAAGGGGACTCTGTAATAAACAGTATGTTATAAGTTTTATGTTATTCTTTATTGTGCCTGTAGGGAAATTGTCCTCTGCATTTGACCCATTCTTAATTGCTGCTAGCGCCTCTGTCAGCAGCAGTGGTCACCGTAGTACAGCGCCAGATCTCCACATGTTGATGCTCTGGGTCAAGACCTGAGCTGGACGAGTTTACCTATTGTACATGTTTTTAGTGGTAGGGGAAACCGGAGCATCCTGACGAAACCTTCGCAGACACGGGAAGAACATGCAAACTCCACTCAGAAAGACCCTGTTCTGCTCAGGATTCGACCCCAGGACCTTATTGCTGAGAAGCGAGAGTTCTAACCACTCAGCCACCATGTTGCCCAGTTTCCCCTGCATGTATTGTTGGTCTCTACCACATCTTTAGATCAGCTTTTTCAGACAGAAAAGTGAAAAAGAGAGGACCAGCCAGGCTCACTCAGCCCCAAGCATCAATTAGTGACTCACAGGGCTCACATGGATTTTTACTTGGGACATGTACTATTCCTGAAACCAAAAGAATAGGGACCCCAGCTTTAAGGTCTATTGAAACATTGCTTATCCTGTGTCTCCTGATGTATCCAGGCCCACAGAGCTGTTCCGGAGCTGTAACGTCCAGTCGGACCAGGGCGCCATGAGCGACTTCAAACTGTGGTCCAACGGCACCATCCGGATGCCCCTCATGAACATCCCAGTGCTGGACATCAGGAAGTGCCTCCCCGACACCTGGAAGGCTGTGGCCTGTGTGCTGCAGATCAAGCCCTGCCAAAGCAAGTCCAGAGGCAGCCTCATCTGCAAGTATGACCACCACCGAGCACACAACTAGGGTCAAGGCTGTCAAAAACACATCAACAAAACTAGTGGGGACTGGTGTATTGTGGAAAAAATACATAAGATAGAGAATAGAATGAAATGGGTTTGGGTTGGGAGCTTATACGTTTGAGTTCTTCCCACTGTATTTCTGGCTTAATCAGGAGTGAACAAAGAAATCCCTAAAATGTACTGTATGTATCATCTCTACTATTTTTGTCCTTTTGTAAAGAATTTTTGAGTGTCCAAAAAGCACTATATAAGTATGATGTATTATTATTGATATTATTATTATTATTATTACTCATTGACTGCCATTGACGTATTTGTCGGAGGTGAGTTCTGTAAAAACTTTGCTCTATTCGACTGGAGATTACAGGAGAACAAAACTAGCTAGAAACTAACTTATTTTTGCTGATGAAAGTACACAGTCCAGCCTTTCAGAATCTGCTTTCATATTTCACATAGTCATAGCATATAATATTCTGTGGGAATCAGCGAAATCCTCAAAAATGGCTGGCAGTCAAGGAGTTAATTTTTAAATACAGTAAAATACAATAATTGATTCCTGTTTATAATCACTACTTATGTCCAACCAGGAAATAACGTATATGCATTTCACAAAGTAGGAATAACTGAATGATGATTTAGATGTAAAATATAGACATAGTTGTGTGTTGTGCTGTGTGTGAGCAGGTCTGACTGTGTGGACATCCTGAGCCAGTGTGGGGACAGGAGGCTCTTCCAGGAGGGCCAGACTCCAGAGAGGATCTGTGAGCTGCTGTCCCCGGTGGACGACCCAGAGCAGTGCATCCCTCTGCACACGTACCTCAGTGAGACACACACACGTCACACTACTGTAGACACAACACATCCTGACAGTCTGCAACAAAAGGTTTAACTAAAGTTTACACAGGCTTGAACTAAGTAATATTATTGAATGTGAGAAAGGAGAAGTCTATCAGATCTATAACAGAACTATGAACTTGGTATGACCCTTGGACGCCAGTTCTTATTTAGCCGAGGTACTACCCGGTCCTGTTTTTCAAATTTAATATGCCAATCTGTGTAGTGTAGTGTAACTGTGTATTATTATGTGAATATTAAGTATCTTCTCTGATGTATTTACTTGTATTGTATATTATGAGCAGTACTTGCTGGACTATAAGCCACTTCTTTGAGGCCTATAGAGCGATGTGGCCAATGTATGTATTTTTATTTTGTTGGCGCGCCCCCTGGAGGATAGGAATTGATCTTGACCCAGCTCTATCTACAGCTGTTAATTTCCAGAGCTGATGATGTCGCTCACATTCCTGCATCCCGGTGTGTTTATGTGAACAGCAGAGAGAGCAGATCCGTCAGCTGTTTGTACTACAACATGAAATCGTTGGCTTATATTCAAGAGCGGCTCTTATGTGGACAAAATTAAATGTCTCTTATAATGTAGCTGGTGCAGTTTATGTTCAGATGTGCTTAAGAGTTCAGCAAGTGCTCTACGTATCTACACCCTTTACTTTTGCCTGAAATGATGCAAAAGCAAAGCATATTTAATCTTTAACTACTGTATATTTAAAAACAGTAACCAAAGTTTGTCCCATTCCCCAGTTCATGCTTTAAGTGCATTTGCATCAACTGAAATGAGTCCATAACCCTGTGTGTGTGCAGCTCCCAGCATCCATCCCACCGGTGTGGTGGAGGAGGTGGTCCACCCGTGCAACCCCAGCCCCTGTCCCAGCAACCACCTGTGTCAGGTGAACCGCCGCGGCTGCCTGGACGACTTCCACTGCCTGCCGTACATCTGTGTGCCGGGTACATGCCCAAAAGCTCACAATAGAGTCCTAGTTGTGCTTGAACGTTACACTCTCAGGCAGAAATGTTATATCTATATATTGCTATATTTTTGCCATAATTCAGAGATTATGAATTATAACACACTTTTTAATTGACAACAGAATCTCCTCGTGACCCTGATTAGAAGTTTCCATCCCCCATTCTCAGCAGTCTGTATCCCTTTAACTTCTTACGATAGCTTGGTAGCGCCATCTGCAGGTGAAAGCGAGATTGTGTCTCAACTATGAAGCTAAGCAGGACAGAGCATGGTTAATACTCTGATGGGAGACCGACATTATTCATAATCTCTAAAATATGGCCAAAACATTGACACCTCTGGCTGGATGTGTCTTCTTTCAAACACACCTCTATATTATGTTATTGGAATGTATTCATCTTCCTGAAATCATGTGTACGCGTGTATCTGCAGCGTGTAAACTGGGTGAGGCCTCTGAGTTCCTGGTGCAGCAGGACGCTCTGATCCAGGTGCCCACCCGCAGCGCCCCGGCCGGCTGCTTTGAGGTCTGCAGCTGCGGGGCCAGTGGTCGTCTGGAGTACTGCGTGGAGATGCCCTGTGTGGACACCAGCAAGGCCTGCAATGTCGCCGGCCAGAGGAAGAGTAAGTATGGATGTGGAGAGAGGAAGGCTCCAAACAAGTTTCCACAGGTTCAATAGATCAACAGAGTTCTAGTCGGTGTTAGAATTTTTAATTCAAGAGTCAGTAACTTTGCTATTTCAATGTAACTTTGTAGAACATATTGTTGATCATAAGTTTGGTCCCTCCACCACTGAAGTGTTGTAGGTCTGAGTTTATAATCTACGGAACTATGAATGCAACAACCATAGACGTGCCATGTATAATACAAGTGGAGTGTTCACCATATGCAGAGACGATGAAGAAGACAATTTGAACATAAGAAAGTTGGTGTCAATTTCCCTAACTGGGCATTTGTTTTATGATGGGGTGGTCTACATGCCGTAGCAGGGGGCAGATGCATTGAGAGTATAGGTTAGCATAATCCATTTCCATTTACAGTGGGCGACACGTTGGCTGAGTGGATAGCACTCTCGCTTCTCAGCAAGTAGGAAGTCCTGGGTTTGAATCCTAGTCGGAACAGGGCCTTTCTGAGTGGAGTTTGCATGTTCTCCCTGTGTCTGCGCAGGTTTCCTCAGGGTGCTCTGGTTTCCTTTACCACTAAAAACTTGCACAGTAGGTATGATATGAATGTAAGTGAAAAAGTGAGTGGATGGTGTTGGTGACTCGCTTCTGTCATCACCGTGAAACAAACTCTGAACATTGTAAAGCGCTTCGACCTTGGTCTGTAAAATGCGCTTCAGAATCATTTCTCACAAGTTTTGTAGATTATGCTAAATAACTTCTCCAGTTGTCTTTTCCTCTGGCTCCACACTGAAACTGTTACCCTTGTCCAGGTCACGGGACGTCCTTCCAGATCGACTGTCACCACTGCTCGTGCTTCTCTGGGGAAACGGTCTGCTCCACCAGAGAGTGTCTGGGAGAGGGCAGCTCCGAGAGGGACCGCCACCACTTCACCGGTACGTCACGCTGCTCTGCCCTGATGACCTGTCCTCTCCGCAGCTAAGACCAAAGTTACTGCTACTATTTTCATTGTCTGGTGGTTCTTGAATGCATGAATGTGAAAGGAAGATGCAAAATACAGACAAATCTGAGTTCTAAAAGAAATCCCATGTATTCTAAACAAAATGTAATCCAAACGGCAATCAAATATTTTACTCAAAACATAGGTGCTTCTCTGCTTCTTTCTTCTTGTCAATTCAAGCTGAAGTACCAATCTTAATAACACATGCTGCTTGTCTAACAGTCTTATGTAAAAGTCTTCCCTGGTGAACGAATCAGACCACGACATCTGTCTTCATTGTTAATAGAAAACAATCTCTTGCATTGTAAGAAAAAGCCCTGCATCGCGGGCTGAGAGATGATTGGCTGAGTGAGATTGGTCCTCCTTGTCACTTTCTGTCTGAAAAAGCTGATCTCAAATATGTTAAAAATTGTGAAAAAAACAAAAAAATTGTGAGAGCGAGGAACTACAGAATGTGGTGGATTGCTCTGTAAATCTAGTTAGATGGATTGTATTAAATAGTTCCAGTGTTTGTTGTTTAAAAGTTTGATTCCCCAGCTTTCACAGTAACGTGTGAGTTAAACAAGTTTTGCCAATAATCCGCTGCCAACCATAAAGAAAGATTATACAACTTTCTGTATTTGTTAGTCCAGGGAAAAGAATACAAGAATCTTTAAAATGTGTTTTAGTTGAAGGTGTAGCCTCACCTTTTTCCTGTGGATTTCTCCCGGTCCTCCATAGGTCTCCCCTGCAGCTGTCCGGACCACTTCATCCCTGTGTGTGCGTCTAACGGGCGCACGTACCCCAGCGCCTGTGTGGCCCGCTGCATGGGCTTCAAGGACCACCAGTTTGTGTTTGGACAGTGTCGGCTCTCAAACCCCTGCGCCGGAAAGCCCTGCCCCAGGGGCCAGAGGTACGACCAGTGCTCCCCCAGCGGTGGATCAGCAAAGCTTTAATGGCCCATATCCTCCCATTTTAAAATCTGGATTGTCATGTGGTTGCAGGTGCGTGTCGCGGTTCCGTGTGTGTCTGAGTGACACCGGAGACTGCCCTCAGTTCGAGTGTGTGGGCCGGAGCCCCCCCTGTGAGCGGACCACCGTGGAGCCTGTGTGCGACACCGACGGCCTGGTGCACCCCAGTCTATGCCACCTGCAGCAGGCCGCCAAGAGCCTCGCCTACATGGGACAATGCCAGGTACAACTGAGACCTCAAATCATCTCACTCACACTTTAGGAACAAACACAGAGATCGTGGAGCAAAATGCTGCAGCTGGAGTCCTGACGAGAGCCAGGAAGTACCATCACATTAGTCCAGTTCTCAGGTCTCTGTACTGGCTTCTGTGGCTCAGAGAATAGACTTTAGTCTCTCCATGGCCTCGCACCAAAGTACATCTGTGACATGTTAGTCGCAGATGTTGGGCTGAGCCTTCTGAACCCTGAGGACCGAGCCTCTGGAACTCGGACTCACTTAAAATCACTGCTCAAAACCCACCTGTTAAAAATTGCATACACTTACAGTAACTGTATATTTTTGCATTTTATTTTTGTACGAGAGGTCTTTAAAAGCATCACAAGGCCCCGGCTGCTCATTGATGCGGGTGTAGACCCGTTGGAAGCCTGGACTATCATACTCTGTGTTCTTCTGCTTGGTAAACGTCCTCCTGGGTTCAGTCGCTTCATTCCCTGTTACTATTACTATTACTATTACTTATTTTGATGCAGAACTGGACACAGGGGAAAAACACTTTTTGCCCCTGTAATATTTATTTTTATTTATTTTGATGAATTCTGTGATCTGTGTAGCACTGTATCCCAAAGAATATTTCCCTTGGGACAATAAAGTTTATTTTATCTTATCAAACTTATCTCTGTGCTGATGCCGCAGGAGTCGTGCCGGAGCCCTCAGCCCGTGTGCGGACACAACGGAGAGACGTACCGGACAGTGTGTGACGCCTTCTCAGACCGTGTGGCCGTGGACTATCTGGGCCCTTGTCACGCAGTGGGGCCTCTCTCCGACTCGGCTCCAGACTCGTCCTGCGCCCTGATCCTCTGCCCGCCGGTGTCCCCCCCCGGCTGTCAGCCCGTCACCCCTCCAGGTAACCGCCTCCGTGGAGATTTTGGTCGTTTAGGTTGGAATGTGTTTTTATGAGTATGGTATTGTCTGCTGTGCTTTTATTCAGTGTTTTTAGACAACATTTATAGACATTGGTCTCTGCTCCTTTTGGACCAATGGCTCTATGTGTTTTCATCATTGCATTTCTTGTGTGTGAACTGTTTGATTCTCTGATCTGTTTTGGCGAATTGACAGTTTTGTTAAGTCCCCAGAGAATACTACTGTTGGGCAATACAAAAATAAATTGGGTTGTCGGAAATACATATAGATTTAGTTTTTGTTTCAAACCTGCACAGATTTGCTCATGAACATAACATACACAAGAATTTCTGACACAGATACACATAATATTGAAAAGCTGTTGTTTGAAGCTTGTTTTCCTCCAAATCCAACTCTCACCACGACACAAGATATAAAAACAATATCTAAAATAAAGAATGTAGTTATATAAAAGAAATTAAGTAAATGATATAGATTGGGATATTACATAAAATCAAGACACAAATTAACCATACAACTCCAAAATAAAGATAGTTTTAGCCTCTCCTCTGCACTGCTCCAGGTGTTGATGACATGCTCCTCTAAAATCTGCATTACTTGCTATTTTTCTCACTGTATAATTTAATTTTAAAACTGAGAACTAAGTATTGAGAACGTGGCTTTAAGAGATGTATGCGTGTCTATTTTTTAAAAGTTTTTTTTTGCACTATAGTATTAGGCAAACCATCAAAAGTATAGCATGGGATACATTACACAGTGTTGACTATAACCAGTATAGTGTCTCTATCTTGTTTTGTTCACCACTTTGAGTTGCCCTGTGTATGATTTGCTCTCTACAAATAAACTTGCCTTGCCTATATTAATAGTATGTCCCCCCCTCCAGGAGCCTGCTGTCCCATCTGTGCCAGTATGCTGCAGATCTTGTGGAACCAGGACCACATCAACACGTTCTCCAAGGTAAGTTACAGACTCATACGCGATCGGTCCATATTTGAAAAGAATAGGGATATGAAAACAGCAATATAATACTCTCAGTGGCGACATGTGCTCATTTTACAGTTAGTAAACTCCCTGACACGTCACAGATAATCACAGATAGATGTCATGTGGTATTTTGTCCACTGAAACTTTTAGTGTTTGTGTAGATGTAATTAAGCAGGATCGCCACCAGAGGGAGCTGTCGGCGTAGTCTATGGTAATAGTTAACTTTCGTTGACGTTGTGGTATGTGCTAACGGGCTTAGGCAAGTCAAGTATGTAAATATTTATGACCAAATAAAACAAGTCAAAACAAATACGAAGATGCAACACACAATCTGTCAAAACAAGACGCTTTTTCAACCATGTCATTTTGAAACTAAAGCATTTCTTTTTTACAAGATTACCGTGTATTCTGTCACTTCGGCTAACATGGATCTGATTAACTTTTATTATATAGCTCAGTTCATACACAAGGCCACTCAACAAAGCAACAAAACAAGATCACGAGGCATTAAAATCATAAAAAAATCACAGTACATTAAAAAGAATTAAGATAAAATTCTAGCACAGATAAACAGTTTTAACCTGGATTTAAACATATTCTCATGTCTGCTCACATAGAGACAGAGGCCCTGTGTCTTTCTCTGTGGTCCTCTGCTTCACAAATCAGATATTAGCCATTAGCCAATCATAAACATCATCCAGCCAACTTCATCTCTGCCAATACAGACATGCTAAACCTCAGAATCTCTTCCATTCTGTCATTGTCACCTTGTTTGACTATACCAACATGTATTTTTGATGTCACTCTCATCATACACACTGGCTTTTCCAATTGTTCCTTGTCGATGCTGCAGGGTCTAAGGGCAGTGGTGATCCGGGACATTTCAGGACATTTATGGATATTTATCAACATTTATGGACATGAAGCATCCAGCTCCTAGTATAGACCAATGGCTCCTGTGTGTTATTTTGCATTTCCTGTGTTCAAACTGTTTGATTCTCTGATCTGTGTTGGCGAATCAACAACTTGGTAAGAGAACCTACAGTATATACGTCCCTCAGTGGGGAAGTTGGTGGAGGTTGGTGTTGCATTACGCACACAGGACAGTAAGAGCACACAAGCAGTCCTCCGAGACGCCTTCTGCTGTGATTTAGGGCTATACATTGAAATTAATTATCTTTTTTTTTACATTCAGCCAACTTCAGCCCTGTCAAAGCTCAGAACAGCCTGAATCCAGTCAAAACAGTTTTACAACACAAGCCATTGGCCTCTGAGCAAGTCTGGTTTACTAAACTAACACCATTTTTGTAATACCAGCGCCTGTATAGACGGATAGATACTTTATTGATCCCTGTGGGAGAAATTGAGGTGTCCAGTAGCAGCAGAAAAACACATCTATCCCTACAGACAAAACTAATAAATACGTCATTCTAAAAGTAGCTAACAACAGTAATAAAAATCCTCCACCGACTCCCACTGATGTCTGCTGTCGTTGTGTCCTTAGGCAAGACACTTCACCCCCATTGCCTAGAATGAGTCTGGTGTGTGTGAATGGTTGGTGGTGGTCGGAGGGGCTGATGGCACAGACTGGTTGCCTCGCTTCTGTCAGTGTGCCCCAGGGCAGCTGTGGCTACTGTAGTAGTTTATCACCACCGTGTTTGGAGTGAATGAATAATGACAAGTGAAGCGTCTTTGAGTGTCCAAAAAAGCGCTCCATAAAACCGATGCATTATTATTAAAATGCAACAGGACTTCAGGTCACAGCAGCATGTTGTATGTTGCTTCATGTTTTAAAAAGTGCATGTTTAGATCCTCAGATTCAAAGTTAGCTCGCTGCTGCAGACTGATGATAATTTCAGCGCTGACAAAGGTCATCTTAACATAACGGAGAGCACTTAATATGCAACATTGACATTTGTTTTTTTGTTTTTTTTATGCAATGCTTTAAAATCTATTCGGTGGTTTATCAGAGCGGAGGGCGTCTCTCTCAGCCCATACAAATCACAGCTGGAGTCGCACAAGGACAGGCCGGACAAGGGCCACTGCCACATGCATTTTTCAACATATCGACCCGTCTCTGAATAGAATGATGTTTGGGACATATATCCTGGGACCGTGGGAGTTTTAATATTTAACACTGCGATTTGAACGGACGACTCCTGTGATCTGAGATTGGAGAAAGGCCTCCGCACACTGTCCTCCGCTCCCTCTGGCTTTCTTCAGGATATGTCTGTGTGTAGCTCTAAATCACAGCAGCAGCAGCAGTCGTCTCGGAGGAGTTTACTAAGTTGCCGATTCCTCAACAACAAGAACAATAAAGCTTTTTGGGTCTTTGAATAAAGCAGACCCAAGCATTTTTGCACATTTAGTATTCACAGAGCCAAAAAAGAGTTGCAATCTTCTCCCAGCATGAAACTATCTTTATAATTAAATGTCTGCGGTGGTTTTAGGGATGAGCTAAATGTAAATGAATTGCACTGATTTCTGTAAATATTTATTCTACTTTTAATATTTAGATTTTTCTCAGGTTGTATTTAAGATAAAGGTAAATCAAATAACTTATATTAGGAGTGGACAGACGGAGGCTGTTTGTGGAATGTGAAAGAAGTCGGTTTGAGCATAAGCTAGCTGGAGTAAATGTCCTTATATGGGCATTTCTTCCACTGCGTTAGCTTCGCTCCGCTAACAGGGGCAGACGTGCTGCTAAGACAGTCGCTAAGGCAAAAAGCTGGAGATTCAACGGCAAAAGAAGGCATCTGATTGCTCATATCTGAATTCACAAATACCATATCATAATAAACACAGATTTTTTTTAAGCCCAAAATGATGAGTGTGTCCCAAACGGTGACTGAGATTTATTTTACTAAGTACTTTACTAAGTCAACCAGCTATGGTTAGCTTATTTATTTTATTTATTTATTTTATTTTATTTATTTATTGTATTTATTGTATTTGTTTTTTGTTTTATTTATTTCTATTTTTTTCATTCATTTGACAGGGATATTGCCCAATACACACATAGTTCAGACCTGACACAGCTACAAGCTCATTTTCATCTGTAGTCCCTGGGCTGAGGCAGAGTGACAGCAGCTTTACAGTGTGCAAAGAATTCACAAATAGAACGGCCAAGTTAGCATTTAATACAAAGTAAAATGCAACACACGTAACCACAAAGATACACAATATAATACATGCACACAACACACAATTATTGACATCTGATTACTGACTGCAGACTTGATTATCTTTGACGCATGTCTCGTGTAAAAACATACTAAGCTACTCTGTTCTTGAATTGTCGTATTTTTGTCAATAATAAGTCGCATGAATATTTGTACCTTTAACATGTGTTTTCCTCTTGGACCTTAGGCTCTCTGACTGTTAAACTCTTGAGGAAAAACCAAAACTAAACTGAAGAACAATGTCTTCCCTAACGTTTATCATGACACGGCTCCTCCCATTTCTCATGAATTACTTATAAAAGCACTTGTTTTGGAAGCCGCAAAAAAGTTTCTTCCCCAAACTTGTGTCAATACTCTATTTGAACTTTTGCTCTTTGCTCTCTGTAAATTATAGACAACTGCAGTCTGGTCTGTAGTGTTCCCACAAGCATAAAGCTGGGGTACCTTTTTCATGAATAATACATTTGGTCTTAACACAGAGAGTCTAACAAAACATAAAACCACTGCATACTGTTTTCATCTCATTAGAAACCTTGTCTTTTGCTGATTGGCTGACACCCGGGGGTTCTCTCTTTTTACTTCTCTGTCTAAAAATCTGATCTAAATATGTGAGAGAACCTCCTTTTTATATGTGTCCTGATACCATTGGAGTAATGTGATTTATGTATTATTCTCAACATGAATTAGACCACAGAGATCAGTGAGGGACCAGAGAGAGACCAGTGAGGGACCAGAGAGACCAGGGAGAGACCAGAGAGGCCAGAGAGACCAGAGAGAGACCAGGGAGATGCCAGAGAGGCCAGAGAGACCAGGGAGAGGCCAGAGAGAGGCCAGTGAGGGACCAGAGAGAGACCAGGGAGAGACCAGAGAGAGATCAGTGAGGGACCAGAGAGAGACCAGAAAGAGATCGTGAGGGACCAGAGAGAGACCAGAGGGACCAGAGAGACCATAGAGAGACCAGAGACAGAGACCAGGAAGAGAGGTCAGTGAGAGACAAGAGAGAGACCACGGAGAGAGATCAGGGAGGATCCAGAGAGAGACCAGAGAGAGACCACAGTGAAATGGTCGGTAACAGTGTGTGTGTGATCAAAGGTACAATCGGTGACAGTGTGTGTGATCAAAGGTACGATCGTTGACCGTGTGTTTGTGATCAAAGGTACGATCGGTGACCGTGTGTGTGTGATCAAAGGTACGATCGGTGACCGTGTGTGTGTGTGATCAAAGGTACAATCGGTGACTGTGTGTGTGTGTGATCAAAGGTACGATTGGTGACAGTGTGTGTATGATCAAAGGTACGATCGGTGACAGTGTGTGGCGAGATCAAAGGTACGATCGGTGACAGTGTGTGTGTGATCAAAGGTACGATCGGTGACAGTGTGTATGATCAAAGGTACGATCGGTGACAGTGTGTATGATCAAAGGTACGATCGTTGACAGTGTGTGTGTGATCAAAGGTACAATCGGTGACCGTGTGTGTGTGATCAAAGGTACGATCGGTGACCGTGTGTGTGTGATCAAAGGTACAATCGGTGACTGTGTGTGTGTGTGATCAAAGGTACGATTGGTGACAGTGTGTGTATGATCAAAGGTACGATCGGTGACAGTGTGTGGCGAGATCAAAGGTACGATCGGTGACAGTGTGTGTGTGATCAAAGGTACGATCGGTGACAGTGTGTATGATCAAAGGTACGATCGGTGACAGTGTGTATGATCAAAGGTACGATCGTTGACAGTGTGTGTGTGATCAAAGGTACAAGCGGTGACCGTGTGTGTGTGATCAAAGGTACGATCGGTGACCGTGTGTGTGTGATCAAAGGTACAATCGGTGACTGTGTGTGTGTGTGATCAAAGGTACGATTGGTGACAGTGTGTGTATGATCAAAGGTACGATCGGTGACAGTGTGTGGCGAGATCAAAGGTACGATCGGTGACAGTGTGTGTGTGATCAAAGGTACGATCGGTGACAGTGTGTATGATCAAAGGTACGATCGGTGACAGTGTGTAGGATCAAAGGTACGATTGTTGACAGTGTGTGTGTGATCAAAGGTATGATCGGTGACTGTGTATGTGTGATCAAAGGTACGATCGGTGACCGTGTGTGTGATCAAAGGTACGATCGGTGACTGTGATCAAAGGTACGATCGGTGACAGTGTGTGTGTGATCAAAGGTACGATCGGTGACCGTGTGTGTGTGATCAAAGGTACGATCGTTGACCGTGACTGTGATCAAAGGTACAATCGTTGACCGTGTGGTGTGATCAAAGGTACAATCGTTGACCGTGTGTGTGTGATCAAAGGTACAATCGTTGACCGTGTGTGTGTGATCAAAGGTACGATCGGTGACCGTGTGTGTGTGATCAAAGGTACGATCGTTGACCGTGACTGTGATCAAAGGTACAATCGTTGACCGTGTGGTGTGATCAAAGGTACAATCGTTGACCGTGTGTGTGTGATCAAAGGTACAATCGTTGACCGTGTGTGTGTGATCAAAGGTACGATCGGTGACCGTGTGTGTGTGATCAAAGGTACGATCGTTGACCGTGACTGTGATCAAAGGTACAATCGTTGACCGTGTGTGTGTGATCAAAGGTACAATCGTTGACCGTGTGTGTGTGATCAAAGGTACAATCGTTGACCGTGTGTGTGTGATCAAAGGTACGATTGTTGACCGTGTGTGTGTGATCAAAGGTACGATCGGTGACCGTGTGTGTGTGATCAAAGGTACGATCGGTGACTGTGATCAAAGGTACGATCGGTGACCGTGTGTGTGTGATCAAAGGTACGATCGGTGACAGTGTGTGTGATCAAAGGTACGATCGGTGACAGTGTGTGTGTGATCAAAGGTACGATCGGTGACAGTGTGTGTGATCAAAGGTACAATCGTTGACCGTGTGTGTGTGTGATCAAAGGTACAATCGTTGACCGTGTGTGTGTGTGATCAAAGGTACGATCGTTGACCGTGTGTGTGGTATCAAAGGTACGATTGGTGACTGTGATCAAAGGTACGATCGGTGACCGTGTGTGTGTGGTCCGCAGCTGAAGCGCGAGGATCCGGTCACGGTGCAGGATGTGCTGAGGGTGCTACGGCTGCATGTGTCTGTGCCTCAGTGCGACGTCTTCGGCTTCCTGAGCATCGACCACGTGCTGGTGGTGCTGATCGCCCCGGTGGAGCAGCAACCGACGCCTCTGCAGGTAACGACATGCACACACACACACACACACACACACACACACACACACACACACACACACACACTGTCTATACTAAAAGTCCCTAAGAAACTCTTGGTATTTCCATCACGTGTGCCAAGACGAGCAGAGGACTACACTTTTCACCAGCCCACACTTTAACGAGAGACCAGAGAGGGACCAGAAAGAGACTAGAGGGAAACCAGAAGGAGACTAGACAGAAATTAGAGAGAGACCAGAGAGAGAGCACAGAAAGAGAGACCAGAGAGATAGACTAAAAGAAACCAGAGAACGAGACTAGACAGAACCTAGAGAGAGAGAGACTAGAGACCAGAGAGATAGACTTGAGAGAGACCAGAGAGAGACCAAATTATTTGTGAAGCTGAAGTTGGCTGGATGACATGGTTAATTATCTTAATAGCAATAATAATAACATTAGTTTGGGCACACTGAGGGTCAGAGTGAGAGAGTGTGTTTAAACGATTCAGCTCAGAGCTCATCTCGGCTGCTTTTAAGCCCACTTCTTCTTCTCTCTTCTTCTTCTTGATTAGTTCATTTTGCCTTTACTTTTGTGTCGCGCACAGCTTTGCATCTTTAGGCACAATAGTCAAACGAATAACCTTGTCTTGATTTAAAAAGGTATTCAGCAGCGTGAGTGGAGGACACATTACTCAGAGCCTGTGCCTATAGATCACATTGAGACAAGGCACAGTTTATTTAGGAGCTGTTGGATGGAAGTGCAGAGGCGGACGCACACGCTCGCTGCTTCTCTGTCAACAAGCGACGTACGGGGGAAAAAAATCTAGTATCAGATTATTATTTAGTTAGAGATTCGAGTGAGAGACCAGAAAGAGAGACCAGAAAGAGAAACCAGAGAGAGACCAGAGAGAGACCTGAGTGAGACCAGAGAGAGACCAAAGATAGAAACTAGAGAGAGACCAAGAGAGAGACCAAGAGAGAGACCAGAGAGAGACCAGAGAGAGACCAGAGAGAGACCAGAGAGAGACCAGAGAGAGGCCAGAGAGAGACCAGAGAGAGACCAGAGAGAGGCCAGAGAGAGACCATAGTGAGACCATAGAGAGAGACCAGAGAAAGACCAGAGAGAGACCAAAGATATGAACTAGAGAGAGACCAAGAGAGAGACCAGAGAGAGAGACCAGAGAGAGACCAGAGAGAGACCAGAGAGAGAGACCAGAGAGAGACCAGAGAGAGGCCAGAGAGAGACCATAGAGAGAGACTAGAGAGACCATTGAGACGCCAGAGAGAGAAACTAGATAGAGACCAGAGAGAGACCAGAGTCAAGAGAGAGAGACCAGAGAGAGAGAGACCATAGTCAAGAGAGAGAGAGAGAGACCAGAGAGAGACCAAGATAGAGACCAAGATAGAGACCAGAGAGAGACCAGAGAGAGACCAGAGAGAGAGAGAGACTATGAGAGACCAGAGAGACTCACACGCTCACCGCTTCTTTGTCAACAAGCGGCAACGGGGGAAAAAAATCTAGTATTTGAATATTATTTAGTTGTAGAAATGATAATTGTTTTTTCATTATTCAAACTTCGCTGCGTTTTGCGGCGGTGAGCAAAGGGCTATCTATGTAACAGCACAGTCCTTGGAGATACTCTTCAAACTGTTTCTATTCATTTGGATGCAAGGATTGAACCGAAAACAAGAGTTTTGTGTCTTTTTTGTTATCATGAAGTAGTTTTGCACAGCCCTCGATTTCAGCCGCTGTCACGCACGAAATTCAATGTTTAACTTGTATTGGATCGGTTAAAACTGGGGTACCGAACTTTTTAATCACAAATCGGTTTAGTTCTATCACTAGATATCACACGAATGCCTCTTTTGTCACATCTTTAGATCAGCCTTTTAAGATAAAAATGTGAGAGAGAGAGACACCAGAGAGACACTAGGGAGGGCCAGAGAGAGAAAGGCGAGAGACCAGAGAGAGAGACCAGAGACAGACCAGAGAGAGACCAGAGAGAGACCAGAGAGAGAGAGACTAGAGACAGAGAAACTAGAGAGACCAGAGAGAGAGTCCAGAGAGAGACTAGAGAGGAACCAGGAAGGCACTACAGAGAGACACCAGAGAGACACTAGAGAGCGACCAGAGAGGGACAGCCGAGAGACCAGAGAGAGACCAGATAGAGAGTCCAGAGAGAGACCAGAGAGAGAAAAGAGAGAGTCCATAACGAGACTAGAGAGGGACTAGAGAGAGAGGGACTAGAGAGAGACCAGAGAGAGAGACCACTAAGAGAGACCAGAGAGATACTAGAGAGAGAGAGAGAGACCAGAGAGAGCCCATGAGACCACTCGGCCAATCAGCACTCAGCTCATCAAACAGTGACTCTCAGGGCTCAGTCTTTCAAAGATACAGAAGAGAACATGAGATAAAGACGGCATGTGATGGTCTGATTTTCCATGGTACACGACACTTCCTGTGGGACGAACAACAACTTTTGGTACCCCAGCTTTAACTGAATGCTAACTACATTATTTATAGATGTTTATTTTAACACGTGCTTAACACAAAACTATATGGATTGCATTTTGTTTATTGTTGTACAGCCCTAACTCACAGCAGCAGTTGGAGGACCAATCGTGCTCCTATGAAACTCAGTGTCCTCTGTTTGCAGTATAATGTTGACATATTCTAAGCTAGTTTTTTATACAAATACGAGAAGCCGGGCGTGAATAGACGATTAAAGACGGCACTAGTACGCGCACAACATTCACAAACGCCATAAATGCACATAAGAACTATAATCAAATCCCCTTGAAGTTGTTTACTCCATTAAAAACTTAGAAATCCAAAACACCGGCCCCCGCTGCTTCAGACGGACCAGACGAGCTGCGAAAGGGGGGTGGGGGGTTGGTGGGGTTGGGGGAGGGAGGGAAGTAAGTCTTGAGAACGCTGTGTGCTTGACAAGGTTTATGAAATCACACAAAGACAAACACGCTTCCTAAAATACCCATAAACTCCACTACAGGCTGCGGCGCCGGCGTGGAGGGGCTTCTGCTGTTACCAGGCAACCGCTGGCTTCTCTGTCCGGAGCAGATGAACTCCTCACCCGCCGCTCTAATGAGTCTCCGTCACATAACACAATTGATTTTTCTTATATTTTATTTATGGCGATCAGGAAGTAGGATGTGGAGGAAACTTTTTCTTTTTCATCACGCTGTCGGATTGAGTTGAGCGTCCGATGATTTGGTTTCAGGTCTGAATCAAATTTACAAAATATACGGGATTGTTGATTAGTTTAGGGTTACTTTAAAATGTGATAGAATTGTGTTTTTCAATAACAAGAAATCTAGTAGAAATAGAATCTATCATGTTCCAGCAGCAGCCATCTCCCCAGTGTTCTAACAGTACCCAAGTCTACCCTAGGCATGTCCAAACCAAGGCCCGTGGGCCAATTGCGGCCCTCTGTGTCATTTTATGTGGCCCTCCGCCTTGTTTACATAAAGTCATCTTTGAGAACATTTGTTTTTGATTGGAAGGCACTAATGTATCTGGTGAGTAAACATTATTCATCCAGCCAACTTCAGCTCCGTCAATAGTGAACCAATATAGACATGTCATACCCATGGATCTATTATAATAACTGGATAGGGTATTACTGGGTTGGAGCAGAAATGTTTCCCATAGAACTCAATGTAAACTAAAACAGCTCGACCTCAGCTGACAGAGAACCTGACAGAGAACCTGACAGAGAACCTCCAGCTTTCACAAAGGTCGGATCTTGTGGGGATTTTAGTGTCCCTTGTCATCTTGAACTTTTTTATCCACACTTTACTGCCACAAATTCTGCTCGTTTGGCTCCCGCTCTAACTCCCGCTCTGATCAGCAGCTCTGATTGGTCAGAGCGCGGCCGAGCCCCTCTGTGCACGTGCATGAGAGCCACACACTCGTATTTTGCGCAACGCATCATGGGAGTTCATCCACTGTGCAGAACCGGGAGGACCAGACGATGCCCAAATCCAGGCGAGTTCCGCTAATATGTCAGCGAGCATGCCGGCACAAACCATTCATTTGAATACGCCGCCATCTTGGATCGCCGGGGCTTGGTCATTTTAAAGCCTGAATCCTGTTAAACCGTGTTGTCAGGCCCCCGGACAATTTTGGAGACCTTAAGTGGCTCTCTTACTAAGAGAAATGTGCGTTCCCAACTAATGATCAGAGAGTTTACATTTTTACCTTCCTGATAGTGGCACTGCTGCAAGTTACAGCTGGCGTTATAAACCAAATAAAATAGAACTATGCGATCAAATCTACTCTAACCAGCTCCTACCTCTCCAAAAAGTTGGTTTTATCAGTTTAGTTTTCACCTGCCTGTACTGTTGGCCTCTGTCACATCTTTAGACCATCGTTATCAGACAGAAAAGTCAAAATGAGAAGACCACACTTTCTTACAATCATGAAAAATCCACCATGTTTTCTCCTCAGATAAAGTCAGAATGTTGTGGCCTGGATCGCTCACGACATTTTAGTTTTATAAGACACTTTTTGTTGTGGGACAAAATGTGTTATTTATGAAACAAAAAAGTTAGGTCATCCAACTTTAAATAAAACACTTGAAAATACAGCACAATATAATTTATGGCACAGCATTTGGAGATGGCAGATGTTCTCGGCGCTGGTCCACTCTGCGTCCGCTAAAGGAGGCGCTCAGGTCAGAGGTCGACCCCGCGGCGCCGGTGTGTAATGTGTTTTGTCATACACTACGTACACTTTTTGTTTCGCAGCAAGAACTCGGACTGAATTTGACTGTTTTGTTTCTGCCTCTCCAGGTTTAAGCACAAAGTGAGTTGAAAGGGTCAGACCGAGCAAAACTTTCAAACCATTCCACAACTTTTTACGTTTGCATTAAAGTCCTTCTAAATAGTGTGTGCAGCTCTTAAATCAGTTCTTTTGGCCTCTGTCACCTTTAGATCAGTTTTTTTGGGGTAAAAAAGTGTAAAAGAGAGGACTGACTTTGTTCTAAAGCATCAAATATTGACTCACAGTGATCTTTCTTAGAGGAGTGCAGAAGATAAGGTTCTTTATAATATGACAAAGTCTGGAAAAATGTACTCCCGCTTTCACTGGAGCTTCAGACCAAATTATGAGTCTTATCCTGTTTTTTTGTCCTTATACAAATAATGCACTGTTGTCTAACACTTAGACAATCAATTCACCAATGAAGCCATATACATTTAGCATCACCAGAAACTTCTTCCAATATTCCAGGCTCATCAAGTCAAAAACCACTGAAATTATAATTCTCTAGAACATCGAAAGATTCTGAGACACGTCCCAACGTGAAACTTTATTCTGAAGAATATGGTTTTCCTTTGAAATCTTGGCAAAAATGCAGGTTTTCGCCAAGATATTTTTGTATTTTATAGTTAGTAGTGTCCCACATGTGAAACACTACAACATTTATAGGCAATGCGAAAAAGGCAAAATAAGTCAAATAAAATTGCTTCATTGGAGCACATTCTGACTGCCATAAAACAATATTTACCAATGGGACAAATGATCTTGTTTTGAAAAGATACAAGAAATGTCTCCACAGTTCTTTAAATAAGACTAAATGGCTTTGTCCCAGTGGCCAATCTTGTTTTATGACAGTCAGAATGTGCTCAAATTAAGATTAAAACCACTCAATTCATTTTGCAGTGCACTACAGTAGTATTGTTATTCTGGTCCTGTGCAGGTGGAGGCGTGCAGCAAAGAAGCAGAGAAGATCGACTCGCTCATAAACTTCTCCAGCCCCACCCTCATGTCCCACGTGCCGCTGTCGGCCTTCCTGTCGTCCCAGCTCCAGACCTCCACCATCCTGTCCTCGTCTGGGACCCTGTGCACCCTGAGCCCCCTGAGCCCCGGCCTGGCTCTGCTGCTGGGGCTGCTCCTGCTCTCCTAGCCTCCGCCTTCCTCACCTCACTCCCTTTTGGAATAAGCAGAAGCCATTGCACTGTCAGGAATGAAACACTATGCAAGCCTGAATGTGGCTGTTAAAGCTGGGGTACCTCACTTTTTCTGACATTGAATATATATGTTGTTTGCCCTGATAGTAAAAGTAAAATGTTGTGGACAAATAACCGCAAAAAGTGATGAAAAATGAGTCCAAAAATGGCTCAGATGTGGCTAAAGGTATCTTAATTTGCGCTCATTCTGACTGAGCCTTAAAAAAATATTTGCCAATGGGACAAAGAGCAAAATTATCTTGTTTTATATTTATACAAGAAATGTCTCGCTTGGAATGAGAAAATTAATCAATAGTTCTTGAAATTGGACGAAATGGCTTTGTCCCATTGGAGAATTTTGTTTTAACACAGTCAGAATGTGTCAGATTAAGGTAAAAACACTTGATTCAAGCATTTATTTCCTCATATTTTATAATTTTTTTTGCAGTGTGCTGTCTTCATCCAGTTAGAAAACATGCATAAGTGTAAGAAAAGAGCCCTGTTAGTCGCTATTCAACCCTTTGGGCTGAGCTCTGATTGGCCGATTGACTTTCCTGTCTGATAACGCTGATGAAAAGATGGGACAGAGGCCAAAAACACAGTACATGTACGAGAAAACTAGGGATGGAACCAAACTGTTTCGTGAGCGACGATCTATTTGTATGGATTCTACGACGTATTTCAATTCGTTGTGGTTTCAAAGTTACGTACCTCAGCTTTAACTGGTCAGATTTGAGTAGTTTTGACAGGATGCATTCAAAGGGGAGAATCTGCCGTCCCTGTCCTTGCCATGTTTCGAAGTATGGCATCAATCTGAATTATTCCACAAGTCAAAACTACTCATTTAAACTCCTGGCAGTTCGCTAAATCCGGCCGTATTTATGGAAAGAGAGGAGATTGGAGAAAGGGACTAGAATACTCTCTCTCACCCCGTGACAATCATTCCTTTGGTGCCTCCTGCGACAGAGCAATCACAAGCTAATACCATAGCAGTATTCTAATGACACGTAGGCTTCAAAATGCAAAAAAACGGTTCAGGTCAGTGCGCTGCAGCAGACGCCCAGGCTGGACCATCAGAATCAACTGAATTAAGCTACTTTTGTACAATGTATATATACAATTTTTATGTTTTTGTCATTCATTTCTAATAGGTTGCGTTCATGAGACATTACAGAATTCCAAAAGACAGTATAATTTGACATTATGGTAGAGAGCAGCTGAAGAATCTTTCCTGGTGACTATGGTAACTGTCAAAAGCCAAACTTCTAGTCTAGTTTAGAGCTAATTTCTCTGTAATCCCTGGAACAATCCACATGAACAAAATCTGTCAAAGAGTTGCACATCTTCTTTGTACATATCTCAGTACTATTGTCTCTCTCTGGTCTCTCTCTGGTCTCTTTTGGTCTCGCTCTGGTCTTTCTCTGGTCTCGCTCTGATCTCTATCTGGTCTCGTTCTGATCTCATTGTGGTCTCTCTCTGGTCTCTCTATGCTTTCTGGTCTCTTTCTGGTCTCTCTGCTTTCTAGTCTTTCTTTGGTTTCTCTCTTTGCTTTCTGGTTTCTCTCTGATCTCTCTCTGGTCTCTTTTTGGTCTCTCTCTGCTTTCTGGTGTCTCTCTGGTGTCTCTCTTTGCTTTCTGGTCTCTCTCTGGTCTCTATCTGGTCTTTGGTCTCTCTCTCTCTTTTGTCTATGTTTGGTCTTTCTCAGTTCTCTAGTCTCTCTCTTTGGTCTCTCTGATCCCTCTCTGGTCTCTCTGTATCAACTGTGGTCCATAATGACTTTCTCCAATCATGTGGAGACATGATCAAAAACATATTGGCCAGTAGAAAGAACTTTAAGACATAGGATCAATATGGCAGCTTTCTAATCCCTATCAAATATCTGTGGGATATTTTAGTTTTTGGTTCTGTTCATACAAAATCTATATTGTACGTTCATGGCCCCAATTACTAAAACATATTGTATTTTAAAAAGTTTACGTACAGTTTTCCCAGTAAGCTCCCAGTGCTGCGTCTGCTTCAGCGCCCTGTCCTTTCTGAAGCGGATCCGAAGCCTTGTGGCCTGCTTTACGTCCACGCACACCTCCGTCATGTCTCTGTGACGGACTGACCGTGTAGGGACCGATGTCCGGGCCCTTGTGGAGGCCAGTATGCCCTTCAGGATAAAGGGAGGAACAGCAGGGTAATGTCTGTACGATACTAAAGCCATCAAACTGTGGAGGGACCAGCGTTGTGTGGTCAGTGTCTCTGCGGAGATGGCCACGTCTGAAGAATGAAGGAAAAGGAAAAATGCAATATGTTTGTATCGTGTTTGTGTGTTTTGTGGTAGGGCTGCACGATGGAGCGGTTGGTTTTTAAGATGAAGTATTGTGCAAGGTATGTTTGTTTGTGTAGCGCAATCCTTCATGCACGGGGCCAGTCAAAAGTGCCGTGATGAAGCCATGTGGGTGTAGCTGTAAATGCATTTTCTTCATCGAAATTAGAAGGTTTTTAACTGTATTTTTCAAAAAAAATTCTGTTTTGGAAAAATAGCGGTACGCTCACTTTCATTCCCTTTTTTGACCTCACTGATCTGACGGGTACATTCATTCATTTTTTTATTTATTTCAAACATGCACGAGACATACAAAAAAAAATACTAGAAGAGCTGTGCATGGTTTGAAAAGAGATTGGTCAAAGCAAACGCCATTCAAACACATTCTACAATACAATACAGAAAAAAGTATGAAGACCTGTCAATACCCTCCAACAAAACACGTAACAGCCAATGAAACACACACACACACACACACACACACATTAACACCAATTGCAAGAGACAACTAGACACACCGGGCATAATTCAGGGCTAATCTATTTTAAGATTTAAAAAGTCCAAATCGTACAATCAGCCCAAATGTGTCGGAGCCAGTGAAGTGAGACCAGCACTGGGGTAATGTGCTCTCTCTTATGTGTCCCTGTGATCCCGGACCTGCTCTTGGCCTCAGACCACAGTCCAGCGAGTTAAAATAATCTAACCTTGAGGATTATTGATGATGTCATAGTGATGTCATAGTGTTTCGGTGATGTCATGTACCGCTGTGACATCACCCCCAGAGCAGTAGATTTTTGCCTTTTGAGACTAAATCACTGCTTAGAAATACCACTTTCTCAGGAAAAAATTAGGTTTGTAACCAACACTGAAGTTGCAACTGGTCATTTTCAACCATAGACTGTATATATGAACTGACAGACTCACGCCTATCTCCGCCGTTCTAACTAATGGGCCAAAAAATGTGCTTTACTGGAGCAATCCAAAATGGCCGCGAGTGGTCCCGCCCACCAGTAGCTCAGTTGGTAGAGCATTGGCCTTAAGGCCAGAAGGTCGTGGGTTCAATTCCCACCTCTGCACCTTCTCCACCGACTCCCACTGATGACTGCTGTCGTTGTGTCCTTGGGCAAGACACTTAACCCCACTTTGCCCAAAGCCCCCACTGAAAGATCAAGGCTATGCTCACAGTCAGAGAGCAGCCGTCCTCCTGTGGACTCACCACCTGCAGAGGGTCAGTGAGGGGCTGGTGCTATGAGACTTGGGTGGCATCTCTGACTGTCACCCCCCTGACCCAGAAATGGATTAAAGGGCAGAAAATGGATGGATGGATGGATGGTCCCGCCCACAAGAAAATTGTGAAAAAACGCATCTGCGCATGCGTCAGCTTAAAGACTTAAAAAATTCACAGCGACTAAACTAGACTGGTCCAAAAAAATCCACCCCCCTCAGCATTGACACACATGTGGAACGGAGCTTTGGGCAAGAGCCAACTTTTGGTCCATCCTGTAAAGACGTTTTTGAGAGGTCTGCCAATGCTACATGTTAGCATTGGCTAATTCTGCTTCTGGGTCCACCCCCATCGGCCCGGGGTGGTATTGCAGCATGTCAGCGCACATCTTTTGGCCACTTTTGAGCTGGGACCCGCCCCCACTGTTTTCAACACAAAAATATATATGCCTCCCTCTAGTGGTAGCATAGGGAGCTACAATCAGAAAGCATATTTTTGTTTTAGCATGTCTCAGCATAATTCTTTTCACCTTTGAATACTATTTCACCTTTTAAAACGTGAAATGACAATGAGTAAATAGTCTCTTTATTAAAATAACGGCCCTAAAGAAGTCAAAAAAGTGACATTTTAGTTTGAACGAAGAATTATAATGTGTATACTTCTTCTCTCAAACTAAAATATTACTTTGTTTTCTCGTCAAACACAAAAGAACCACCCAGCTCACCTTGCAGCCCTATCCCGTCTTGTTCAAACCTTAGCTTTTCTTGCATGAGGACGTGTGTTTGGTGAATGTATAATGCGTCCGTGTTTGTGCACAGGCAGCTGCAGCCGGAGCCTCACTCCCGCAGTATTCTAAGTTTATTACTTAATATTATAATGTGGTATTTTCACACGGCACCAGGATTTCAACCACAGTCTCCCGTCTTTGTGGAAGAGAGCAGATCAGTATTAGTGTGTCACAAGCTATGCATACTGTATTATTAATTTTGTATTTTATTTTTTTGAGTTATATTGTAAAGTTGATAGAATAAATGAACTGTACAAAGTGATTATTTATAGCATTCAAACACTTCCTTATCCAGCTTTTACGTGGATGCTTCCCTCCCCCAGGTCTGTTCTCACTTATGACTTTATGTACACACTTTATCATTTAAATGTATATGAATTATTTATGATGTTATGTTTTCTGCGTAGCCTGTGTTTGCATGTATATACGGAGTGAAAGAAATATACATTGACATTCCATGGTGTTAGTGCTTCCTGATCAGGGCTTTTAAAGAAGGAGCACCGCGTCACTTTTCTGTTGGTCTAGGAATGAAAATAAAAATTCTATCAAATAAATAGGTCTGTAAAATTGTGCTTGCAAATGTTTTGGGGGAGTTTTATGGTCTCAAGTTGGTTCGGGAGGTTTTAAATAATGCATTTCCTCTCAAGCTCAGTTAAATTACTAATGCATGCAGGTGTTGAGGTCGTTGCTTGAGCGCCCCCTGCAGGAGACCGGTGGTACCCTGCTCTGCGCTACTCTGCTCTGCTCCGCTCTACTCTGCTCTACTCTACCCTACTCTATTCAACTCTACTCTACTCTACGATTGACCAGAGCTGCTGGAAGCCATTGTTACCAAGGAATTTCCATGGATTCTGGTTTTTTGATGGGAGGTGGCTAGGATCTGGTACCTTATCCTAAAGTGTAATGGAAATGCGTCCAGGTAGAGGAGAGCCAAGTAGAGTAGACAAGGGCCAAGTAGGGCTGGTGGAAATAGGGCGTTTGTTCCCGTAACCGTGGCGACCCCCGTCATAACAGATGCTTAGTGCTCCTTCAGGTCATGTCTATCGGTGTTAACAATAGATTCTCGTTTAGAGACGGATCGCAGCAACTGGCAAACATTGATTTGCAAATGGGCTTCAAATGTGGGTTATAATTTATGCCAATAATGGTTACTATGGCAACTTGCTCAAGCCTTAAACAGCTTTTTGACAAATGAATAACTAAGTAACTTGCAGCAAATACAGGGATTTCTATTGTTTGATAATAGAGCTGTTTTACAAGTCCTTTCCTGTAATCGTATCGTATTGTGTTTGTTTCCGTCTTAATCACGCAAATACGAAACAGGATTGATGTGATTTTTGATTCCACATAAGTGTCTTTTGTGTCGAGAAGTAACATTAAAATACAAATATTTCTTTCAATAAAAAACAAGAATAATATGGTTGTGTGTTTACTTTCCATTGTGGAGCTACAATAAAACTGCTCTGGGAGGAAAGAGAAAGATTATCCACAGAAAAATGGACTAATGTGTTTTATTGATGCAAATTTACATCTATTTGAAATATTGCTGAGTCATGTTAATAATGCTTGCTTTAAACAACCTGCTTACACTGCGAGGGGAACGGAATAAGTCTTCATCTACGATTGTTGTCAGCAAATATTTTAATTCAATATGTTTGTGTTTCGCCCTAAATCACTACAGCAGTCGTCTCGGAGGATTTTACAAAGTTGTCAATTTGTCAACGAAAGATCAGAGAACACAAGAAATACTCCAGAGAGACCTTTGTGGAAATATGGGCCCATAATGAGAGCGAGATCTGCTCCCACGGACTGAAGCTGTAGATCCAGGACTGAGGCTGTAGACCCAGGACTGAAGCTGTAGATCCAGGACTGAGGCTGTAGACCCAGGACTGAGGCTGTAGATCCAGGACTGAGACTGTAGATCCAGAACTGAGACTGTAGACCCAGGACTGAGGCTGTAGATCCAGGACTGAGGCGGTAGACCCAGGACTGAGGCTGTAGACCCAGGACTGAGGCTGTAGATCCAGGACTGAGACTGTATACCCAGGACTGAGGCTGTAGATCCAGGACTGAGGCTGTAGATCCAGGACTGAAGCTGTAGATCCAGGACTGAAGCTGTAGATCCAGGACTGAGGCTGTAGACCCAGGACTGAAGCTGTAGATCCAGGACTGAGGCTGTAGACCCAGGACTGAGGCTGTAGATCCAGGACTGAGACTCTAGATCCAGAACTGAGACTGTAGACCCAGGACTGAGGCTGTAGATCCAGGACTGAGGCTGTAGACCCAGGACTGAAGCTGTAGATCCAGGACTGAGGCTGTAGATCCAGGACTGAGGCTGTAGATCCAGGACTGAGGCTGTAGATCCAGGACTGAGGCTGTAGATCCAGGACTGAGGCTGTAGATCCAGGACTGAGGCTGTAGACCCAGGACTGAGGCTGTAGATCCAGGACTAAGACTGTAGATCCAGGACTGAGACTGTAGATCCAGGACTGAGGCTGTAGATCCAGGACTGATACTTTAGATCCAGGACTGAGGCTGTAGATCCAGGACTGAAGCTGTAGATCCAAGACTATTTCAAATATTTCAAGATGGTGATTTATTTTTAGGATTCTAGGATATATTTAGGTGCCCCCCATTTGTGAATCTCCAAATTGGCAGAATCCCCTGCTCTTCTCGGTGTGACTGATCGTATGCAAACACAGGAACATACATCTCCTCTGACAGCTCCGAACCCACCTCCTTTATTATTGATGCATTTCCATACAGAGCTGTTTGTCACTCAGACACGGACGCTGTGAGATCAAGTGGCCTTTTTTTTTCATTTTTAGAAGCAGAACATTAAAAGGACTTCCTATAATGCGTCAGCCGATCGAAGGTCTCTGTCTTTGTCTCAACCGAACAGCTATAGGGATGCAATCTTTAGAGAAGTGCGATTGTTCTCACAGAGCTCGTGCCCTTGGAGCCTGAGCAGACATCCAGGCTCCGACACCAGGATGTGAAGAGCAAATCCGCTTCATTCACTTGAGGTAAAGTACTGCCCATGGGCTCTTTATGATACCGTCTCATTTGACTGACTGTTATAACTGTGTGAAGCTGTTTTGTTACTGCAGGCCAGAGGTGGGAAACAGTGAACAATATAGTTTTATTGTCAAAGTTGGAAACTCCCAAAACAGATCACAGCCTCAGTCCTTGTTCTACAGTTAGTCCTGGATCCACAGCCTGAGTTCTGGGTCTACAGTCTCAGTCCTGGGTCTGCAGCCTGAGTTCTGGGTCTGCAGCCTGAGTTCTGGGTCTACAGCCTGAGTTCTGGGTCCTCAGCCTGAGTTCTGGGTCTACAGTCTCAGTCCTGGATCCACAGCCTCAGTCCTGGATCCACAGTCTCAGTCCTGGGTCTGCAGCCTGAGTTCTGGATCTACAGCCTGAGTTCTGGGTCTACAGCCTGAGTTCTGGGTCCACAGCCTGAGTTCTGGGTCTACAGTCTCAGTTCTGGGTCTACAGTCTCAGTCCTGGATCCACAGCCTCAGTCCTGGATCCACAGTCTCAGTCCTGGGTCTGCAGCCTGAGTTCTGGATCTACAGCCTGAGTTCTGGGTCTACAGCCTGAGTTCTGGGTCCACAGCCTGAGTTCTGGGTCTACAGTCTCAGTTCTGGGTCCACAGCCTCAGTCCTGGATCCACAGCCTCAGTCCTGGATCCACAGCCTCAGTCCTGGGTCTGCAGCCTGAGTTCTGGGTCCACAGCTTGAGTTCTGGGTCTACAGTCTCAGTCCTGGATCTACAGCCTCAGTCCTGGATCTACAGCCTCAGTCCTGGTTCTACAGCCTCAGTCCTGGGTCTACAGCCTCAGTCCTGGATCTACAGCCTCAGTCCTGGATCTACAGCCTCAGTCCTGGATCGACAGCCTCAGTCCTGGATCTACAGCCTCAGTCCTGGATCTACAGCCTCAGTCCTGGATCGACAGCCTCAGTCCTGGATCTACAGCCTCAGTCCTGGATCTACAGCCTCAGTCCTGGATCTACAGTCTCAGTCCTGGATCTACAGCCTCAGTCCTGGATCGACAGCCTCAGTCCTGGATCTACAGCCTCAGTCCTGGATCCACAGCCTCAGTCCTGGATCTACAGCCTCAGTCCTGGTTCTACCGCCTCAGTCCTGGGTCTACAGCCTCAGTCCTGGGTCTACAGCCTCAGTCCTGGATCTACAGCCTCAGTCCTGGATCTACAGCCTCAGTCCTGGATCTACAGCCTCAGTCCTGGATCTACAGCCTCAGTCCTGGATCTACAGCCTGAGTCGGTGGTCATAATGCTCCTATGTGTTTGTTGTTGGAGGAGTTGAAGTCAAAAGTCTCTGTCAGCCATAAACTATCGTACATTTTAACCAAATCAAAGCGACATGTCCACTCCACTTTAGCCTGGATACACTTGCTCTCAGCTTTTATGAATAATCCCACATTTTGCGTTCAGTCATTAACTTCTCTCCGTCTCCGTTCGTTATCGTCCCCGTAGGGAAAGCGTTCTGTCTTCTCCAAAGTTCACAGCCCTCCCACTGTTTGTACTTTTCCATATGGGATGTGATCTTTTATGCATTTGCGGCAGCTCCCATCATCACATCACTGTACGCTCTATTCTACTCTACTCTACTCTACTCTGCTCTGCTCTACTCTACTCTACTCTGCTCTACTCTACTCTACTCTACTCTACTCTACTCTACTCTACTCTACTCTGCTCTGCTCTGCTCTACTCTACTCTACTCTACTCTACTCTACTCTACTCTACTCTACTCTACTCTGCTCTGCTCTGCTCTACTCTACTCTACTCTACTCTACTCTACTCTACTCTGCTCTGCTCTGCTCTACTCTACTCTACTCTACTCTACTCTACTCTGCCCTACTCTACTCTACTCTACTCTACTCTACTCTGCTCTACTCTACTCTGCTCTGCTCTGCTCTCCTCTACTCTACTCTACTCTACTCTACTCTACTCTGCTCTGCTCTCCTCTACTCTACTCTACTCTACTCTACTCTACTCTACTCTACTCTACTCTACTCTGCTCTACTCTACTCTACTCTACTCTACTCTACTCTACTCTACTCTACTCTACTCTACTCTACTCTACTCTACTCTACTCTACTCCACTCCACTCTCTGCTCTACTCTACTCTACTCTACTCTAATCTACTCTACTCTACTCTATCCTACCCTACTCTACTCTAATCAACCCTACCCTACTCTACTCTACTCTACTGTACTCCACTTCACTCTACTCTTCACTACTCTACCCTACCCTCCTCTACTTTACTCTATCCCGATTGGGAGTGTTTCCATTGGTCCTGTTTGACCGGTATCAGTTACTTTATCAGTCCCTGCTTGGTCCTGGTTCTATCCAGTGTTCAAACTGTGATCACTTCTGTTTTGTATCCTGTTTGCATCTGTGTGAAATGTATAAATCATTTCTTATTCACTACCACAAGTTTCGGAATTTTTGCCTGTTTTTTTGTATGCTGGAGGGTCCAAGGACAAGAGAAGATATGACAATTGTGGATTTGTGGTTGACCCCTTCTATGGACCAATGACTCGGAGGACTGCACAAAGCTGTTGATTCGCCAACACAGATCAGAGAATCAAATCGTCCAAACACAGGAAATGCAATGACAAAAAACACATAGAGCCATTGATTTATAAGGGGCAGAGACCAATGTCCATAATGTTGATAAAGTCAATATTTATTAAGCTTTTGGAGAATGGAAAAAGCGGCAATGTCCATATGGGATGACAGCTGGGATTTCTGGTGGCACAAAAGTAAATTGATCCATTTTGAGCCAATTCTGTAGAAATGAGTGGTTATTTTATATAGAAACTGAGTCACGATGCACACAAACTCATTTTATTTCAACGAATGGGTTTGCGACAGGTACAGTAAGTAGAGCAGAGCCATGTCCCGCTTATGTAAGGCAGAGCACGACCTCGCACTGGTCCTATAGAGTCTATACATAGCTTTTGCATGAGCTGGTGCACAGGCAGAACCCGCGAGATCTCACTCAGACAGAGAATAATAGAGACGCATCAATCACTGCCACCGTCTCTGGAGACTGAAACCGAATGGTGGGCTGTCCGGGAGCATGGGGGAGGGACATGGGCGAGGTCAAGAGTGTGTGTGTGTGTGTGTGTGTCCATGGGGAGCCTAAAACCAGAAGAGAGCAGACAAAAGCGCCAGCATCTGTCTTAGCGGGACAGATGGGTGATGAAAGTGCATAAATGTCACAGCAAGCAGGACTTGCGTCGACATAAAATGGCGAGAATTCAGAATGTTAATCATGTCTCATAGATGGGAATTCGGCTTACTATTTACAAGTCGTTGAAATGAAAGTGGCAAGGAAGTGCGGACACTGTTAGCATAGAAAAAGAGAATCCTTGAAATGATAACAGGCCTTGTTGAATCCCAAAATGATGTATTTGTGGCTATCAATTTTAAAAATGTCACAGTGACAAAATACACAAAAATAAGATCATTTAGACCAGGCATGTCCAAACTGAAGGCCCAGCGGGTCATTTTATGTGTCTCTCTGCAGCTAGCCACTGAGATACTTTCACAGGGACTTTACAACGTTGTCGATTCCTCACCAACAGATCAGAAAAACAAACAGGAAACGCAGTGATAACAAACACCATAGAGATGATGAGAGATGACTAATGTCTAATGTCCATAAATGTTAAGACAGATCCATATATGTCCCTGGGTTAGATTTCACCTCCAGGCCTTTCTGTGTTGTGTTTACATGCTCTCCCTGTGTCAGCGTAGGTTTACCTCCAGGTGCTCCGGCTGCCCCCACTGCCAAATGCATGTACAATAGGTATGATGTAGTGAGTGTGTGTAACATGGTGTTGGATAGGAACTTTGATGAGCCAGCTGTGTGTGATGTCTCGCTTCTGTCATCACCGTGTGTGGAGAGGATGGAAAATTACCGGCATGGCAAAATTGTAGAGCACTTTGTGTGGCCTTGGTCTGTGAAATGCGCTATATAAATAAAGATTACTCACTTAATTACTAACACAGTTTAATGTCCTGGATCATCGCTGTCCTCAGACCCTCCTGCGTCGGAAAGGGCCGACTCAAAAACCCAGTGGGAAGAAGTGAGAAACTTCAACGACTCAGGCTGTAGAATGAGGACTGAGGCTGTAGAATGAGGACTCAGGCTGTAGAATGAGGACTGAGGCTGTAGAATGAGGACTGAGGCTGTAGAATGAGGACTGAGGCTGTAGAATGAGGACTGAGGCTGTAGAATGAGGACTGAGGCTGTAGAATGAGGACTGAGGCTGTAGAATGAGGACAGGCTGTAGAATGAGGACTGAGGCTGTAGAATGAGGACTGAGGCTGTAGAATGAGGACTGAGGCTGTAGAATGAGGACTGAGGCTGTAGAATGAGGACTGAGGCTGTAGAATGAGGACTGAGGCTGTAGAATGAGGACTGAGGCTGTAGAATGAGGACTCAGGCTGTAGAATGAGGACTGAGGCTGTAGAATGAGGACTCAGGCTGTAGAATGAGAACTGAGGCTGTAGATCCAGGACCCTCGCTGTAGACCCAGGACTCGGGAACCTTTGAAATCCAGACATTATCTTCACTGACATTAGTTTCAATCAATCAATCAGAATTGATTGATTGATTGACATTAGTTTGTGTCGAAAAACTCAATAAATAGTGATATTAAGTAGCTGTGGTGTCACTCAACATGGACAAATATACATAATTTTAAAGTCCCAATCATCCCAAATTCAGTCAAAACTGTTTTAAAATCTGTTTTCTTTGACCCTGGACAAGTCTGGTTCCCTAAAATTTCCCTGTTACTAAAAAAGTTGCACTTAGACATACGTATACAACTTTTCTCTGGATTTCAGACATAACTTTATTCACCCAAATTAAACGCTCTAACTGTCAAGAACTTGTTCGATTGTCTGCCTGTAGAGTGATGGATGAAGTGCAAATATTACTTTTAGACCTCAGCATTATACTTTCTGCTGTATATGCATAATTTTACATCTTTTTGTCGCCGCTGCTTGAGTGAAGGGAGATGATTAGAAATGGTTTTGTCGAATCTCAAACAGGGAGAAAAATACGATTTCAGAGTAAAGAAGGCAATAAGACACTTTCTGATAGAGCTTTTTACACTCATGAAGGTTATGCATGTACTGATTATAGGCTGTACTTTATCTGCCAAAGCTATTGTGACATGTTGGAGTCATAGTTCCTGCTTAAAGAGATTGCATAAAGTCTGCAGTCAACAATAGAAGGACTAGAGGGAGATAAGAGTCAGTGCGCAGCTGGTTTTGTTTAAAAAAATATATATCTGTACCTTTTGCTGAAACATCCTTGTTAGAGTTTATTATACAGTCATATAGTCCAATACAGTATAATAACAATCAAGAACAATTGCTTTGTTTTATTATTATGAAAAAAAGAACACACAAACACCAACTTACCTCCAACAAATACAAAGTAGATAGTCATCAATAATAATCATAATGATAAAAATATCTGATCTAATCTGAACTCCTCCTCACTCACACAACCCTAGACTAAACAGTCATAAAAGTACTAAATTCAGGACAAACCAAAGTACATAGACATAGTACAATATATTTATAGTACTATGTCTACTCCATTACGAAAAGCTGTGGTTCCATTACGAAAAGCCAAATGTGTTTCTGTACCAACAATACAAAAGGTCCAATATCACTTAATTAGTTCCAAATTGGGGAAATTTCAGTGTTGCATCACCAGTTACAGAACAGTAGGAATGAGGAGCACAAGCTGAATGAAAAATCTCTAATATAAGTCTCGCATAAAGAATAAACAAGTATAAAACCCTAAAAAGTATAATAAGAAACAAGTATAAAGTACTGTACTGTGTTTCTGATGAGCACATCGTGAATGGTTTAAAACGGTTTAAAACATTGTCTTTTTTTGATAAATGTGAAATATTCATATTTCTTTAATATAAAGTTTTGAGACAGTCAGATCTTAAAACTTGAATACAATTTAGTTATTCTTTATTTGGTTGGAACAGTGCATGTTATTGTAGCTTTGGTCACATATTAATCCGCACAGTTGCACTCACGAACATACACTCATTCACACAGTACAAAAAACATGACACTTCTCACAAATATTCACATTTTTCTATATATTCATCAGCAACAGGGTTTGTTTACAGCAGTCTTGCGGGGGCGGGCTTTGGTGCGCTTCCTCAACCAATCACCTCCCTCCATCCACTCAAACAACACCCGCGAGGGCGGAAGTACACACGCTCTCCTCCAATCAGCTCCGCCCTCGCTCACTGCAGGGAGAAGTTAGTCGCGGTCGCCAGCAGTCCGCTCCGAAGCCACGATGGACCCTATACCATGCATTATACTCGCCTTCCTCTTCGCGGCCAGCATACGCGAAAACACCGGTAAGTCCCTGCATTCCTTCGGGCAAAGACTAGTGTTGTTTCCTCACGTTTTACGAAGTTGTCCCCGCGGTGGAGGGGCTTTGAGCAGCGGGAGGAGGCTCTTTGTTGGAGAAGAGGATCCCGTAGTAGAACTAAGATGGCGGGTCCGCGGAGCTGCCTGCCTATGCCTGTCTGTGGAATGTTTATTGTCTGTGAGAAAAGCGAGCGGGTAAAGTCAATCTGGCCCCAAGTAGACTGCAGCCCCGGGGGACACTTTACTTTACGATTTCAGCCTTTTCTCCCATTTCCTGATCTCCTTTAACTACGTGCAAACATAGCGCCAAAGCCAGACTTCTCTCGCTGTCAGATTCTAAAGTTTAGTTGCTGTGTGATAACTTTGCTATTCTTGACAAGTTTTTACAATGTGACTATGCTATGGCTGTATACATCATTGTTAATTGCATTGTGTTTTTGTATGTCATTTTTTTGATTTTGCTTTCAGACCTTGCCATGTGAAATCCCGTTATTCGCCATGCATGCGTAAACTCCATTCTCCTCACATAGAGCCTTCTCCAGTCTATATCTATGTTTTTTATTGTGCTTTTTGCCTTTTCACATAACTGCCATTTTGTTGTATATTGATTTTGCACAGAAGAACGCCTGAGCTGATCCAGTCCAGCACTAGTCATCACCAAATATATACGGAACAAAGTCTGTATCTGAATGCATTGTGAAATATCCAATAGTATGCGCAGGGTTTAAACCACGTTGTGGAGCTATTGAATTCGGCCTTGCGATGTGGTACTTGCTGAACTCCCACCCCCCCCATCATCAGCCCATGAAACCACACTGAGATCCGCTATGGACGCTTCTGCCTTTTTGGCCACGATTTCTGCCTGTAGTAAGAATTGTTGCACTATTGGGCAGCAGCTAAAAGGATTAGAGTGGAGCCGATTTCATTCATGCCCACTGCGCTCTACACTCCGGGGTAGAGTAGTTAAAGACATGTGTGGTGTGGTTTTTACAGCCACAGATAATAAAATAACAGCCTATATCACCTTTGGAAGAATGCTAGTGTTGGATCCATGTTGCTCATTAGTGGATTCAATACGTTTTCATTTCCATCCATGCACCGCCCAGTCTCTTTATGCTCAGACTGGAAGTATGTATGTGAGTGTGTGTGTCTTACAGCTATATCCAACATGCACAACATATAAAACCCGTCTCGGAATGCATGTACGCCTTTGTGTGCTTGTATGTTTTATTGTGCACCATGACGTTTCTTTGTGTCACATCCCTTTGTGTTGAGAATGCAGGCAGAGGAGGGAGAGAGCGCATCGCGAGGAGCTGAGCACGCTGCTTCTTCAAACGGCATTCACGAGCGGGCTAAACGGGGCCACCTCATGCCAAAAGCAGCGTGGTGTCCTCGGATACCCCCCTCCTCCGCCTGCCTGCACGCCGCGCTGCTAAAAATTAATATGTCGGCACGCGGAGAGAATGGGAATTCCGCTTTCTTTGTGCGGGAATGCGATTGTCATGGCGTGGTCTCTGCGCGCCGAGGAAACGATTATTCGCGCCCAAGTCGTAACGTGTGCTTGTTGTGTATATAGATATGTTGCTTGGAAAAAATGCAGTGTTTGTGCCAGGAGGAGTGGGCTGGGGTCCCGGTCACACCCTGCAGCAGCGTTAGAATCGGTGGTACGAGGGCTGCGGGTTTAAATTAGGTCCTGTCACTACTATTGTGCTCACCGCAGCCCCCTGCCCCTGATAGGCTGCCACACCCCCCCACCCTTCACTTTGATTTGTCCGCGTGCTATTATTCCCAGGCCCCCTTCCCCACTCCCCAGTCCCGGACGGCGTCGTAAGTAAACACATCGCACTTAGCTGGAGAGCGGAGCCGGGGGGGGGGGGGGGGGGGGGGGTCTGGAGAATGTACCTGAACAGCTCTTGGTCACTGGGTGCTCTCTCTGCTGCTGCACTTGAGCTGTTAAAAGTCCATAATGGTTCACAAGGATGAGATGAGGATGTAGCAGTTCCCATTAATCAGTCGTCGATTTCATCCATTGTGTGCGTTTTTAAAATGTCTTTAACCTTTTGGTCTGACATTTTGGCGGGCAATAATGTTTGCAGAATGTTGTTGTTTTAATACACATTTGACATGACGTGTCCCAATCTCAATTCAGAGGAAACAAAAGATGCCTGTTTTGAGCCACAACAAACTGTGATTATAGAGGATCTACTCATAAAGACTCTGCATGGAAACCTCACGGCGCTTGCTCCTGTCTGAACCTGGATTTAGAAGGCAACTTTTGGGGTTCTTTCTGTGGCACAATCGTGTAATTACTAGTTGAGGTTTGCTGATTAACTCAAACCTCTGTTTTATCGTGACATCATCAGGATCCCACAACTGTCCCAGGAAAATCCAAATGGGTCTTTCCTTTATGCATTCATACCCACCTTATTTCCACAATGAAGGCACAATTAATATTAATTTGGCTAATTCGGTCTCTTTTATACATTACTTTTGCCTTTTTTGTTAATCATAATTGAATAGTTATTTTTGACCAGTGTAGTCAGTTGTTACCTTGGAAATACAATGAGCAACAAAGTGGTATTTTTGTTCTGCCAATGCTCAATGTCTCCTTTTATGCTTTTTAGATCGGAGAGGGACATTTTAGCTGCCAAATTATGTTTTGAAAAAATGTAGAAATGCTGCGCAGCTAAAGACATACTTAGATTTTAGGGTTTTTATTTCGAGCCCAAATAACACATTTTCACATTTATCAAAATAACAGACAAGTACATGGATCTAAAAGGGGTTGTGTGCTTCCTCTGATTTGTTGACAACTCTTGCAAACAGCAAAGCACAGGACCTTTTCTTTGTTATAATGAGGGATCAAAAATACACCAAGTTTATACATTGTTCTGTGTCTGCCATTTTGCATTCTGTATGTGCGAACATTTTTCTGCACTGTTGGTTATTTGACATAAGTGAACAATATACTGTAGTGTTTGTTCTGACGCAACACTTTTTTTCAATTTCAAATACAGTTGTAAATAGACCAGGCTGCAGTTCCAAATGTGTGGAAAGATATAGGATTCGACGCAGAAATCAAACTCATATAATTGAATGTGTGAAATTGTGGGATGTTGTTGCTCACAGTCAGGTTTGTGTTTATATTTGGCTGAAAGTGGAAGCCGAGCCCGGGCCGATCTTCCCAAGGCCACCGGCAGCTTCCACGTGCCCTCCGTGTTGTTTAGCTCCACACTGATAGCGGCCCCTGGGAGCCTGCCCTCTCGGCTCTGCTCCATGGGGCCACATGAGGGGTGCTTGTTTGTGGAGGTGGAGGAATGCCATGCACGCAGGTGACCGCTCTGCCTGTTGTCCGGACCAGGGCAGCCGTGACTAATGTGAGAGGATGTGCTGGTGCCACTGACCACAGCACAGAGCTCGGGGCCAGTGATGCGCGACCCGATGCCTCGGAACCTCACCGCGCTGTTTACAGACATATGACACCACATTGTCCCAAATCAAAGCTCAAGACCATAGCTCTGTTTCCACCAGCCCTTCTTTACTCTTTCTTTGAATTACTATTGTTTACTAAATTTCAGAACACAAAATATAAATCAAAAATAGTTTGGTTAAATGAAAATCAATAAATAAATTATATAATCCACTCAGAGTAGTCCCCCTGAGATTTCAGAATCTATTTTTCAGATGAGTCATTCTCAAATGCATTTTATTGACCAAAACAGCTGAAATAAACGTTGTCGAAGCAGCAAAACAAGTCAAAAACAAGACTCCACACTTTCATCCACAGTGTCGTCCTCTCAGCCCCTGGTTTTACTTATCTTTTTGAGCTGGAGTGCACCACTGCCGTAAAAATGTAATAAAATCCATCTAACTCTCAATACAGTTTGGTATCACCGGCTTTCACAGCCTCCCGAGCCTCTCACATTATCAGATCAGCTTCTTCAGACAGAAAAGTGAAAGGATAATTAATTAATTTTGATTGATTAGTACTATTCATGGCCATCCTGAACCGTGAGTAAGTCTCCAGAATTAACAAGACCTCCGCACAAAGCTCAAGGCACACCAGGTGTAGCAAATGTTGATGACGTGGGTCTGTGAGGAGGCAGGGCCCTTCTGTTCTCATGAAGGGGGCAAGTGCAGAGGTTTCCCCAAAGTGCTGTGTGATTGTTTCTCACAGAGCAGGAGCTGATGCAGCTGGGCTCACGGCGAGAGGACGAGCCTCTGTCCCACGCCACTAATCTGAGTCTCTGCTCGTTCTGGACTCTCACGTCTGCATTCGTGTGATATCAATGCCCACTGAAGGCTGGGAGCTTAATGTGGATCACCCTGACATGTTATACCTCATTTTAAAGCCAGTATTCTCAGATATGACTCTTGAGTTTTACGCCTGCTCCTGATTTTTTTTTAATTTGGAGTCATTACAAATGTAGGGTTATACAGTATTGTGGTATATTTTGCATGTGTTCTCCATGTTTTGTAGCCGTTATCATATAGACGTTGTATAAAGTTGTTTTCTGATTGAAACAGATTGGAGACCCACAAGGAAATTGAAAAATCACTTCCATTGTTTTGAATCTGTACCAGTATAAATCTATCAAAATATATTTGTGTAGCCCTTTCCAGCCTCGCAAAAAGGTGTAAAACAGAAGTACATAAATAGAAAAGTGCATATTCTCACAGCTGATCATTTTTGACATGCTGTTCCCTGCTCGCTGGTGCATGCAGAGCCAGGATATGAGCAAGTATTCTGGATTGGGGGTTCAAAAAATGTCTGCAGCAGCTCACGAGAGATTATTTGTTTTTTGTTGCTTCGAAAGTCATACAGATACATCTCAATAATTGCCTTATAGTGTTGCTATTGTTTCGTGACCTACGCTTGTGTTGTGATCTGAATCAGCAGAGGTAACTCGAGAGCAGGTCAGTGGCTTTAGGAACTATGGCCTCTTAATGATAACGAATGATAGAAGTTAATTAGTCGCAAAACAAT